TACAGCGCCCGCCACAGTGGGGAGTGTCGGGGCGCACAATGCGCCTCCTCCCCTCGCTAGTATCCGCCCCGGAGCCGCGGCAAAGGTGTAAAAGAGCCACATGCATTTGGAGCCGCGGGTTGCAGACCCCTGGTGTAGACCATCCCACAACACAAACTAGTTCGTTAAGAAAAACCCCAAACTCAGTTCCATGGGTGACTGCGGCAGCTCATCTTAAAGTTTTAAGTATCTATACGCTTATCGCAATTATAAATTTTAAATTTATTGTTGTACATTGTTTTAAATGTTTGTTTTCCTTCTGGGATTGTACCCCAAAGTGTGTTTTATAAGTTAGTCTCCGACCGTAATAAATTATCTATCTATCTAACCCTCTCCTCCATGAATTTAGCCTAATCCAAGACACAAGATCTACCCACACTGAAGGAATGGCAGATGAAAATGATGGACTACATGGAATTGGCGGAAATGACTGGCAGAATCCGTGACCAGGGAAAAGAGTCGGTGGAAGAAGATTGGAAGAAATTTAAAGACTATTTACAGAAATATTGCAAAATTAATGAATGTTAGAATGATGTTGGATTGAAGTTAAGTGGTTTCTAGCTGTACAGGTACAAAAGAATATGGAAAAATTGATTTTTAATATGTAAAAATTTAAAGTTATAATATATTAAGATTAAAGATTAGGATTAAAAAGGAGGGAAAGGAATTGTTGGATTAACAAATTTAATTGGAATACAAAAGAGGGAGGTATGAGGAGGTCCGGGAAACAAGTAAACGTAAAAGAAGTGAGGAAAAGATGGAATTGTTTTTAACTGTTTTTTTCTTTTTTTCTACTTTGTATTTTTCTTTTTCATTGTTAATTTTTTTTACTAATGTGATTTTTTTTTCCTTTTAAACTTTAATAAATATTATTTTTTTTAAAAAAAATGAATTTAGCCTAATCCTCTTCCAAAGCCATCCAAGTTGGATGTCGAGGCAAGGAGGCAACTAGGGTCTTGCACGCTGAGAATTGGCTCCTTTGGGACTTCCGGGGTGGCGCCATTGGCAATGGCGGACTCCCTCTGAACTGGAGGGACTAGCTCCGCGCGAAACGGGTCTTTTCCACTACAGCAAAGCAGGGACCCTTTTAAAAATCACAGGCGGATGAAGCCTGTGACCATGGGACTCGGTGGGCACCCTTAGCGCCCCCCCAACCCGCAAAGGAACCCACTAACGGGCTCCGAAGCGAAGAGGGGGAAGTGGCGTGGTGCTGTGAGTCAACTGCTATTTCCGTGGAGCGAAGCCGCATAGCCGTTGCCGGAGCGCGCTGCCTTTTTCCTGGGACAATTTGGCTTCTAAAATAAGCACCCGTGAGTACTTAAACTTTGAACAATTGGACTTTAAATAAGGACTTGCGAGCAGAAAGAAATTGGACTTTAAAATTTACTTCAATTTGGTACTGAAACGGGAAGGTCTAAACAGGAAGTCAGCCTTCCGTTTCTTTGTAGACAGAATAAAGCAAAGACAACGTAAACTAGAGCTCAGAAAATCGCTTTTAAAGGATTGGCTTTCATCATTTAAAATTCTTGAACCCCCCTTCGGCAGCAGGAGATGAAGGGGATCTTTTCGGACTGTTTAAACCTGCAGAAGTGAGTTTAAAGTAAAGTAACTTTCCACCGTCCTGATCCTGGAGCGGGATGTCAGGACTGACGTTTGAAGCTCATTGACCAGAGACAAACGTTTTTGACAGATAGCTAAAAGAAGAGAAACATAGTGATTCCACTGTTTCCTTTTGCATTTTAAAGGAACAAATATTGACAAAATATCTCAAAAAAGAAACTTTGTTGCAAGAACAAATAGAAGTTTTCCCCCTAGAGGGAGACTGGGAAACTGTAACTAATTCCAGGGAGCTTGCAGCTGTCACAGATTACAATCGTGGGAATAGGCTTGTGACCTTGTAGGACAATGTATTCAGAAGCTCTGTTGTGTGCTCTCTGTAAAACAAATGCCCTGCTGGAACAGTTAACTGAGAAGACGGATTTGATGACTAATGCGGTCAGAATTTTTGAACAGGCAGTGGGAAACTATATGGAGCCCACCCAGGAATTAAATCAGGAGTGTGCCCTGACAGAACAGATGAGAGAAGAGGATGTTGCGGAATCTTGGGCGCCAGAGATGGAGGGAGCTGCGGCCCAACAGGAACATGAGCTTTTGGATTTGACAAATGAACTGGGAAAAAGCCAGATTTGGAAAGATAAAGTTTGGACTGGTTTGGAAATGGGGGGTTGGATAGAGCCCCCTATGCAGGGATGTTTGGACTTTCCGAGTCTGGCAATGGGCTGTGAGATGTTTGGAGCTGTGGGGGCTCTCGATTTTGGAGGGATTCGGAAACATGTTTTTAAATACCGCATGGAGTTTAGTCTGGACTATGGAAAAGGGGCTGATTTGTTGAAAAGGGTCAAAAACATTACCAAGCTGGAGTTCCCATGACTGAATGGTGAATATGAAGAAGAGCTGCGGAAGGGACATGAAAGAGACTTAAGGGCCTCGGATATAAGGTTACCAGGTTAATGCGCTAGATCGATGGGATAAAAAGGACTGACAAACCTGGGACCAGGAGGAAGGGACGCTGGATGAAGATTGGATTGTTTCTATTTCTTTTTCTTATCACTAGGATTGTTTTATAAAATTGATGACTGTTAGAAAAATGTTGGAATGAAATTACCTGGCTCTAGTAAAAATGTTTAAAGAATTAGGCAAGAATATTATGGTTTTGAGAAGTGGGTAAAAATAAGATTTAAGTTTTAAGTTTTAAGGTTTTTTATAAGATAAGATGAAAATAGATTAAGGTAATGTAATGACAGAATATTATGAAATATGGAAAGGATTTGCTGCGATAATTATTAACTAGGATACAAAAAAAGGGAGGAGGAGGAGGAGGTCAAAGAAAGAAGGTAACGAAAGTTGAAGATTATTTTTATCTGTTTGTGGTGTATTTTTGTTTTTTGAATTTGTATTGTCGGATGTGGCTTGTTTTCTTTTTCTTTTTTCTTTTTTTCTTTCTCTGCTTTGTCTTTTTCTGTAATCTTAAAAAAAAATTTCGATAAATATCATTTAAAAAAAAGAGAGAATTGGCTCCTTTGCTCCTCCTCGAGCTTTCAGTCTCTTATATTGGGTGCAAATCGGCAGAAGAATCAGTGGCTATGCATGCACAAGAGGGTTTACCAGAGGCGATCGCTGCCCGCCCCTCTCTCACGTATGCACTCTCGGAGCCGACTCACTTTTTCACACATCAGACATTCTCCGCCTGTTCCTGACAATCAAGCGCTGCCTCCCGCATCTGGTGTTTGTTTCATTCCTGAAATATCTCACACTGGAATGTTAAAAAGTCTTAAGTGCTAAGGGAAGCGGGAGGGAGGGAGGGGATGCGTCTCCTTCCTCTGCACACCACCCTCTCCAACCCTCTATTCTGGCTGGACTTCTTGAGAGGCTCTGTTTCAGGTCTGGCAGAGGGCTAAAGGGATATCAGAAGGGCAGAACAATTCAAAAAGGGCTGGGGATTTGGTTGCATGACAAACAGGACAAATAGGAAAACAACACTTCTTTTTTGACACGTTAAGAACACTTTCTTTTCTTGCAGCTGATGATTTGATTGGCACTTTTTTCTGATGGATACTTTTAACAATGGAGGGAAGCAAACTCCAAAATTAAATGGCAGGCAAGTAGTGTCTTTTAGGTATCCTTAGTCCTGACTCAAACTCAGGCAAACACAGACCACTGAATACATAACAACGATTATATCCTCTCTCTCTCTCTTTTAAAAAGGAGAATAAAGGGATTTGTACATTGTGACCAGACAGACTTAATGCACGTGACAGCCCAATCCTTTGTATGCTTACTCAGGAGTAAGACCACTGTATTACATGGTGTTTATTCTCAGGTGTAGATTATTTCACTGTTATACAACTCTTCCTCCCAAGGCTGGCATACATGACTCCACCCCCCACCCCAAACCTGTGAGGAAAGCTAAGTTGAGATAGTGTGAGTAGCCCAAGGTCGTTTTGAGTCTCCAACCCAAGACGGGGACCCTGTGACACCCCAAATGTTTCAGGATTACAGCACTCATCATCCCTGACCATTGGCCATGCTGCCAGGGGCTGATGGGAGTTAGAAGTCCAAAAAGATGTAGGGCCGCAAGTTAGGAAGCTGAGTTCCACACTCGGTGGATCAGAGGAATGCTGTGGACTTAGTGTATCTTGACTTCAGTAAAGCTTTTGACAAAGTCCCCCATGATATTTTTGAAGAGAAGCTGGTAAAGAGTGGGTTGAAAGGGTTTACTGTTAGGTGGATTCGTAGCTGGTTGACTGACCAAACCCAAAGAGTGCTCATTCCTCATCCTGGGGGAAAGGGCCAAGTGGGATGGCCATCTGTCATGGATGCTTTAGCTGAGATTCCTGCATTGCCGGGGGTTGGACTAGATGATCCTCAGGCCCCCTTACAGCTCTAAGATTCTATGAGTCTATGGCTCTTTGATTCAGACCAATGATCCACCTCCCTCTGTTCTTGCTTGTCCCCTCTTTGTATCAACTGCATGGCAGGAGCATCTCAGAGACTCCTCTTTCCAAGGAGGTTAAGGTGGGTCTCTGAAAAGGCATGTTGGGTCACCCTGATGCTTTTGTGTCCTCTCCCACCTCCCCAACCCATCCACCATCCTCCTCCCTCTCCAGGTCTTCCCATGAGCATCCCCACCACAGAAACCAAAACAAAACAAGGTACGAAGGCTTTGGAAACACAGAACACCCAGGGATGGGTTGCCTGGGCAACGGAGGCGCCAAAGCGCTTCGATCAAGCGGCAGAGCGCTGGAGATGATGAGGAGTGTGGCGTTGCCTTGGAAACCGGGAGAAGGAGCATGGCGCTTGCCCGCATTGTTGCTCCAGAGGCAGATCCTTTTAACTCTTTGGCAGCTGGGGGGGGGAGCACATGGACTCCCGCAGGCAAGACGAGAGAAAGAAAGAGAAGTAGCAGCAGCGCTGTTTAATGCAAGAGGTTTTGCTTTGTCTCTGCAAACTAACCTCTCTGGTTTCTTGGGTAAGGAAGCCGAAGAGGAGCTACGGGAGCATCAAGAGATGCCAGCCTCCTTCCCCGATTTGCGAATAAAGAGTTTTGGGGTCTCCCCACCAGCTGTGTACAAATACAGTGCCCGACACTGGAATCAGCGACTGTGCGAAGCAGGGGCTGTGAACCTGTGGCTCCCAAGATGTTCTTGGACTCCATGTCGCAGCATTCTTGACCATCGGCCATGATGGGCTTTGTAGTCCAACAACAACATGTCCCCTATCCCTGGTGAAAACAGTTCCCGAACCAAATTTCCGAAGAACCCAAGAGGTTCACCTCAAGACCCATTGCAATGTTGCAGAGGATGCCAAAGTGAAATCCTTGGCTTGTGTGCAGCCTGTTTCTTCACTGGCACCACCACCTCATATTGGAGTCCTCAAGCAAAGGAATGGGGAACTGTGGACCTCCAGATGCTGATGGACTCCAACTCCCATCAGCCTCAGCCAGCATAGCCAATGGCCTGGGATGATGGGAGCTGTAGTCCAGCAACATCTGGAGGGCCCTCATCTGAGCCTTCTTCCCTTGGTAGTTCCCCAGCTAGTTCCTCCCACCATTTCTCTGCGTCCAACCAGTCCATGACACCCGACAGGGAGGAGGAAGATGGGGACAAAAATATAACTAGTGGGTTCTGCCTGTTATTGGTGCCAGCTCCACCTACTGTTGGAGTCCCTGCTCTCTGTCCCACCACTGCCAACCTGGTGCCCCCACTCCAGTCTGTACACAAAAGTAGTGTGTGCTTCTGTAGGGCTTGAGTTGCTTGCAAAATCAGGCCGGTACCAAGTACAGCACGAACTTCCATGGACTGCTGCCATCAGATGTGGGGTTTAGATTTGGAATAGGATAATGCGCATAGACACAGGTCAATCTGCCTGCCTGCCTGCCTGCCTACGAAGCTTGGATTCTGCAGAACTAGGAATGCATTCACAGCGGCTGCAATAACTCCTTTCTTCTCCATTCTCACCTCAAACCCATGCCTGATTCAAGAGTGCGAAGTTGCCCTAGAACTTCAGAAACCTGTCTGTCACAGCACCCCAAGCATGACTTTGCCTCTTATACGCCGTTATCAGTTTTGTGACTCAGATGACTTTGTGACTCAGATTCTTAGTACAGTGGTACCTCAAGTTAAGAACTTAATTCGTCCTGGACGTCTGTTCTTAACCTGAAACTGTTCTTAGCCTGAGGTACCACTTTAGCTAATGGGGCCTCCTGCTGCTGCTGCACCGCCGGAGCACGATTTTCGTTCTCATCCTGAAGCAAAGTTCTTAACCCGAGGTACTATTTCTGGGTTAGCAGAGTCTGTAACCTGAAGCGTCTGTAACCTGAAGCGTCTGTAACCCGAGGTACCACTGTACTGGGTGAGAAAACCTCCCAATACCCAGCTGCTCTTCTAATGAGTGTGTTTGGGGCTGTGTACCAGATTATAGATTTTTAGTAACGTGGGAAAACATTCATCATGTTCCCCATTTTTGAGGAAGAGAGGTACAAAACGTCGCTCTGGCAGATTGTCCCAGTTATCAGGCTGCCTTTGACTACGTGTCAGCTTTCTAGGTCACATGAAAATACCTTAACAACTACAGTATATAATATCCTCCATCAGTCAGTTGCCAGTATCTTTATATTACTCGGGGAGATTTGCCTTCTTCAAACGTCCCTCGCTGCCACTGACACCCCTCCCCAAAAGTAGTTATTATGATCCCCAAATGTTAGCTGCCTTCGTTTATATTGATGTCTAAGACGATCTTTACTAATCGTTCAATGTTACTTCAAAATGTGGGGTTTTAATTGTGGTTTAATTGTGTATTTGTGACATTTTAAAAATGATGCAATCTGCTTAGAGACTTCTTTGAAGTACAAAGGTATATTTATAAATCACCTGGATAAATAAACAAATAAATGCTCTGGCAGGAGCCTTTTAAGAACAAAAACTAGCCTAGCCTTCCAGCCCATGTGTGGCCTGGCTTGTTCTGTGATGGAATGCTGGGCTGTCCTATGAGATAAAATCCATGCTCTTGTTTCATGATGAGATATATATAAAAAATCCCATGTTTAAAGTTTCCTGGAGATCTGTAAAGTACGAGATATCAGTTTTCTAGGTGGCCTAGAATTACCTCAAACATCTCGGAATACACTGCTTGCCCTTTGTTTCTGAGGAGAGATTCGGCAGAGCTTTGCCTTTCAGATTTGTCTAAATATTTACCAAATGTCAGCTTTGTGAATTGTCCGGAAGTACCTTAACCATTTGGGCTACACATTTGAGTCCCTCCTTTTACCAATTATTGATGAAGATGAGTCTGTAGAAATCCAGATCTGTTAACAACAGCCACCCATTATAATACAAAGGCTGTCTTCCTCCCCCTGCTGGAGGCAGACAGTATTGCTTCACAAGCCAACTGGCGGGACCAGCTTTTTCCATCTCCTTGAATGCCACACAAATATTTAACCAGCCCCGTTCCACCTGGTCCTCCAAGTTTGCTAATGTGGGAAGCTTCTGAATGAGAGAAGAAGAAAAAAAGGTCTTCTTTTCAACCAATCATTAAAAGCAAGCCTGAAAGGTATTTTTAACACAATAAATCTGTTCGCCTTTAAGGAGGGATTAGTGTTGTTTTTCTTCTTGCTGCCACCCATAAACACATGACTACCTTTCTGGAAGTCAATTTATACAAATGGGATCCACAACCATTCTCCATTCCTCTCCCCACTGCACCCCCCCAAGCCAGCCATTCAGTGTTGTGGGACCACTAATAATGTGCAGCCCTTACTGGTCTGATTTTGCCGGTGCTTTTATTATGGAGTGGGAAGTGGGTTACTTTTGGGGTTTCCCAAAGACTGCAGACAATCACCTGTATAAAACAGATGCCTGTTTTCCAATCATAGCTGAAATAATAAGCCAACCATCTCTTGCTCAGTTCTTGCTTAAGCTGGCATTCTCAGACTTTGGGGGTTCAAGCTCCCCCTTTGAGTGCATACTGACCGGCTCCCCTAATCCCAGCCCCAAACCATCTATTCCAGAGGTGAGGGTGCAGGGACTCTTGCACCCAGTCGTGTGCTTCCAGCCTACCGAGGCTTGTGGGTTGAACCAGATGACCTTTGGAGTCCCTTTACAATTCTCTGATTCTAGGACTGGCGTTAAAAAAGGACTAGCAAAATATACCCCACATATTTAAACCATGCTCTGGAAAGTCACTATCAGAAAGCAGCAGCTCACTCTCAGCTCCCTAGATGCAGTGGGGAGTGTGTTGCACCCACAAGGCCAATGGGATCAACTAGGGTTCCTATGCTGGGGGTGGGGGCATTCAACCCTACAAGGGCGAGGCTAAGGGGGGGGAATGAAGGCTCCACCTGCCTCAAGGATCCTATCATCCCCTGGAATGTCGCAAACACGCTGTCCCAAGAACTCTGTGCCCTGGAACTTGCTGGTGTTAATTTCTGCACTAGGTACCCTTTAAGCTAGTATTATTTTTTTTAATCATTTATTTATATCCCGCATATTTCACCAAGGAGCTCAAGATGGTCTACATGGTTCTCTCCCCCTCATTTAATCCCCACAACGGCCCTGTGAGGTAGGCTGGCCTAAGGTCACCCTGTAAACTACATGGCTGAAGCAAGTTCACAAGAGGGGAGAGAATGGCTCTTGCGCTCGAATCCTGGCCACTGTGAGAACAGGATGCTGGACTGAATGGTCCATTGGCCTCATCCAGCAGGCTCTTGTGGTCCATTTTTGCCTGCATTTTCTACAACGCAAATATTTCTGTTTTAAAACAATGGCAAGCCAAGGTCCCCTAAGGCAGGGACAGGGAACTCTTGGTTCTCCTAAGCATGTTAGGTTTTAGCTCCCATCAGTCCCAGCCAGCGGAGCAAATGGTCAAGGATGATAGGAGTTGTAGTCTTAACAGGCTCCATGTCCTTGTTCCAAAAGATGGGTCCTGGTGCTTTAGTACTAAACCCTGAACGTCCACAGGGAGGCTGAGCCTCCATCATTTTTTAGGTGGATTGGTGCCAGTACAGCTTCTACCACTGGGCTCTGCCTGGACCTACGTCTATAAACAAGAGCAACAGACTCCCCCTGCTTGTGGCAGGAGAATAAGAGGCTGGTTTGGGATGCCTCGGACTCAAAGTGCAAACCTCAAGCCACCTCTGCAGCTCATGAGCCTTCTTTGCCAACTCCACCCCTAGACATCGCATTAAGCCTGTCAGTTTACGCGGTTGTGTTTGTGTGTTCTCTTTTCTTTGCACTCAAATTTCTCCACCATCTTTCCACTTAAGAGACTGCTGGCTTTGCTCTACAGACCAATTTGATCATGTGGCTTGGAAATTGGTGTTTTAAGAAACAAAACCCCCAGCTCCTACAAGGGAATAATTAGGCAAATTGACGCCTTCCTGAACTTGCACCGCTGTTTCTTCTCCAATTGTTCTTCAGAGGGTGTTTGTTTGCTTTGCAATCGCGGGGTGGAGGCGCAGCTCGGGGACGCTGAGTCAACTCTGCGCTGGATGGATCCCCCCCCCCTCCAGCAGCCAGCTGGGGGCATAGTGAGCTCACACCCACAGAAAAGCTGAATCATACGATTGCTTGAAATGGATCTTTGCTTCCCCTCAGCTCACTCTCAAATCCCTCTCTCTTTTCTTGGCCCCCTCCCTTGCCAAAAGTGAGCTACAAATCAACTAGAACGATAGGTACAAATCAACCAGATCGAAGTCCTGGACTCAGCAACTGCACAGGGAAAGTTCATACAGCAGGGCCTGCCAAGCTCCTGTCCTATGTTGCAAAGAGAACGTCAGCAATGTATAGGCAGCGTGGTGGGAGGATATAGAATTGCTTCATAAACCCACCTTATTTTGAATGAATGTATGTAAATGAAAATATCAAATGCTGTGGAACAGTGCTCGTGTAATAACGTAGTCACTGCAGTAACTACATTATTACATGAGCACTGTTCCACAGCATTTGATATTTTCATACATTCATTCTATATCCTCCCACTATGCTGACGAAGAATTCTACAAAACAGTAGTCTATATCCGGAATCACTGTTTCAGTGTTGGACATCATATTTGCTGAATACACAAAGCTTCACAGCTTGTCTTTCATCGTACAAAGTCTGATACCTCGCTTCCTTTAAAGATTTTCAGAGACTTTGAGACTAAAGATTTCATTTTGGACTTGTTATGGTTTGACGTTATTCTATAAAAGAGTGTTTATTGAGCGTGTACATGTCATCGTGTTGCCTATACACTGCTGAGGCTCCTGCCCTAGTCGGGCCCCCCACCTGTCCTCTGGGAGCCCTGGTGCTTTGGCCCACAAAAACTAAGGAGAAAGGCCAGGCCCTTTGCTCCTTAAGAAGCTTGTAGACAAGGAGCCACCCACCAGCCAGCAGCTGGCCAGGAGTGTCTGAATTCTGGTCATTCCAGCAATTGCTGGACTACCAAGGAGAGCAGGAGTGGTGTAGTGGTTAGTTTGCTCGACTGGGAGACCAGGGTTCAAATCCCCACTCAGCCTTGAAACCCACAGGGCAGCCTTGGGTGCCAGTCACAGCCTCTCTGCCTAGCCTACCTCACAGGGTTGTTGTGAGAATTAAATGGGGCCCGAGTGAATCCGAGAAAGTGCTGAATTGGCATCCCCAAACTAAGCCTTATGAGCTGCATATGTTTAGCATGGGAAAGAGGAGACTGACAGAAGATCTGATATGTTCAAGTATCTCAAGGAAGATGGAGCAAGCTTGTTTCCTTCTCTACACCCCTCCGCCTCCCAAAGTTCTGCTGCTTCGTTCTTGCTTTCCAAAGATAAGGACCCTCCCCTCAGATACTCCTGTCTGCCCTTCCTCCCCCCTTTGCTTCGACTCCAGCGGTGTTTAGATTAAAGAGACAAGGCAGGCTCTGAAAGATTCATCAATTTATCAATAAGCCTTGATTCCACATTTGCTCAGTGAAGCTCTGCCAGCGCTCGGCTCATGCCCAGAGGAGAGCAAACGCATCAGTCCAAACAGCCAGTACAGAAAGACTAAGACAAGCTGAAGGACTGTTGCTAATCCACCAGGAGCTTGATGTGAATAATCCGCGGGGTGGGAGACGCCAGCCCAGGAAGGCAAGTCCTCACCAGCAAGACATCAGCCAGTTGAACAACACAATGGGATGCTCACCCAGAACTTGTCTGACTCTCTGCCTCAAGTGCTTCTGCACTTGAAACGGGAAACAGATCCAAGTAATTCCAGGATGAGCAAGGGGACCACTGGCAGACCGTGACTGAGCAACAGCCTGCTGCTCAGGGATTGGGTCAACTCAATGGGGAAAGGAATTGCCCTGAGCTCCCAGGTGCAGGACTGCAACCGTAAGGGATTAGAGCTAGAGTACAGTTGGCACATTTCACCTACAGCTGCCAGCCTGCTTTTAGCAGACCCCTGCTTGCCCCGTTCCCACCTTGGCTACCTGTGGGATGATTGTCTAGGCTAAGGCAGCTAAAATGAGGCTGGTGCAACACTGAAAACCTTCCTACCCAAACGTGAGGCCAGGTCAGTCATCCCCACAGATCCTGCAGCTGCAGCAGAAGTCCCGTTGCAGAGGCCGTGACATTACACCAAGCAAGTAAATACTCCTGTGTCCTGCTTGCTAACAGAGGGAGGTGTTCCATAAAAACAAAACTCTACTATGAAATCTAAATCCGGCTTACAGTACAGCACAAGAACAAGTGGTTCTTCCAGCAAGTTTTTCTAAAATGTGTTGCCTTTAACCCACTGCGACCCTTTTTCCTTGGGGGCCGGGGAGGTCAAAGCAGGGAGAGATGGTAGTCAGCTGGGCTCAGAGAGGTTGCCTCAGAGTGGAGCGTGGCCCAGATTCCAAGAAGCTGAAGTTGGGGATGAAGATCCTCACCCGCTGCTGAATCTGCAAGGTCCTCCTCCTGTCTCCTGCGGCAACTTGGCACATGGGCAGGAGAGGTCCAAGTAGCTCAGGGGCTCCTTCCATGCCCCTGGGCAGAAAGTGCAATGGATCAACACAGCTTGCAGCTCCTTCCCAGCCTAGGAGTGCCGAGATGATGACCTAACTATTGCAATATCATCTTTGGACACACCTCTTAGGAACAATAATTTTTGGGCGGTGGAGGAGAATGTGCATCCAGCTCAAGAGGTGGAGTTTGCACGCCTACATCACTAAAGGACACCCTCGCTTTCCATGCAATCGCACGCCTGTTCTCTTAACTTTCGCAGGCTCTCCTGGGGGCACCTAGTGGGACACTTTCAACATCACCCAAAGCTGTGCCCTCAGGCTTGATAGAGGGGGACCACCCGGTCTATGGGGCTCCTGCAGATGGGGCAGGTGCGGCTGGGGAAGGCCTGGAAGCAGCGGAAGCAGCAGCAGACGTGCCCACAGGGGAGCAGGACGCACTCGCGGAGGCTGGTGAGGCAGATGACACAGGCATTCTCAGGTGGTTCTTCTGACAGATCCAGACCGGCACTCTGGTGGCGCCGGAGGTTCTCAAACTCCTGCCGCTGCGCCTCCTGCTCCTGGTGCACCTTGTGACGGTGGTAAGCTCGGCAAAGGGCACGGAGGATGACAGCCGCAGCCGCCAAGCCGCACAGCAGCGAAGCCCACTTCCAGAAGCTGCTGACTGAGCGCAGGTCAGCCAGGATGGTTTCCCAGTCCCCCAGGCGCAGGAAGTAGCCGGTGCCGTCCGCTGGGGGCTGGAGGTGGAGGGAGCCGTCCCGGTGCAGGGTGAGCTCACCGATGCCAGTGAGACTGCTCCCCACCAGGAGCATCTCTTCTGTCTCCAGGAAGCCCTTGGGCTTCTCCCCGCTCAGGTAGTGGCTGAGCAAGTCCTTGAAGCCGTGCGAGGTCTGCTGGAAGCGCTCGTACACCGTCTCCACGGGCAGCTCGACGGCATGGAGGGGCGACTCCACGCACACCTGCCCCGAGGCCTTGCCGCTGGGGGACGCCAGGACGAACGGCACCGTGTGGACTTGCTCCAGTACCACCCGCTCGCTGTCCGTCCTGCAACGAGGTAGAGAGCTCTGAGGAGAGGGGCTGGGGCAGGGCGGCCGAGGAAGCAGCTTTTGGAGCTGTCTGAAATCTCCCCCAAACAGCACTGACCACCAGGGGCATTCATGCTGCAACACTTCTGCTGGAATGCAAGGCTGCACTGATCTAACCGTTTCTCGTCTGGCACATTCTAGCCTGCTCCACCCCGAGGATTAGGCAGGGCTGCAACCTACAGGCAATGGGCATCCGTATGAAAACCAGACTCCCCATGAGCTGCAGCCACCAAAACCTTGTGATTTCTACATTGCCGAAAGGGAACGAATTCTGCACCAAGAATAATTTAAATCTGTAAGGTGCCTTGGTGGTGTAAACAAAGTATGTTTGCACCTGCGTCCTTAGTCATTTTTTCTTTGCAAGTTATGGGGAGGCGGCATAAATAAAGGACACTTTATTCAGGACACTAAATAAAGCCTTGCTCACTAGAAATATGGCCACCAAATGATGCTCAATTGACTGTAAGGACATTTACACAGCCAAAAGGGCTATATTTTCCTTTTCTTTTTAAAAGCAGAGATTCTTAGGACACTGAGCTGTGGTACCTGGCATCCTACTCGGAAGGGTTTTATGTTCCCGTCCACTGATAAAGATATACCTCTAGCCCTACCAAAAGCCAAATAGGGTCTTGCAGAATTTCTAGAAAAATGTTTAAAAGAAGGGCTGGGGGATCTTTTTGGGCTTTAAAGGCCAACTTTGGCAGGTGGGTGGATCAGCCCACCTGTCAATCACATATTATCATGATGTCACATGATTGACAGGTTGGTTGTCCCGTCCTCCTGCCAACATCCCTTGTGCGGCATTCCCAAGCACTGAGGAATCTACTCCTGCCTTGATAGGCCAGCACACGTCCCACCTAAGAAAGGACCACAGCTCTACAGCAGAGCATCAGGTCAAAGGGTTCAACGCGCAGCATATCTAGGCAGGGCTGGGAAAAGCCCTCTCTGCCTGAAACCCCTGAGAGCCTCTGCCAGCTAGAGCAGGCAGCCGATGAATCAATGGTCTGACTCTGGGTAAGGCAGCTTCCTATGTACCCCCAATGCTCTCCTTGGGCAGCCTGATCTACAGCACATGCCAGCCAATGGGGCTGCCTCAAAAGAAGCTGCTTCCAAGGCTCTTCTCTTGCTTACCAGCTGCGGGCCAAGCTATTCCAGATCAGTCGGTGCTCCTTTAGCACAAGCCTCTCGATCACCCCCTGCAGTTCTTCATGGTATGGGCTGGTCAGAGCCGTCTCGACGGGCTGGACTACTCCTAAAGAAGGAGAGAAGGAGACGGGGGTCCGGGAAAGAAAGGGCAGGGTGTTCGATGCAGAGTCTGAGTCTGGCTATCAGTTTGGTATCACCAGCACTGCCCAGCAGCGCCTCTCCAGGGTTTCGGAGAGGAGACAATTCCCATTTTGAACTGGAGATGCCAGGGATTGAACCGGAGACCTTCCGCATGAAAAGCAGGCGCTCTACTTTTATTGCAACATCGTTTTTGGACGTGACTCAAAGCAACAACATATTGGGCAGGGGAGAATGTGTAATCCAGCTCACTAACCCCAAGAGAAGGAGATTGCATCCCTCCATCGTTAAAGTACAGCCTCACTCTCCAAGTGATTTACAGGTGTTTAAGAACCACCCCATTCCGACCCACTTAGATGGAACCCAAGAAATGAAACAGGCACTGAGAGAAGATGAAAGAATCAGAGAATTGTAGCACTGGAAAGGACCACAAGGGTCCTTGCAACGCAGGACTCTTTTGCCCAACGAAGGGCTTGAACCCATGACCCTGAAATTAAGCATCTCATGTTCTACCAACTGGATCAAGATTCCAGGCAATGCATATAGTAAGCCTGGGACTTCAAACAGAGACGCGCCATTCAGTTCTCCCTCTCTCTCATTTACAAAAATTTCTCTGCCTGGTCTCCTGGAGGCAATTCCTGCTCACCACAGCTGACCATTTACAAACCTGCAATAAATCCCAACAGCAGAGATTTGCTGTTTCTCCTGGCAGAATTTGTGCAAAGAACTCTGAATGCAATAGAAAAGGGCTGAGGTGCTCTGATGTGGCCCTGATGGCTTCCAAAGCCAGGCAAAATAACCTCAGGGGCCCCTTACCTTCAACGGCAACATAGCCTAGGCAGCTGCTTCCTGTGGCAGAGAGGATGCTGGGAAGACTGTCATTGACTTGAAGCTTTGGCGCTTCCTGCATGGAAGAAGAAAAACGAGTAAGGGTTTAAATGGAAGAAGCAGTATAAGAAAAAACGTTAAGTCCCGAGTTCAAATCTAAGTTCTTTCCTGAGCTTCCGATTCAACCATTCTAGTCAATTCTCTATGTCATAAGAACTGTATATCTTATGTTGATCGGTTTTCTTGTGCAACGAGCCTCTAGGTGAGAGATGATCCAATATAGAGCAAACGTTAAAATATAGCAAGACACCAGCGGATTGCAAACATTTCAAAATAACACAGCTAATTGGCAAGGGAGGAAAAAGGATCTGCACCAGTGCAATAATATCAAAGCTAAAAACCCAAATGCAAGCTAAAGCTAAACACCATCAAATTATACGGAGGCTGAAACTGGCAATGTTATAAATGTTAAAAGGGCCAGAAAGAATCCAAGCCCCCACCATCCTCCATGTTAGAGTGAGATGGATTGACATGGGGGTGCCCCTCCACCCACCTCTGCCAGCGGAAGAGCTCTGCCATGGCAGGAAGCCTTGTCACCAAGGGCCCTGCTGCCCCAGTGCACCCGCCTAAATGGCAAACGAGCAGAAAGTGCAAACAGCTGCCTGTAACCAGTGGAAACCCCTGGAATAGGATGTGACGACGCCAGTACAGGGTCCCTAGTGTCCTGTGTGAACTCAGATGCTGTCACACAGTGGCAATGTGCCTGCACCAGTCCTCTTTGTTACACCAGCCTGGGAGTTGGCACAACACCTCCACTGTACAGCCCAGACACTGAGGTCCAGCTCTGAGGGCCTTCTGGCAGTTCCCTCACTGCGAGAAGCCAAGTTACAGGGAACCAGGCAGAGGGCATTCTCGGCAGTGATGCCCACCCATCAGATGTCAAGGAAATAAACAACTATTTGACTTTTAGAAAACATCTCAAGGTAGCCCCATATAGGGAAGTTTTTAATGTTTGATGTTTTATTACACCTTTATATTTTGCTGGAAGCCGCCCAGAGTGGCTGGGGCAACTCAGTCAGATGGCTGGCATATAAATAGTAAAATGATGATGATGATGATATAAAAAGGGGCATTTATCCACCCCCACTCTTCTGCTCTGGCCAGGGTGAGCCACAGGACTGCAGGTGTGGTGCTGCCTGTGCTATTTTAATTTTAATTTATTTTAATTATTTTAGGGATGCATTTTAATCAATTGATTGCTTGTTTTTATGCATATTGTATTATTTATAGGATGTTAGCTGCTCTGAGCCTGGCTCCGGCCGGGTAGGGTGGGGTACAAATAAAATTTCATTATTATTATTATTATTATTACTCCATCAAGGGGTCAGGATTGCAGCCTTGAAAGGTCTCCGTCCAGGACCAAAATGACATTAAAGTAGGTATCAGGAGAGCCTCTTTAGAGACAGAGTTCCATAAATAGGGGGCCAGCACCGACAAGGCCATCTCTCTCATTGCCACCCTGTGTGCTTCAGAATTAGGTGGCAATCAGAAGAGGGTCTCCACAGATGGTCTCAGAGCAGAGGTAGCTACATAAGCAAACAGATGTCCCATTAGGGACAGGGGTCCCAAACCATGTAGGGCTTTAATAGTTAAAAGCAGCACATTGATTTGGTGCTGTGCGGCTTGGGAACTAATGGACGATCTCTCTCCGTACATTCCTCCCTATGCCCCAAGGTCATCAACGGCAGGGATGGGGAGCCTACGGTCCTCCAGAAGTTGCTGGACTACAACTCTCATCGTTCCTGACAACTGGTCACGTGGGCTGGAGGTTATGGGAGCTGGAGTCTAACAAGATCTGGAGTGCCACAGGCTCTCTAACCCTGATCTATGCAGATTTTTCTGCGAGTGCCACCTTAAAAGCTGCCCAATTCACACTTCAAAACTTCTCTGCTAAATTTACACTTCAAAGCTACCCTGCTGGTTTAGGCCAAAAGCCCATCTAGCCAAGCATTCAGTTTCCAGCAACACCCTGTAAGTTGCTTGGCAGAATTCTACCCCCGAACCCTTTCCGTGCCCATCCCAAAATCTCAGGGTAGTGAATTTCGCTCAGTTGGTGGAGCATGAGACTCTTAACCTCATAGTTGTGGGTTTGAGCCCCACGTTGGGCAAAAGATTCCCATATATGAAGACTAGATGATCCTCATGGTCCGTTCCAACTCTACACTTCTATGCTGTGCAAAGGGATGCTATCTTGTGTCTGCCCTGAAGTGACAACCATTGGGAAACCCTTCTAACTACCCTGGGTTCTAGCACTCCACTCCCTTGAACTCCAGCTACAATATGTGGATAAATACCAGACTATCATATAGTACTATCGTAAAGATGATTGAAGCAACATAGGAAATGCTTTGAATACTTGAGACAAGCTGTATAGATGCTAAATATCACTCTGATCTGTTCTCCCAAGAGCAAGGAAGAAGCAGGATGTGCAACAGCGTACCTGGATCTTGGTCACCACCTTGGCTTTCTTCCTGTGTAGGTAATAAAAGAGACCAGAGAAAGCCAGGCTGGATCCTAAACACACCAGCTCTCCTGGTGTCAAAGGCAAAGTATCCATCAGAGCTTCTTCCTGATAGCTGGAAGAGAAGTGAAATCAGATACCGAGTTACACAGGAACAAGGCAACGCCGCTCTCACCTAGAGTGATTCTTGGACATGGAAGTGTCCAGAAACACAGAGAACAAGCACTGTCTTCTACAGTTACCAGACGACTGGCCCATGTAGCTCAGTGCTGTCTATACTGACTTGGAGAGACCCAAGATCAAACATGGGACTTTCCCCCTCTATGCTAAGTCTGCCTAGCCCTTTATAGATCTGTAAAATCACTTAAATTATCTGGGGAAATTCCACTCACGGCACCACTATACCATGAAATGCCCTTCCCTCTGTAATACATGAAAATTGGACCCACAAGATCAGGTGCTGTTTTTATTCTCTCGAACATCCACTTTCGTTTTTAGACGGTTCCTTTACTGTGGCTGTTTTTAGTGGTTTCTATTTTTTGTTGTTGTTCTCATGATATTGCCTATCACTTTTATGTTGTACACACTGCTTGGAGATTTTTAAAGCAGTTTGCAAGCACAAATAAATAAATAAATAAATAAATAAAAGCACTGCAAAACTTGCTGACATGCCGCCCTCCGCTTTATGCAGAAAGCTGGTCACATGACAAGGGAGGATCACCCAGGCCGAGATACCGCTTTATCAAGTCTGAGCAAGGAAGAAGGCAGTGCCAGACAGATTTTTCTGCAGAGCTTTGCTTGGTGTCCTATGCTCCACTCAGAGTTCCCTTCAGTTGTCCTGCTGCTATCAAGGACACCCAAAGGGCAGCCTCTCCAGGATGAAAGCAGGATTTCTGGGAGGTGGACAGGAATGAGAAGTTCAGCACTACTGGTTCAACACTTCCGTCTTTACTCCGCAAAACCACCTTAGACTGGTGACCTGCATTTTGTTCATGAGCCATATAAGACACCTTGGATTGCATTCCTCAAAGTTCAACTCGGAGCAGAAATGAATGAACCTACACAATGGTTAGAATGTGGAGTTACCCTGGGAGGGACCAGAGTTCAAATTCCCCACTCAGCCACCAAGTTCCCTGGGCTAGTCATTGTCTCTCAACCTAGCCTACCTCACAGGGCTGTTGTGAGGACGAACCAGAAGGAGGACAACCAAGGACGCCACCTTGACCCCCCTGGGGGGGGAAGGTGGGATATAATTGTAAAATAAATAACCTGGCTGCTGACTTCAAAGGGTCTACCCAGCAGGGCTGGCCTTGACGTGTGGAATGCAGAAACCGCTGCACCAGGAAACTACTTGCCCGGCGACCTGACAGCCTGTCCGCCTAAGGAACCCACCTCGCAGGGTTGTGGGGGGGGGGTGAAAGGGAAACCAGACAGGTGGGGTACAAAGGCGACGTCGACATGCAGGTGCAGGTACCCGACGGGTCTCGGGCCCACCTACCTCCTGGCGCGAGAGCAGTCACCTCCATCTCCGCGGACCTCTTTCCCAGCGGAACCAAGCAACGCGCATCAGATCCCCGGCCGAGCTGCCCAGTGCGTTACACCCACGCTGCTCCGCCCCTCGCCGCGGTGGCACACGGGAAGCGAAGTCCAGCGGGCCGCGCGCCCTGGTGGCGACGCGGCGAGCGCCTCCTGCGACAGAGACTACGACTCCCGGCATGCTCTGCATCGCCCAATGGAAGGCATCGGCGTACGCTGAGTATGTTCTGATTCGCTCCGAAGTTCCCTGGGACTACAAATCCCATCAGGCGTAGCGGCGAGCTCAGCTGGTCTGTTCAGCAAGTATTTAAATAGCTTTGACAGCGATTTGGAGGCGTGGAAATGGACGAGGGCGACGGGAAGGTTATTTTTTACCTTGCCCGGAGTTTACCCCGAACTTGCACTGTGGTCTGGCAGAGGAGTTTGTTGCATTTAATTAGCCTTCACTGTGCCCCTTTCGCACCTGCTAGAAACATTCCTGCTTAGAAAATTGAGGTGGTTTTGATCTGCTTTAGCATTTCAATGTTTTGTATGTTTTTAAAGTACGCCTGCAATCCCCTCCTTGTATTTTCTTGTCCTTTCTTTTTTGTAAGCCGCTCTGAGGTGCTTTTTTAAAAATGTACTGTCAAGCTGTGTATAAATTTTATAAAATAAATAAAAACAAATAATAAATTAAAGTACTGTTAAAGCCATTCATATTCCGGTTTGATGTCATGCCCCCTCTTATTCTAGGCTGCATCAACAGAAGTGTTGTGTCCAGGTTAAGGGGTCCCTTCCAACTATGATTCTATCTAGTTGAAATTAATGCTTCTAGTGTTCCTCTATTCTGCCTTGGCCACAGCCAGCCTGGAGTTCTGTGGCCAGTTCCGGGCACCCCAGTTCAAGAAGGATGTTGACAAGCTGGAAGGTGTGCAGAGGAGGATGACCAAGATGATCAAGGGTCTGGAAACCAAGCCTGACGAGGAACAGTTGAAGGAGCTGGGTATGTTTAGCCCGGAAAAGAGGAGACTGAGAGGTGACTTGATAGCCTTCTTCAAATATGTGAAGGGCTGCCATATGGAAAATGCAACAAGCTTGCTTAATGCTGCTCCAAAGGGTAGGACCCAAACCATTGGATTTGAATGACAAGAAAGGAAATTCTGACTAAACATTAGAAAGACCTTTCTGACTGTAAGAGCTGTGGTGGACTGTCCTTCATTGGAGGCTTTTAAACAGAGGTTAGATGGCCACCTGTCAGAGATTCTTTAGTTGTGATTCCTGCCTTGCAGGACCCCTTAAAACTCTACAATTCTATGATTCTACAGTGGTGCCCCGCAAGACGAACGCCTCGCAAGACGAAAAACTCGCAAGACGAAAGGTTTTTTCGTTTTCGAGTTGCTTCGCAAGACGAATTTCCCTATGGGCTTGCTTCGCAAGACGAAAACGTCTTGCAAGTTTGTTTCCTTTTTCGTAAAACCGTTAAAACCCAGGGTGCATTGCTGGAAGAGGTGCAGTTGCGACTTGACCTCGAGGAGCAACACATTGCACGCGGTGTGGTGGCCTTTCTGAGCTTTTTAAAGAGTTTGCTGGATTTTTGAAGCTGCAAACTTCTTTTGCAGCTGTTTGGTAAGTTAAACTTTTAAAACTTTTTTGGGGGTTTTTGGATTTTGGGTTGGGGTGTTTAGAATTCAAGGACTTGGTGTTGGGGAGGGGTTTGCAAGAATCTGGGAGCTTGTGTGGTTTTTTCTGCATTTTTATGATTTTCTGTGACCATTGGGCCATGTTTATTTTTTAAAAAAAAAATCTGGGTTTGAATTTTTGAATTTCTGTGTGCTGGGTGGATGGGGGAACAGCTGGGGAGGGGTTTGCAAGAATCTGGGAGCTTGTGTGTTTTGTTCTGCATTTTTATGATTTTCTGTGACCATTGGGCCATGTTTATTTTTTTAAAAAAAAAAAATCTGGGTTTTGAATTTTTGAATTTCTGTGTGCTGGGTGGATGGGGGAACAGCTGGGGAGGGGTTTGCAAGAATCTGGGAGCTTGTGTGTTTTTTTCTGCATTTTTATGATTTTCTGTGACCATTGGGCCATGTTGTTGTTTTTTGAAAAATTTTCTGGGTTTTGAATTTCTGTGTGCTGGGTGGCTGGGGGAACAGCTGGGGAGGGGTTTGCAGGAATCTGGGAGCTTGTGTGGTTTTGTTTTTTTTAATTTTTATGGTTTTCTGTGACCATTGGGCCATGTTTTTTTTTTTGAAAAATTTTCTGGGTTTTGAATTTCTGTGTGCTGGGTGGCTGGGGGAACAGCTGGGGAGGGGTTTGCAGGAATCTGGGAGCTTGTGTGGGTTTTTTTTTTTTTTGAATTTTTATGATTTTCTGTGACCATTGGGCCATGTTGTTTTTTTTTGAAAAATTTTCTGGGTTTTGAATTTCTGTGTGCTGGGTGGCTGGGGGAACAGTTGAGGAGGGGTTTGCAACAGTTGGGGAGGGGTTTGCAACAGTTGGGGAGGGGCTGGGGAACAGTTGAGGTTTTTGAAGACTTTGGTGATTTTTAAAGCTTTCCCAAAACTTCTTTTGCAGCCATTTGAGGATTTTGAAGACTTTGGTGATTTGCAGCCATTTCGTAAGTTAAACTTTTAAAACTTTTTTGGGGTTTTTGGATTTTGGGTTGGGTGTTTGGAATTCAAAGACTTGGTTCTGGGTTTGAATTGCTGATTTATTTATTTTTTCTGAGTTTACAAAGGTAACAGCTGTGCTGCCATGGGACCCAAGAAGACTGCTGCTGCTGCGGAGGCCGGCGAGAGGAAGAAGGAGAAGGTGACGCTGGAGATGAAGAAGGAGATCATCCGGAAGCACGACGGTGGAATGCGTGTGACGGACCTCGCCAGGGAGTACGGCAGGAACCCATCGACCATCGGGACCATCCTGAAGATGAGGGAGAAGATCCTTGCGACTGATGCAGCCAAGGGAGTCACCAGGATCGTGAAGAACCGCCCAGCTGTTCTGGAGGAGGTCGAGAAGTTGCTGCTCATCTGGTTAGAAGAGAAGCAGCGTGCAGGGGACACAGTGACTGAGGCCGTCATTTGTGAGAAGGCCAAGGCCTTGCACGCAGACCTCATCCGGGAACAGCCAGGAACCTCGGCCGAGCCAGAAGTCTTCAAGGCAAGCAGAGGCTGGTTTGACCGGTTCAAGGCAAGATCTGGAATCCACAGCGTGGTCAGGCATGGAGAGGCTGCCAGTTCTGATGTTCCTGCGGCTGAAGACTTTGCCTTGGAGTTCCTGGAGGTTGTGAAGACGGAGGGCTACGTTCCACAGCAGGTCTTCAACTGCGACGAGACCGGGCTGTTTTGGAAGAGGATGCCCAAAAGGACTTTCCTCACACAGGAGGAGGCCAAGTTGCCTGGCCACAAGCCCATGAAGGACCGTCTGACCCTGCTCTTCTGTGCCAACGCAAGCGGCGACCTGAAGATCAAGCCCCTGCTGGTGTACCACTCGGAGAACCCACGGGCCTTCAAGAAACACAAGGTCGACAAGGAGCGGCTGAGTGTCATGTGGCGATCCAACAGCAAGGCTTGGGTCACACGTGTGCTGTTTGTGGACTGGGTCAATCTTGCTTTTGGCCCTGCTGTCAAACAGTACCTGCTGGACAACGACCTGCCGCTGAAGGCTTTGCTTCTGATGGACAATGCTCCTGCTCATCCTAAAGGCCTTGAGGTGGACTTGTTGGAGGAGTTCAGCTTCATCAACATCATGTTCCTGCCGCCTAACACCACGCCACTGCTCCAGCCGATGGATCAGCAGGTCATCGCCAATTTCAAGAAACTCTACACCAAGGAGCTTTTCAGGCGATGCTTCGAGGTGACTGATTGCACCACCATCACCCTGCGGGAATTCTGGAAGGACCACTTCGACATCGTCACCTGCTTGAAGATGATCACCACGGCCTGGAACGGGATCAGCCAGAGAAATTTGAATTGCGCTTGGCGCAGCCTGTGGCCGGACTGTGTGGCACCAAGTGACTCTGATGCACCAGAGTCAACAGTGGTGCAGGACATTGTTGCCTTGGGGAGGACCATGGGCCTGGAGGTCACAGAGGAGGACGTCTGCGAGCTGGTGGAGGAGCACGACCACGAGCTGACCACCCAGGAGCTGGTTGAACTGCAGTCAGAGGTTGCGCAGGAGCAGGCCTCGCTGGAAGAGGAGGAAGCAACTGAGGAACGGCCGTCCTCCAAAGAACTGAGGGACATTTGCCAGAAGTGGAAGGAGGTGCAGGCTTTTGCAGAGCGGCACCACCCTATCAAGCACGTGGCACATGACCAAGCGAACACTTTTGATACGACGGTCATGTTGCCTCTCAGGGAGCTGCTGAAAAGGCGGATGAAGCAGCAGACCATGGACAGGTTCCTCAGCAAGAAGCAAAGAGTGGAAGAGGAACCTTCTTCGAGTGGTCCCCCAGAGTCTTAGAAAATGTAATGTACCCTTTTTTGATTTTTAAATGTTTTTCCTGTCGTGTTTAGAAACTTAATTTATTGTTCCTTCAGTTCTTGATATGCTCTTTAAAGTATGTGTGACTTTAAAGAGCAGTTAATAAACTCTTGTTGTACCAAATTTGGCTTTGTTTGGACTTTTTTTGACCATAGGAACGCATTAATTGAATTTCAATGCATTCCTATGGGAAACCGTGCTTCGCAAGACGAAAAATTCGCTAGACGAAAAAACTCGCGGAACGAATTAATTTCGTCTTGCGAGGCACCACTGTATGTACTCTGGAAAAGAAACATACCTAATAATTATTATAAGTAAAATAACACAATATGGGTCTGAAGCTGCATGCAGCCTACTGGTGCCATTAAACCCTACACACAAAACTTGTAATGTTATGTGAGGAAGGATCCAGATAGATAACTGCGGGATGCTGCAATCCCCCCCAACACACTCACCAGTGCAAAAATACCATTGAAGAGAGTGGGCATTTTCTGACCAAACGTGCATCGGGTATATGATGTCGCTGACTATCACCATTATCCCACCCTTTCCTGCCATTTTTTTTTTACCACAAAAATTCCTTCCTCCTCACTTTTTCGGGGGGAGCATGCTTGTTATTCAAGTGTATCACTTAAACGGTGCAACTTAAATTTGCCGGTATATGATTGACTCACAAACAGGGGCAGGCTGGAAAAGACCTAAGGCTCTACCTACCGTAGAGCAACGCCTACTGAGTATGGTCATAGCTCAGTGATAAAAGCATCTGCTTTGTGATACAGAAGGTCCCAGGTTTCCAGGGCTGGGAAAGGCTCTGGAGAGTCACTGCCAATCAGTGTGGGCAATATTGAGGCCGATTGTCTAGGGTATGCTCCTTATCCCGATTTCTAGCCTAAAAGCAGGAGGCTGTGTTTGCCGTTTCATGAACCTTTCTCCAGATTTCATTTTTCACCAGACATTATTCAGGACCACTTTGAAATAACCAAGCGGAAAGTGCTTTTAATAATTAAATACACCAACAGCATCCCCCCCTCCCCAACACACACACACACATACACACACACATTCTAATCCAAGGCACTATTCCCCACCAAACTCGATAGATGGGAAGCAAAAGTTTGGAAAACCTCTAAGCCAAGCTAGTTTCGGATCGGTAATGATCCTGGAAAAGGGGTGAAAGGAAACATCTCCGAAGTGATCTGGTGGGTCCCTCCCTCTCCCATCTCTCCTGGGATCAGTCTCTTTAACGCCCAGCTGCTGCGTGGATTCGTGTGCTTTCAACAAGGTGGTCTGGATCTGCCCAAGGGATCTGGCAGCAAGAGGGAGGGATTTCTCTTTGCGAAGGAGTGGGGTGCTTGGTAGGTGCAACACTAGCCAGAAAGAGGCTCATCATTCCACAGTGATTTGGGTGGGATTGTGCGCACGCATGGGTGGTGTGGCACCTCCCTTTGCTGCACAATACCAGCGAGATGGCGCCATAGCCCAGGCTAGCAAGAGAGGAAGGTGGCCAGAGGTTTGCTGCTGCTTTGGATATTTGACTTTGTAGGAAAATGGGAGAGCCACGTCCCTGAACTTGCTGTTGCGGCCAGGTGCCCATCCTATGGGAAAGGTAAAGGTACCCCTGACCGTTAGGTCCAGTCGCGGACGACTCTGGGGTTGCACGCTCATCTCGCTTTACTGGCTGAGGGAACCGGCGTTTGTCTGCAGACAGCTTCCAGGTCATGTGGCCAGCATGACTAAGCCGCTTCTGGTGAACCAGAGCAGCACACGGAAACGCCGTTTACCTTCCCGACGGAGTAGTACCTATTTACCTACTTGCACTTTGATGTGCTTTCGAACTGTTAGGTGGGCAGGAGCTGGGAACGAACAATGGGAGCCCACCCCGTCATGGGGATTCGAACCACCGACCTTCTGATCAGCAAGCCCTAGGCTCTGTGGTTTACACCACAGCACCACCCGCGTCCCCCATACTACAGTATAGGCATACAAATCCTAGCTACATTGCACACCCTTGCGCTGCATGGGAAAGCCACTGGCTGAAATGGCTATTTATTTGTGTGTTTAAAAAGAGAGAGAAAGCGACAATGAAGGATAGATCTGCTTTTAGTTAAGTGGGACCTCTCCCCATATGAACTGACCCAGACCCTCGGATCATCAACTGAGGCCCTTCTTCGTGTGCCTCCTCTGCAAAAGGTTCTGGAGAACGGCAACATGAGAACAGGCCTTTTCTGTGGTGGCTCCCCATTTGTGGAATGCTCTCCCCAGGGATCACCTAGCACCTTCATTATACAGTGGTACCTCAGTTCCCAAATGCCTCCGTTGTTGAATGTTTCGGTTATTGAACGCCAAAAACCCGGAAGTAAATGCTTCCGTTTTCGAACATTTTTCAGAACTCAAACATGCGACACAGCTTCCACTGAGTGCGAGAAGCTCTTGCAACCAATGGGAAGCTGCAACTCGGTTTTCGAATGTTTCAGAAGCCGAATGGTCTTCCGGAACGGATTGCTTGAGAACTGAGGTACCACTGTATATCTTTAGGTGCTGGGTGAAAGTGTTTCTCTATAACCAGGTTTGCAGCTGATTAAATGATCTTCAGCCTTTTAAATGTATTTTTTGTTGTGAGCCACCCTGGGGTCTTTGGCTGAAGGGCAATATACAGATATAATAATTTCCATGTTGAGCCAGTATACCTCAATGCCAGGAATGGGTTGCTGCCTTCATGATCTGCCTGTAAGCTCCCTAGCCTGCTAGAAACAGAACGCTATCCTGGATGAATCCTGCAGAGGTTGGATGGCCATCAATCATGGATGCTTTAGCTGAGATTCATGCATTGCAGGGGGTTGGACTAGATGACATCTGGGGGCCCCTTCCCACTCTACAATTCTCTGATTCTATGCTCTGATGCAGCCAAAATCTTCCGATGCACCACTCCCTGCTCAAGCTTCAAAGGCTCTTTTGCTATACCTGAAGCTTTCATAACTAGACCCACTATATGGTTGGGAATTCCTCGACTGAATCAGCATTACCGGCATCCAAAGAAAACCCCGCGGTATCTAGCTTGGAGGTCAAGAACCTGCAGCCATCCAGAGGTTGCTGAACGACAACACCCTCCATCACCCCAGACTGTTTGGCCCATGCAGGCTTGGGCAGGTGGGGGTCGGAGCCCAGCAGCACAAAGAGACCCACAACTTCCCCACTGCTAGTGGAAGCGCATTAGTAGACGGTGGTACCCTCCTTTGCCTGGCCACCCCAGGACCCCCCCCTTAAAAGTAGCAGTTTACGAAGACCAGGGGGTCCATCCTCTCTGCAGCTGCTGCAAGCGGTCGAGCAAAACAAAAGGGAGCGAGAAGCCAAAGGCATTGGGGCCAGCCTGGTGGGGTGTGGAGGAGGATCGGGGAGACGTTTCCTGGAGACGCTGGAGGCAGGAGAGTTATAGCTGAAGGAGGAGAGCTGGAGATCCTTCGCAGAATCCGCGGAAGATGGAGCAGGTGGTGGGGCGAGCTAAGAGAAGTGAAGCTGTGCTTTTGCACACCACCCCATGAAGCGGGCTTTGGGCGGGGGGGGGGGGGGGAGTTCACGTTAAGCTCACCTTTTTCCTAGGGCCATAAAGGGGACCAAAGCTGATGAGGCAAAACCGCCAGTAGCACCCCAAAAATGTGACTGCCACCTCCCCCCCCCATGGGCTGGGTTTTGAGCACAGGCAAGTTGTGTGTATGTACAGACTCCTGACAAGGGCAGCCTCTCTCTCTCTACCACACTTCGCAGTGCTTCCCAGGGTTCATGAGGGAGCCGACGGGGCATCCAAAGTGCTCTACAAAGTCCCGTGAGTTGCTGAGAGTGCCGATGACGCGGAACTTGTCCGGGCTGTGCGGGTCGGTCACCAGGCCCTCGTGCGAGCTCTCCGGGGTGCGCACCGAACACCAGACCTGCGCCAGGAAGGAGATGCTTGTTTATTTTATTAATTTGTTTCTTAGATTTATATCCCAACTCCACCCCCCAGGAGCTCCACCTGGCATACGTGGTTCTCTTCCTCCTTATTTAATCCCCACAACAACCCTGTGAGGTAGGTCAGGCTGAGGGGAAGTGACTGGCTCATGCTCACCCTGGGAGCTTCAGGGCCAAGTGGGGGAGCTGTTCGGCAGTGGAATGGTCTCCCTTGGGAGGTAGTGGACTCTCCTTCCTTGGAGGTCTTTTAGCAGAGGTTGGATGATCATCTGTCATGGATGCTTCAGCTGAGATTCCTGCATTGCAGCGGGTTGGACTAGATGACCCTCGGGGTCCCTTCCAACTCCACAATTCTATGAGTTTCAAGCAGCATCTTCATGTTGCCCTGTACAGGCCTTTGGCTCCGTACCCACCTGATCATTCTGTTGAATCTACGGCTGGTGCTGAACTGGGCTCCAGCAGTTCCCACTCAAGAGATGGAACTGGAGCAGAACATCGCTCTAAGGACCCTGTGAGCACCATGGTACAATGACAGGGCATTGCATGGCAACAGTCCCTCCAGCTCTCTGGAGGTTTCTCCAGGCTCTTTCTTGCCTCGCTGCTTGAAACCATTATTATTATTATTATTATTATTATTATTATTATTATTATTATTACTATTATTATTTTATTACATTTAAATTCCACCTTTCCTCCAAGGAACTCAGGGTGGTGCGCATCGTTCTCCCCCCCTCCCATTTTGTCCTCACAGCAACCCTGTGAGGTAGGTTAGGGCCAAAGGATAAGAAGACTCACAGAACTGCAGAGTTGCAAGGGACCCTGAGGATCATCTAGCCCAACCGCCTGCAAGGCGGGATTATGCAGCTGTCCCATACAGGGATCGAACTTGCAACCTTGGCGTTATCAGCACCATGCTCTAACCAACTGGGCCATCCAAGCTGATCATGACTGGCCCAAGGTCACCCTCTGAGTTTCATGGCTGAGTGGTGATTTCGGACCTGATCTCCCAGGCCTTAGTTTGACACTCTAACCACTGCACCACACTGGCTTTCTTTACCTGGAGATGCCAGGGATTGAACCTTAGCTTTCCAGCACTGAACAGTGGCCCTCCTGTACTCCTGAGATGTCTTTTATGCCCATTATCTTCAGACCTGCCAGGAGGACTGTTAACACAGGGGTACTGGCAGTGGCAGACAGAATGCGCATGGATGTGGGGAGGAGGATATTGGGAACGGGAAGTTTCTGTTTCTCATTCCCCCACCTCCAAGTTACCTGTGCAAACCCTAAGAAGAAGAGCTGGTGGCTAGTGAGGTCCACGGACGGCAGGCGCTTCTCCTCCCCGTTCTTTTTCAGCCAGACTTTGTAAGCCTGCAAGGAAAGCGAGAGCAGAGCCTGTGCTTCCAAGCTCAGGAGGGCCCAAGCGCCTCCCTCGCCTCACGGCCGCTGGCGAAAAAGACACCTCGCAGACACAACCAGCTCAAGACCTGCCAGGCCTCTTCCCACGGGCCTGCCTTTCCGGTGGGGGGCGCACAACCTTTCCCTGGACAGGCTACTTACGTTGTAGGCTGCCTTGAGCCCCCCGTTGTCAGCGATGTTCTCGCCCAAGGTCTGCTTGCCATTGACATGCTCCCCGTTGACAAGGTATTTGTTGTACTGCTCCGTCATGCATGCCGTCCGGTTCTTGAAAGCCTCCAGAGATGAGTTCTGCCACCAGGGACGCAGGTTCCCTTCTTTGTCATACTCGCGGCCTGGAATAAAATCGCCTTGCTGGACTCGGCTGAAGGTTCATCTGGCACAACGCCTGAGCTCCCGCAACAGCCAGCAGGTGCCCCCAAAGAAGCTCACAAGAGGGGCTTGATGGAGAAAAGAACCCCCCTTTCCTTTGTTCCTAATCAGGTGTTTACTGGCTCCAGGGATGGGCTTACAAAAGAGCAAGGAACTCTAGGAAGCCGCCTTATTCTGGGTCCACCTCTTGCAATAATGTGGATTCTTACTGCCAAAGTGCCTGGGGCAACCCAGTCAGATGGGCTGGGTACAAATTATAAAATTATTATTATTTTTACAGTACTGGCAGTGGATCTCCAATAAGGGACTGATCCTTCATTGTGCAGATTAGGTGCTGGAGGTTCTTTAATTGGCAATGCTAGGGTTTAAACCTCGGCGACTGGCTTTGGTTCAGCTACAACAAAGTTACGGCCAGCAAGCTGCTGTTTGGGTCTTTCGGTTCAGTTAATGCTGTGCATACTTTGCATTTAAAAAAAATCAGAATTCCTGCTGAACTGAGGAAACCCACACTTTACACACAATCCACATGCAACTAATCTGTACGTATTTTGTTTTTGCACAATTTGTTCAGCTCCTACAAGGCAAGGAGAGTGCAGAGGAACCAAATCCTGCCCCTCTCACCAATGCAAATCCAACTCAGTCGCTACCTGCTTTCTGAGTCTTCTGCCAGGCGTTGCCCACACACTTTCGGGCGTAAGAGGAAGAACTTGCTTTGATTCAAAAATGAAAGCTCAGGCGACCAGGAGCAGAATTCTGTGCCCAATGCTGTGCTCCACGCTCTATCTGCCCTGAAACATCGATGTGGAACGCACACAGTCTTGCTCTATGGCTCCTTGGTAGCTGGCCTCCACGAGACCTCTGAGCAGCTGCTTCTTAGTCATTCCCCCATACTTTAGAGATCCTCAGTTCCATTCCACCATACAGGAGGGATTATCTCGGATCCAGGAAGAGTTGTGGCTCAATGGCAGAGCATCTCCTTTGCATGCAGAAGGTCCCAGGTTCAATCCCTGGGATCTCCAGGTAGGGCTAGGAGTGAACCCTGTCTGAAACTTTGGAGAGCCAGTCACTGTATACAATACTGAGCTAGAAGGAACACAGTGGCTTGGCTTGGTATAAGGCAGCTTCCTATATTCCAAGGTTCCCTGGGATTCACACCTTCCTTCCCTCCCAGCAAGGCACAGTTGCCCTTTGGGTCCTGCACCATCTACAGCTGTTGAGCACTGCAATGCTGGAAGTGTTGAGTTGCCCCAGGCAAAGGATTCCCCAGCTTTAAAGGAAAGGGGACCTGGGGGTTGCTCCTGAAGTAGCCTAAAGCAGCTGTGAGTTAAAAGGAGAGGAATGGATCAGTGGGGTTGTGGTGGTAGTGAACTCCCTAAGCTGCCAGCTGTGGCCCACTCGTGCAGAGATAATGGATGCTCACCAAGCGGATGGAGCAGGAGCAAAAGCAGCACAAAGAAGCCGGGAAAGATGACTGGAGGTGTCACCTGGGGAGAAAGGATTGCAAACAGGTAGGGAAGCAAGTGGACCGCAGAAAGGAAAGCGCGGCTTGATGGCAATGGCGGAATGGAAGCTACCATGGAGATAGGTGCAAGTGGGGAGCAGGGGAAATGAATGGAAAGGCCACCAACAGGAGTCTTTCAGACGGGTCTGGCTCAACCCTATAAACCAGGAAGTGGGAACCTGTGGCCTTCCAGACGTTGTCGGACTCCCACTCCCATCAGCCCTGGCCAGCTGTGTGGGATGTTTAAAGTGAAGCCAAACCACCAATTCATCTTTTGCTAGATAGGCATATGATAGGAGCTGAGTTTTCCTGTGAACTTGCAAGAGATTATTATTATTATATTATTATTATTATTAATACCCCGCCCATCTGGCTGGGTTTCCCCAGCCACTCTGGGTGGCTTCCAACAAAATATTAAAATACAATAATCTTTTAAACATTAAATGTTTCCCTAAACAGGGCTGCCTTCAGATGTCTTCTAAAAGTCTGGTAGTAGTTGTTCTCTTTGACATCTGGTGGGAGGGCATTCCACAGGGCGGGTGCCACTACTAAGAAGGCCCTCTGCCTCATTCCCTGTAACTTGGCTTCTCGCAGCGAGGGAACCACTAGAAGGCCCTTGGCACTGGACCTCAGTGTCCAGGCAGTACGATGGGGTGGAGACGCTCCCTCAGGTATACTGGACCGAGGCCTGTGGGAGATGCTCCCACTGTGCCCTGACAGAGGGAGGGCATACCTATATATATTTTCCTACTTGCCTGGGAACACCCTCTTCCTCTGTCTCTTTCCACTCTGCCAGCAATGTGAGAGCCTCTACATCTTAAGCTAGACCTAAGTATGTCTTTGTAATTGAATTACCATTTTAAGCCTGCCTGAACAAAGCTGCCATATTTGTTGCTCTTCAACAGGTATCCAGAATGAGTAAATGTTATTTTTACCTTTGACAAAACTGAGTGATTGTTGTTTTAAGGGGGAGAAAAGAGAATCCAGCCTACCTTAAAGCATCCTGGATTACTTACAAGGCTAAAACCAGCCTATCTAAGCTTCCCTTTTAAGCTGCCAAGGGATGCGCTCTACTGAACTCACAAACATGAAGAAGGAAGAATTATATCTAACAAATAAATCCCCTTCTAACATCTATTCACATCCCAGGCATGGTCAATGGTTGGGGATGATGAGATTTGGGCGTCCAACAAGATCCACAGGTCTGCAGGTTCCCTAATGCAATCTCGGAAGATGTCTAGAGAGGCTCACAGCGGAAACAGTTCCAGCTTTGCTCTGCTGTGGTCATGGCTGATTTCCCAACCACCTCCCAGAATCCTCTGCAACATCAAGGTGACCTGGTCTGCCTAGGGTGGCAAAAGCCCTCAACGGTCCTTGCCGTTGGAAAACCTAGCTAAGGCACGAGATACTAGGAAGTCTAATGGGATGGAGCCAGAATAACTGGGGAAGAGATGCCCAAGGAACATAAAGAGAGGTTCGTTCCACCAGCTTCCTCACAATTTGTTACAGATCTAAAGGCCCATGCAAGGCAACACCAACCAAAGGCCTCCCTCGTAGGAGGACAGACAGCACATACATGCAAGACACAAGAAGCCAGTGATCCAAGCGCCTTGCTCCTACCTTGGTCATCGAAAGCGTGGGTGAGCTCGTGCCCCATCACGACGCCAATGCCTCCAAAGTTAAGGGCCCTCAGGGGAAGAAACAAAGAGAAAGCAAGAGGTTATGACCCTAGAAAGCCACCTTTGGTACACAGTTGATGACAGGTAATGTGAGCTCATGTCTGAAATAACATTAAGGCACCTTTGGACACAGCATCAAAGGGGTTAGGTGTCTTGTATCACACATTGTGTAGCACAGGAATGGGGAACATATAACTTGACTGATGCTGCTGGGAGTGCCAATTCCCATCAAAAATGGGCAATTGGCTGTTCTGGGTAGACCTGATGGGTACTGGTGACTAAATATAATATCTGGAATGCCACAGCTTCCCCATCCTTTATGTAACAAACATTTCTTCTGCTCCCCACTCCCTTTTATTAAATATGGATCACCAAATATAGAGCCTCTCTTTCTTTTTCAAATTGCGCAATGGCGTTATTTCACACTATAAATAGATGCAAAATAGTGGAAGAAAGCCTGAAATTAAAGCCTTTCCTTTCCCCTTCCGGGAACGAGCACTGGCTAACTATAGGCCAATTATGGTGCAATTAAGTAATGCTGGGTCCCCTCTGATCAGGAAGCAATTACTGGGGCAGGAACCACAAGCAAGAGATTTCTAGTGGGAGGCGTCAGATGGACTGGCACTGCAACTCCGCTGCAAGTCTGTGTGTGTGTGTGTGTGTGTGTGTGTGTGTGCCAGAAATAACCACACACAGGAAGCCCACCATCATGTGCCCTTCTTGGTACAGATCTGATTCCCCTCCCTGCAAGCTAGGCAGCTGCAGAGCAGAGAGGTCAAGTCTGAGCTTTCTTTTCCTACCAAACAATCAAGAGACCCAGACATACTTGGGGTGGTTGTGAGCGTAGAAAGGAGCCTGCAGAATTCCTGCAGGAAAGACGATGCCGTTCTTGGTGGGCAGGTAGTAAGCATTGACTGTCTGAGGGGTCATGCTCCACCTGGAGAAGGAACAACAACAATAATTGGTTGGGAGGATGCATTGTTTGTTCAGGACCACGGCTAGCAAATAAGACTGGAGGCCGGAAGACCCTAGAGAAGTGTTTCCCGACTTGGTGCCCTCCACTTGTTTTACACTACAGTTCCATTTTTTTAAAAAATGTTTTTATTAAACAATTTCAACCTAAGAAATTGTCAAACCGTATAATCACAAACATAGTTTTTTCCCCTCCCCCCTAAGACTTTCCTCAGCTCTTCTCTCTGATTTCTCTGCATGTTATAAAATTGTACATATCCTTACCTTATCTATCTGTCATGTTATCAACCAATAAATTTGTGTATGTTTCTTCAAAACCTGCCAAGGAGTCCAGTTCATTTTGTTGCCATTTTAAATCATTTGTGAAAAGCTCCCATTCTTCCTTAAAGTCACAGTTGTCCTTGTCCCGCAGTTTTACACTACAGTTCCCACCAGCCACAACCAGCGTGGCCACGTTGCCCTAAAGAATAAGATTTAGGCCTCAACTGTACCATGCCTTTAAAGCACTATGATGTAGTTCCCAGGAATTGAGAGCTGTTAGGAGACCAGTGTTCCCCCTTGCAAAGTCTGGGAATCTGGGAAGAGGTTTTGACAGTTTCACCACTCCAGAAACAGTAGCTCTGTGACTCTCTGCACCCATAACACACTACAGTTCCCGGCATTCTTCAGGGGGGACCCAGGGCTGTTGAAAGTGGAATGATACAGTGTTATAGTTCAGATGGGGCCTAAGAAATTGCAGAAATGACACGACAGCAGAGCTCTTTCTGGCCTATGCTGGTTGAAACTCCTTGCTTGAATGCCCTGTCCTGTGGAGAGGGAAAAACTCCCTTCATACGAAAAGCTAGCATGACAAGATGATGTTTAGCGTAGCCTCTCCCTGAGATGCTCGCTTTCCACATGCAGCATGGGTGAGTTTGCTTGCTTTCGTGTGGGAAAGAATTCTTCATGAAATCAGCCACCTTCAGTTGGATGTGATGCAATAAAAAATGGTTATTTGATTGTGTGTGGATTTGAATTTTCTGGAAGTCTCGGCTTCATCCTGACTGACCCCTCCACGCCGTTCTCCTGTTCAAATTAAAACATGACCCTAAACTCAATCAATGTAAAACCAGGTCATTCCCATCTCCAACCCTCACCCCGTTTGCCTGCATTGAGGTCCAGTTCCTAGGCTGCAATCCTGACTGTGCCTACTCAGAAGTAAGCCACCTTGAAATTATTGAGAATTACTCCCAGGTAAATGGGATTAGGGTTACCACCCTAGTTATGTAAGTCTAAGGTGTTCTAGGATATTTTCAGAAGCAATCATTCTGGAACAGGATCAGCCCCAAGGTGATCTGAGTGTGGACCTTCCCCTCTCTGTGACACTCTTTGTCAGGCTTGACACCAGTGACGCCATCTTGGGAGAGCTGGAGAAATTTAAAATGGCAGCAAGTGGGTGCACAGTGCCACTGCCAGGCAAGCCTTCTGCCAGGGGGCTGACCAATGAAGCACACTTTGCCAGGGGCCTCCTCAAATCTTCCCTATGCTCCACCAAGCTTTGACCCCCCCCCCCCGCCCTCCTTCTGCCATCTCTCAATGAATGAGGAGGGCAAGAAATGTATGGAGAGAAACCTTACTGGTCCCGGTTGGGGGGCTTCCTCAGCTGGTCTGCCATGAACCTGGCCGAGAAGTTGTAGAAGTTCAACATGTTCTGAAAGAAGGAGTCTTCTGAGACTTCGTACTAGAGAGAAGAGCAGAAAGGAGATGTCATGGACTTGCTGGACAAAGAGGAATGGTAGGAGGCACCAGCTGGCAAACCCCCCAAGGGCATAGTTAAACTATGGAACTCACTGCCACAGGATGGCCACTAACTTGGATGCAGGTAATTAATTACTATACCACCCTTCTTCACAGGTGGTGAACCTTCACGAGGCCTGCAGGTATAGGGTGGTATACAAATTGAACAAATCATCATCATCATCATCATCTCAGGGAAGTTTGCAGAATAAAATACAGTACAAGGCAAAAACACAAGCAACTAGTTAAAACAAAGCAATACCCCCACTTCTCACAAACACATCTTAAAGCCTGTAGAATATTACTCTTACCCCATCATAGACATCGTCCAGTTCCTTGTCATCAAGGATGAACTCCGGGAAGCCGATCATGTCATAAATGGAGTCAGCCTGCAGAGAAAGGAAAGCATGGGCAGCCGAGGCTCGCAGGCTGCACAACTGCAATAAAGGGTTGGGGTGAGGAGGGGGGAACAGGCTGTGCAGGTGGCGCCACATGCAGCTGGTAAAATCTGCAGTTGCCACCTCCCAATGGCTGGCAAACATGGAAGCTCCATGCTCAGAGGTAGTCTGTCTCCAAACAGCAAGAGGAGACACAACCAGGGATAGCCATTGCTTTCATGCTCTACTTGAGGCTTAGGCTCAACCTATCAGAAGGACTGCATTCTCCCACACGGACCTTCCCATATCTAAGTTCTCATAATGTAAAATACACAGTCATTAGGACTAGAAACTTCCTTTAAAAATTAAAGCCATGATTGTCAGGAATCCGAAGTCGGCAGCAAATAAATATCTGGGGCACCTTCTCTTTAGCGGCTTGTTTCGTCTTCTCATCCATCCAGTCCAGATGGTCCAGCGATTCCTCGAAAGCAGTGCGTATCTCAGCAATCATGTCCTCTGCCTGAAGGAAAAGACATAAGAAGTCTATGGAAGGGCATCAGTGTGTTCCCCTTCACTCATCTCATCTCCAGCTTGTCATCACCAGAATACCGTCTCATTCACTATATGCCCAATTAATCACTGGCCTCTTCAGGTGAGGACATCCTGCAAATACCAGCCTATTGGGAAGCTGTTCTGCCCCATGGGTAGCCTTGCCTAAACATGAAAGTGGTTAGCAGCTGCTGAAAACAATGCAATGAAGGTGTCTGCATAATATCAATAGGCAGGGAGTTCCAGAGAGTTGGTGCTGGGTGGAGCACGAGACTCTTAATCTCAAGGTTGTGGGTTCAAGCCTCATGTTGGGTAGATGACCCTCGAGGTCCCTTCCAACTCTACAATTCTATTGATTCTATAAATGACTGATTCCTTGCAGGTTAAATGTCGTTCCGCGATTGTTTCTGCATGTAAGTTCCATCCTTCCTGAGAAGGATGAGCAGAGCAGCTATAGATGGTTTCAGGTTGAGTGACAGGCTGGCAGGTTGTGGGGAGGGAAGGAGCTGCTTAACCCTCCCCTTCCCGGCTGTGGCTACTGCATCCTGTCCCCAGCTGCTTTTCTCCCAGGGAAGAAAAATACGTAGGGGCCACATACAGCGCATGGACAGGAGAACTTGTCATCACGGGGTATTGTTAAAGGCAGGGACATACAGAGGGCAGCTTTGTCGACATGCCTGGGGATACTCACAATCTCCTTGCTGTGCCGGTCGAAGGTGGCTTTTACGAACAGAGCCCCCAGTGCAAAGCCCAAAGTGTCATCAGTGTTGGAGATGCAAGTTTGCCAGCGGGGGGTGCAGGACTCCAGAGAAACGAGAGAGAACGAGACATAAGTAGGACAGCCCATGTGGTGCTGTGGTTAAGAGTCTTGTACCTCTTCACCTAAGGGGTGCGGGTGGCGCTGTGGTTAAACCACAGAGTCTAGGACTTGCCGATCAGAAGGTCAGCGGTTCAGAAGGTCAGATGGGGTGAGCTCCTGTTGCTCAGTCCCTGCTCCTGCCAACCTAGCAGTTTGAAAGCACGTCAAAGTGCAAGTAGATAAATAGGTACCACTCTGGCGGCAAAGTACAAGTAGATAAATAGGTACCGCTCTGGCGGGAAGGTAAATGGCGTTTCCGTGTGCTGCTCTGGTTCGCCAGAAGCGGTGTAGTCATGCTGGCCACATGACCTGGAAGCTGTACGCTGGCTCCCTCGGCCAATAAAGCGAGATGAGCGCCGCAACCCCAGAGTCGGTCATGACTGGACCTAATGGTCAGGGGTCCTTTTACCTTTATCTTAACCTTTACCTCTTCACCTAATCTACCTAATACTCTAAAATATCCTTAGAGGCAGGATATTAATGCAATAATAATAAATAAGTAAGGGGGAGCAGAGCTGGGCGTGTGTGTTGCTCTGTAAAACACTGGTTGGCTGAGGATCCTGCCCCAACAAACAACAGGCCTTTCCCAAAACAAACAGCTGGTTAGGTGGGCTGCAGCTGGTTCTCATACTACCTAACCAGGAGGCCTGGGGTGCCGACAGCTCCAGAGGCCTACAAATCAAATCAATCCTTAGATGCAGCCCCAAAGGAAGATTCGCTTACCTTCTTGGTACCATACAGGGTCTCCAAAAGCTTCTCCTGGGCTGCCTCAAACCGCTGATCCAGGCTGGAAGCTGTCTTCTGAACCAGGTTCCAGATCATGTAATTGTTCAGGACGCTCAAAGACGGAAAAGAAAGAAAAGACGACCCAGTTGAGATGCAGGACTGGTGGCCAATGGGCTGGAGTGCTCCCTACCCTCTGCAAAGCTCAGACACTCTCCTCCCAGCTGCTTATTTATGGGAAGGTGCAGCTGTAGGCTTAGATCCTACTTTGGCTGGGCACCTGCATGCCTCAAACCCAAGTGCCACCTGAACCATGCTGAGGAAAGTTGGAAGAACGATACCTGCATAGAAGAGGGGTTGTACTTGGATGACCCTTCCAGCTCTACAATCCTATGGTTCAAAAGCTCCAGATTTTTATATAATCTGAGAGGCTACACTGGGCTGACAGAGAGTGATGATCGGAAAGACTTGAGCAAAAAACCTGCTTCCGCAAAAGATCGGACTTTTTAAGCGATGGGAGAATGCACTGGGAAATATGGGGTAACACTTGCTTTGATGCATCAACATGTAACCTTCATTCAAGCAAATGATCAAAAAATGAATGCTCATTAAATAGCCAGTATTGCCTAATCTCCCTGCAAACAAATCAGGAGGAGTGCTCAGTAAAGAAGTCATCTGGGAGCATTTATTGTGCTTTCTCACATTGCCTGCATGCATGAGGGGTACTGAAGGGGAAGGGGAGGAATAGGACAGGAATGCAAAACAATATTTTTTATACTGCCCTCCATCCAAAGATCACAGGGCAGTTTACAATATAAAAACGCAAAAATGCAAAACTTAGTAACAAACAAAAACAATATCCACACCCACCCCAAGTTTAGAAAGCCATAGGTTGTTTAATTAGCCAAAGGACTGGGAGAAGAGGAATGATATTGCCTGGTGCCTAAAGGCTCCCTGGGGAAAGAATTCCACAAGTGGAGAGCCACTGCAGAAAAAGCCCTGTTCTCATGTTGCTACCCTCTACACTTCTTTGGGAGGAGGCACACACAGAAGGGCCTCAGGTGATGGTCACAGGGTCCAGGTTGGTTGATATGGGGAGAAGTGGTCGTTGAGGTAATAATTATGCTTTCTAGGGTTGCTGTTGTTGTTTGCAAATAGCATAAAGTTTGAGAAGGGACCTGTGTAGGGGAGATGGTTAAGTACAAGAAGCTAAATCTACTTGCATGGCTCCCCTCCACACTCATTGCAAATTCCTTTTTGAGCTGCTTTTTCCTTCACAAAGAGGTGACACATAATAGCACTCTGGGTAGAATGAAACAGAGCGTATGTTGATGTTTAGTAAAAGCTGGGTTGCCGTGGGATAAGGGCACACCACTGTGTAGAGCGCCAAAACACACTTGCATCGTGCATATGTGGGCAGGCATTGTAAACAGCCATGACGAATGCCCCATTAGCTGCAAACCTTGCCTACGATCTAATCTGGTTCCTGAGCCTTCGCTAGTAAACACTCACAGAGCTGTGAGCTTTGCCACATTCTAAAAGAGGCCGCTGCGCCAGAGGCGCCAGAGGTTGATTCAGCCGAAACCAAAGCATACCAAGGATGCTGAAATCTGTGGCCTCCACTTGTTGTCAGACTACAACTCCCATCATCTATGACCACTGGCCATTCTGTGGCATACAATCAGATCAAAATAAGGGTCAAAGTAAAAGTGCAGGCGAGCCCTTAATTGCTGTTCTATGGTTCAACCTGACTTGTCAAATGGAGGTTGCTGTTTTCGGATTTTCTGATAGAATTCCATTGTGGTGTTTTATTCTTTTAAATTGTACACCTGCCCTGGGAACCTATGACACGGGGCTGCTCAAACATATTCTAAATCAATCTCACAGCAGCACAATATTCTGCACCCAGCATTAGAGGCAGAGAATATATCTGAGAAGAAGGCCACTGAGCCAAGGTGCAGGAGCAGATTGCGTCCAGGCCTTCTGGGCACGAGGAAACAAACAAACGAGAACACACACACACACACACACACAGGCAGGCATTGTGTTCCTGCTGCATCCCCACCTCCTGGTACCTTTTGTCGGTGTTATTGATAAGCTGGGACACCTGCTGCAAATATTCCCTGCCATAAACCACCACAGGCTCAGCCTCGGTTAGCTCTAGTGGTGAGAGGAAGTAGGAGATGAAGTCTAGCCAGTCAATGGCAGGGGCAAGAACCTGCAGAAAACAAGAAGAAACCTAAAACTTAGAAATAAATTTATCTTTAAGCGAAAAGGAACTGGTGAGGCTGCCTGGTTGGCCACACCCTCTGACCAGTTTTTCACTCCCATTCTGCAGATGCTAGAAACTCATGCCTTGTGAGTTATATTCCAAAAAGCAGAGGAGGCTGGAGATGCATCTGTGTAACTGCTGAATTTTGTCTTTTAAAAACATCTGGCGGGGGCTCAGTCATCTGTAACCCAGCTGACCTTAGTGCATAGCAGAGCCTAATCCAATGATGTCTGCAACGTGACCTGTCCGTCTTAGATTACGTCACATCTGCAGCATACATTCTTCTTTTTTTATGAAATAAATTTTAATTTGATTTTCAAAAATATAAACATACAACAAAACCAATTCTGAATCCAAATGTCGAGATTATTCTGAATCTCCTGACTTTCCCCCATCACTTCCATGGGCCCTATTAATCCTATTTTTAACTGCATATCACTACTTCTCCAGTTTTTTATCTTCCTAAGTTATTCATACATACTGTTACATTACAAGCGCATTTAAAATCCTGCCAGTGTTTTAACCTGCTTACAATAATCTTGTATATACATTATAAACTTCCCCCATTCTTTTTTAAAGATCTTGTCTTCTTGATTCCCAGTTAATTTTGCCAAGTTGTCTATCAACTTGGTTTGCCATTCTTCTCTGGTCGGGGTTGTCCCTTCTTTCCATCTCTGGGCTAGTAACGTTCATGCAGCTGTTGTCGCGTACATGAACAGTTTTTTCTGGTCCTTTGGGATCTCGGTACCTATGCATCTGCAGCATACATTCAAAACACATCGCTCTCCCTAAAGAATCCTGGGAACTGTAGTTTGCTACGGGTGCTGGAAACTGTAGCCCTGTGAGGGCGTAAGCTACAGTTCCCAGGATTCTTTAGGGGAAGGCCTTGAATGTTAAAAGTGGTACAAACGTGCTTTAAATGCACAGTGTGGATGCAACAAACTTTGCAACTTCACCGAGCCACCTCCTTGGCACACATCCCCTTCCAGTTTTGCCCAAAACCCAAGCTAATGTTCTGCAGGACTCAAAAGCTTGCTCCCTACCTGTGACACTTTGGTTTGCTGCCATATGCCCGATTGCAAACGTGATTATTTGGGTGGTGGCAGAAATGAACTCTGCACGTGCCTGATTTCCTTCACATTAGTCCTGTATATGTCCTAGCAATCGGCTCCAGCACCAAAGACAAGTTCTGGGGCCAAGTCCTGAGCGAGATGCTGGGCGCGTGAGTGAGCAGTAAGTGATTTCTCTTCCTTGCCTCAATTTACAGCCCTGTCCTGATGCAGACCCGCCCCCCGCCGCCCCATAGCAAGGGGCCAGTTTGTTGGCTCCTGGTTCCTTTCCCCCAGGGACCAAATCCAGCTCTAGTCACTACAGGCCAAAGCCTGGACTTCCCAGAAGTGACACTTCTACAATCAGATTTTATTTGTCTCTCTCTCTCCATGTTGCCATGGCAAATAGTTGCTTGGCAACCAATGAGTGATGAAGAAGGTTGGCTTCCCCGTTTCACTGGGAGGTCCAAGGGATGGGAGGGGGACAAGAAGAACAAAGAGGAGCAGAGGAATAGAATACAGAGCTGAGGGGGGAGAGAGAGAGGCCAGGGTAGGGGAGTTAAACATCAGGAATACAGTTGTGCCCAATGGGGTGGGAATGCCAGAAGCCAGTGGACAGAGGTGCAAAAACAAGGGGTTTTTTTGGGGGGGAGGGGGAAGTGGAGTTTCACAAGCTAAGCCAGCCTTGTGAATGGCCCAACCCTTGTCTTAAAAGAGCTTGCAATGCTTACAGCAACCTTCCGAGGCGAGTCACTATTATTTGTTTATTCATTATTTCTTTATCGCACATATATTCCTCCATGGAGCTCAAGGTGGCTTACGTGGTCCTCTCCACTCCTCGTTGAATCCCCGCAACAACCCTGTGAGGCAGATTAGGTGGAGAGGCAGCAACTGGCCCAGCAGCACCCAGGGAGCTTCATGTAGCCAAGCGGGGGGTTCAAACCCTGGTCTCCCAAATCCTAGTCCGACACTCTAACCACAACGCCACTACAGTGGTGCCCCGCAAGACGAATGCCTCGCAAGACGAAAAACTCGCTAGACGAAAGAGTTTTCCGTTTTTTGAGTCGTTCCGCAAGACGAATTTCCCTATGGGCTTGCTTTGCAAGACAAAGCCGTGCTTCGCAAGACGAATAAACCGCAAGACGAAGAGACTCGCGGAACGGATTAATTTCGTCTTGCGATCCACCACTGTATTTGGTTGAGAGGACCTTGCCTTAATGAACTGGTGGCAGAGACAAAATTCAAGCTGGGATCTTCCTGATTCATGCTTCAGTTCCCTAGCTGGTACATAAAAATCTAAGAAGATCCTGGATGCTGGATCAGGTCAGACCTAGCAGATCTTTCTATTATTTTAGGTGCCTCTGAAAAACCCACAAGCAGGAAGTGAGCGCCAGTTGCTGCCTCTCAGTCTAACCTGCCTCACAGAGTTGTTGCGAGGATGAACTGGAAATGGGGAGGACTGCTTGAGTTCCTTGGAGGAAAGGTGAGATATGAATGTTGTCGTGGACCTGGGAGAGACTAGGACTCAAATCCTCATTCAACCATGAAGCTCACTGGGTGATCTTGGGCCAGTCACTCCTCCTCAGCTTAACCTATCTCACAGGGTTGTTGGGGAGATTAAATGAGGATGGGGAGAACCATGTACGCCAGGTGGAGCGCCTTGGGTAAAAAGGTGGGATATAAACAGATAAATAAATGCAAAATTTCTGTTGCATTTTTGCTGCAATGGCCCTTTTGGGAAGCAGTGATCCCCAAGGGGGTAGGTGGGGAGGATGAACTGTGTACAGTACTCAGTGAAATATTTGCAATAGCACAAGGATCAGCACAGGTGCAATGGGACTTTGCTCCCTGCTCCTCCCTCTGTGTGTGCCCGGACTGACTCCAACTACAAAAGTTGAGCCTGCTGAACAGACTCTTGGGCTGGAGTATTGTTTAGGGCTTTCGTTGTTGCTGTTACTGATATTAATTGTTTGTATCTTTGTTTTAAGAGCTTATTATGTGGAAATCGTTTGATTTTGTGTGTGTGTGTGTGTGCATGCGCTTTCTTGACGATGTGTTCCATTTACTGCTGATGACTGCTTTCGCAATTATGTAAATTGTTTCATGTTTGTTGAAAGCCGCCTTGAGCCTGGTTTTAACCATGCAAAGACGGCGTGCAAATGAAACAACGATGATGGCCCATCCCCAAATTTGCCCCAGAGGACTGAGGGAGCCTCCGGGACAGAATCAGAGGGCGTACGAGGGGAGGAAAGGGGGAGATTGTCCCATGGCTGCAAGGAGGAACACTGTGCGCTGGTGCGCTTACGTCGAACACAACCCTTGCCTCCAGGAGCAGAACTGCATCTGAGGAGGGCCTGGAGGCCAGCCTCAGCATCACAGCTGCAACTCTGGGCTCATTGGGATGCTGATCAGCTAGCCAGGTTCCTGGGCGTGACGTTCACAGCGGCTGAATAGCTGCACGGAGATGGAATCCTAATGAAGGGTCTGATGACGGCGTTGGCTGCCGCCTGTGCAGTGAGGTCTTTGCTTATGCAACAAAAGCTGGTTCTCTGTTAAGGAGGCTGCAGGAAACCAGGATGAGGGAGAAGGAGGAAGGTGGGAGAAGAGGGTGCTACTGCAAGGAAAGGAGAGAGGAAAAGCTGGTTGGCTGGGGACCTTTGAAGGCACTGCTATATGCCCCTCTATCTGCCCCTATATGTCTGGGGAACCTCCCAAAGCACCTGCACAACACAACTGCAGCCTCCAAAAATCACAGAGAAGGGACCTTAGAGGCTCTCAAATCCAACCCTCCTTGCTGAGGCAGGAGACCCACTGCTGCAGCATCCCTGAGAGGCGGTCATCCAGCCTCTGCCCACAAGCCTCAGCTGGCGGAATGCTTACTAACAGGGTGGATGATGCCCTTGTTAGGGTTTTTATCTATCAGAGCTGCTCCAGTGGAGGGTACTATGTTTTATGAGTGCCTGAGAGAGCGTGAGAAAGGAAGTCTGTCTTATCTCTTCCTTCTGAGTACTGTTGGAAGTTGGTTTTACTTCTGTATGTGTCGCAGTTCTGTACTGGGGTTCAGAGAGCACAGATGTACTGATGGAGTCTGATGTATATAAGACTGTAAATAAAGTAGTTTAGAACTACGACTGAGTCTTTCTTCTGCTATGATATACCAGAAGACTGGCGTGCTCTTTTCAGGAGAGAAGGGTCGCTTATTACCAGTCTCTCAGGACTGAGGGAGATTTACAGCCAGAGAGGACCACTGGAGAGACGCTCTAAAGACTTGGGAAGTTGGCAGCCTTCCCAGGGCATTTTTCCAACAGCCCTTTGGGACTGGCAGGGCAGGGGGCTGTTGAACTACAACTCCCAGCAGCCCTGGTTGCTGGCCACGCCTCCAGCAACAGTGCCTGGAAGGCCACAGGCTAGCCATCACTGGCCCAAGGAATGGCCCCACCTCTCTCTGCTCTAATTACGCAAGATGTCCCTGTTTGCCAAAGAACCCCATTTAGAGTCAGGACCAAACCAAGAGACTGAACAAGACCCCTCCCTGCCAGCTCCGCTCCTCCCCAGGGCCTTATCCAGGCAGGTCCCACCTGCAGCCCGGCGATGTTCAGCTTGTGGTAAATTTTCTCGTCGTCCCGCCGCTCGTCTTGGGGGACGGTGAGGTTGGCCAGCTCGGTCTCCAGGTCGAGCACCTGCTGCATCTGCTCTTCCGTCGAAGCTCTGGCCCCCCCCAGCAGCATCCCCAGCTCCACCATGTAGTCCAGGTAAGCAGCCAGCACCTGCCAGAGAGGGTGCAAAGCACCTGGGTGATTCCAGGAAATTTCGCCAGCCAAGGAGAACAAAAGGCGACAGCAGCAACAGGCCACCTTTCCTCCCCGCTCAGCTCTTATCTTCTCCAACACCTTTTTCAAACTATGGGAGTTAAGGCGCTTTAGGCTGGGCTGCCACTGTCTCCCCCAACCTAATTGCTATTATTTATGAATCTCTTCACACGAAGCATCCCTAAGCAATCCCACAATGCAATGAAAACAACTGCCCATATTAAAAACAATGCAATCGGTTAATGTCTGGGATAAAAATCTCCACTTCAAAAACTTGTTCTTCTCCTTTCACCAGGATGAGGAATGATGGCACACCTCCAAAACTGAAATCTTTTAAAAGTTAAATCTTTTGTTGTTTGGGACTGAAGTGTCAGGAGCTGTGGGGGGTGGAATGAGGATCTATGCTGGTGCAGTGCAGGTGGCTAAAGAGATGGAGCTATGAATGAGGAAGTCACCAGTTTGAATCTTGCCCCTGCCATGTGCTTGCTAGGTGAGCTCAGGCAAACTGCTCTGAATCAGCAGCCCCCACCTCCCCCTCCACCAACACTGTCTTGTCTTGCAGGGCTGTTGTAAAGATTACTTCTGAATAACACAAGTCAAGCACTTTAAACACATGTGAAACGTTAATAAAATAATAACAATAATAATAATACTATAAAATTATTTTTGTTTCTGCACGTGGCTGCCTCCAGTGGTGAGCAGTGGTGAGAAGATGCTGCTTCTCAAAGCATCTTCTCTCTGCTGTGAAAACATCAGGGGGTGGGCAGGGGGGGCCTCCAGGCTGTCAGTGTTTGCAAAATGCTTTATTGCCCAACCCTTTCCAGAGGTCCTTGCAGGCTCCGCCAGTTGGATGATTGTCATGTCTGAAGTCGGTGCGTTGAAAGGGGTTTCTGAAGACCCTTGCAGGCAAAAAGAAAAGTCACCTGATGTCATTGTGACATCAGGTGTGATTGGCAGGTGGGCGGAGTTACCCACCTGTCACACTTGGCCCATGAGGGGTGAGGGAGACCCTTGGGATAGACCAAAGTGCTGTGCTGAGCTCCCCACAAGTTGTCCTGGCCTCTGCATCAATTCCCTTTCTCTTCACACCTATCTTTTCAATTTCATTTACCTTGACATGTACGGAAATTAATAATAAAATTAATAATGATGATGATAATAATAATAATAATAATAATAATAATAATGATGATGATGCTACAGTTAAGTTTGGGCACAGAATCTCTGCCCCAACCAGAGGATCTAAACAGTTTATATGTTTGCTTAAAGCAAGCTTCTAGCTTCTGGTAGCTGCTGAGACATGCTAGACAGCATTTATTTCTCTATTTAAAGTACCTGTTCTACCATCTTTCAATTTAGCCAAAAATTCACAAGGCTGCTTTGAGGTGACAAAAAACTCACACCAAGCTCCCAAAACAACAAAACCATAAAGCATAATGGTTTTTTAAAAAATCAGCACAAGGCAGCATAAAACCAGGTGAAATGCCCATAAAACGCTGCAGGAAACGAGCTCAGCAGCAGCATAACCGTCGCCATCAGTGCTCAATTAAAATCCCGGGTAAAAATACTTATTTTGACCTGGTGCCTAGAATGGAATGGAACTGACGGCAGGCAAATCTCTCGGGGGGGGGGTGTTTCATAAACTGAAAAACCCCACCACTCTGCTGCTGCCACCCACCTCTGCCCTGACAATAAGGACACTGATAGAATAGCTTCCACAGATGATGATGATGATTTATTCAATTTATATACGGCACCACCCTTTATCAAAAGATTCCAGAGCAGCGTGCAACATTAAGAACACATTTTACGGAGAATCAATAATACAAACATAAGAACAGACAGCGCAATAATAAAATAATCATTAATAGCAGTCTCCCAACCCCCAGCACCCAGGCAGGATTGTGGGCTTCCTTCAGATTCCCAGTTCCTAAGCTTGAAATGGCTATAAAGGTTAAAACCAGCATTTTTGAAATTGTGTGTGAAAACATACTGGAAGCCAGCAGGGCTGTTTAACACCGCCAACGTAGTTTTAACTACGTTCCATGCATAGAGATCTGTGCACACACCGTACTTTTAAAGCACATTCAAAGCGCCAAATAATTCTAGGCACTGTAATTTTACCCTTCAGGGAGCTACAGTTCCCAGAAGCCCTTAGAGAACAACAGGGCCCAGAATTCTTTGAGTGGTGGAGGAGAAAGAAATGTTCTTCGACTATGCTCTAAAGGGATACCATGAACACAGTCCCAGTTAATCATCTAGCTGTACCAGCTGAAGTTTGCAACACTCACGGCTTTGCTTGATGCTCAACAAGGCAGGCCACTGACAATATCTCACCTGTCAAATTGTGAAAGATAGGAGGGGGAAGCTGCGGCCCTCTAGATTTTGTTGGGCCCCAACTCCCATCAGCCACATGGCCAGTGGTCAGATGAGTCCCACACATCTGTCATGGATGCTTTAGCTGAGACAGGGGATGGGACAGATGACTCTTCAAACTCTGCAATTGTACAATTTTATTATTCTGTTTATGATTTTATGATTCTGTTTATGATCCCATTTTTCTTTTCCTATTTGCTGCTGCTTCCGTTTCTCTTTCCTCCTCCTGCTGGCTTCTTGTGTCTATTTTTGGATAGTAATCTCCCTGGGGCAGGGACTTGTCACACACCTGTTCTTTGTAAAGCATTGACCTTTGCAGAGCCGATGTGGCTTAGTGCTTAACAGCGTCAGGTGGTGTCCTGGGGGTTCGAATCCCCACTCAGCCATGAAGCTCACTGGGAGACTTGCGGAAGGTCAATGTCTCTCAGCCTAACCTACCTCACAGGGCTGTTGTGAGGGTGAAGCGGGGGGGGGGGGGACACTATGTGCTCCTTTAAGCTTCCTTGGAGGAAAGGAGGGATATAATAATAAATGCACAGTGTACTTACATGTGGTGCTATATAAATATATAAAGGGCAGCATTCACTGAACGAACCCCATCAGTTAACACCCGTCTAAGGACTTCCACTTGCACAATGGGGCTTTTCCTCCCCCCTCCCTGAAATTGGCTAGGGAGTAGTTGGGAGAACAGCTTGCGGGGAGGAAAGAAGAGGTCACTCTGTCTAGCAAGCTGCAATGCTTGCTCAGACGAAACATTCGTCATGGTGTGTCACCAAATTCTGCCCTAATCAATATTAATAAAACTAATATTCATGCACAGAAGCCCTGGTATACAGAAAGGAATAGGCATCTCTGCTTATCCTCAAGTATCTGTGCTTTATTTGCCAACTCAATAAAGGAATGCCTACCAATGAGCAGCTATTCAGAATGTCAATCAAAGGGGTCTGTCCCGCCCATCCTCACCTCAGAAAGCATTTTGACACTTGCCGTAGAAGAAGGAGGCACCACCCCCCAAAAATAAAATAATTTTCAGGGTCTGAACAGAGCCAGCAGAGTCCTACTGCGCAAGCAGCTCACTGGGCTGGAGAACAAGGATTTATTGGTAAATGTGACTAGCAATGACAAAAAGCAGACCATTTCAGAGTCGGTGGGAGGGCGGTATTTATTTACTAAAGCATTGGTGGAGAACTGGCTGCCCTCCAGATGTTGCTGGAACTCAGCTTTCAAGAGAGCGAGGGCTCATCCACCCTTCAGCTTTCCCTCTGCCTAGAAAACATGGATCCAAGAGGTTTTGCGCTTGTCATGTGCTTCCTAGGCATGGGCCCAAGCGGTTTTTCGTGCTCCCTACCACTTTCCCCGGGGAAACTCACTGTTTACCATTGAATTGGAATGAGTGTTGAACCACAGAAAAACTGGTTGGTGTTCATTCACCAGTAAAGAGAAGGTTTCTCCAGGGGAAAGCAGTGGAAGTGTGCATGACCCAAAGTGAGAGGCAGGGGTTGGTACCTAGTGTGGACTGCGACCACCTTACCTTTTCGTTGGCTGTCTTGTTCAGGTAGTAATCCCGCGATGGTAAGAAAAGCCCTGACTGGTCCAGCTGCCGTGTACAAAAGGGAACCAGTGAGTCTATGGGGCAGAACACCCAGCCCTTAGTTTCCCCTACGGCTCCTTCTAGCTCCCTATAGCACAGGAGAGGGAGATAAGGAAGGTGCCTTGCGCAGGCAAGATCATATGCCCATCCAGCTTAGTGCTGTCTACACAGACTGGCAGCAGCTCTCCCAGGTTTCAGGTAGAGGACATTCTCAGCCCCACCTGGGGGGCTGTACCTGGGACCTTCTGCATGCAAAGCAGAGGCTCTGCTATGGAGTTACGGTGCTTCCTGATGAGATCAGGATGCCAATAGAGATTCCCCTCCTCCAAGCTCCTTTTGCACAGAAATGCTCTCTCAGGTAGCGGGGGTTACCTGGATGATGTTACTGTTGGAGCTCTTGGAATCAGCACCCACAAAAACGGTGAAGAATGGAGAAGCCCGGTACGTTCCCGATACCAGTTTCAGGACTTCCATGAAGTTGCTCTGATTCCATGGGCCGGTGATGTTCCAGCCTCCAATCTGGAGTTTGGGGGTGGGGGAAGGGAAGGAGGATGCAGAGAGTAAGGTGAACAAGAGAGAAATTGCCACCAGCATCTTGCCTGCATTTTGAGATCACCTGCTGAAGTTCTTTTATAAGTGCCTCCTTCATCAGAAGTGTGCAGTGCAAGGCAATGGCATCCTGCATACGGAATGCCCAACCCAAATGACACTGGCATTTCCATTTTTTCTGCCCCATGCTAAGATTAAAAATAATAATATCGCCTGGCATTTTAAAGAGTGTCTTTCCTTAACTTGCTGCATGTTGTTACTTGCTGCTTCATTTTATTGTTAATATTATGGATTTTATTTTAGATATTTTAGCTTTGTGTGATTAATTGTTTACACTTCTTGTTCACCACCCTGGACTTTGTAGGGCAAATGATGGTATACAAATTTCTTAAATAGTCATTTCATAATCTCTAGTAACAAGAAGGAAAGAGCTATGCAAGTCGCTAACAACCCAAGCTCCTGCAAATCCTCCCCTGCCTCGTTTTTCTGGCTTCTGTGATTTCACTAAATTCTGCCTCTCCTTCCCAATGTTTTTCTCCTGGACCTCTGACAACTAGAAATGAAAGCAGCGATTCCCAGGAGGGTGAATTTTGCATCTGCTGCTGTTTGGATCCATTTGAGCTCTAACTGAATTGTCACTGTCTGCACTTTTCACATTTCATTTCCTCACTTTCATCCCACCCTGTTTGTGTGTGTTTGTGTGTGTGTTCACACACACACACACACACACACACACACACACAACTGCAACTCAAGAGTACACTTCAGGCATCTGATGAAGTCTAGTCTATAAAGCTTAGGCCATAATGATTAAACTTTGTAGTTTTTGCTGCAAAAGCAACTAACGCAGGGAGAGTTCCCATTTCTTCTATCCTTCTTTTGGTGCTAACATGGTAACTGCCATTCATTGACTTCATACCCAGCCCAGCCCAGTGGCAGGAGTAAAAAAAGGGCCAGTTCTCACGTGCTGGACTGAGACCTTCCCTCCTTCTCTGTACATTCTGCTTGCACCCATTTCCCTGGCCAGGCTCACCTTCTCAATGAGCTCCATCAACGGCTGGGAGCCCAGTTCCTCAATCTTCTGCTCTTTAAGGCAAGACAAGTAATAGCGCTGGGTCTTCCTCTCTGCCTCGCTGCTGGAGTTGAAAGTTGCATTCTCTGCCAAGGAAAGCACACGGTTGATGAGGGAGTTGCAAGCGCTGGTCAACCTGAAGGCGCCAACAACAAGGCACCTGTTTCCTACAGTTTCTCAAGATATTTCAATGCTTGGGGTGGGGGGCCGGCACTTCCAAGTTGCCACTATTTTGGGGCAGGATTCAGTCACATACCAGCAAATCCAGATCCCGCAATTAAAGTTGATTTGGAGCACTTGCGCAACGAACCAGTTCCTTCTCTGCAAAAATCAAACTTTTTTTGCAAGAAGGGAAGTGGCAGGAAAATGCACTAGGAGGTACAGAAGAATAACTGCTTGGCGCAACATGGTCTAACCTACCAGAAACCAGTGTGGTGTAATGGTTGCAGGGCTGGACTAGGACCTGGGAGAGAAGGGTTTAATCCCTCACTCAGCCATGATGCCCAATGGGTGACCCTGGGCCAGTCACTGTTTATCAGCCAAACCTACCTCACAGGGTTGTTGTGGAGCTAAAATGGAGAGGGGGAGAATTGCTTATCCCACCTTGAGCTCCTAGGGGGAAAAGACTGGGATACAAATATAATACATGCAACAACCATCTGGTGTGGAGGTTGCGTTCCTGGCCCCCGTGCACATCAGCGGAGCACGCTTAAGTGCCCCCATCCCCCTTACACCCCCCATCCTGCCCTTTTCCAGGTCCAAAAGGACCCACTTGATGGTGCATCAATTGGAATGTGCCTAAAATGGTCGGCGCGTGCAATTCAGGTTGCTCAATTAAAGGTTTGGCTCTCTTGTGCAACAAACTCACTCCCCCCCCTCCAACCATCCCCCCCACCCCGCATCAGACTCTGGGGAAATGCACTGCAAAGTATGGGATAACATTTGCTTGGCCCAATATCAGCTAACCTCCCAAACAGATCAAAGTTAGTGCTCAGTAAATAAGGCAGAACCCTGCATTCTTTGCGAAAACAAGTCAGGACAGATGCTCAGTAAACCAGCTGCCATAAAAGGGACCTTCCTTCTCCAACGCTGAAATTAAAAGGTGGCTCAGAGAAGAGAGATTTTGTGTGTGTGTGTGTGTGTGTGTGTATGTGTAAAGGAGCACCTCACCTAGCAAGTGTTTCATGATGGCCTGGTTTTGGTCCCAGATACTGTTGAAGGTGCTCCACTTGGAACGCCCGTCAGGCAGTGGATTCCGCTTGATCCAGCCCCCACATGCGTACTGGTAGAAATCGTCGCAGGGGTTGATCTCTCGGTCCAGGGCCTCCAAGATTTTGCCAGCCACAATGATGCAAGCTTCAGTCAGGCAAGTGGTGTGCGAGGGATCTGGAAACAGCACACAAACAAGCGTCTGGCAGCATGCCTCACCGAGAAAGAAGACCTCCTTCTTCAGCCCTTGCCATAACTTGGAAGAGCACTCGCCATGTGTCTGTGCCATGGGGGGAGGGGAGGAAGTCCTGGCACGGCCATGCATCGCATTGTGAGGATTCCCAGGGCACAACGGCAAGGGGGCAGCGATAATTTACCACAGGTGGCTCAGCTCTACTTTGGCCCAGGCAAAAACGTGCCACCACAAACGATGCCACAGATGCCAAAAGGTGTGGCCCAGTGGTGAAAAGGTTATAGCCAGCCCTGCTCCAAAGACCACCTTTGCCAATTGCCCCCTACAATTTACAGTCACTTCACGGTGGTCGCTTGGTTGCAACAGCAACTCAGCCTAAGCATGTACAAATGAAGCAGCCATAAATTGCTCCTGACTCCATTCCCTCCCCTTTAGCTGTTGTTTCCCTGCGCTGAATTTTAGATTGTAAGCTCCTCAGGGCAGGAACCCGTCCTCTTGGAAGTGCCATGCAGACTAATCATGCTGTATCAATAACTATTATGCACTAGAAATTGGCTTTTTAGCGTTGCAGCTCCAAGCCCTCTGGACTCAGTTACCAGCTGAAATGAGACAAGCACGCAGATGGCAACTAAAGACACTTTCAATAGTAGAAATGCTTTTATTGCCTTTAGTTTACTGAGTTGTGATCTTTCCTATCTTATTTTTGTTATTATACACAGAGCCAGTAACTCTTAGTTTCAAAGGGGCTTAAAGACCTGCAAATAAATAAATATTAATAGTACGGACAGGTCTGACCCGTAACCCTGAACAAAGAGGACGGTTTTTTTCCTGCAGCAGGAAGCAGCTGCGCAGATTCCTCAGTGGAAAGGTTAATGTCCAAAAGAATCCCTGAACGTAGGTGGTTCAAAATCCCCTGGCTTAGAATGTTAGAAAGATGTTGGAAAAAGAAAATTAGGCAGTTTTGGTAGATATGAGATAAAGGATTAAGTAAAAATGAGTTGATGAAATTGATGAAATAGAGGATATTTAATTATAACACTTTAAATTAAATTACGCAAATGAAAATAAGATTGGAAGGATGTGCTGGAAAAAAAACGATCTGAACTAGAATACAAAATTGGGAGGTGAGAGGAGGTCAAGGAAATAAGTAAAGGGAAAAAGTTATGTAAAGGTTTAATTTGTTTTTGTTCTATTTTAATGCAATGCTTTTTTATATTTTTTGTTCTGTCTTTTTTATTGTATTTTATTGTTTTTTTTTTCTTTTCTTTTTTCTCTTTTTATGCTATGTTCTGTTATGGTTAAATTTGGAATAAATATCATTCTAAAAAAAAGAAAAGAAAAGAAAAAGAAAAAGTTGATAATAATAATAATAATAAAAAAATCCCCTGGCTTAAAGGAATAATCTTGCAGCTCTCCCTCCCATGCACTCAGTTTCTGTACCTGCCCCTTGCCATTGTGCTTCTCAGCAGACCCGGGATGTTTAATTGTTGCAGGTCCAAATGGGGTGGAGGGTGATATGCGGCTCGTGGAGGATGCTCAAGTCCACTGTGGCCACACCAACTGACCGTCGGCAGAGGAACCAGCCCCCACGGCAGGTTGCCAGGAACGGATAAGACAAGGGAAAGTCCTCACCATCTGCTTTTATTCAACACAGTGGATGCTCGGGTTGCGAACGTGATCCATGTGGGAGGCACGTTCGCAACCTGCAGTGTTTGCGACCTGCGACCTGCGACCCGCGTGTCTGAGCACACACAGGTCATGATTCGGCTTTTCTGCGCATGCGCAAAGCACAATTTAACGCTTCTGCACATGCGCAAGCCCCGAAACCTGGAAGTAACCATTCTGGTACTTCTGGGTTCGGCGCAGTGCACAACCCAAAATCGTGCAACCCGAAGCGTCTGTAACCCGAGGTATGACTGTATTTACAGAGAGAGGCTTTGGAATGTAGCCTCTTGTCGTGAGTAAATATTCCATCCCATCCTCTCCCACTTCCTCATTCATCATCTCTTTACAGGTGGCGCTGAGGGCCCTTTGCTCTCCTACTTTTAAGGCCTGCTGGGTTCTGTCAGCCAGCTGCTCCAGCTCTGCCTCTTCCTCCACTCCCATTATCTCCCAACTTTCCACCTCGTCTTCCTCTGAGCTGTGATCTCCCTCAACCCTCTGTTGTAATTCTGAACTGTCTTCTTCTCTGGAAGAGTCAGGCTGGGGAGACGGTCTCCACCCTTCATCCTCTGCCCAGTTCCTGAGACCACCTCACCTACCTTTACTGTACTGGATGCCCATGGCAATGACCGAACTCAGCAGCAGCAGTAATACCACAAAGAGAGAGACGGCACAGAGCACCAGCTTGAGTTGGGTTCGGGAGCCCAGGCGACTCAGCAGGGGGCCATCGCTTTTCCTGAAGCCCACCTGGAAAGGAAGCAAAAATGGAACCAGGAAATGAAAAGAAGAAAAGGGCAAGGAGAGGTGGGATGGGTTATTAAAATCAGCTGGAGAAGTGAACTGTCTCCACGGACAGCAGAGCCTCGGACAGAGCATTGCATCAGGGTTGGAAGGGGCCTTGGAAGCCCAACTCTCTGCTCAGCACAGGAAAACATCCCTCTGCCCTGCCTCTGCTTGAAGACCTCTGATCTCAAGGGCTGGAACTGCTGACATACATCCCTGGACTGCTCTGCTAGGGGAAAGGACCCCAGCTCAGTGGTAGAGCCTCTGTTTTGCAAGCAGAAGGTCTCTGGTTCAATCCCTGGTGTCTCCAGGGAGGACTGGGAGAGTCATCGGTGTGATGCAGCAGCAAAGAAGCTAATGTTCTTCTAGGCTGCATCAACAGAAGTATGGTGACCAGATCAAGGGAAGTCATAGTCCCACTCTATTCTGCCTTGCTCAGACCACACCTGGAATACTGTCTCCAGTTCTGGGGACTACAATTTAAGAAGGATATTGACAAGCTGGAAGGTGTGCAGAGGAGGGCAACCAAGATGATCAAGTGTTTGGAAACCTTATGAGGTTTATGAGCCTTATGAGGAGAGGTTGAAGGAGCTAGTATGTAGAGCCTGGAAAAGAGGAGGTATGATAGCCATCTTCCAATATCTCAAGGGCTGTCACAGGGAAGAGGGAACAAGCTTGCTTTCTTCTGCTCTGGAGGGCAGGACTCAAACCAAAAGTTACAAGAAAAGAGATTCTGACTAAACATCAGGAAGAACTGTAAGAGCTGTTCAACAGTGGAGTGGACTCCCTTGGGAGGTGGTGGACTCTGCTTCCTTGAAGGTTTTTAAGCAGAGCAGAGGTTGGATGGCCATCTGTCAGGAATGCTTTGGCTGACTCCTGCATTGCAGGGGGTTGGACTAGATGGCCCCTGGAGGACCCTTCCAACTCTACAATTCTATGATTCCTGCCTAAAGCCCTGGAGAGTCACTGCCAGTCAGTGTAGACAATGCTGAGCTAGATGGATCAATGGTCTGACTCAGTATAAGGAAGTTCCCAGGTCCTGCATGTTGGTGGCCCATCACTGCCAGGGAGCACACATGGGCTAAGGCCTCTCCAGGAATGGGGCAAGTTGTCTGCCATCCCTTTTTCTGGAGGGGACAGTGGCAGGGCAGGCGTGTTAAAAGTTCCCAGGTTCAGTCCTTGGCATCCACAGCTAAAGAGCTAATCTTCATTTGGTGGGTTGTGGACCTACAGTGGGTTGCAGGATCAATGCTGCCTTTTGAAATGAGAGAGGGGGACAGAGAGAGAGGAAGAAGAGGAAGAAGAAATACTGGCAGAGAGCTCTGAATAAATGTATTGAATAATAGATCCCCCTGCCCTATCATCATCATTCCATACCCAGCCTTTTCCCCTCATAGGACTCAAGGCAGCTTACAGATAAAAACAATAATTAAAAAACAATGGAACATGGATAGAATCAAAACTATATGCATACCCCAAAAAAACCCACAACCTGTTTAAAACTTACAAATGATTACAGTGGATGCTCGGGTTGCGAACGTGATCCATGCGGGATGCACGTTCGCAACCCACAGCAGCGCAGCAGCGCATGAGTGGGTTGCAATTCAGCACTTTTGCGCATGCACAAAGTGCATGCATGACCCCCAAAACCCGAAGTAATCCGTTCCGGGACTTCTGGGTTTCAGTGGGTCTGTAACCCGAAAAAACGCAACCTGAAGCGTTTGTAACCTGAGGTATGACTGTACAATAAAAACAGTGCAGCACCAACCCTTTCAATAAAAAGAGTCAGTTCCCAACAGCCTGTTGGAACAAGGAAGTCTCCACCTGCCGGCAAAAGGACTACAAGGAGGGAGCCCGTCTGGTGTCTCCAGGGAGGGAGCGCCAAAGTCTGGGAGCGGCCACTGAGAAGGCCACTGCTGCATTGCTGGGGTTCAAAGCAGTGCACATATACCCTTTCGTTGGAGGGGTATGTTGGTGATGTCTGAACCAGACCAACCATCTCCTTCCTTTGTGAGCAACCCTCACATACGATGCCGGTGTGAACAGAAGCAATGTACCATTTGAGTATCAGGTGCATTAAATGAATGCACATAAAACCTCTGAAAGAGAGGTGGAAAAACTCCTGTAGACAAGGTTTAAGGCAGAGGTTCTCAAAGACTGTGGTCTGTGGACCACCAATGCTCCATAAGGTTCCTTCAAGTGGTCTGTGGCGCGTCTGTGAATTTGTTGCTGAAACCAAGAAATGGCACATTTCTGTCGCATTAAATAATCACATAGATTTTTAATTGCATTTGTACTGCTTCTTTTAGCGCCCAGGCTGTATTGTCTTGGGACTACCATTTGAATTCAAATTGCAATACGACAAAATACAAAGAAATAAAGAAGCGCTAAACATACAATTGAAAACCAAACAACATCAGGCATAGTGCACTGCAATTGCTACAACAAACAAAAAAACCTATTAAATGGTTTGTCAAGACATTCCGCGATTTTCAAGTGATCCATGGGGAAAAGGTTTGGGAACCGCTGCCTTAGGACTCAGGCACAGTCCTTGTTTCAAATTCCAGGGTTTAGTCCTGGAACGTGTAAATAAAAAGGGGAGGAATAAGAATGTAAGAACTGCCTTTATTGGATCATCCCAAAAGATTAATCTCTGGCTCTAATAGTGACCAGACCAGCTGCCACCAATTTGGTGCCCTTCAGATGTTGCTGGATGATGGTCAACCCTGAGCATTGACCATTCTCCCTGAGGCTGATGGGAGATGGAGTCCAAAAACCTATAGAGAGTACCAGGTTGTGGAAAGCTAGGCCAGAACCGTGGGAACTTCACAGGCAGAGTCATGTGGGAGGCAAGAGTCCTCTGTGAACTGCCCCCAGCACCCCATAATCAGAGGTAGACAGCTCCCGACCACTGAAGTTTAATATGGCAAAAGCCTGTCATAAACCTCTTAAATAACTTTTATTTATGTAACCGGTAGATGGAAAAACGGCAGTCCTTTTTATCTTTCTTTATTGCTTCTTTTCGCTTTCCCTTTCACTTCTTTTCCTTTTCTTCTCTCTTTCATTTCTTTTTCTTGCTTCTTTTCCTTTCCTTTTTTCCCCTGTTTTTGCCTTTGCCTCTTGTTTTCTATACCTTACCATATTATGAAAAGCTTTAATAAAAACCCTAACACATAAACTTTACCTCCATACATAATCTATTTTTTAAAAAAAATAATATTAGCTTAAAGATAATAAATTATATTTCCACCCCAATTTCTTCCAAATTTCAAAGTGTATAGCTTTTCTGGGCACCATGAGACAATTTCAGTATGTGTGGTGCTACCTTTTCTGGATCCCAGTGAAGATCTACTATACAATCCTGTGCATGTTTACTCAAAAGTAAGCCCCACTGATTTCAACAGAGCTAGCAAATGCATTTAGGAATGGCATTTAAAAATGTTCACGCTATTTCCCCCCAGTAGTTTTTACAGTTGCCTTTTAAAAAAAGTCTATCTGTCTTCCTCCCTCCGTCCCATGCCTGCTCTGAAGTTACCTGTACCTTAAATGCAGTTTATCACGCCCATCTGGTTTTTAATTATTTCATACATAAGCAACCATATCATCCAAAATAAGATCATTGTAGCTGAGACTATTAAATTTGCCCCATAAGACAAATCTCCCTGGATTCTCTTGAGGATTAAAGGCATAATCATAAATCACTGGTAATATCAGTGACTTTGGAGGGCAATGAAAGGTTTTGGCAAAGCTGCTGCCTGTGTCCTTTACGCAAGCTCTTTCGAAAGAGCTTCCCTTCCCTTTAGAAATAGCCTTTTTGCTCATCTATCTCCTACCTCCCCCCCCATTCAGGCTCAGCAACTGGCTTTGGTACGGTAATTACGTAGGCAGCAGAGACAATGCCTTTATTATTAATTTAATATAGTAATTGTGCTGCCAGGCGGCAGCAGGGGCAAGTCCTCTGGGACGACGCAGGGATGCTCTCCAAGAGCCTTGCACAGATTGCTCAACCACCTGGGAAAGGCCCGGTTTACCCTACCTCTACGCTGTCAGGAGAGATGCTTCCATCTCCGGCCGTGTCTGCTGCTTCGTCGTCCTGAAACATAGCTCGCTTATACTCCGCCATCTGAAGAGGGAAAGCAAGAGAGAGAGAGAGAGAGAGAGAGAGAGAGAGAGAGAAACGCTAATTGCTGGAAAAATTAACAGGCCCGACTTTCAGGCTTGCAGGCAGCACCAATTCCATTAAGGTTCCGTCGGCACTGCTGCCAACATGATGCCATTCATAGTCCAGTCTTCACCAAAGGAACCCTGGGAGTTGTAGTTTAATTAGGGGGTTCTCTGTCAAGGGAACTCTGAAGTGCACATAACCAAGCCTATATGACACTTGCTTGGCATTAAATTCTGGGCTTGAGATTCATCCCCCCCCCCCCCCCGGTGTTCGTTAAAACAAGCTTTTGCATATTGGATTGCAACTTAATTTCCCGTGATGAAATGCATGGCACATCTTGAAGCGCAGCTGAGCTCTGAGTGCCTTTGTCCACGGGATATCTCCTTTCACACTCAGCTATTCTGTTTTGAAACCCCTTTGTTCAGCTGAAGGAATGCAAATCTTAATGGGTCTAGAACAGGGGTCAGCAACCTTTTTCAGCTGTGGCCCGATCCTCAGACCATGTGGTGGACTGGACTATATTTTTTGGGGGGGAATGAATGAATTCCTATGCCCCACAAATAACCCAGAGGTGCATTTTAAATAAGAGCACACATTCTACTCATGTAAAAACACCAGGCAGGCCCCACAAATAACCCAGAGATGCATTTTAAATAAAAGGACACATTCTACCCATGTAAAAACACGCTGATTCCCGGACTGTCCGTGGGCCGGATTGAGAAGGCGATTGGGCCGCATCCGGCCCACAGGCCTTAGGTTGCTTACCCCTGGTCTAGAATCCCACGATTTCAAGGAATAATTCAAAACTGAAAATGCAGATGTGTGGGGAAACAGTAAGAACAGCACAGGTCTGTCTACTCTAGAAATGCAGGGTTGCCACATTTTCTCCTGACAGACGTTTCACACTCTTAAGTAACAGGCAGAAATTCAACAGATGCTGCGTTTTCTGGTTTGGAGAGGCAGTGATGGAGAAAGAGGCAGTGGCTGAATTTCTGCCTGTCGTGCAGCAGTCAAAGGGATATAACTTCTATTTTTTAAAAAGTGGCAACTCATTTTCTCTCTCTGTTATAGACAAAGTTATTTTCTTTACACAAAACACATGTGCTTTTAAAGGTATCTAATCTTTGCCAACCATTGACGGCAGCTAAGGACAGGCATGTAGCAGAGAGCAGGGCTGTTCGGGGTGGGGGTCACTATTCAAATTAGGTAGGAAGAAAATTCAAATTCTATATTCAAAAGAAATGACCCAAAACAACACTTATCAATCTGTGCTTCCTCACACTGCATTCTCAGAATTTGCTGTTGCTAAATTTGGTCCTTCTGTTTGAGTAAGTTGCGCGTGCAGGCAGTTCCACAGCTGCTCTTCCACTTCTATGATTGCCAACTTTTGAATCTGCTCCTGAAACTGTGCATTTAATAACTGCAGGAATTAGCAGGTGATCATGTCAGAGGTTTCTAAGCTGAGGTTGGATGGCCAGATATCTGTCATGGGTGCTTTTGTTGAGATTCCTGCATTGCGGGTGGTGGCGGCGGCGGGGTTAGACCCAGGGCTATTTTTCTAGAAAAAGAGGTGCCAGAATAATTCATTATTAATGCCTCCCTTGTTCTCTTGTAATGGCAATGGCACCCACCTGAGAGGTGCCGGAACTGAGTTCCAGTGAATTCAGACTGAAAAAAGCTCTGGTCGGACCAGATGCCCTTTGAGGTCCCTTCCAACTTCTATTGTTTCTATCTCTATGCCATTGAAAGTTTCCTTCGTTAGTATCTGCATCTCAGGCTGCTTCTCAAAAGAGCAGAACGTCACACCCACACTCACCCACCAGGTCAGTTGGCAACCCTCCATGGTGTCCATCGCTTGCAGAACCTCCCAGAATTCCTTGCACCCCAGCTGAAACAGACACATAATTTCTCATCTCTGAAGATGATGGTCCTTTCCAGTAAATTAAAGGCCTCAGGCGTGCTGGGAGTTTTCATTTCCCCCTGCTGTGCATGGTGGCTGGCCCAGAGGGGTCGTTTGCACCCAGTCCCTGCCAAATGCACAGGTCAGCCCCAGCCTAGGTGCCAGTTTGGTGAAGAGGGAAGCCCAGCAGGGCCTCACGAGCTGAGAGCCCTTTTATCTTCCTCAGGTTGTCATGACTTTCTTGCTGGCTCTTTTGTCTCCCTGACAAGTGTCACTCTTGCTTCCGAGAGAGAGGCTTATCCTCCATTCCTTGGCAACCCAAGGCTCTGTCCCCTAGCAACACCATCGCGGCTGCCAGGGCCTCCTCCTCCTCCTCCTCTCTCAACAACTCTCCTCAATCTACCATGCTGGAACTTCCCATATAAGCAGAAAGGTGCCACACTAAGGAAGCAGCCAAGATGGAGACAGGCAAAAGTGGCTTGAAAGGGAAAGGGACCTCAGAGGGCATAGCTGAGGGGCAGTGCAGGAAACCTGCCCTCAGTGTCGAGGACATTTTAGGTCACTCCTTGGCACTAGCTTTCCACGGGTCTCAGCCAATTTCCCCCTCAGGAGGAATATGCAGAAAAATCACCCGGTCCATGCACACCCAAGCAGTTAACCACATGCAAGCAGTGATGAGTCATGGGAAGGAGAGATTTAAAATCTCCCCGGTTTACTAATATTAATGAATACGATTAACAATTTATGTTAGTGTTAATTTGTACTAATATTGGGAGGGAGGGATGGCTGTCATTCTAATTAACTACTTTTATCTCATCCTTCTTCCGAAGAAGCTTTTGCTAGTAGACGTGGAGTTGTCCCTTTTTATCCTCCCAACCACCTAAGTGAGGGAGGGAAGAATAAGAGGTAAGTGTGCTCACAGGCCCTGTCCCCCCCTCCCAAATACATTTAGGGGAAAGCGGGACGAGGGCCAGCCCTAACATTAGGCAGAGTTGAAGGGGTCATGAGTGTAGCCATGATTGTTCCTCTGACCCAGATTCTGCTTGCAAACCATAGGACCTTTTTAGCTGACACCTGTGCCTCATAGGAAAGGTTGTGCTGTTAACCTGGCTGACTTGGGTGGTTGTAAAGTTCTTATTATTCTCTGAAAAACAAAGCTCGGGAGGAAAGGGATACAAGCAGCTTGCTTGAACCTGCTTTTAGAGGAACTAAGCCATCAAGTCTCATTGGAGACAGACCACAAAGTTCTCCTCTTGACACCCTTTGTCTATGCTTGATGCAAAAGGGTATCAAAATAGCACATCCTCCAACATTTCTCTGATGAAAATAGGGATGTCCTATTGGCGCTGTTGGTTAAACCACAGAGCGTAGGGCTTGCCGATCAGAAGGTCGGCAGTTCGAATCACCGCGACGGGGTGAGCTCCTGTTGCTCAGTCCCAGCTCCTGCCAACCTAGCAGTTTGAAAGCACATCAAAGTGCAAGTAGATAAATAGGTACCGCTCCGGTGGGAAGGTAAACGGCGTTTCTGTGCACTGCTCTGGTTCACCAGAAGCGGCTTAGTCATGCTGGCCACATGACCCGGAAGCTGTACGCCGGCTCCCTCGGCCAATAAAGCGAGATGAGCGCCACAACCCCAGAGTCGGCCACGACTGGACCTAATGGTCAGGGGTCCCTTTACCTTTACCTATCCCAGAATAATAACAAGAATAATTTTATTATTTATACCCCACCCCTCTGATTGGGTTGCTCCAGCCACTCTGGGTGGCTTCCAACATATATAAAAACACAGTAACTCATTTAAAAACTTCCCTATACGGTGCTGCCTTCAGATGTCTCCTAAAAGTTGTATAGTTACTTATCTCCTTTGCTCAGGGGTTGGATAACTCCATACCCTCCAGTATTTCTCTGATGAAAATAGGGACATCCTAAGGAAAAGTGGGACATTCTGGGATCAAATCAGAAACCGGGACGGCTTCTGTAAATCCGGGACTGTCCCTGGAAAATAGGGATACTTGGAGGGTCCAAGGAAGCTTTATATAGGGCCCTCAGCCTTTCAGAATGTGAAATGTGAGCTGACATGATCTGAGATCCTGCAGATAGGAGAAATTGACTAGCAACAAGAGGTTTAGGAGCTGGGGGGTGGGGGTTCCCAAGCTGCCATCAGACACTGCCCCATGGATTTGCAGTTCTCTCTCCAGAGATAATAAGGGTTAGGAAAACAGGACAGGCAAAAGTAAGAAAAACAACAAGTGGATCTCAAGGTATCAAATGACATGTTTTCATGAAAAACAGGCACAAGCCTATAACTGAGGACAAAATAGTAGCTCATCCAGTATCACAGTTATTCTCAAAAAAATATCAGGCACAAGCAAATTTAAGCATTCTTAAGTCGCTGTGTTTCCTGTTTCTCTACAGAAGTTTACTTAAATCAGTGGGCACAAACCTGATGTCTGAAGTAGCAATATTCATAAACCAGTAGGGGGACATTTCTTTTTAACCAGGGCATTCAGATGCTGATCTTAAGATGGCCATAATATGAACAAATGGATTTCAGAGGGAAGCTGCTGTGTGAAACTGCTGAATTACAATTCATCAAGACGTTCAGCTTCATTCGTTTGGGTCTGAATCGAGACAACGGTTTCCTTTCCCAGCACAGATGTTCATTAACTCAGCACTGCTGCCAAGGGGATAGTTCTGTCACCTACCGCTGCTGTTGTAAAAGGGTCACTGCGCTTGTCTTGCATGCATTCTAGCCAGGAGTGGCTGCTGCAGTAGTGTCATTGCTGTGTAAGAGTATGGGATGCATCACACACCAGTAGGAATGCCACATTGCTTCCACCACCAGAGCAGTTGCAGAGCCCTGGTTTCACTGCTGTGCTGCGCCAGCGAGTGGCAGTTTTGGACAGGGGTGTGGCGCCATACCAGCACATTAGCTGCTTCTGAATCCAGTTATAACTGAATTGCCAGTATCAATACTTCTTCCTTTTCTCTTCCCTCTGACCTCACTGCTTACAATTCACGGCCACCACAATATGCATGTATAATACATATTTATATTTGAGGATTATGCTTCCTGCATCTGCTGAAGTGGGCTCTTGTCCACACAAAAACTTGAAGCTTGTTGCCATAACACATTTCTTTAACATTTTAAGACTCTTTGTTGATCTTGCTGCAACAGACTAACATGACTGGATAGTAAGAAAACTAGAGGGCTCGAAGGGAAATGAATATTCCCGGGCATCCCTAAAGGACCAGCATCAGAGAACCATCTATTTATGCATGCAGCAGCCAATGAGAACAGAGACCCATGGAGGGATGTAATGGTTCTTGCAAGGAGGGCAAGAACACCCAAGGCTGTAAGCTGGAATTCTGTCTGCCCCAGGGAAGAGAGAGGCACATTTTTCAAGTGGGGTTTGGCTAAAAAATAATAATAGAAAAAGATCAAGGGTCTGGAAACCAAGCCTTATGAGGAACGGTTGAGGCAGCTGGGGTTTTTAAACAGAGGTTGGATGGCCATCTGTCAGGGATGCTTTTAGTTGAGATTCCGGCATTGCAGCGGGTTGGACTAGATGACCCTCGGGGTCCCTTCTAACTCTATAATTCTATGATTCTAGGTGCCCTATGGAGGACAATGATGCACTGCCCCTTTGTGTCTTTAAGAAAAGGCATTGCAGCCACTGCAGTTTATTTCTTTTAGAGCAATTAGAGCCCACTGTTTCCCAGAACAGGTTGAAGGGGCATGATGCTATTCTGTATTCCAGGCTTCCTCAACCTCGGCCCTCCAGATATTTTGAGACTACAATTCCCATCATCCCTGACCACTGGTTCTGCTAGCTAGGGATCATGGGAGTTGTAGGCCAAAAACATCTGGAGGGCCGAGGCTGAGGAAGCCTGCTATATTCAGAGTGTTTTGTTCTCTTTCATTGCAGGTTCTTAAGCAGAGGAGGGATCCCACTTGCCATGGTTGCTTTAGTTGAGATTCCTGAATTGCAGGGGGTTGGACCTCATGACCCTCAGAGTCATTGCTCTGGACTGGCCTTTCTCCAAATCCAGAAACATACCCAGTACCCAGAACCAGTGATTAGGGTTGAAAAATGCAACAGTTGGGTGGGGTAGGCTCCTTTTAGGGAAAGAGATTCTTAAAAGTCAAATTTGGATAAAAACTGAACAGCGGCATACCACCAGCTATAGAGAGCAGTCATGCCAGGCATAGGCAAAGTCAGCCCTCCAGATGTTTTGGGACTACAACTCCAAACACCCCTAGCTAACAGGAGCAGTGGTCAGGGATGATGGGAGTTGTAGTCCAAAAACATCAGGAGGGCCGAGTTTGTCTGTGCCTGAGTCATGCAGCGGGATGGAATCAAAAGAAGCACTGAATGCTAAGGTGGCTCATGACTGTTCATCACAGAGGTGACAACCTTCTACAGTAAACCTCTTACAGTAAACCCAAAGTTCTGCAACACACACAGCTAGGTGGTTCAAGCTGCTCAGGTCAGGAGTCCATCTGCTGTTTCTTTTAATACCAAGTTCTTCCTGATTCTGTTTGGTCCCCAAATCTAGTTGGGCGTTGCTTTATTCAGGTTGCTGGTGGTGTGCAATTCTGTGCCCTGGCCCCTGGAAGAGCCGCTGGCATGTATCAAAATACCACGCCAGGCTTGCAGGGTAGCACCTGTCAGTTCCAATAGTGTGGACAAAGGCAGGCCTTGTTAGATTTCTTCCCTGGGGTTGACGGGCCTTGCAGAGGGTAAATGAAGCCCAGGGGTTCAAAAAGGGCATTGGAGAGGAATAGTGCAAGAAGGAGGAGGAGGAACTACGAGCCTCTGAAATAAAGGGGAAGAGTCACAGCTCAGTGGCAGACATCTGCTTTGCATGCCGAAGGTCCCAAGTTCAACTTACAGCATCTCCAAGAAGGGACGAGAGAGAACTCTTCCTAAAACTATGGAGAACTGCTGTCAATCAATGTAGACAAATTGAACTGGATGCCCATCAGTATCAGTGGAATGAAGCTACTGATGCACCTTCCTTGCCAACGAAGAATCTCTGTGCTTAATAAGATGATCCCACAAGGCAATAGTATTCCTTGTTTTTGTTTTGTTTTTACATGTTTTTACATCCTAGCGATGGAGGCGAGTGATAAATGCCGATTGTATTTTGGTATTTCTTCGCTTTATTTCATTCACATCCCTAAGAATTTGGTCGATGGCAGCTTAGTAAAATCATCAAGTTTGGGGAACCCTGCACCAAAATGTGGACACAGCTCTCGTCCATGTGCAGAGTTCTGGGTTTCCAAGCCTGCTGCAGCCTCAGGGATACTGGAAGATGGAAAACATGACTTGCTTTCCTCCTCACAGCCATGACCTTTCCATTCCAGTGCTGTTGTTTTTGTTTTTCTCTTTTTGAAAAAAGAGAGATTACATTTTCAACCCTTGCGTCCTCAGCATCCAAATGGCAAGGAGCCAAGGCCCAAGGAAGTGTCACCTTCACGTAGCACCGTGTGCAAGGCTTTGCAAAGATACAAACACCTTGCTGAATCAGGAGCCACGCTCAGTTTTCTGATGAACAAACAGTTGGCAGGCAAAGGAAAACAAGAGTCGGCGAAGGAAGGTTCCAGCGAACCGTTGGCATCTCGGCATATGCCTCGCCAATATGTTGCCAGTTGGAAATGGGCATCCCCACCCTGCCACCCACTCAACCAGCTTGAGGGATGCCCATCTCCTGGTGGGGTGGAAATGAAGGATCCATTCTCCCCCTCACTCGACAAGGCTGCATCTCTCCCTCTTGCCCCTTCTCCTGTGGTTTGCATTTCTTCGACTCCTTCCTTCCCTTGCCAGTAAAAGGGCAATGAAAATTAAGCTTCTCGCTTTCCTTCCAAATTCCCACACCTGATCTCAATCTTCCCTTTTTGCGCGTTGTGTTTGCCCAACAGAACAGTTGTTTTCCAGCAGTCGTCCCCCCCACGCTCAGCAAACAGGGTTCTTTCAAGGGACCTTGTGCTTCCTTCAAAGCTCACCCACCAGAAGGCGAATCACGGCAGACAAGCTTCTCTAGAAACATGGCAGGTCTCCTGCGGCTGCCACCCTTCCTTTGCTGTGAGGAGCTGCAAGACAGCATAGGGCAGGGGTTGCCAATGCCCAGGCCCACAGGGATCCCCTCCCCACAGCTGAAACAGGGATTGGAAGCATTCTGTTGTGGCGTGTGCTGGTTGCAGGGTGTGTGCCCATGACAGTCTCACCTTTTTGCACATGTGCTAAAGGGCTCCAGAACACTGGCAGCGCTTGGCATAGGGTGTCGTGCAAGACTCATAGGGCCAGGCCAGGCCACTGCATGAGCCAACTGTACACTCTAGGACAGGGGTGGGGTGGGGCATTTCCTTGTGGCTAGCCTTCTGGCTAGCCTTCTGGGAGTCACAAGACAGTGGTGGTTGGGGCCAGTGGAAAGTGGGTGTGGCCATCCACTCTCTCATACAAACAGAGGGATAGCTCAGTCGGTAGAATGTGAGACTCTTAATCTCAGGGCTGTGGGTTAGAGCCCCACATTGGGCAAAAGACCCCTGCATTGCAGGGGGTTGGACTGGATTCCCTTCATGGTCCCTTCCAACTCTATAATTTCCATGATTTCTATGATTCTACACACATCCCCATTCATACACAGGAACACCCACCAGTTCATATAAACAGAGACATGAACACTCACACGTAACAACAGGACATTCATTCTCACATAGAACACACACACACTCATCCATCCATCCCCCCTCACACCCATTCATTATCCTCTCTCCATCTCACACACGGGATACTTCAGGATTTCCTACAATATACAAGAGTAGTCAAATACTCCCTTGGTAGGTCGTGGACTCTCCTTCCCTGGAGGCTTTTAAGCAGAGGTCAGATGGGGCCACCTGTCATGTATGATCCAGTTGAGATTCCTGCATTGCAGGGGGTTGGGCTAGATGACCCACGGGGTTCCTTCCATCTCTGCAATTCTATTATTCTAATGGGTGCCAAGTGAGCTCGAACACGCATTACATTTTACATTCCTGATGCCACAAAGCTCGTTCCTTACCACCTACTCTCCTCGCACCTAATTCTCTACCACTGTACCTTCCCCATTCCCACACATCCCTGGCAAAGCACACAACAACAAAGCAGACTGTTTGTGAAGCTCCTGGCCACAAACACCAGGGCAATTTGTGCTTGGGAGGAGGACGTGCCTGCGATTAACATTTGGGCGTGGGCAAGGGTGTGTGCATGGGGGAGAGCATGCTGTTTGAGATGTGGGCCATGAGATGCTGGCGAAGAGATCAAGATGCTACTTGGATGCAGAACCTGTGGTGCTGAGCTGCCAGCTTTTGGGGGGGGGGGATCCAAGGCTACATACAGAAACAGCATCCCAGGCACCAATCCTCTGCACACATTCTACCTGTGAGCAGGGCATGTGTGAATTTGTCAGTTTAGGTTTCTCCCCCTTTCTCATTTTCCCACTCTTAAGTTCAGTTCCCCACATTCCCACATCACTCTGTGATAGTTATTTTTTCAGCCTCCTGGAAAACCCACCAGCATCTTAATTCCAATTTCTCCTAACATGCACAAAGCAAACCCCCCCCCCAATATAACGCACGTTATCTTCAACAATATTTGCATTCTTGCACATGCTACTTGGCTGGAGGGCCGCATTGCAAAATTCGGAGAAGAGCGAATTTCTAAGGGCGACGATGATTCTGTTCTTGAATTGGCGATGTGCAAACAAGGCGGGTTCGCCTTCAGATGAGAAAACGAATCGGACCCCCTGCCTTATCCCTTCGTAGGGTTTTTCCTTCGACCAAACCTGGCAGGATCGGTAGATATTAAGTGGCAGAGCCAGGATCGGACCGGGGTAGGGGCATGGGAAACAACCACTCAACGCCCACCTCTGGCACCCACCTCCAGAATGAAAAGTGTCTCTCTGTGTGCGCCGTTACAGAAGAAGGTGATGGAGGTTTCCCTTGCTAAAAAGGTGGAGGCGGAGTGCGGGGCTGAGGGGGGAAAGTTGAGGGTGGTTCATTTCTCCATCTCTCACCCCTTCGCCCTCCCTTCCTCGCCCCCACCCACCATCACCACCGCCCTCCCGCGGGGCTTACTTGCATCTTCGCCTGGGGAGCGCAGGTGGCGAGGGGCGATTACGCGCGGGCCGGCGGCGTCGCGGGGCTTCCTGCTTGCCCCGCCCGGCCCTCCAGGAAAACAAGTCCGCCCACCCGGGAGCGGCGAGGCGAGGACCCGGCTCTCCTTTCCCCGAAAGCAGCAAAGACAAGGCGGTAGCTGTCGCCACTACTTACGTTGCTGCCAAGATCCTGGAGCGCTACGTTCATGCTGGCGATGGGGACGCGGAGGGACCCGGCGGGCGCCGCCGCCGCCTCCTAGCGCCGGACCCAGCCACGGGCGAGCCGGCCAGGAGCTGGAATAGGAACGGCGGGGTCCTCCGCCTCGTGGGCCATGCCGAGCTGCTCCACCAGGGGGGATGCGAGCGACCGTTGGGCGGGCCGGGCCCTTCAGTCCCTCCCTGCCCAGCGCGCCACGAGGAGAGGAGGCGCGCAGTGAGCGCACGCGGAGAGTTGCTATGGCGAGCCAACCATCGCAGCAGCAGCACCGTCGGGCCCACAGCGCAAGCAGCGCGCTCAGCTCCTCCCAGCGCAAGGCAGACGCCGGGCCTTGCAGTGCCGCCGGCGGCAGAGAAGGTCAGCGAGCGCGGGCTCTGTCGCGAGGACCGAGTGGGTAGGCGAGCGGAGTTGCTCCGGCGCGCTCCCTCATCTCTCCATCTTTACGCACGGGCACACCCAGGCGGTGAGTTGACCGCCAGGCTTCCAGAGCTCTTTTTGGGAATGAGACCGACTCCACCGCAGAGCTTTCGGAACAAACCCTTCCCCAAGTTGCTAATCTTCATGGAAGCAAAAAACAAACAAACCCAACAACCCCAAACCAACAAGCCAAAATAGCCAACCAGCACAGAACACTTGGGAGCGTTCGGGGGTGGAATGGTGAGCTCTGGTTCTAGCGATGCCCAGCTGGAAGGAACAACCCCTTGCAGGCAGCCTGGTATGGCAATTTACCTCATATACAGCCTGAGCCTAGGAAGAGTTTCTTTTTAACAGGGAGAAGACTTTCTGCACTTGCTCTTCATCTAGTAGAGTAGGAGAGCTGGAATTTTTTTTCACACCTGGCAACTTATGCGCCCCTTTGGTTTCAGATAGTACAAGGGTAGATGAGTCTAAAAAGCCTGAGACATAATTTTCATGGCTCTCTAGCAGCTATAGTGGCTCATTGGTTGCCAGATGTGAAATATATTGACATTATTTTCCTACCCCACTAATCTGCTCCTGCTCCCACTCAAACATTAAAAACAGGAGCTCTCTGTTGGATTGTTTAGCTGTGATTCCTTCATTGCAGGGGTTGAACTAGATGGCCCTTTAGATTCCTTCCAGCCCTGCAATTCTATTACTGCAGCCCTGGGGTGATTTTGTGCAGGGCAGCTATGCATCGTCTTTTGTGTTTAATGTGTGTGCCACATGATGTTCATGACTGATTCTTAACAGTAGGGATCTTTACCTGCAAAATCAAGACTGAAACTCTTGGTGCCTTAGAGACCAAAGGCCCATCTAGACTGGTGTTTCTCCCCTCCCCCATCTGGGTGTTTTCTGCAACATATAATTGTGCATTTTTTGGTCTCTACAGCCACAGCAGATGCTGTAACTCTCCAACAGCTTGACTTCACCCCCAATGGTGCACTCTTCCATTGTCTCTCAAGGCAGACGGATGGCAACAATTTTGCCTTAGTGCTTGGCTTATACTGGACTGGACCACACACCATTAATCTTTAGTACTTGTTCTGTGATGCTTCCCCAATGCATTATTGCTACATGGAGGGGCACTCTTGCACTACAACAAAAGCGGAACAGCAACAAACAAACCACAACCTGGAACCTTTGAGGGGTAAGAAGTTGCAGGAAGTGAACTTCTCCAAGCCTTTCTCCTCAGGTCCCAAGGATCCTCAGACTGTCACGGTGTCTCTTATCTTCTGAGGTTTTGACTAAGCCAAAGGCTTTGGGGCTTGTTGATTTAGGCTGCTTCCACCCTGCCCACCTGGTCTTTGGGAGATGCCACAGCTAGGTGGTAAATCACATCCTTTGCAAAAAGTCCCAAGTTCTCATATTTAGCAAGATTTTACAATGTCTCCAGCAGACACTATTGTACACAAGTTCCGAGTCCTAGCTAACAGCAGCTCTCCTGCTAAAGAAGTTTCTCAAACCCCTTCCTTTCATCTACCTTGCCTTTTATGGCTCCTCTGGGGAAACGCTTGCCAATTCCTCTTGGCCTTCCTGCTCTGTCTTCCTCCTTTCTCTCTTTCCTTGTCTGCTTTCCTCTGTATTTATGTCTCTGCTTCTGGGAGCCTCTCACTAGCAATTCTGCCAATCTCCACTCCTTCCCCTCCAACCTTTCCCTTCCTGGGACCTCTCTCTGACACACTTAATAGTTGCTGGTTTACCCTGCTGCTCTTTTTTCCAGCGTGTGGCCTTGCCACACCCCTTCTGGCACACTCCATGCACAGCTCTCAGAGTGCCTGGTACACAACTGTCCCGGTAATTCCTCTCCCAGGACTTCAGTAGGAAGCTTTGGGAGATGTGCTGATTGCAAACAAAGCAGAATGACCACCCCAAAACGTTGCAAACAGTACTGAAAGCGGGATTGTGTATAACCTTCCCAATACCATCATGTGCACAAATAGTCATGAATGCACAATATAAATGCCATATGGAGAGGCCCTGGTTGATTTTGGCAGAAGCTAGTGTGGACTAGGGACCACTCTGTCAGGTGCACAATGATCTCTTCACCATCATCTCATTCCTAGTAGTTCACTGTTTGTGTATCCTGTACCCACTTTTCCTCCTGCAAAATTAACAGCTTGCCTGGAGTCCTGGGTCAGGGATATCAAGCTTCTGAGAGGCTCAGCTAGTAGGCATTATTTTTTAAAGAATTGGGGTGCTTCTGTAAGCTTTAACAGTGTACTTTTACTTTGGTTATTGGCTGTTGTTCTGATTGTATAACAGCTGCTTTGTGAAGCTACTTTCCTAAAATGCAGAATGCTAGTCTGTTCAATAAATTTAACAAACAAGGCCTAGGCAAATAAGAACGAATTCTCTATGCATGATGCTGAAAGTTCAGCCAACCGACTTAGCCCCAGGAACGTCTCTCTAGGAGGGGCATTCCAAATGTGTGGGGTGGGACAAGTGAAAAAGCCCTTTCTCCCGTCACCTCCCACCTAACCTCAGAGCTTGGGCAGACTTAAGAAATGCTTCCAAAATCTGCTCCGGTGTCCACAGGACAAGGCAAACCTGTTGCTCAGCACCAAGGAGAGTTCCTAGTGAGCAACTTGCTTTTGACAAGGCTTGGAAATGAACTGAAGTCTTTTGAGCCTCTGCATAAGAACACAGGAAGCTGCCTTAGAGCAAATCAGACCATTACCTTCAATGACTGGCAGAGGCTGTCCAGAGTTTCAGGCAGCAGTTTCTCCCAGCCCTACCTGACAATGCTGGAGGTTGAACCTGGGACCTTCTGCATGCAAAGCATAGGCTGTATCACTGAGCTGCAGCCTCTGTGACAGGAGGGAGCCAGCAGGAAACCACACTGAGAAAGTTGGCATCAGCTCTTTATTAGCTTAAATAGGATCTACACAGGAGTGCCAGGCCTACTGAGCACAACAGCTCTTCTCTGGCAGGTCTTGCCCCCATAAAACACATGCGAAGACTAAAGGTCCCCACCTCCCCACAGCTGCCTAAGTCCCTGCCTCTTCAGGGTTTTCCCCAAGCAATCTGATACTGTGCCTGAGTGAAGCCAACTTCTCCACTCTCTTCATACCTCTTCTGTTTCTGGGAGACCAGGAGGGAGGGGAGCTTGTCACCGTAGGAGGGGGAGACACCCGCGCCTCTTCACCAGCTGGATTCGTCTCTGCCTCTTGGCCTCCCTCCTCCCTGTGTCACCTTATGCCTCTGATTCTGGACTTCTCTCTGACACAGACTCCTCCCGCTAACTAAGCCCTGTTTCCTTTTCAGCTTCCGACACCTTCTCCTCCCAGTCTTCTTCCTCTGACCACTCATGATCACCTACCACCACTCCCTGGGCTCTGAGCCTTCTTCCCTTGGGGGATCCCCAGCCAGTTCTCCCCAACATTCTTCTGCGCCCAACCAGTCTGTGACACTCTGCTTCTATTCCACCTCTCCTGCACTCCATGGGCTCCTGAACTGGATGCTTCCTACACTGTTGGGCTAGCAAGGTACTTTGGGAAGCATTTCCAAGGGAAGACACACATGTTTATCCTGATTTGGTTTTATGGACTCTGGTGTTGTGGTCTCTGGTTCAGTGGGTTTCTGCCGGCCAGCCTTGGGTTCAGTGGCCTCTGATAAGCAAGAACATAGTTTGACTCCTTAGCTGATGACACTGTATTCTCAGCTTAGTGTCCTGTTCGCTGCTGGACTTTAGGATCACGACACCGATGATGACCAGAGAAGTCACAAGGTTATGACTTCTGGGCATGAGTGCTGCAATGGAATGTGGCTGCACTTTTTAAAAAAAATCAAAATGGGCACGGGATGAAGTAGTTGCTGGCAGCCTTGTCACACCCCGAGGGGAGGAAGGGAAAAATTTAAGCGCACCATTTATTTACATATTTATAATCTGCACTTCCATAAATATATAGCAAGGCAGAGTACCAACATACAAGAGTAATAAAATCAACGAGAGGGCCATAAAAGCACCAACAAAACATCAATAATTCTAGCTGACAACTGTCCTCCTCTTTAAAATGGTTGTGTGACTCAGGCTGTAGCCCAGATGTAAATAATAGCTGGGAGGGAGGTTTGAGCTGCAGCATTTTTTGCCTGTCATCTGCTGGGAAGCTTGATGAGTGCCATCTGGTGGAGCTGCGGGTAAACAGAAGCAGATTGTGTTGTAGAGCAGAGCATCGTTGAGGACACATAAAATAGCTGAGCCAAGAACATGGGAAAGCTTCTAGTGGAACAGAATATACCATACACGGCAAATAACTCCCGTGGCACCTCAAAGCCCTCCAGATTTATTGAGGCAAAAGGCTCTTGTAGACTTTTGTTGTTGTTGTTTAGTCGTTTAGTCGTGTCCGACTCTTTGTGACCCCATGGACCAGAGCACGCCAGGCACTCCTGTCTTCCACTGCCTCCCGCAGCTTGGTCAGAGTCATGTTAGTAGCTTCAAGAACACTGTCCAACCATCTTGTCCTCTATCGTCCTCTTCTCCTTGTGCCCTCAATCTTTCCCAACATCAGGGACTTTTCCAGGGAGTCTTCTCTTCTCATGAGGTGGCCAAAGTATTGGAGCCTCAGCTTCACGATCTGTCCTTTCAGTGAGCACTCAGGGCTGATTTCCTTAAGAATGGATAGGTTTGATCTTCTTGCAGTCCATGGGACTCTCCTCCAGCACCATAATTCAAAGCAGACTACACAAACGTAAATAACCACACTAGCAGATGTCAGTGGAATGATGTCTGCTAGTGAAACAAGACTTCCCCCCTTGCCAAAACTGCTCTGGAGAGACAAGATAAGTCCCTGAACAGCATGCAGGGGGAAGAAGACGGGAGATTGTTCCATCAGGCAAGCAGAATGCAACCCTTAATTTTAAAGTGCCACAGGACATGTCTGAAATTTTACTGCAGTTTTTGCTTTACTGCTCTCAACTCAGCTACTCGTGTTATTTGAGATGAGTAAAGCAGCATATCCTCCAACATTTATCTGATAGGGACGTCCCATTCCATAATGATAATTTTACTATTCATACCCAACACATCTTACTTGGTTGCCCCAGCCACTCTGAGCAGCTTCCAACATATATATAGACATAACCAAACATTAAACTTTTTTTTAAAAAACCTTTCCTATGCAGGATTGCCTTCAGACGGCTTGGGGGTTGGATAACTTCATACCCTCCAACATTTATCCAATGAAAATAGGGACGTCCTAAGGAAAAGCGGGACATTCTGGGATCAAATCAGAAACCGGGATCGCTTCTCTAAATCAGGGACATCACTGGAAAATAGGGACACTTGGAGGGCCTGAAGCAACAGTGGCAAATACTAAGCAGAACAACATAATCCAGCTATTGTTATAACCTTTAATTTTTAAAAGTGTTCAGTACCTGCAGCTGTAGCAGAAGCAAGGAAGCTTTGGATGCTCAGAAGTGTTATTGAACTGAGGAAGCCTGCATTTTACTGCCTCAACATGAAATAGTGTCAAAAGACACTCCTTCTTAAATTCTTCATTCTTAGGCTGCAGTCTTAAACAGTGAGTCTTAATTTTAAACAAGCATTGATAGGGACTGAAATGTTAATGCTACTTTCTTGATGTTCCAGTAAATGTGTGTTGGATCAGCAAACCAGGATTGAGTGGTAGAGAACATGACCGTGGAAGGTACTCTGAGGCAAAATGGTAGTGAAATTATAGAAGCAGGGGACTGGGGAGGTACTGTATATGTGGAAAAGTACAGGCATTAGGCTTTAGAAATGCTTTTCTTTTTTTGGCAAACCAGTAGGTAGGATGTTTATTAAATTATACACATATAATTCAGATTTTACTGAGCTATGCCATGGGGGGGGGAGGAGTTGCATATTTTAATGCTCTGCAGTATATAAAACCTCGTGCACATATAAAGTCCTAGTCTAGAATTTTCACTGACATAATCACTTGTATGTACCACTCTGGCATGCAAAATGCTAGTTTTGCCCTGCAGATGTTAGTGGGCTTCAGATGCTGCCACCCCCAGCCAGCATGGTAAATAATTAGGGGAACTAGGAGATGAAAATCTGGAGGGCCATAGGTGCACCAGCCCTGGTTTAATAAATAAGCCTCTTTCCTGATAAAAAATTGCTATCAGAGCCCGTATGGAATATATTACCTCCCCCGCCCCTAACCAAGGCCATAGAAAGCATTCTGACTCCTGGTGCTGGTTATAGACCAGGGCTAGGGAACATCTGGCCCTCCAGATGTTGCTCCATCATCCTCAGCTGGTATGGCCAATGGGACTCAGGGCTGATGGGAGTTGTATTCCAACAACGCCTGGGGGGGCCACAGGTCCAACAGACCTGGCCTACAGGATCCTGCCTTGGAGCATTTAAAGGCACCAGGACGATTAACAATGGAGCGGTCAAGGAGAAGATGTGAATGGCCTTTGTCGGATCAAGGCCAGGAAAGCAAGCGTTTGCCAGATCTATTTCATGAGTCCATCAATACAAGCTGCCAAGGCTGGGGTGACAGCCAATTAATAAGTGCAGCAGAGCCAAACAGCTGAGCCAGCAGCAGAAAAAGGATGCCAGTGCTATGTAACAGTGTCTTGGGAAGCCAGGAACTTGGGGAAACCAACCCCAGAAAGCAGGAGTTTGGGGTCAAAGAGTCATAGGATGGTGGACACAGAGTGATTATAAAGCAGGCAGGGAGATTTGAACTTGAATATATAGAAGGTGAATCCTGGGATTCTTGGGGAGTAGCCTTGGGGAATCTGCTTTGCTTTTGCCTGCCTGAAATGTGTCACTGAACTCTGATAATGCCTCTTGCTTATTTCCACCATGTCTTCGTGCACCATCCAGATTTTCCTGAAAAGTTTCTGTGGGAAAATTAAACTTGGCTGTCCAAAGTGGGACGTCAACGCACACCAGTAGCTTCTCATGTACAATGGTTCCCAGACACTTCAATAACGGCTCTGTTTTAGGAGGAACACTCTGGGGGTCGATGCTGCCCCCACCCCAAAGCATTTGCCACCTGTGGCAGGTGCTGCTTTCTAGCTAACGGTAGGGCTGGCCCTGTACACCTATAACATACAGCTCGGAACATATCCATGGCTTTGTGATAGCTGTATGCAGGGTGGGCTCACCCATGAGACAAGGTGAGGTTACTGCCTCAAGCAGCAGGATCTACAGGGGCAGCAAATCCTGTTGTCAATCTTTCTTCCCCCCCTTATTCCTGAAGTAAATCTTCTCTCACCCCTTCTTCCCTGGTGGGGAGGGGGATGCCATTTTGGGGTCTGCCTCAGGTGCCAAAATGTCTTGGGCCAGTCCTGGCTGTATGCTACCTACAGGAATCAGTTTCTGGATACCAGTCACCTGTGGGCTTTCCAGGTGCACCTGACTGCCCTCTGGAGGTAACAGGATACTGGGATTGACATCATCACTGTAGTCCTTTGGCTACAATTAAACAAAGTATGGGCTTTAAAGCTGTGTGTGATTTACTGTTTCATTCATTAACAGTTTGGGGCCAGGTCCCCCACGAGATTGCCTTACCCCACATGTGCCCTCTCAACTTCTTCGACTGGCGAAATTGGCACTACTATAGGTGACACATAATACCCATTCCATATTTGTAAGAACTCGGCTGCTTAGTGTGGCAGTGCCTACACCTTGGAACTCCCTGCCTATTGAGATCAAGCAGCTGCCCTTCACTGTACTTTTTCTGGCGCCCGTTAAAAACATTCTTGTTTAGACAAGCCTGTCCAGACGCTTAGAAAGTCGAGGCAATCTTAATCTGTTTTAGTATTTTAACGTTTGTGTATTTTAAAAAAGGGTTGTGAATTTTTTCTTGATTTTCTTGTATCGTTTTGTAAACCACTTTGAGAGTTTTCTGTTTACAAATGGTGTATAAATTTTATTAAATAAACACATGTGTTTTTATACTATACAGTCCCCTATGAACCTCATTTCAAGGGCGACGTATTAATGTAATGAATGAGTATTTTTATGTCAAACTTCTTGTGGGCAAATATATACAGTATACATCTTTTATACCTTCTAAATGAAAGAATTTTTTCTTTGCACATATGCATATGTACGCAAATAGGCTGCCGTACGTCGAGAATTTCCCGGACACATAAGGGATTCGCCCGTCGGAAACAGCGCCGGGGAGGATTTCCCGAAAGTCGGTTACAGTGTCCTTGAAAACCCGGGCGTATGGCAACCCACGCTTTTTTTGGCGAATTTCCTAAAAATTATCTCAAAAACTTCATTTTTGAAAAATGGCAACCCTGATTATACAAAACGCACCACATGCTAAAAAAAAAAAATACTGTTCTCTAATTTTAGCCAATTGGAAGCGGGCGGCCCCCTGGAGGTATGGAACGATCTCCACGTGGTCTTCGCCGTCGCCCCGCCCCCTGATCCCCGCTGGCCAGGCTCCTCCCCTTCCCCGCCTTACTTGCCCCGGCTTTTCTGCCTCGTAACGTAACGCGTCACCCGGCGCGCGCGCCCCGCCGCTCTTTTTCATTTTTTTCACCTTACCGCGCCGCGGATTGGCCCGCCTAGGCCCCTCCCTCCCCCCTCGCGCCTGCGCAGCTCCCCTCCCGTCCCTTCAGAGGAAGCGTTCGGCGATGGAGGACGGCGGCGGCGGAGGGAGCAGCAGTTGCCAGAGGCGGTCTCAGTCGGGAGGAGGGTCGGGCCCCGGCGGCGGGGACGACAAGCCGGCGGCGCTGTGGAGCAAGGACAAGAAGGACCCCAACGCCTCGGCGGCGGACAAGGAGCAGGAGCTGGTGAGCGCTGCGCCGGAGGGAGCCGAGCTGAGTCACCGCCAGGCCCCGAGCCGGGAGTTCGCGGGGACGGCCGTCGCCTCGGCGGCGCGTGACGTCGGGCCCCGATCTCGCGAGGGGCGGGTGGGCCACATAAAACCCCCGCAACCCCCCTCCCCCGCGCAGTTAATTCCCTTGTGGGCAGTGATTGATAGCCAGGGAAATGTCAGCTCCGGACTGTGGGAAGAGCCGAAGGAGCATGTGCAGAGAGAGCTCTCTGGCAAGCCTACTGCTTCTGAGCATGTGCAGAGTTCCTCACAGAGGCGAGTGCTTCTGAACATGTGCGGAATGCTTTTTTCGGGGGGGGGGGTTGCCTCTGGCAGCCACAGCTGGGCTTAGCGGGATGTGGATTTCCTCCCCTCTCCAGTATTTAGTGTGCGATGTTTATATTGTGCTTTTACGGCTTTTTTTGTTTTATTTTGAGCTGCCTAGATAGACTGGGGCAATCCAGTCAGATGGGCGACAAACAAACAAACTAAAAATAAATACAGTGGTACCTCGGGTTACATACGCTTCAGGTTACAGACTCTGCTAACCCAGAAATAGTACCTCGGGTTAAGAACTTTGCTTCAGGATGAGAACAGAAATCATGCTCCGGTGGCGCGGCAGCAACAGGAGGCCCCATTAGCTAAAGTGGTGCTTCCGGTTAAGAACAGTTTCAGGTTAAGAACGGACCTCCGGAATGAATTAAGTACTTAACCCAAGGTACCACTGTAGTGTTGTTTCTGCGGGCACTCACAACCTGGGTATTCCTGGTATGCCAAATGAGACCACTTGCTCAGTGGCGCTAGTAGGTGAGGTAATAAAAATTCTAATGACAATAATTAGTGGTACGTATTTGGCAATACTTTGGGATGGGTTATGTCTGCCACGGTAAGAAGTGGGCTTGCCCTCCCTCTGCTGAGAATATTATGATTGGGAGGCCCTCCTTCTGTTCCTAGGGGCAGGAAGGTTGTATCTGGGCAAATGAACCTGAGTGGGTGTGTTAAGAGTTTAGGATCTGATGGTTTCTTCCTAGGTGAGCAAAATGAAAATGGGTTAGATATGGCATTATTCCTTAATAGGGAAGGGAATTGCACAGAATTAAGACTGGTCCTTCATTTAACTTAAATGAAAGCCTCCTCAAGTTGGTAGTTAGTCTAGTCCAGTGCTGGCGACAAATCTGTTTAACTACCTTCCTAGGTGTTTTAGGCAGTCTCAGTGCTTCCTGTCACTTCCCCCCATTTTCTGAAAATGTTTATCAGCAGTTTTGCCCAACAGCTGAGGATCTTTTGGGCTGGGAGAAAGCGAGCACCACCTCCCACTGCATATTGCTGCAAACATCAGTTGCACTTCAGAGCAACTGAAAGGTCTAGCTGATTTTCTAGTACAGGATAAGATTTTGCATGGGGGTGTTGTTCCTGGCCCCTGCACGTGTTGGTAGAGCATGCAGAAGCTTGCCCCTGTTCTGCCCTCTTCCGGGTCCAAAAGGATCCGCACATTGTCAATTGGACATGTGCAAAATGGTCGCCAACAGTACAGGTTTTCCAAGAGGCCTGAAGTTTCACATCTTTCCTTAATTCCTTACAGTCTGAAGAAGACAAACAGTTACAGGATGAGCTGGAGATGCTTGTGGAGCGCTTGGGGGTAAGTTCCCTGTTCTTGACTGGGAGCATGCGGAAGTTAAATGGTAAAGCATTATGCTTTTCTACATCAGTAGTATAGATCACTGTGTGGTGCAGCCACTCTCTGGAAAGGTAGAGTGCATGGTGGAGTCTGCAGGCTGTGTTGGTAACAGTCCTCATTCTCCCCACTCTACCTCCACCAGTCAAAACAAATTCTCTACTCTTCTCTTCTCCCAGGCCTTCAGCTAATTAAACAATGTATGGCCTTTGAAATTGTGTGTGGGGTTTGTTTGTTTCCTAGCTACTATATTCCGTAAGTGTGGTATCGTTACCAAAAAAAAAAAACAACAAAAAAAAAAGCTTTCCCTGGTTGCCACCTGGGACACCAGGAGAGAGTCTGATGAAGATCTCAGGGCTTGGGCAGGTTCTTAAGAAGGTTATTGTCTGCAAAAAGTTACCTGTGTCTGTTTCCAGTAACTGTATGTGGGTTTCTGGTGGCAAAGATGTATGTTGACTCACATTGACACTATTAGATATAAAGAGGCGGTCTTGGAAGTGGTGTTTGGGTGTTGTTGTTTGATCCGCTCCCACTCCTGATAGCAACTGATTTTATTGTAGGAGCATGACACTGCTCTCTATCGACCTGCACTGGAAGAGCTACGCAGGCAGATCCGTTCTTCCACAACCTCCATGACTTCTGTACCCAAACCCCTGAAGTTTCTGCGGCCACATTATGGGAAGCTGAAGGAGATCTATGAGGCTATGGCTGCTGGGGAGAACAAGGTATGTAACATTGTTTGGCCTGAGAAAGTGTTAGATGTCATCTCAAGTCTTGCTTTCATCTCTCCCAGCGCTGCAAGAGCAAATGTGGATTGCAAGTGCATTAAATTTATTTGAAAAGAAAGAAGGAAGCCCTTCTGGTATGGATTGCAAGCCCACTTCCTATCTTTGCAGTGGGAGGACTAGTATTTAGTGGAGTTGGTGCTGCTGTTCTTTGGAAAGAAGTGAACAACCTTTACCTTGAAGCATTGTGCCTTAGGTATTTGGTTGGCCCCTATGGGAACAGAGTGCTGGATTAGATGCAGCTTTGGTCTGATTCAGGGAGACATATTTTGAACTGGGGAAGATGCAAATTATAATATTGTTTTCAATTCTGCCGTTCTTCAATTTATACCAACCATATTCATGGCTGACCATAGGATGCATCTCTAACACTTGCTTTCTGCCCACAGCGATTTGCAGCTGACATAATCTCAGTTTTGGCCATGACAATGAGTGGAGAGCGAGAGTGTCTAAAGTACCGGCTGGTAGGATCCCAAGAACCCTTGGCCTCATGGGGGCATGAATATGTCAGGTAAGCAACAAAAGGAGATATTTGACTTTACTGAAACTCTGGGGTGTATTTTTTTGTATTTTAATTATTATTAACTGAAACACCACCTTCTGTGTAACTCCAGGAGTCATGCATAGGGTTCCCAGGTGATCTCCCATCCAGGAACTAGGTGGACCAGCTTAGCTTCCACAGAATTGCTTCATCAAATTCTTACAGCAGCTCTGTGCTGTTTTCCATTGCCAAGCTAATATGCTTTAATCAGCTCAAAGAGTTAATTATTTACTTATAAAATTTATACATTGCTTGATTGTAAACACACTCAAAAGCAGTTTATGAAAAGATAAGACAATAAAATCAAGATAAATTTACGCTACTTTAAAACGTACAAAAGCTAAAATGCTAAAGCAGATTAAAATTACCTGAACTTTTTAAGCACCTGGGAATCTTTTTAGCAGGTGCCAGAAAGTGCAAGATTGGGTGTTATTAAAAGCTTCGCGTTTAGATTGTTTGTTGAGAAGGTTGTAAAATATCTGTATATAAATGAATTAAGTTTCTCTTGAGTTAGATAAGGAAGGGTGAAAAATTGAAAGTGAAGGCACCTCCTTGATCTCAATAGGCAGGGAGTTCCGAAGAGTAGGTGCCACCACACTAAACAATATGATTTTTTTTTTATTGCTATAATTTTATTGGCAATTTTGCTTCATTTGCAGCCTGCTTTGAGAACAGCTAGTCAAATGTAGGTTATAAATCCAACCAGAAAAGAGATGAAGAAATACTCTTTCTGTTGTGACTCTTCCCCCTGCTTCTTCCTCTACAGACACTTGGCTGGTGAGGTGGCCAAGGAATGGCAAGAAATAGATGAGGCAGACAAGACCCAGAAGGACACTCTTCTGACCCTAGTGAAGGAGATTGTGCCATACAACATGGCACACAATGCAGAGCACGAGGCCTGTGACTTGCTTATGGAGATTGAGCAGATGGACATGCTGGAGGAATATATTGATGACAACGCTTATGCCAAAGTCTGCCTCTATCTGACAAGGTGAGGGAACTGTTGTTTGGTTCTGTGGTCTGTGTGTCTGTGTCTGTGAGTATGAGTGTGAACTGCTCTGCGGGGCTAGCATGGAGACTTGGGCTTAAGGAAGTTGGTGTATTCAGAACCTTCTTGTCTCCACAGACTGGTTCAACTATTAAGTGGAGGACAGCAATAATGAGATCTAGTTCTTTGGTTTGGTAACGTAGAGGATACCTAGTTTTTTAAAAAAATCTGTGGAACTAAGAAAGCCAGCCTGTGGCTTTGAGGTGTAACTGCATGAGAGGCGCCTGGTATGGCAACAAATAATTAGCCAAGACCCTGTAGGATCACACAGAAGGACTTGGAAAATGGAGGGGAGCAGCCTGATGAAGAGTGGCGGGTATAGTATATTTGCAGGTATAGAGGAGGCCAGAGAAGAACATTCTGAAAAACAGCAGCTGAGGGCTAAAAGGAGATGAGCTTGTGCAGAGTGGGAAGTGTAAAGGTTTAAGAGAGTACAAGATGGAGAGCTTTGAAAGTGGAGGTATTGTTCTGTTACTTCACAGTCAACTGATCTTTGCATTCCAATTTTGATTCTGACACAGCAGTGCACTTCACACGAAGGCTGGAACCACATCGGCTAGCTTGTGTTTCCACATGCCCACCCATCTCTCCACCTTTGCAATGTATCATTTGGTAGGGGAAAATTTACAGGACTAAAAGGGCAATTGGAGGAGGGTGTTTAACCCTTGCTTACCTCTTTTCCTGTGCAGTTCATTCTATTCTCTACAGTTGAGCTTCCAAGTCTCTGTTGGCAATAAAATTCCAACGGGGGACTTGTAGAAAGGTGATGGATGGAGGCAGGGTTAAATACCTTTCCCCCATTCACTGCTTCACCCTCTTGTAAATTGTACCATCGCCACCTTGCAGTGGAAAATTTACAGTTAAACAATATGAAATGTAAGTTGGCAAATAATGTGTAGTTTTGGCCTAAGACTGTCTGCAGAGTGAATTGATCTCTTGTCTTGGCTCACAGTAAAGTGTTTTATTGTCACAATTTGAGCTGGGATGCTCCTTGAGTCTGGTAACACTTATAAAGGTGGATCTTATTTACTAGCTGTTGAGATTTCTGGCTGCTTCAACAATGGGTGTGTGTGTGTGTGTGTGTGTGTGAGAGAGAGAGAGAGAGAGAGAGAGAGAGAGGGCAAATATTTAGCTGTGCATACAGGTCCCCCTGCAGTCCCCCCGAATGTTGTAGTGTTTGCCTTCTCATCCATTATTGAGGAAAGAGTTTGCCCAACATGTTGATACCACCCAAGCTTCATCATCTCCCTCTCTGTCTCTTGCAGCTGTGTTAGCTATGTCCCTGAGCCGGAAAACTCTGCCCTCCTCCGCTGTGCCCTCAGCATCTTCCGGAAATTCAATCGCTACCCAGAAGCCCTGCGCCTGGCTCTCATGCTGAATGACATGGAACTGGCAGAGAACATCTTCATCTCCTGCAAAGATGTGTATGTGGGGACCTTGTCTAGGGCTGGGTGTTGTCACAGAGGTCCAGGTTGTTGGGGGAAAAGGAGAGCAGATAAGTAGTGAGAAGGCCAGATGCAGTGAGCAAGGCTTGTGTGGCTATTCTCTCTTAAATCACAGGTCAGGGCGGGGAATGGCCTTAGAACTGATAAGCAAAGAGTGGATGAACTTCACCCCACAGGCCACATCTGGGTTCCCAAAATGTTTTCTGTGACCCTACCAAAGTTTTCATTTAGTTTTTTTAATTACCTTTTTTTTTTGCTGACCGCTGACATTTGTGATGCCAAAAGGTTTCTGTGAACCTCCTCCTCAAAGTTCCTCCAGAATTTGATTTTTAAAAAATTAAAAATTGGCCATGGCCACTTAAACTGGTCACACCTGAAAGGTCATAGTTTAATGGTAGAGCAACTGATTTGCATTCAGAAATTCACTTGTTCCATTCTTGACATCTTCACAAGTTACTTGCTCTACCCCGGTCTATAGTGCTTTTGTTGGCTGAAAGCTAGGAAGATACTAGTGAGGTTTCTGCAAGCCTTGTTATGTGAGGAATGGAATGTTGCATGCACGGTTCCTTGTGCTAATATGCTTGCATTTTCTGCCCTTTACTGCAGGGTTGTTCAAAAGCAAATGGCCTTCATGCTGGGTCGCCATGGAGTCTTTCTGGAGCTAAGTGAGGATGTAGAAGAGTATGAGGATCTCACAGAAATCATGTCTAATGTCCAACTCAACAGCAACTTTCTGGCCCTGGCCAGGGAGGTGAGTGCCCTGCAGACTGCTATGAGCTCACACTCATGGATGAAAGTGACCATTGGATCATGTAGGGAAGCAGTTGTATCAGGTCATTTGCAGAAGACACATTTAGAATGGAGCGGATTGGTGAACATTGATTGGAAATACCAAATTTATTAGAGATGTCTGGGAATACTTACCGAGGCAGTGAAGTTTAATTTAACAGAAAACCATCTGAAACTTTGTTTCCTTTGTCTTTTGCAACCAAAAATTGAAATTTATTGTTCTTGAGATGAAATGCCTCTTAATTAAGGGCCAAGTGCCTCATAGGCTATTCAGTTATCCCCTGTGACTAGGGGTGTGTTACTTGAGAGACCACCTTATCCCTTAAACTCCCAATAGATTGCTGTGATCTGTGGGAGAGTTTCTCCTGCAAGTTTCTAAGGTCTCAGGAGCCTGTTCTGCAGTAACTCAGAGCAGGGCTTTTAGTGTGGCTTACCTTGTTCTGTGGAATAACATTTGTTTTATGTTTTTAGTTATTTTCAATGTACTTCATCTTCAGATGGCTGTTTAGAACGCAGTTAATAATTTGAGGATAATTATGTTAATGATGGAACGCGGGTGGCGCTGTGGGTAAAACCTCAGCACCTAGGACTTGCCAATCGTCAGGTCGGCGGTTCAAATCCCCGCGACGGGGTGAGCTCCCGTTGCTCGGTCCCAGCGCCTGCCAACCTAGCAGTTCGAAAGCACCCCCGGGTGCAAGTAGATAAATAGGGACCGCTTACTAGCGGGAAGATAAACGGCGTTTCCGTGTGCTGTGCTGGCTCGCCAGATGCAGCTTGTCACGCTGGCCACGTGACCCGGAAGTGTCTCTGGACAGCACTGGCCCCCGGCCTCTTAAGTGAGATGGGCGCACAACCCTAGAGTCGGACACGACTGGCCCGTACGGGCAGGGGTCCCTTTACCTTTACTATGTTAATGATAATAATGCAGCATAGGCTGCAGTGTTGTGTGGGCTGGGCTGGGATGCAGAAGTCAACTTCAGGGACCCAAGCTCATTAGAGGCAGAAATCTCCTCAATCCTTTTTACATACCTTGGTCTCTGGATTGGAGGTTTTGCTGTGGTGTCTTGGGGAGGAAGAGAAGGCTAAGGCTTGCAAGTAGGTTGCTTGCACTGCAGAGCGACTGGGGTTAAAGGACTGACAACTTGGGAGGTCAAGTGAAAGTCTGCTTTGGTGGAGTGGGGTGGGTGGAGTGGGGTGGGCTGACCTGGAGCATGGCTTCTGAAAAATGGCATACAGCCTTTTTTGCAAAATGTGTATTATGGCAACTGATTGGTCCCCAGTGGAGATGAGCTATACAGTGGTACCTTGGTTCTCAAACATAATCCGTTCCAGGAGTCTGTTCAACTCCCGAAACAGTTTGAAAACCAAGGCGCAGCTTCTGATTGGCTGCAGGAGCAGCCGTGTTGGGTGTTCGGCTTCCGAAAAACATTTGCAAACCAGAACACTTCTGGGTTTGCGGCATTCAGGAGCCGATTTGTTCGGGAGCCAAGCCATTCGAGTACCAAGGTACCACTGTAATGCTTTCCTGTAAAGTTAGGAAAGCCATGTTATAATGCTGCGGCATCATATGACTAAGAAGAATAACCTCTTCTTTTCCTTCCAGCTGGACATCATGGAGCCAAAAGTGCCAGATGATATTTACAAAACCCATCTAGAAAACAACCGTAAGTGTTCTACTCAGAGCAGTGGGGTAGCCATCCAGGCAGCTTCATCAGGGTCCTGATGGCAGAACCAAAGTTTATTCAAGTTACAGTAAAGGAATTTCACTTATAAAGTAAATAAAAATGGTTTCATGCTATGTTACATATCTACAGTGATACCTCAGGTTACATACGCTTCAGGTTACAGACTCTGCTAACCCAGAAATAGTACCTCGAGTTAAGAACTTTGCTTCAGGATGAGAACAGAAATCGTGCTCCAGCGGCGTGGCGGCAGCAGGAGGCCCCATTAGCTAAAGTGGTGCTTCAGGTTAAGAACAGTTTCAGGTTAAGAACGGACCTGCAGAACGAATTAAGTACTTAACCCGAGGTACCACTGTATTAGATTTTGAATGAAAATATACACATTAGCGTGTACTTTATATGAATAAAGTACATGCTAATGTGTATATTTTCATTTGTATATTGCTATTATCTTTAGGCACTCAAAGCAGCTTAGATACCAATATCTATAGCATATCGAGACTGATATCTCGATCATCATAGCAATTTCTAAAATTCACACATTGTAATATGTAGCACCTATTACACGGCATCAAATCAGTGAGCTTTTATCAGAGCTAGAAGAGACCTTATGAAATAGGCATGCTTCTGAAGCTCTTAGTAGAGTGGGCCTGGCAAACTTCCCTTGGGAGGGAATTCCACCACACAGATATCACTGCTGAAATGGCTCTGTTCTTAAGTAGATGCTAACTGTAAGCAGATGGTCTGGTTGAGTTTAGCTATTGCTACTGTTCATTGAGTTTGTATCCTGCCCTTCCTCCCAAAGGAGCCCAGGATGGCAAACACACCCACAATTTAAAAAGAAAAACAGTCTACTCTACAACAGTTTAAAACATTTAAAAGCAGATTCAGTTAAAAACATAACTTTATCCAGTGATCTTGGGGTTGTCAGGAATAGTATGATTAAGCTGCCAACAGGTGCTTGCTGTAATATTTGCACATTTATTTTGCGACGACTGTGGGTTTGGAATAAAAAAACTTAAGAATTAACTGCAGGCAGTGGTGGCACCTGGAGCAATGTCTTGCCTGCTTAGTTCATAGGGATGAACTGGTGTTATATGTAAGAGCTGGGGTATTCCAAACTTTTCAAGGGTTGTCCACGTGCAAGGTATTATGATAGTCCAAGTTGATAAATAAGTAGTTCTGCCCGAGCTCTTAGGCTCACCAAATCACTTGTGCTTTACTTCAAAATGCTGTGTCTTGTCTTCATTGTTGCATGCAGTTTTCTATATTAATCAAGCAATCATTCAGCTAGAAAGTGTAGGTGTCTTTAAGAGCTGGTGGCTGCTCACCCTGCAAAAATGCTGTCTTTCCTTGACTGCCACGTGAGATGAATGGGAGAAGTGTGAATGGAGCGCTGGCTGAGAGGAGGACCTGTTTGAGTAGTTCTAGGCTGACACTGGAGTCTGTCATCCTCAACTGGCTCCCTCTTGTGCGTTCTGCTCCTTCAGGGTTTGGCGGCAGCGGCTCTCAAGTGGATTCGGCTCGCATGAACTTGGCCTCGTCCTTTGTTAATGGTTTTGTGAATGCTGCTTTTGGGCAGGACAAGCTGCTGACAGACGACGGCAACAAGTGGCTGTACAAGAACAAGGACCATGGTGAGTCAGAAGAGGAGCAGGCAGCAGATGGTCTGCTTGGGAGAACATTGTGGGGGTGGGGGAGATGGTGATCAGAGAGCTCTCCCCTACTATTTTTCTGTGGCAAAATTTGACTGAATGACCTTCTTGACAAGGGCCTGGTGATACTTTTGTATGTTATACTTTCTAACTTGGTGCTCTTGGCCAAGGACTTCATTCCTGAGGTTTGAATTCTTTTGGCTGTTATGGGCTTGGGACATTTCGTTCATTGGTACTGGGACTGCTGCATGTGTGACATTCGCCCAGTTAAATTGGTTGCTTCAGGCCAAACTAGGGGTGAGGGGTTTATTTTCATATTTCATCCGTGGCATCTGCATGGATGATAGGTGGCCCAGGAATTGCTTTTAATTATAAAACGATCTGGCATAAAGCAGAGGGTGGGAAGCAAATTTTTACAAAGAAGTGTGTGCATAGGTGTGGAAGCATCCCCTGCTTTGTGTCCCCATCCTCTGTCACATCAGGCACTTTACTTCCCCAGCCTGGATCTCTGAACGTGGTACATGATGGTGCCTCACACCTTTTCATTTTAAAACTTAAGACCCCTCCCCCTACTTTATATGTGAACAGGAAAGGTATAAACGAATGAGATTGCTGCTGCCTTGCCAAGATTGCTCACTCCAACCCAGGCGTGAGCCATGTTTTCCTCTGGGTTAGTTCTTCAGAGTGTGAAACCCTCACCATTTGATGTGGGGTTGGTTTGACTTTGCACAGCTGAGAGTATTTGAGTTAGATCATGTCTCATCTGAAAGACATCTCATTACTGTGCCAAGCAGTGTCTTGATGTGAAACACCTAGCTTTGAAATAAGGGCTAGTCTCTTGACCTTTAAGGCTCTTTGACTTTAACACAAGGTGTTGTCTGAAAGCCTGGAATATTTTTGGTAACTGCTATCTTCTGTTAAGCAGCCTTTGCCATAGCTGCTTGCGCCTCCTAGTTGTCCTGAACCCCTTTCTTCTTCCTCCCCAGTGTAAATTTCCATAACCCCAACGAGACATGCATCCTCTCATTCTCTTATAAGAGTGTCCATCTTCACCCTAAGAAGCTTTTACATTTATTTTATAGGGATGCTGAGTGCTGCAGCCTCGCTGGGGATGATCCTGTTGTGGGATGTGGATGGGGGGCTTACACAGATTGACAAGTACCTGTACTCCTCAGAAGACTACATCAAGGTGGGTGACCTTCCTTTCAGCCTGAGTGTTAACTGCTCACAGCAATCCAGTCATATCAAAATAACAAGACAGACTCTTTTTAAGAGTATAGGAAGTTTCTTTACACTGAGACCACTAGTCCATCTATCTCCGCATTGACTCTTATTATCAGGTTGGCATGTGAGGCATCCGAGTGACAGGTCATCTGCCCTGATTCATCCGGGCAAGGACTACATAACTCAAGTATTTAACATAATGCCACCCTCCAGTTAATTTAGCCCTTTTAGCTTACTAGATACTGTATAGGCTTGTCATGACATTCGTTGTACTTGACAGTGCCTCCCCACTTCCTATTTTGTGTCCTATAGTCGGGGGCTCTTCTGGCTTGTGGTATCGTGAACTCTGGCGTGAGGAACGAGTGTGACCCTGCCCTTGCATTGCTCTCGGACTATGTCCTCCACAATAGCAACACCATGAGGATCGGCGCCATCTTTGGGTGAGGACCTGCCTTGGCTTCCATTTCCCTCTCCGCAGAGCATCGCATATATCATTCTAAGTGACATGGTATTCTCTTGCAGGCTGGGGTTGGCGTATGCTGGTTCTAATCGAGAAGATGTCCTGACCTTGCTTCTTCCTGTAATGGGAGATTCCAAGTCCAACATGGAGGTGAGGGAACAGCGCCACAGCCATCTGGTGCTTCGGTCAGCTGCTTGCCCAGGGGTGGATGGATGGGGCTGTGTCTTTCATGGAGTGTAGAAGGCAATTAGAAGCAGAGTTTCTGTGCTCTAGCTTGGAGTTTGTTTTTGTGTGAATGGCCGAGGGCCATTTAGCTGACTCAGACTTTTATGTTGTAATATTATGTTGTAAAAGCCTGTTGGTCTAACCTATTGATAATGAGAAGGCAGGTGGACCAAGACCTCTCCAAGTGACCTTGGGAAGGAGGAGGTTCATATCTCAGTGCCCTCAGCATGTTGCCCAGCAAAATCAAATTTTGATAGGAAGTTAGTACAACTAAGATGCACAGGACTCCAAAAGCATCCATGTGGAGAGTCTTCTGCTTGACTCTTGGCTTGGGAGGATTAGTGAAAAGGTTTATCCATTTCTTAAGTTTGCAGAAACACAGACCCTGAAGTGTGAATGTCATCTCAAGCCACTTAAACATGTTTGCCATGCAGTAGGCAGTGGGCAAACAGTGCTCAAGGCCAACCTAGGAGTTGTGTAACCTTGAGGTTCTGAATGTCAATATATGTCAAGTCTAGGTTTGAAAGATGATCTTGACGCTCTTCTTCTCATGTGGAATGGGTCAGAGTTCTTGGCTACCTGAAAATCCCATCTGTAGTGGTTTGTTCAGGGGCACAGCAAAGCTATATAAACCTTGAGGAAACCAGGGAATGCTGAACCCATGAAATGATGTGTTTCCTAGTTTCAACTGCTCAGTCTAGTAAAGTGTGACTAGTTTTAATGGTTGCTTCAGACCTTACCCTGATAGACTGGCAGCTATCACTTGGAAAAAGGGGAAAGTTGCCATGCATATTCTTCCCTTTGTGTGCTGCAGGAAAATATCAATGAGCAGGTGTTTCAGCGACTTGGCTCTTGGGAAGTAGCACCGTTTTGCAGGAATCTGGTGGATAGCTTTCACTCTGTGGTCTCCTTCAGGATGCTGCTTACAATATGTCTCTGTCAGAAGCAGTATGTGTCTGAATTCCAGTTGAGAATCATAGATGGGGGAAGGGCTGTTATGCTCAGGTCCTCCTTTGAGGCTTCCCACAGGCATCTGGTTGGCCACTGTGAAAACAGGATGCTGTAGGCCTAGCTGAGCCAGTGGCCTGATCTAGCAGGCCCTTATTGTATTTTCCAGCTGCAAGGATTTTGGTGTGACACTATTTTTCTCCCCAGGTGGCCGGTGTGACAGCCCTGGCTTGCGGAATGATTGCTGTGGGCTCATGCAATGGAGATGTTACCTCCACCATCCTCCAAACCATCATGGAGAAATCTGAGACGGAGCTGAAGGACACTTATGCCAGATGGCTACCTCTTGGCCTGGGCTTGAACCACCTTGGTAAGCACATTCACTATGGCCAGGTCTGTGGGTGTCAGGCACACACTTGTGTAGTGAGGAGGAAGGGTCTCTGGTCAGAATTTTTTGGGCTTCTCTTGAGCTGCTGTTGTGATGTTTCCTACAGGAAAGGGTGAGGCCATTGAAGCAATCCTGGCAGCACTGCAGGTCGTGTCGGAGCCTTTCCGCAGCTTTGCCAACACGCTGGTAGACATCTGTGCCTATGCAGGTGAGTGGGCTCAGCATTGTTTTGGCTGTTTGTGAACTGGGTGTTGGAGACCCCAGTCCCATTTTACTTGTCTTGGGTTTTTCCTCCAGGATCTGGCAATGTGCTGAAGGTGCAACAGCTTCTCCACATCTGTAGTGAGCATTTTGACTCCAAAGAGAAGGAAGAAGAGAAAGAGAAGAAAGAGAAAAAGGACAAGGAGAAAAAAGAGAACTCTGCCGACATGGGGGCTCATCAGGTAGGGTAAAGGTTCCGGGTCTAAGAAAAGGTGAGAGGTCTCTCTCTTGGATGCTGTGAGTGAGAGAACAGGAGCTTGTGGGCAAGGCAAACATGTGGCATGTGCTGTGTGTGCAGAGGTTCCCAGGCTCAATCCCTGGCATTTTTACTAGAAACATCAAATAGCCAATGATGGGAAAGAGCCTCTGCCTGAGACCCTGGAAAGCCTCTGCCTGTCGGAACTGATTCTACTTGGTTGTTCAAACAGTTTGGCCTTGGTATACGGTTGATTCCTGTGCTCCCAACCTAGACAGATGAGCTGACAGCTGCATAGACAAAGGTCATTCTGCTCCTTGGTATTGGGATTGACTGACTGTGCAACAAGACAAAAAAAAAAGTCTGTTTAAACAATTTTAAATTGTTGCCTTGGGTTTGTGCTTGAAATGAAACCACCAGCTTAGTGATATGTTCAGAAATGATGAAAAAATAAATCCTGAACAAATGCCATTGGTTATTTGCTTGTAGGGTTGTATAATTGTATATGCATGGTAACAATCACCACCAAAAGCTGGTCTTAAAATGCAGTTTTGGTTGTACCAGCCCAGAAGTGTGGGTCCTTGTTCCTAACTAAGGAGCAGTTGCTGATAATTTGCATCATCAGCTGGTTGTAATGTCCTCAATTATGTCCTTTCCTCATCTTGAAATCAGCACAAGGGCGCTCTTTCACTCCATGGAGTATTTGAAAGCACTTGGTCATGGTTGTAGGAATAATAGCAAGCTGCATTATACTGGGTGTTGACACACACTGGCAGTGACTCCAGGATTTGAAACTGGGGACACTACCAGCCCTAGTTGGGCGATACCATGGATTGAGCTTGTATGTAAACAGGTGCTTTACCACTGAGCCATAGCCTTTCTTCAAAATACTAGCTGCTAATATTTTATTGCCCAATTGGATGGTGTTGCCTTCCTGTTTGGCGAAACGTGATTTAATTCTGCTAGTCATGGGTAGGGCCATATGGGGCACTGTGGAATAAAGAGTCCTGAACTAAACCAATGGACAGCAACGAGCCAAAACTGGACTGACAGATTTGAGTGCAAAGTTAGTACTAGCCTGGGAAACCATTTTTCTTTCTTACTCTCACAATAAAAAGCTATGAGGCAGTCTTAGGGTGGCCTTGCTTGAGGAAGTTGAGATGCCACATTTAGTTTGGGGAAAATGTGTTTCATCCATGTCACAAGGTATCCTGTGGTTTCGGAATTTGTATTTCCCTCTGCAGGGAGTAGCTGTACTGGGGATTGCACTCATCGCTATGGGGGAAGAGATTGGGGCGGAGATGGCTCTGCGCACCTTTGGTCACTTGGTGAGTAAGATGGTGTGGGGGAAATGCTCTCTCCATTTGGGGGCAAAGATTGCCACTTGGGATCCAGTGTGCAGCCAGGGATCGTTCTGTGTCATTGGCCAGCCCTGCCGTAGTCTGAACTGAAAAACAGAATAAATTTGCCTGCTGTTCCAACCCTTTGTCTGAATTCCTTTCTCAGTGAAGCCAAGTTTGCCACAATTTTGAAATAGTTTTGCAGGACTAATGGAAAAGAGAGAAGACCTTCCAGGATTACAAGCCATATTCTTCATTTAGCTCTACAAATAAGGGATTGGTTTGCTCTTAAATTTGAGCAGCACCTACCATTAAGTCATGACAAGGGAAATACTGTTTGTTGGAAGGGTGGGGTAGAGGAGAGCCTTTTGACTAAAAAAAAAAAAAATCTGTCTTGTGTGAATAATGCAGATCAGACTAGGTCTCTGGAATGTCCCTAGTTGCCTAGGAATGTGTTGCTTCAACATGCCTTTTTTTTGGTGTTTGTGTGTAATACAGCTAGATATATTAAGTCTACCCTGATAGAAGAATTCTGAACTGGAAATGTGTCTCCTAAGGGACTGCACTGACACTGGGGAACAAAGTGAAAGTCTGTCCTATCCCGTTCATTGCCTGCAAGTTCCAAGATCTACATTCCATGTGTTCCAAAACATTTCTTGGCCCTGGTTCACATCACAATTTATACAGGCTTGCTGGGTGGTCTGCACTCTGGTGCACCACTGTAAAGGGAGGGTGACCTCAGCCAAGGAAATACTGCTGCTGCTGCCCCTGTGGGCTGCACTGCTCCCACCCCTGGTCTGCCAGCCGTATGCAGGGTGTGAGCTGTGAACCTAAATGAACATTGCGTTCCTGAGAATTTAGGAGGGGCAGGAGTTGCAGTTTGAAACCACAAAGCTTTGCATCTAACATGTTTTAGGGTTTGTTGAGACTTTAGCTTTGCTTTCTCTGTGGATAAACTGGATGGTTGCTACATATTGTCTGTGTGAAGCCTTGCTGCTAAGAGATTGGAGTTACTTTTTGTTACTCTGGCAGCTGGTGGATGCTCTGATGCCTCTTGGACTGCTGCTGCAACCCTCAGAAAGGCTGCATTTTTGTCTTTGGTTGCGTGTGTCAGAGTGTGCGTAGTGCTCTGCAATCCTGGCCTCACCTTCTCCTCTTCCTTCTACAGTTGCGGTATGGGGAACCCACTCTTCGCCGAGCTGTCCCCTTAGCCCTGGCCCTCATCTCTGTCTCTAACCCCCGCCTCAACATACTTGACACCCTCAGCAAGTTTTCCCATGATGCTGACCCAGAAGTGTCCTACAACTCTATCTTTGCCATGGGCATGGTAGGCAGCGGTAAGCACATTTAGAATCTTGGGTGACTGTGCAAGCCATGGGCCAATGGGGAATCCGTGCAGTTGGTCTGAAATGCCTTCTGACGATCCAGAATGCTCTGGTGTTTAGAATACAGCATTGACAAGTGCAGAGGAGAGGTTAGATTCATGCAGGCGCAATCTCCAATTGCTTGGGGGAAAGCCCTGAAGAGGAGGGAATTTAGGTGGCTATAGGGAGGTGAGGACTTTCAGTCTTGGCAACTGATCCATGGGGCAAGACCTACCAGGGAGGAACCACTGTGCTCATTAGGCACGACAACCCGCCCAGTCTGTGCAGATCGTGCTCTTGCTGATAAAGAGTTAACTCCAACTTCGAATGGTGTGATTTACTGTTGGCTCGCTTCTGACACAGTGTTAAGTCTATTTCGGAGAAAGCGAGAGAAAGTATTTAGTGGCACTTTAAAAACCTAAGAATTTATTTTGGTACGGCATCATAGGAAGCTGCTGTACACATGGTCAGACCATTGGCCTACCTGGCTTGGTCTTGTCTGCTCTGACTGGCAGTGACTCTGCAGGGTTTCAGGTGGAGGTCTCTCCTGGCCATACCTGCAAATGCTGGGCTCTTGCATGCGAAAACAAACTAAAATGAAAACTGAAAATATGTGGACTGCAGTGCCCCTCTATACATTCACTTCAGTTTTTCTTCTCCCCCATTAAGCATGAGTTAAAATATGTGCAATAACAAAGCTAAAATCTTTTGGATATTTCTGCGATGGGAGATTAAGGGCTGTACCACCCTGCAGGCCCTTTACATGCCCTAAGTTGCACTCCCTATGCAACCTCCCCGTGCATACCTTTTCATTTTGTCTAGTGGTAGGGGGAATCCCCCTTGTTCGCAACAGCAGTCCCATGTCCTAGCCAGAAAGTGATTGTGGGAGCTTGGCCTTTTTTAGTTGCTTCCTGATCCCTCCTTTCCGGACCCCACAGGTACCAATAATGCCCGCCTGGCTGCAATGCTTCGACAGTTGGCACAATATCATGCCAAGGATCCCAATAACCTCTTTATGGTGCGGTTGGCCCAGGTAAGTGGCTCAGCTTAAACTCTGCCCCAAGCTAGTGGGTAGCATTGTTAACTTTAGAGTTGTTAAACAGCTAGATGAATATACCAAATATTATTATTAGGCTGTATCTGTGATTAACATTCTCAGCAGAAAGTGACTTTTGATGAGACCTGAAATTTAGGTGGGTTTTTGTTCTCCTTTTGTACTGTGCCATTATTCCTAGGCAGAGATTTCACAGCAGCAGGACTACGTTAGGGTTGCTAATGGGCTTGCTTTGAAGTACGGCTGCAGGGTTTTGCAGCAGTGGCGGAAGGGGGGCTGCAGAGGTGTGTGTTCAGGGGGTGTCTGTATGGGATTGTTGTGTGTTTTGCTGTGCTGATTTTCATTCCCCTTGGTGTGCTTCTATCCCCACTAAATATTACCAGAAGACAGATGCATTTTTTTTCCTCAGAGGAGAGAAATGTATTTGAAAATCCCCCCCTCTCAGTTTTGCCTCTGTCCTGTTTTCCGAATAATATTTCTCCAATGCTGTCAGTGCCCATGGCATTTTAAAGAGTAACTGCAAGAAAAGGCAGTAAAATAATAATAATGCATCGAGGCAGCCTGTGACTGTAAAAAATTATGCAGATTGGGCAGATTTACAGAATTTTTGCACTGTGTAATCTGTTTATGCTCGTCATTGGGTGGAGCAAGGGGCTATGCAGAGCACCAAAGCCCCTGCTCTGAATCCTGGGGACCATATTCAGCTATACCCTTCAGTCTTTCAAGATTCCCACAAGCATTGCCCATGCATCAAGCACTTAAAGGATCATGATGCATTTGCAACCCTGAAGAGCAATTGGAACTCAAGCAGCTTATCATCTTTCTGAGAAAGAAACGGGATTTGGTGCTTTGTAAAAATAATAATGATGATGATGCACTTTAGTACCGCATGGAAGCTTTTCATTCTGTGAAAATTATTTGGAGTCTTGGGACTTGCATTTCCAAACAGTCCCTGCTGTGACCTGTATCTCTGTCATGGTGTGGAGGGTTGTCTTCCTGTAGAAGGAAGGAAAGCTAGGAGAGAGGGTGGAGGGAAAGGGAGCAGGTCTTCAAGGGTTGGTGAAGCACCACCGCCGGGTACTCGGAGCAGATCCATGGTAGCAGTTTGGAATGATAATGCATACACACTGCTGACTTCTTACACTCCTCACATAGTGACAACAAGTCCTGAATAACCAAATGTTTGGTGTTTATTAAATGTTAGGTTTATGTCCCATATTTCAGTTGAATGAACCTCAAGACTGCTTGCGAGTGGTCCTTTGGTCCCAGCCATGGATTTCCCCATCACTAATATATTTTCTGCTTGCTATGCAGGGCCTGACACACCTTGGGAAAGGGACCCTCACTCTTTGTCCTTACCACAGCGATCGGCAGCTCATGAGCCAGGTGGCCGTGGCAGGCTTGTTGACTGTGCTGGTGTCCTTCCTTGATGTCCGTAACAGTAAGTATTGACCCCTGGAGTTGGGGAGTATAATTGGCCGGCCCCTTTAATGGTGAACTCTGGAATTACTGTATTTTTCGCTCGATAACACGCACCCGGCCATAACACGCATGTAGTTTTTAGAGAAGGAAAACAAGAAAAAAAATATTCTAAACGAAACAGTGGATGTATGATTTTTGTGGTTCATGCTGTGGCCACAGACATGTGATCTGACGGTGAGTTTGGGGTAGCCCAATGCAAAAATCCTGAGGATCCATGTGGATCCATGTTTGTAACCATGTTTTTGCACCACTGCGGCCCCAGGCAACAGTGGGTGTGTGATTTTTTTGGTGCAAACTGTAGCCATGGACATGCTATGTGATCTGATGGTGAATTTGGGGTGACCCAATGCAAAAATCCTGAGGATCCATGTGGATCTGTGCTTTGTAACCACGTTTTAAGTGGGGAAGGAAGGAAAAGCACTCAAGGGACAAGGAGCACACGTGGAGCAAGCTCTGCTTCTCTCCCTCCCCCCCCCCCTTAGCGAGCTGAAAAACTTTGCTGGAGGGACAGAGAGCCTGCTTGCTTTAAAGGAGCCTACCGAGTGTAAGCGGCTCCTCTCCCGCTTTGCTCCTTTAAAGCTAGCAGGCTCTGCTTCTCTTCCTCCTCCCCCCCCCTTAGCGAGCTGAAAATCTTTCCTGCTATTTCCAGCAAAGCAGGAGAAGAGCTGCTGAGTGGGGACGAGAGAGATACAGAGAGCCTGTTTGCTTTAAAGGAGCCAACTGGACAGGAGCTGCTTACACTCCTCTCCCCTCCCGCTTTGCTCCTTTAAAGAAGCAGGCACTCTGTCCCTCTCTCCTCCCCATTCAGCAGCTCTTCTCCCGCTGGAAACCATGGAGGAGGGAAGCATTCGCTCCGTAACACGCACAGACATTTCCCCTTACTTTCTAGGAGGAAAAAAATGCGTGTTATGGAGCGAAAACTACGGTAATTACTTTTCAGTGGTTAAGAGACTTAATTCATTTTTACTGGAGGCAGGTGCCATCATTAGATGTTTTTGGCCCGTGTTTGCAGCCATCATTCAGATGTGAACAGTTGAGAGTAAGTGGAGGAGTTCTAGGTGTCTAATTCTGGAACTCCTTTCCTCTAGAGATCCACAAAGCTTCAAGGGAGAAGCCTTAGTACACAAGATCCTTAATTCAGTGCTCCTAGAATTCTCCTTTCTCTTTAGCTTGAGATCCTGGAGAGCTTTCGTAAGTCAGGCTTGAAAGTTATCCAGTTTGGTGGGTCATTGTTCTGACATACATAAAGGATTCCTTCGTATGTGTCTGAGCCTAGACTTCCGGGCCATAATCCTGCTTCGGTTTTGTACTGGAGTATAAGTCCATGCACCCAGTGGCAGTAGAGAATAGCATATGCACATTTAAATTGCCACTTGGAAAAAGACAAAGAAATATGGTAAGCATTCTCCTGTGTCTTTTGCTAAGGAGAGCTTGCTTGGCTGATGAGGACCATGTCCTTTTTGTGTTCTAGTTAAATAAAAAGTGAGAAAGTGCTGTTGATGATCAAAGGAAGATAATGATATTTCTCTTCTATATTACTGTGCATCAAAATGGTGGTTGAATCAATAGATAGACAAGATTTTTTTAAAAAATATGATTCATTGATCCCCAGAATTATGTCTCTGTCTTCTACTGGTGAACAGATCTAATCAAGTATGACAGCACCATTGGATTGGATAAGGGAAACTTCCTTAGTGGACCAGTCTCTGCAAGCCTTGACTTATGTTTTCCTTTCTCTCCTAGTAATTTTGGGGAAGTCCCACTATGTACTGTATGGCCTTGTGGCTGCCATGCAGCCACGCATGCTTGTGACCTTTGACGAGGAGTTGCGCCCCCTGCCAGTGTCTGTGAGAGTGGGGCAGGTAAGTAGGCTCTGAACAGAAGCTGGGAGGGTCCCTGCTTTGCTTGGGGATCCCATGGGGCACTGGACTTTGGCTGTTCATGGGTTACTATGGGTAGCCTTAGTGGAGAATGGGGATCTGGGGCGCTTTTGTTTCCTGACTTCCCTGAAGGCTTGATCAGGGCTAAGGAAACCCTGCACCAGAGGGTTGGGGGAGCAACTTCCCTGTTCACTAGCACTAACCTCTGGCCTTCCTCTCAGGCGGTGGATGTGGTAGGCCAGGCAGGCAAACCGAAGACTATCACTGGCTTCCAGACCCACACAACGCCAGTGCTGCTGGCCCATGGTGAGCGGGCAGAGCTGGCTACAGAGGAGCACTTGCCAGTGACACCCATCCTGGAGGGCTTTGTTATTCTTCGCAAGAATCCCAACTATGATGTCTGAATTGCCTGAGGTTTTGGGGTGGGGTGGGAGTGGGGAGTAGGATGCGGCACTGTGAGGAGGGACTAGCCTCCTCCGTCTTTTTTGTTACAGAAGGAGCTCTTCTTAGGAAAATAAATTGACCCGAGTTAATTTGGCTTCCCGTTTGTTCTGTTCTGATCTTCCTATCTGTAGAATGGAGGTAACCAGAAATCCCTTGGCCTTTACTTAGGAATAGGGAAGGTGGGTTGTAAACTGATTGGGCTCTGCACAGGGCTGCCTGTAGTTTCCCAGGAGCAGCTACAACCTGGACACTGTTATTAAGAGGTTTGTGTAGTTGACATCTATCAATGATTGAACGAAGTGTCTCATATTCATCATTACACTTGAAAAGGGCAAGGAGAACTTGGGTGGTTTTTTGACAGTTGGAAAACTACTTGGCGAACATTGTAATGCTTGAAAAGAAAGGATTTCCTTGAGAACACAGACTACAGAGGTCTATAGATTACAAGAAAACTGGGCAGAGGGCTGAAGGACCCTCGCCATTGGAAGATTCCAAGTCTTATCTGTGTCGTATCCTGTCCCCCTGCTTTGATTACAGGGTCAGTCCACGTTGCCAGCATGCCTTCTAGCTTGGTGGTAAGCGCAGGTATTTAAAAATGCAAGACTCTTGCAGAAATTGTTCTGCTGTGGCTCCCACAATACCCAGTATTAATTCACAGAATATTGTCAGATCCTTCCAGACCAATAAAGTGGCTGCATTTCTCTAGTAAAGAAATGCAGCAGTTCAAGAGAAGGATGCAATTTTTCAGTCACTTTGTTTTCTAACATGAATAATCAAAGAGATACAGAATGGCAGAATCACATTTCCAACCACGGAGAGGTATTGGGGGCTGAGGAGCTGGAAGAAACAAGGGGAGACCATGTATGGGTGAGCTAGTAAACTGCTGTAATCTTTTGTGTGCTGGATAGAAACTCATTTGATAATCATATGGTGCTGCTGTCCTATCTTACATTTTTACAGAATCAGATGAAGTAGGTTTGCCTGAAGAAACGTTTCTACTCAAAATGTGCTGGACTACAGCAGGGTTCCTGAGCACAAAGCCTAAAGGTCTTGCCTGGCCCTTGGTTGCCTCTGTAGCCTATGGCATCCCCATCTCCACATTAATTCACCAGAGAAGTGTTGAAGGGCTGATTTGGCACTGGCTTGTCCCAGCATTAGCAGCACAGGTGTCAAAACAAGGGCAGAGTGCAGTGGGTGGAAGCTGACATCTTGGGAGGCTGATAAAGGCAAGATGATGCAAGATGGCACATGGTGAGAGCTATTTTTAAAGTTAAATACTGCTGTGCCCCCTGGACATTGGTTAGATGTGTGTTGGGTCCTCCAGCCCCTCTGAGGTTAAGACAGATGCTGTCTCTGAGTCTACAAGCATCATATAGCCATTTATAAAACTAACTTGGTGAGTTAGTTTTAAACAGATTGGCCAAACTTGACCCTCCAGATGTTTTGGGATTACAACTCCCATCATCCCTAGCTAACAGGATCAGTGGTTTGGCCATGCCTGGATTAGACAATATAAATGGGTGGGCACCAGCACATCTTTGAGAATACCATAGTTTAACTCCACCATGTGAAGAAGTACTTCCTTCTGTCTGTCCTGCATCTCCCACCATTCTGCTGTACTGGATTCTAGCTTTGGAAGAGGGAGAAAAACCTACTTTTTCCATGCCATACGCTTCTATCGTGTCTCTCCCCCCCCCGCCTTTTTTCTAAACAAAATAGCCCCAAATGTTTTAAGTTCTCCTTGCAGGGGAAGCTGCTACACTGCTCGTGAGTATTTTGGTTGTTCTTCCCTGCACCTTTTCCAGCTCTGCACCTTTCAAGTTTAATATGTTGTAGATTCATTTGATCAGGGAATACTATGTAAAACATGTATATATATCCCGTTGTGCTTGTAAGTACTTTTCAGAAATCGCAGTAGGATGCATAGCACCAGTCTCCTAAATAGCCAAATTGTACCTTTATTTCACTATTTGAAATACATCAACTGAGGCCTTTTTTTTTAAATAGCTGTAGGTCACAAGATAAGTCATCCTTGCTAACCACACAGCGACCTGTATATGCATTGTACTGATTAGAAAGTAAGCAAATGGAATCTCTATTATTCCCCTCATGGCTGTGGGGGTGGGGGACTTATTTTCTACTTCCTTTCCTTAAATCCTGATACTCACTATCTCAGTGCTATTATATACCTTGGGTGTCTACATTTCTTTTTTTTCGTTTTTTAAAAAGTAAATTCAGGAGGACATCATGCCAAGGCTTAAGAATCACTTGCTATAGAGCAATGCAAGAGCCAGACGTTCAGGGTGTAAGAAACCAAATGTCAGGACAATTAAATAGTAGATACTCATTTTTTGGGGACCCTGGGGCGAGCTTATTCAAATTTACAGTCCGCTGGCCAGGGAGGTGAAAAGAGGAGCAGCCAGTGCCTTATGAAGGCTCTTGATCCATAACTGCTAGAAATCTTACTTATTCCTTGTCTTTTGTTTGAAGAGTTCACCAGCCCATCTGTAGATTCTGAAATAGCCTGTGTTTTCTGTTTATCTCAGCTCCTAGGGGTCCTAATGTTGGTGAGGAGTTTTCTTGAGCGTCTGTATACTGCAGCTTAGGCGATGAGTTCAGATCTCTTGCAAGAGCAATCTCTGGCAGCACTGCTAACAGGGAGGAAAGGAATGGTAGAAAAAAAAGATACAAAGGTGACAGAAAGAAAAGTCACATCTACTTCTGACGCTGCCTACCCGGCCCCTGTGGAAATGTGAACCCTCTATAGAAAAAAGGGTTCCCCAGCCCTCATGTAGTGAATGACAAAGGAGGAGATTTAGTGGTTGGGGACAGAACACAAACCTTACAAATTAAAAGGGAACAGAAAGGCACGGCAGAGGAGTGAGTGGGTTTCATATCTGACTCTGGGCTGTTTTTTGCAGAGGTAGTATGGGTGGCTGAAGGGAAGAAAAGGGATTTATGTGAGTCAGTGCTACAGAAAAGACTAACCGTCCCTCCTGACTTGAACACTGGGTGATGGTGAACAAGCATGATCTCATATGAAAGAAACATGTCAGCTCATTCATTCTCAGGCTCATTTTGTGAGAGGATGGTGGGGTGAGATGACTACTGCAGAGAGTCTGCATCGTTATCTGTCACCATAAGCAACACTTAGCAATTATCTTGCTTGCTGACTAACCAACAGTGTGATTTTGAAGCATCCCTTGACAATTGGATTCAACTGCTGATCAAAGCCAGAATTCAATACGGATGTACTATGTTATTTAAAAAGTGTCCTTTCTGACTCTAACTTGTTCAAATTCCAGAAGTGTCTAAAAGAACATTTGATGACTTTGGGTTCAGGCAGGTTCATGGCCTTTCCTTTCCTCTGCGTACAAACTTACGTCCAAGAGAGGGCACTTTTCAACATCTGCAAGCAAAGGCCAGCATAATATCTGCAGGGCACTGTCAGTTGATGTTTTTCATTACTGTCTGTTTCATTACGCCATTTTGACAGGTAGGTAGATCTTTCATATGGAACTCTCAATTATTATTTTTAAACCAACATATTCATACATAGGATCTTCATCCAATCTTGTGGTCTTGGGTCAGTCAATCAGTACATAATTTACACACTTTAAAATCACCATGCAGTTTATTATTAGTTGGAGGTTAGTCCTTGTGAGCCTAACTCACACGGTTGAGGGGAAAGTGAGGAAATACCCCTTGAGATGATGTGTTTTTGAATAGGGCCAGGGAGAGGTGGGAGAGGAACAAACTGATTTAGAAAGAAGCAACATTTGGAGGGAAGGTGTTAAGAGTGAACAGTTGGAAACAGAAGAAGATGGCTGCTCAGTCAGCATGCACTCAAGCCATTTAGAACTTTAATAATAATAATAATAATAATAATAATTTTTATTTATACCCCGCCCTCCCCGGCCAAGGCCGGGCTCAGAGCGGCTTACAAGCAATAATAAAAACAACTTAAATGATTACAACTTAAAAACAAAATTAAAAAATACAACATTAAAATATTGAAACATTAAAATATTAAAATGTAGCCTCATCGCAGAGGGAGAAGGAAAAGAAAAAAGAGAGAGAGGGAGGGAATCAAATTGGCTCCAAGCCAAAGGCCAGGTGGAACAACTCTGTCTTACAGGCCCTGCGGAAAGAAATCAGATCCTGCAGGGCCCTGGTCTCGTGAGGCAGAGCGTTCCACCAGACCGGAGCCAGAGTTGAAAAGGCCCTGGCTCTGGTTGAAGCCAATCTAACTTCCTTAGGGCCCGGGACCACTAGGGTGTTGCTATTTATGGACCTTGAGGCTCTCCGTGGGGCATAACGGGAGAGGTGGTCCCGTAGGTACGAGGGTCCTAGGCCGTGAAGGGCTTTAAAGGTCAAAAGCAGCACCTTAAATCTGATCCTGTACTCCACCGGGAGCCAGTGCAGCTTGAAAAGCGCTGGGTGAATATGCTCCCATGGCAGAGACCCCGTGAGGAGTCTTGCTGCAGTATTCTGCACCCGCTGGAGTTTCTGGGACAGCTTCAAGGGCAGCCCCGCGCAGAGCGAATTACAGTAGTCAGGCCTGGAGATGACCGTCGCATGGATCACTGTGGCCAGGTCGGGGCGGGAAAGGTAAGGGACCAACTGCTTGATGCGGCGAAGGTGGAAAAATGTCGCCTTGGCTGTTGCTGTAACTTGCGCCTCCATGGAAAGGGAGGCGTCAAGGATTACACCCAAACGCTTAACGGAAGGCAATGGCACTAATTTGGCCCCCGCAAGAGAAGGGAGTTGGTCCCTCATCCCCATGCCATCCCGACCCAGCCATAGGACCTCTGTCTTCGAAGGATTTAGTTTCAATCGGCTCCCACGAAACCATCCAGCCACAGCTTCCAAGCATCTGGTCAGTGTGTTCAGGGCCAAGTCGGTGTGGCCATCCATCAGCAGATAGAGCTGAGTGTCATCAGCATATTGGTGACAGCCCAGCCCAAAGCTCCGGATAATCTGGGCAAGGGGGCACATAAAGATGTTAAAAAGCATCGGGGAGAGGATTGAGCCCTGCGGCACTCCACACACCAAGGAGTGGCGCGACATTTCCCTCCCTAGTGCCACCCTCTGTCCCCGACCAGAGATAAAAGAGCACAGCCATTTACGGGCTATGCCCTGTATCCCCACGTCTGTGAGGCGGTGGTCCAGAAGATCATGATCAACCATGTCAAAGGCTGCTGACAAATCTAAAAGGATCACCAGTCCTGACCCGTCTCGATCCAGCTGTCTACGGAGATTGTCTGTTAGGGCAACCAGAGCAGTCTCGGTCCCAAAACCAGGACGGAAACCGGACTGAAATGGATCTAAAGCCAATGTTTCCTCCAGAAACCTACCAAGCTGTTCAGCAACCGCTCTCTCAATTACCTTACCCAGATATGGAAGATTTGAAACTGGGCGGTAATTGGATAGGTCTAAGGGATCTAATGAAGTTTTCTTTAAGAGTGGACATACCACTGCTTCCTTCAGTTCCCCTGGGAATGTCCCCGTGTCAAGGGACAAATTGATAATTTCAACCAGGGGGGTCCGCGCAACATTTGGACACTCCCTAATCAGCCAAGACGGGCACGGATCAAGGAGGCAGGTGGTGGGCCTACTAACTTGGAGGAATCTATCCACATCAGCAGGGAGTATTCGATCGAAATGGTCCAACACTGGACCTGAAGTCAGTCGAGGGGCCTCCAGTTCAGTCACTGTATCTAAATTGGCAGGGAGGTCACGGCGGAGCAACAGGACTTTCTCCGCAAAAAAGCTCGTGAATGTCTCACAGCTGTGGGTCGAATTTGTGCTTAAATTTGGTTGTCCTCCTAAGGACGTTATTGATCTAATCATTCTAAAAAGTTGTGCCGGGCGAGAGCTAGCAGATGCAATGGAAGCTGCAAAGTAAGATTTCTTAGCAGCTTTCATAGCCATCTCATAGGCTTCCTATAAGCCATCTCATAAGCATCCTATAAGATGTTCTTGAGGCTCTGTCACGAGTCCGTCGCCATACTCGCTCTAGCCGTCTGAGATCCCGCTTCATTTTCCGGAGCTCCTCAGTAAACCAAGGGGCCCGGTTTCGACGGGGTCGCAGGGGGCGCTTAGGCGTGATCTCATCAATGGCTGCCAAGAGCCGGTTATTCCAGTCCTCAACAAGGTCATCTAATGAGTCGCAAGGAGGAGCAGGGTCCCGCAAGGCTTGTCGGACTCTATCAGGATCCATCAGTTTTCGCGGACGAGCCCAAATACTTTAGAAGTAATGACCAGCATGAATTAAGCCCATTTACAAACTGCCAACCAATGAGTGTAAGATAGGTATAATGAGCTCCCGTGCCCAAGCACCCACTTGCACCCTTGCTGCCACATTCTGTGCCAACTGAAGTTTTCAGACACACTTCAGAGGCACCCTCTATATGTTTTTATCCTCCAAGACCTGCAATCTGGGAGCAGAGTGCCTCTGAACCTGGAAGTCCCATTTAGCTCTTGTGGGTTAAACTTGATACAAAGGTGCCATGAGGAAATCCAGAGGCGGCGTGGAGGCTGTAAGGGAACGGCAGGGACCACCGGCAGGGGCCTTACAGAATGTCAGCCAATTACTGACTGGGAGCATCGCATCCTGAACCAGGTGGAAGAGAATTATGAGCTGACGCCGCCCCTGGAAGCCTGAAGCCACCAGCACCTCCTGTTACTGCGTACGCTGGTAGGGCCAGCCCTATTGGAACACTGGGATATTTAGTATAATAATTATTGTGCATTTATTTATATCGCAGGTTTCCCCCAACAGGGTCTCGAGGCGGCGTGCAGATAAAATAGGAACAGCTAAAAACTTAGGGAGAAAAAAATGATTAAAAACAACTAAGCATTAATAGAATAAAAACATTATTGTGTGTGTGTGTGTTATACATAAAAACATTATTGTGTGTGTGTGTGTGATACATTTATGCAAACACACATATATATATTGATTTCCCTGTGCTTATTCATTAAGAAGAGCGAGGAAACTACTCCGGGCCCGATCCCCTCCCCCACCACCCACACGTGTCACGAGCCATAGAGTGGCACCGGGCGGCGGCAAGAACGCTTTTCGACCAGGAAAGGGGAAACGGAAGCTCCTCTCCCCGCCACGTGACGCAGGTGCGCGCGCCGGCCGGCCAGCCTGCCCGCCTCCCTGCCTCGCGTGGAGGTCACGTGCCCAAGAGGCCGCGCCGGCCGCGCGGGGGTCACCTGACTGCCTCTTTTCTTTCTCTCCCCTTCGTCCCCCAATACCAGAGCATGGCGCGAGCCACGTGACGAAGGCGGGGCGGCAGCTCACCCCACCCCTCCCAATTCGCCCCACCTCCTTCCCTTCCCCCTGAGAGGCTTCAGGCGAGCCCCGCCCCCTCGGCGCCGTCCTCCCTCGCCCCGTGACCGACCCTCCTCCCTTCCTCTTGCCCCGCCCCTCCCCTCGGAGAGCGGCTCCGGAAATGGTCGTGCTGGGCTGCGCTGCGGCTGCGTCGGGCCCCGCTCCCCGGACTGAAGGAGACTGAAGGTAACCGCGGTGGGGGGAGGGGGGAAGGTGCGGCGGGGGGGGGGGGCGCGAGAGAAAGCCAGAGTAGGCCGCGGTTGGCGCGGTGGGGGGGGGTGGGAGGAGAGAGGCGGGGCCTCACCGGTCTCCTCCCCCTGCTGCCCCCCTCCCGCGACGAGGGCATTCCCCCCCCTCACCCCCACCCTCTCGTCGCGCCCTGACTGGGCTCTGGCCGCCATTGCCCCCTCGCCTACCCCGCCGCCTGCCTGGCCCTCGGAGGCCTCGCCTGAGCACCACGTGGGGCGGGAGGAGGAAGGAAGGAAGGAAGGAGACGCCGGCCGGGCTAGGCCTCGTGGTCCCCGCGCCCGGGTGAAGGGCGGCTGCCGGGAGAGAGGCGAGAGACCCGGCCTTTCCCCGCTTCCTCCTCCTCCTCCCGCTGACTCCGCTTTCTCTGGGAGCGTGGAGCCGGCCTTTGTGCTCCCGCTTCCTTCGGCCTGCGCAGGGTGCTCCTGGGCGCGTGCAGACGGCGCTTCTCTCTCGGCTTCCTCGCGTGCGTGCGAAGCGCAAGGTTACGGAAAGGGTGTTTCCGAGCAGGGGCGAAACTGGGCTTCCATTTCACCCGGGTCAAAGACCGAGCTTGGTATCTCTTCGCACGCGCATTTGGGTAGACACACGCAGGCTGAGACCCTCAGTGGCTCCCCTCGGGGGCCTCACCAGGGCCAAAAAAAGCCTGGCTAGCCCCCTCGTAGCTACGCCTCTCATTCTGAGGCTCTGTCTGCTCCACCAAACAAACCTTTCTTTCACATAACGCCAGTATCTTGTTTTTAAAACGTCTCCGCACCTGGAACAGATGTGAGATTTTTCGGTTCTGAATTCGAGCCTTTTCTCTCGCTCCCCACCCCAAATGCAAACTCCACAAGGCAGCCTAGTCTCCTATAGGTCATGCCTGTGGTGCCTGTATTTTAATAAGCAGTAAATTTATTTTTTGCCCTGCATCTTACTCAAGCTGTGTTTTAAGAACGAGAGCTTTCCAAGCAAATATGCCCTTGGCACAGGCCAGTAGTGGGGGACAAAGGTCCACCCTCATAGCCAGCCTCCTTTTGGAGAACGCCCTGAAACTTAGAGGAGCCTTTCCTTATCTATCCAGGTACTGAGGAGGATTTTGACCCTAAAACTTGAGCCCTTTATATGTGCTGCTGTTATAGGGCCTTAGTACAGGTACTAGGCCTCTCTCAAACTGCATATGAGCCCGGAAGAGAGGCCTGTGCTCTAGAAGCATAGCCAGTCTTGCATAACTATCAGTAGGAACTCAAAACAGTGTCTTTCCAATGGACAAACACTATAATAAACAGACCCCTCTGCTGCTCAATCTGTATATTTATGGAGCCCAAGGCCTTTCTATGCAAGCTTCTTCAGGGTTTCTGCTATACGTACAGTTAACTCTAGATAAGTACAGTGTGAACAAAGTCTGAAGCCAGTGTGCCATGAATAAAACATGACTTCTAAAGTGTTAATCAAAATTACTGAAGAAACAGAATTTCCAGCTCCATAATCAATTCTCTCCCACAAAGTATGGGGTCAACAAATCCCTTCTTCCCATGAATTGTGCACTGTTTAAGACATGAAATCACATTTTCTGAAAGGATACCTGAAACCAAAGGGGCCTTCTAGAGCTTAGTTGCATGACAACTTTGGCATGCTAGCGCAGTACTACAATGTCTAAAGTTGAGACCAGCTGCTATCTCATATAATTCTATTTGCTGCTGAAACTATCAACCAACTCATTTCTGTACAGTTAGACCTTGTTAAAGTCCCCTCCCTGCTTATCTATAGAGCCCAGTATCTAGCACACACAGTATTTAGGGCACCATTTCCACAATTTAGAAGGAAGTGTGGAGCTTCTAAGGCCTCCAGCTACCCCTATATGCCATATTTATAGCATTTGATGGAGATTGAGCTTTAATTTTATGCGAATTGAGTTTAAATAGCTTGAGGTCTTAAACCAGGTTCCCTTCTTGGCCAGTAGCCATGAGACAAACCAGGTCTGTCCCAAAATGTACTGGCAGCTTGTATTTTATGAGGTTATGCTCTTATGAGGCCTGATATTTAATATCTTCAACTAGCCCCCACCCTATTTGGACTATTAAAATACAAGACTGGACCTTTATAAGGTTCTTATACTTATAGATTATTTCATTTCCTTATGATTATTTCTCTTTGAGTTCCTTTACATCTGAGCCTTTTAGACTGCATCTGGAGGATCCAATCCTGCTTTCCACTGAATTGTAACTTTGTCCCTGACAAATCTTTTGTTAACACCCTCCTCTCATTCTTTCCACAATAGTTTTGTTGGTATCACTTATTAAAACGTTTCTACTCTACTTTTCCTTATAGAGTTCAAGGTACCTAATGGGTGTCCTTGGATTTACCACTATGCCTTTTTGGTAGTTTAATCCATCATCTAGCCCTTTTCTGAACTCTGTAAAGTAACATGGATTAAAATAACTTCATTAATGAACCTGAATAAAAGGGAGGTGAAAGCTGCATAACCTTGAGTGGACATCTGAAGATCTTATGGCACATAAGCTTTTGTTCTCCTTAGTACATATAGGCAGGAATCAATTGTTTTGGTACATGCTTGTGACATTCCAGTCTCCTATTGTGCATGTATAGGACTGAATGTCCCCAGACAGAATACCTTTATTGAGAGGACCAGTCACCTCCTGGATGTTTTGGACTACAGTGATGTTTGCCCATGTTGGAGAAGGCTGATATTATGCAACAAAACAGCCACTCCTCTGAAATGCGCCTGCCCCATATAAGGCTGTGATGTGCCTGCTGATTGTATATACATTTCCTTGGAAGTAAAACCCATTGAGCTCAGTAATTTACTTACAAGGCCTGCCTGTGTTCCTCTGTAGAGGTTTACCATGTGGTGGTTTATTTAGATTCCTGGATCCTGTACCCCGCTCCATATGCTTTGAAACTGGGGCTCAGATCTGCCGATAACTGCGACCCCCCCTCCCCGACCGCCTCTGGAGTTTCCAGTCCCAGTATACGACCTCATAAAATGTGGCACTCCTCTCACCCCACCCCGCGTTTGAAACCTGCAGGGCTCTCGACCCCGCATAACCTGTGGTATCTAAGGCTACTGTTGTGCTTCGTAGGCAGTGTTTCGGTTCATTTGGCATAGGTAAGCACCCCGCGCAGTTCAGAATGCTCCTGCCCTAAGTGCATAGGACCTGCGGGGTCTGCATTTATGGAACACGCTGGGAAATGTAGATCTTCGCTCTTGCATCCAAACATATCAGGGGTGCTGTGGGTGGGTGCACGCCTTAACGGGGCGCAGCAGCTGCCCGCTTTTAGGCGAAGCCGGGAAGCTTAGGATCGCCCCGTTCTGTAGTGGTATTGGGGCGTGGGTGCACCCTCCTCTAAAATTCCAAGCAGCCGCACCCGGTAGGGTCTCCCCTTCCGCGGCCTCTGCGCACGTGGGAACGGGGCGGAATCCGGGCGAGAGCTGCTCTGCAGCTGCGCGTCCACATCTGCGGAGCACTCGCCGCGCGTAGGGACCCTGCGGCGCCGGATCGGCCTTTCCCACCCCGCTTGTAGGCCCGAAGCCCGCCCGGTGCCTGCATCCCGCTGGGCCCACGTGTTCGCCTCTTCCTTCCTTGCTTGCTCGCTTCGCCCTGCCCTAGGCCGCCGTCGGGGCTGGCCCTGCTGCGGCTCCACCTCCTCCGCTCCCTCCACCTCCTCCCTGGCTGGCTGTGGCTGCTACCGCGCCGGTGCTTGGCGTCCGCCTCCGAGAACCGGGCCAGCCCCACGTGCTTGCGGCGCAACTCGGGTACGGTCGGAAGCGGCGGTGGGGGGACGGGGCCCCGGCCACGCTACGCCCGCCCGCCTGCTTTTCTCTCGCCGCCCGCCGCGGGCGCTCTTGCGGCCAGCGCGCAGGGCGCCCGGCAGTCGCCACCGCGTGGGCCGCGGCTCCCTCCCTCCCCTGCGGGGCCGCCCGGCTAGGACACGTGTCCTTGGAGCAGGCGGGCCGGGGCCTGGCTTCCTGCTTGCCATCCTGGCCGGCGCGACGCGCGGGGGAACCTCGGAGGGGAAGAAAGGCCATCCTCCACCCCCGGAGGAGGAAGGTCTCGAGGTTTGGGGTTCTCTTTTTTTGCGCCCATGTGCCACCGGCCGAGGTGCGTCCGGGTCCTTTCTCTCTCCAACCCCCGACCCAAATTCCCTTTACCCCTCGCTTTCCGGTTGCGGCTGGGTTTGGGGCTTTTGCAGAGCAGGAGAGAGGGGGAAAGGGCTTGGGGTGGTGGGGGATCTTGGTGCTTTGTATTTAAGGCACCCCCTTCTCTGAAATATTGCCTGGCCCGCCCTTACTCGCCGGCTGCTGCCCTTTCCCCAATGGATGGCTCTTCATGCTTGCCTTCCGGCCCTTTGTACAAAATAAAATAAATGCGGAGGGTAAATAAACCTTTGCATCTCCTTTGTCTTGTGCCCTCTGTTAGTTTTTGCGTGTGTTCCCCCCTCCCCACGCCCGCGCACATTGGTTGTGCCTTGTTTCTCCCAAACATATGTTAGTCCTCTTACCGCCCAGAACAGACGTTAAAAATTACTCAGCAATTTCTTAAGCAACCCAATTTTACTTGTGCACATCTAAACTTTCAGATTTTGTTGTGTTGAGTTGTTGGGTTTTTATTTTGAAAACAACAACAACCCATATTAATCTGTTTGTTCAGTCCCTGAAAGGCTGCCACTTGTTTGCGCATTTTCCTTTTAGGAAGGCGGCTTGCTGTCATGGTGGGTTTGGATGGTGATTAAAGGAGATCTTACTGTGTGGAGTAACACCAACTGTCTCTGAAAGTGTGGGAGAGGGAGGACATCTTGAACCTCGATTGCACATTTCCTGGTTTTATGTAGTTTGCCCTACGGGGGAGGGTGGAAGGCTTGTATCGTAACAGTCCACGTTCGCATTTCGTGCTAAACAGCGTTTCATTGGGTTGCTTCTGGCAATGGTGGTGGGTGGAATTCTCTGCTATTTTGTCTGGGAGTGTGTTTGTGTTAAGTGAAAGGGTGAGGGGAGTCAGGGAATAAGGGTGCTCAGTTCACATCAGAAGACTTGCTTCACTTTTCTGCATACTTGAGTGTGGGACCTTCTGTAATGGAGTAATACTGTGGCTCTTCTTCTTTATAGTTGCAGAACACAAGGGTGTGTCCCTCAAAAGTAGGGCTAGGAAAATATTTCAAATTCCTAAGCTCTAGAATAAAAAATAAATAAAAATAGGAGCCAGCTCTGCCCAGGAGCAGGAAGTGTCAAAATGCAGAGGAACTACCACCATGTTTCCCCACCCTATCACTGGGCAAATGTGAGAATCACAAGTCAAACTGAGGGGTTTCCTAGTTTGATGCCTCCATTGTACTTCTGGGGCTATACTGTGGGGCAGCTGCTGGCCTTGTCCTCTGGGAAGCAGTTTCCCCTCTATCCAAAGCGGTTTCCCCTTGTTGTCTAGCATGTTACATGTCCCCTGTGCTTATCTTCTTTCACTGTTGGCATTTGCAAGTGGTTACAGGATTAAGCTGTGACCCATGAAGGTCCTGGTTCAAATCTCACTCTGCACAATCTTAAAGGCACAGGATGCCTTTCTGAAGGCAGCTCTGTATCAGTGCTTGGATGGAGGGCCACCTGAAAGTCCCTCATCTACCCTATTCCATGATGGACGAAAGGCAGAATATGAATGTAATACATAGTTGCTTGCAGGGGAGGCCTTTGTCAAGCCTCAGACATTTGTGGATAATGCTAACCTACCTTACATTGTTGCTATTTTTGAAAAATACTGAGATAAAATGTGGAAAGGTGCTACATAAATACTAAATATTATTGTTTTCATTACGCAGTTTAGGAGCTGAGGCTGAGAGTGTGACTTCCCCAAGGCCATTTGGTGAGTTTGTGGCCAAGCTGGGTTTTCAGCCCAGGTCTTCTGAATCCAAGGATACAAGTTTGTTCATTTTAACCACGCTACCTGTAATTCACCCGAGATAAAGATTTGTAATGGACAGTAGCTTCTGTGTAGAGAATTGTATGTACCCTGGCACATAGTGGTGTGTGTGTTAAATGGTCAAGTTTTGTATTTTATTGAATCTGCATGCAGCAAAAAGCCTGAATTGGTCAGTCTGTATACTGGTGAAGTACACAAGTGCTCATTGCATGCAGTGATGCCTGTAGAATTCCCTATACAGAAGTCCTAAAACACCCCTAAGAAGTTCAGAAGAGCAGTTTATATTCTCAAGACTTTCCCTTTCACCCAGAAAGGTCCTCCCTCAATTAACTTCCCTCAGAAATGGTGCTTGTTGCACTCTGTTCCATGTTCACTTCCTGTCACAGAGAAGAAGGAACAAAGTTCTGCCTTCAGGAGCAGTGCAAGGAAGGGACTAATGACAGGGTGGAGGTGCAAAATGCTTCCTCTTTCCCTTTCCCCACTTCGTCATCTGGAGAGAATCCTGCCTTTCCAGGTTTCTTTTATCTTCCCAAATCCCTTGTTGGAGAAGGCATTTCAGGAAACGATGATACTGCCACAGGCAAGAGGCACAAGAGCGCTCCCTTGTAATTTTTGTTAATCTGGAATATTAAATTTAGCTACCTTGAGAAGTTGTGAAGCGTTGAGAGTAGAAGTGTGAGCCAGGAAGTCCCAGATTCAAAAGTTACACAAGCCAGTATTAGCCTCCCCTCAACCCCAAATGAGTGAATGATCTTCAAATCCAGCATTTTCTTCTCACCCTGGCCAACTGGATTCTTCCAGTGCCTACAAGTTTGACAGCCTTGAGTGTTCAGATGCAGGTTTCATATAGCAATGATAACTAATAGCCAGAGATAGGCCCATCCTCCCTTAATTTGTGCCGTCCTCTTGATTGTATATCTGCAATTTGCGGTGTGATAACTAACCTAACAGTTGCCAGGGTCACTTAAGGTAATGTATGAGAAGTGCCTAGATGTTTTTACATCAGTGCAGATAAAACAAGCAGCTTGAGGTTTCATATCTGCAGTCACCAGAACACAACAATACTCCTAGATCCTTGTTTTGCCCATAAACATTCTTTGAAAGGATGGGAGAATATCTGCTTTTGCTGGGAAAACAACAGCACAGTTGGCAGAGTAACTGAACTGCATTAAATGAGCACAAGGACAGAGCATTGCTTTGGGATTCCCATACCATCATTCCCTTTTGAAATGGGGATCTAGGGGAAAGGACTTAGATGTTAGGAGATGGGACCTAAGTCTGTTTAGATCTGGAGCAGGCTGCTTTTTGGAGTGCTTTTGTCAAAGGCCAGTTGGGCACCTGCTGAGAAGTTGCATAAAAGGGCACCATCTTGTTATACTTTTGTTAAGTGATGGAAGATATGAAAGGTTTAAGAATAATGGGTTGGAATCATTGAATTGTAGAGTTGGAAGGGACTCCAAGGGTCATCTAGTCCAATCCCCCCTGCAGTGTAGGCATCTCAACTTGTTCATATGTGACAAATGGCCATCCAACCTCTCCTTAAAATCCTCCCAAGGAAGAGTCCACCACCTCTCATGAGAGTCTGTTCCACTCTCAGACAGCTCTTACTCAGAGAGTTCTTCCTGAAGTTTAGTCAGAATCTCCTTTCTTGTAACTTGAAGCCATTGGTTTGGGTCCTACCTTCTGGAGCAGGAGAAAACAAGCTTGCTCCATCTTCCATGTGACAGCCTTTTAGATATTTGAAGATGGCTATCATATCGCCTCTCAGTCTCTTCGACACCCAGAATATGTGTGTGACTTCTGGTTTTGGTTGTAAGCAGCACTTAGACTTAGCATTAGAGAGCGCAGTACCACAACTCTTAAGGACTAAGTCATGCCCCTCCAGAATTAGGCAAAAATTTGTTGCTCCCTTAACAGGATTTACAAGCGAACAACGAAGGAGCAAAATAAGCAGGGTGCCTGTCCGGACATCGCAAGAACCCAAGGTAAATTGTTTCTTCCTGCCTTGTTTCTCTCAGTGGCAGCAGGGCACCATGCTGCTCATTCTCAATAAAGCACAGTAAGCTAGGAGCCCTTCCCTATCATGATGTGGTCGATCAAAAGCTTTAAGTTGGAGGCGTCAAAGGAAAGGGAGACAAGCAAGGTCTGAAAGGGAACAGTGGGGAGCAAATATGATTAAATGTGCTTGGGCTTTATTTTTGTTAGGATAGGAGTTATGGTGTTAGCCCAGCTTTCTCCAACTTGTTGCCTTGTAGAGGTTTTGAACTGCAGCTCCCATCTGCTCCTGATAGCAGTGCACGTATCTCATATCTTACGCAGGGTTTAGGTTCTGGGGGTCCATGCATATAAATCTGTACTTCCAGGAATTTCCGGAACCAGGCTCCCTGCATGGTGGAGGACCTCTTGCCCAACTTCAGGAAATAGGCGGAAAGGGCTCTGGCAGTGTCTCAGAGCCCTTCCGTGGCCGCTTTGTTGCGAGGGTTTTGGCAGGATCCTAGAGTCCTCCCACCTCCTTCTCAAAGCCTAGTAAGTGCTTGCCCAGCTTTGGGGAGGAGGCAGGAGGCATCTAGAACCATGCCAGAGACGTTGCACCACCTCCCCAAGGTCTGGAGCCTCCCTTTGCTGGCGATGGCGCTGGGCTGCCTGGTAAGCCCATAATGGTGGCCAGGGAATAAATAAAATGAAGAATGGGTTTCCTCCGCTTTCCATTTTATTTTTAATTTCCCCCACCCACACAAAGCTGTGAACACAAGTAAAATAATGTAAGATTGTGAGTTATCTGTAGTCCTAAATATCTGGAGCACTCCAGGCTAAGGAAGGCTGTGTTAAGCAGTTGGCTTCAGTGGAGAAAGGTATTTCTTTGAGAGGAGATTTGTAGGAAGATAGACTAGTCAGGGCAGTTGCAGTGCCTGCCTGAGCACCTGTGGAAGAAGTTTTATTGAACCAGTGAATAGGAAGCTGCTGTAAGCAGCCACAAAACAAAGAGTACAATTCCTGCTTTGTCAAATGCTACTTACGAAGTCGTGGGCATCTTGCATTCTCCATCGGCCGTTTTCCATTTGTGGCATGTTCATCCACAAATGGAAATTCTGCAGTTGGATTAATTTCTGCAGCCTCGTTTCCTAAACTCCTATTATACCTGTTCCTTATTGCCCATTTTCAGTGCTTTGAGGCAGAACTCTCAACATGTCAACCCCCACGTTAACCTACATTGCATGGGTTGCAACGCATGTAAGTGAAGCAAGATTGAATTTGCTGTCTGCTCGGTTTTAGCACAGCCCAGATGAGCCAAGCAAGTGAGCTAATTCAGTGTCGCCATGCAGCATCCTTGGGCAGCTGGCATGGGCCCCAGGGCCCTGGCATGGCCTGTCACCCTTAACGTCCCCAGGGACCCTCTTAATGCTCCCCCTTTGTGTTCTATACTGGTGGCCGCCATGTAAAATCCTTGGAATGGCCTGGAGTGATGCTAAATCAAGAGCATCATGAAAAATTAAAATGGTGGCAGCCTGGTGACAAATCAAAAGCGTGCCATCCCAGGTAGGCCTGGCAGGAGGTGTTTATCAGAGTGCACCCTGTAAACAAATTATTCCCAAAATAAAACTTTCACCAGGGTAGAGGGGTTGAGAAGGAAGCCATGCCATATCTCCTGAGCATTTGCAGTGCATTGGCGCCAATCCTCAGTAGATGGGTTGCTTGCTGTTTCTTACAGATCCTGGTGAAGCCAATTGCCCTGGACATCACAGTCCCCACCCCTTCCAAAACTGTTAAAGATGGAATTCATTTCCTTGTTCCCCTCAGTCCTAGCACAGAAACCTCCCCAAGTTTCGGGGTGGGCGTTGCAAGCTCTTGCACCACTGCAGGCCTCCTTGGTGTGCTTTAGGTCATGTACTGTTCTCTCTGAGCCCCACTTTCCACCCGAGACTTCTTGCTTGTGCACCTGAAAATTTAGAACGCTAGTGCAGCAGATGTGTTTCTTCCACGAAATGTTTATTGGGTGCCTGAGAGCTGTGTAACATGATGATGATATGATGATATTTATTTATTTATTTATTTATACCCCACCCATCTGGCTGGGTTTCCCCAGCCACTCTCAGTAACCCTGAGAAAGGAATTTAAAGTGGGGAAAGAGCAGAGAAATGTGCCCCTCTTTTTTATTTTTAAAAGGGAGGCGTCTGTATCCCTATTCCTAAACTTTTATGTTGACTGTGCTCTACCACCTTCATAGAGCCTTGCTCTCAGTTTCTGAAAACATAAGTGGGAAATTCCCATACCATTTTACTGAAAATAGCCTTTTCTCCTGGGGATCATAGTTCTGTCCATTGAAGCATAAAGACAAGCCCCCCGGAGCAAGATCAGAGATGCCTTGCACCGCTTCCCTTCGATCGGCAAGTACTGATCATGATATATCAAGGTGAATTTTGGAACCTCATAGTTCATTTGGCAGAAGAAGATTCTAATGTCCCTCTTACCCATGCCCGCCCCCAAATGGGGTGTAGTTTGTGATGGCTGGTGACCTAGTCCATGCAGACTGACCTGCTTTTGATTTCACAAGTTTGGGAGCATTTGGGCAGCCTAAGGTCAGAGTGGCTATTGATTTTTGCCAGTGAAATAGCCAGTGCCACTGTGGTATCTTCCCAGAGGTGCTTGCATCATCATTGGACCCCAACTCTGACAAACAGGTCGGGGAAGTTTCCTTTTCCCGCATGTGGGTGTTGTCTCACTTGCTGCTTTGCTTTGGTTGGCAATTAGGGTTTGGGTTTTGTTTTTTTTAAAGGAAGGAGATCTACACCAACAGCAAACCTTAGCATTTTTGTAAAAGTTTAGAATTTGGAAAAGGTGTTTTGCATTCAGCACCTCAGCAATTTTGCGGCAATCCTGTCAAGGTAGGCCAGAATTACTACCAATGCGTGGCTGATGGGAGGACTTGCAGAAAACGCAACAAATTCCTGGCACGGGTGTGATTTGGATCTGGTGGCAATAAGGTCCGCTGCTGCTTGGTCCCTGTGCTGCCCTTGCAGGGAAGGGCCAGCATCTGGAGACAGAAGAGGGGGAATCAGAGAATTGTAGAAGGCACCATGAGGGTCATCTAGTCCAACCCCCTGCAATGCCCAATGTGAGGCTCGAACCCACAACCCTGAGATTAAAGGGTCTCATGCTTGTGCCCTACTGACTGAGCTATTGCTGGTCTTAACTGGACAGGAAGAGCCAGGATGTTGACAAGGAATAAAGAGGGGGGATGTGGCAAGTAGAGTTCTTAATTCCAAAGCTTGTTAGGAAGGAGGTGAGCTCCAGTCATCTCCAGTCATGGGTGTGGTGAAGCTGGGTGGAAAAAAGCATTCACAGCTGAAAAAGGGGGCTGGGGAGGGAATGGTTATCTGCTCCTCCCATTTGTTCCTTGATGTGCTAATGGACCCTGGAGCACAAGGGAGCTGCCTCTCGTTAAGTCTCCGCCTCCCTGCTTTGGCACTCTTTAACCTTTGATGTGTTTGTTTAATGGGCTTGGCCATGCTAATCGATATGATGCCGGCAGACCTTGAGTGGCTGAAGTCTTGGGTGCTTGTGAATTCGCCAGCAGCCAGCTGGCCGGCTTTTGTGGGGAGCAGTGTGTCTTTTCCTTCCAATACAGGAGAGAGGAGGACCCACTGCTTGGGGTAGCAGTTGGGTCAAAGTCCTGGAATAGCTCCCTTCAAAAATATGACCTGCGTATCCCTTTGACGGCAATGATCTTTGTGGATTGGTGCTAACACCTTAATGGTTACCCTTGGTGATGGTAGCGGAGCCTTTTCTTCTCCTGCCAACCCTGCAATATTTTGGACAACTTTTTCCATTTATATCATGCCCTTCCTTCAAAGGATATCAGGGCTGCAAACACAGCAGCGATAAAACAGTTAAAAAATAAAAGCATAGTTGAAAACGGTCGCCTAATCTCACAGCTGATAATTTCAGGGTTGCTGGGAATGTTATCTTTTAGCCATTAAATGCCTAAGTAGACTGGAGCGCTTTAAAATTCCTCCTAGATGTGACTAATAAGGAATGCCTACACACCTCACCAGGAAGGGCACTCCCCAAATGGAGAAGTGCCACCGAGAAGGCCCTGTCAATGCCAACCACATGCCACCACCAAGTTGGCTTCCCCTGCCAAGTGTAGGGCCCCAAAGTGGGTGATACTGGGGCAGCCGCTCTTTAAAGAACTTGAGTCCAAAACCTTTTAGTGCTAACACGGTAGCTCATTGGTAGGCAGTGGAGGACTGGTGGCAAGGGATCCCAACAGGTTGGACCACTTGCCAACCTGGCAGTCACACTCTATGCTGGCTGCAGTCTCTGGACGTGGGGCAGCCCCATATAGAGTTCAATGCAGTGGTTCAGGTGGGAGGTCACCTGAGATTGGGCTGGTCCAGGAACTTCCATAGCTGGTGAAACAACCTAAGTTGGGCATAAGCAGTCCTAGCCACAGAAGCCGCTTGAGATTCCAGTAACATGTTGGAGTCCATGAGTTCTCCCAGGCTACAAACCTGTTCCTTCAGGGTTGTGCAACTCCTCTCATAACTGGTTACCTACCTAATTCCCGGACACAGGAACCACCCACCCACAGAACCTCCATCTTCTCGGGTTTCTCCCAGACACAGGTCCTGATGTCCTCACTTTCCAAAATGTATTTAGTGTACTGTCTCTTGCTGCTCCTGAGTTTTTTGCCTTGCACCCTTCCATGTGGAGCTTGAATGCTCTAGACCTGAGATGTCTTAAGCAGGGACTCAGTGTGGTTGCAACCCAAACTGTGAAATACCTTAAGTCTTAAGTATTCAGATATGCTAATGAAGAACTGTGTTCTGAGTTAGGAGGCACCACAAGGATCATCTGGTCCAACCCTCTGCAATGCAGGAATTTTTTTGCGCAATGTGGGGCTCAAACCCAGCACCCTGAGACTAAGAGACTCGTGCTTTATTGACTGAGCTACCTTTCCCACCTTCCCCAAACTCTCCTTCTTGGCCTTGTTTGAGAAACATTGGCCCATTCGATGGGACCAAAGAAAGAAGTGACTGGCCATTGGGGAGAAAAAGAGCATTGTTGTCAATGCTTCAATTGTGGCTTGGGCTTTAGTTCTGTGCATGTGTGCAGTGTGTGGTGCTGTCTGTGTTGGGTTCAGGCCTAACGCAGACTGATGTGATGTATTTGCAATGTTGATTCTGCTGTTGGCTTGTCCCTTTGTTTGTGTGTGTGTGTGTGTGAGAGAGAGAGAGAGACAGAGAGAGAAAAAGGGGAGGTCTTTTGTCTCATGTGAAGAGAGTTTGCCTCTGTAAGGCATCGGGTTCTGAGGTTTTCTGTAGGGATTTGAGCATGGGAATGCGGCTTTCAGACTTTCCTTGTGCATCTAATTATTATTATTATTATTATTATTATTAATAATAATAATAATAATATGTTGCCCTTCTGACTGGGTTGTTCCAGCCATTCTGAACAGATTCCAACAAATCAAAACATCCAACAAAGTAAAAACTTCCCTATGCAGTGATACCTCAATTTAAGAACAGCCCTGTTTATGAACTATTCAGTTTACAAACTGCGCAAAACCCGAAGTCCTTTCTTAAACTGAAATCATTCTTAAACCGAGGCGCACTTTCCCTAATGAGGCCTCCTGCCGCTGGTGCTCTTCCACCGTTCATATTCCGTTCTTAGACTGAGGTAAAGTTTGCAAACTGGGACACCACTTCTAGTTTTGCGGAGTTTCCATAGGGAGGGCACCACTGCCGAGAAGCCCCTCTGCCTGGTTCCCTGTAACCTCACTTCTCGCAGTGAGGGGACTGCCAGAAGGTCCTCTGAGGTAGACCTCAGTGTGATTCTGGGCTGAACAATGGGGGTGGAGGCGCTGCTTCAGGTATACGAGGCCAAAGCCATTTAGGGATTTAAAGGTCAGCACCAATACTTTGAATTTTGCTCAGAAACATACTGGGAGCCAGTGTAGATCTTTCAGGACTGGTGTTATATGGTCCCAGCGTCTGTTCCTAGTCACCAGTCTAGCTGTCGAATTCTGGATTAATTGTAGTTTCCAAATCGCCTTCAAGGGTAGCCCCGCATAGAGTGCATTGCAGTAGTCCAAACGAGGGATAGCCAGAGCATGCACCACTTTGGTGAGACAGTGCATAGGCAGGTAGGGTCTCTGATGGAGCTGGTAGACAGTGGCCCTGGACACAGAAGTGGACAGCTGTGAGTCCAAAATGATTCCTAGGCTACACACCTGGTCTTGAACTGTTATTTACAGGTAGATTCATGAAGCCTGCTTGGCTACGAGAAGCCATCTGTTGTTGGTGGGAGAAGGTTGTTTGAGAGAAGGCATTGAGAAAATGGTACCTTCTGGTAATTGCTTAAGTGATTCCTATAAGTTCCCAGAATGTACGGCAGTCTTCTGTTGTGCAAGCCGGCGCATGGGTCGCTGCTGTTCCCAGTTTTCAGATGGGGAACTGATTCTGGGGGTGATCCTTGCCTGAAACCACGCTGTGTTTATAGTTGTCGTGGGACATGCAACCCCAAGTGTCCCAGGCCCAGCTAGTGAAGTACTTAGACAGGAGCTGCACCAGTCAACCCCCCCCCCAAAAAAACCCCCACTAGGGCTGCTGCTTTGCAAATTCCCTTAGCTGCTTTACTCCTCTCCCTCTTAAGGCAAGTGTGGCTGCCTCTTGCTGCCCCCTCCCCATTCCAGCCACTGCTGCTCTTGCTGATTTTGAAGGGCAGAGTCTGAAGGGTGTGCAGTTCTCTCTCCTTGGCCTGCGTCTTCTGCACTTCGGGATGGGGTGAGGCAGGGCGCCTTCCCGGGCGCAGGGAGGCTTCCTGTGGGTGTAGGCACCCGCGAAATGGCGCAGCACCCAGACTTCCTCTGCTGTCTGTCTCGTGCCTGCATTGGCAGCACAGGTGGGTGCCTGGTTGCTTGGTCCTGCCAAGAGGGAAGAGGCTGGGCTGGGCTGGGCCAGGAGCCTGCCTCCTTCCTCCTCTTGCCTGTGCAACGCGAGTGACTCAGGCGTGTAGGCGTGGGATTTTCTCCGACTGGTTTGGGCAGCGCTGGGGCCGAATGGCTGTGACTGTGGGTGGGGTTTTGGGTGCTCCCTGGTTCTCTTCAGCCTGCCTCTCTCCTCTCCCTGTCTCGGTGTCTCTGCAGTGCAGCAGACTCTGCGATCTGACACCACCGGCAGCTCCCGGCACTCATGTTCCTGGCCTTCCCAGGGTGGGGGTGGGGGGCTGTCCCCTGCCTTGCCCATGTTTGGCAAGCCCGACCCTCCATGCCGCTCACCAGCAGGTTTGCAGGCTGATATTCTCCCCCCCCCCCACTCCACCCAACCACCCTCTGTCGTTTTCTCAAAGTCTGGCAGATGAAAAGTCTCAGCTGCTTGCAAAACTGGCCTGGGGTTTTTCCTACTTAGGGGTGAGTATTTTGCATCTTTTCTGTGCATGTTTTGAGGATGGCGGGGTGAGGTGGGGAGGCTGTTCCACATTGAGACCTCGACTTTCTGCTTGCCCCCGTTTTGGGAAGGGGGTGGCATGGAGCAGGGTGGGTGGAGGAAAGGAATTGCATAGCAAATATCTTTTCTTCGTTGCCGGTGTTGGTTAGGGTTGGGCCTGCTCTTCGAGAATGCCTCAGCCTGGGGAGGGAAGGGTGCTTGGCACGGGAGCTGGCCTGCCTAAAGAATTAACTGGGCATATTTGGAGCGCCGGGGAAACGACTCATGCTCGCAGTTGCCTCTCCCCAGACCTTGGGGTGGTGCTGACTGTCTGCAAAACTTCGCGTGGGCTTTTCAGGGGAGACTAGCTACTTCAGCTGGGCCTCCCCTAAAGCAACGATCCAGCTCCCTGCACCTCCTCTGGGGCCTCTGGCTTCAGTTTTTTTGGGCTGGCTCCTTTTCTTTCTGGGAGCATGGCTGTCCCTGCAGTTTGGTTTTGCAAGAGGTGTGGGGGTGCTTCTGTTTCCATGTCTGGAAAATTGAGAACCGTTTGGGGTGGTGTCTCCTGGTAGACGTGGCCCCATCAGGCTGTGTGGAGCTGCTTCCTATAGGAAGGGCTGCTGCATGCTCCCTCCTTGCCTGTCTGCGTGATGCTGCACCACACTGTGTCTAGATGCTCAAAGGTGGGGGGGGGGATAATTGTTGCAAACTGTGCAGTTGTGGTCTGTGCAGCTTCAGCTGCTCCCCCTCTCCTAAATCTGCGCGCGCGCACACACACGCACACACACATACACAGAAACGTAGTATGTACTAAATTATGGTCCTTAAAAAAAACGTATCCCGTTTTAGTAAGGGCTGAGGATACTGGGGAGAAGGGAAGTATGAGAACTGGTGGCTCTAATTCTGAGCAGAGGTGAAGAAATTGGTGCTGATGTGCCACCCACACCCAGGACCACCACATATACTTAAGTTTTTTTATTGTTGTTGTTGCCAATGCCCTGGGAAAATTTCAGAATCAAAAGGCTTGTTAGGGTGCCCTCGGCAAGGCCCCCCACAAATATCTGGCCACGCTGTTCTTGTGTGCTGAACTGGAGCCCCGCAGAAGCCTCCTGATCCTGTCTTGGTTTTTTGCCTCCTTTGCATTGCGTACGTTTCCTCCTCTCTCCCAAAGTCTTTAGTCGCCTGAAACGCTGACAGCAGCAGCCCAAGGGTCAGGTTACGCCAGGTCTCTGGGTCTGTTTGGGTAGAGTGGCTCTACCTTGCTTTGTGCTGGAGAGGGCACTGCCCCTGTCCAGACCAAAGGGATCCTATTCCCATAAGGTTCCACAGGGCAGCTGTAGGACTGTTTACTGCCTGGCGTCCTGGAAGACGTTCCCTCTGCCTTGCCACCCTGGCCTATGCACCTTCACCCATCTGCGTGTGCTTATGAAAACCGCAGCCAGTTAGCCCTTGCTTAGGCTGAGGCCTGTAGACCAGGGGTCAGCAAACTTTTTCAGCAGGGGGCTGGTCCACTGTCCCTCAGACCTTGTGGGGGGCTGGACTATATTTTGGGGAGGGGATGAACAAATTCCTAGGCCCCACAAATAACCCAGAGATGCATTTTAAATAAAAGGATACATTCAACTCATGTAAAAACACATTGATTCCTGGACCATCCGTGGGCCGGATTTAGAAGGCGGTTGGGTCGGATCCGGTCCATGCTGTAGACCATTAGGAGGCTTCTAAACCCACCTTAGCCCAAGCAGGCACTTGGTGGAGCAAACCTGGGATGGGACGGGGGTCTTTTCTTGTCCTTTGTTGGAACTGGCTGCTCAGATGTTTCCTCCTCATTCCCACCCAGGTGAATTTAGCTGCTTTGTAATTTAATATGCTGGGTGGGATTGCAACACGGTTCCTTTTTGACTTGGCCTATTGCACTAGGGAGCACAATAGCAAGAAGAGCTGGCATGCTACCTCTGCAGTAAATGTGTGAGGGGCACCCACTTGCCCCTTGTAGTGACCGAGAAAATGGGGAGGACGTGTTGCGAGGGGGTAGTGGGGATCACCATGGTGCACTGGATTTGTGTGTCTGGTTTGGAGGCAGAAAACGCTGTGGAAGTCCTTGGCTGGCCAGCCAAAATATCTAGAGTTGAAGCTCCGGGGTTGGGTGGAGGCCGTGTGGGGAAGTGGTGGGTGCTGCTGCACTACCCTATGTGAGAGCTGTTGGCGGGGAGAATGAACAGTGTAAACAAAGTCTCTGGGCTCCAGAGAGGTTCTCCTGATGAACCCCAAGGACTTTCCAGCTCTCTCTCACCATTTCCATTTATTTATTTCCTGGCACCATGTGTATATGCAATCACATGGGAGGTGGAGGGATGCCTGTATGGTGGAAGGCCCCAGAGCAAAGGCCAAGGCCGTGAAAATGGGTTGACTTCTTCGCATTATTTGTATACAGTCTAATGGCCAGCAAGAGTCGATAGAGAGTAGAGTTGGGATCAATTCAGAGTCTGGGTCTTAGGTGGGTGGTTCTCAAAATGGTTTCTTACTGTGGCCGCAAGTGGGGCCAGAGACATGCATGATAGCTGCCCTGATAGCCCCATGCATCCATATCCCATATAGATCAGTGGAACAAACTGCGGCACCTTAGCAGTTGCATTCAAGACATACGGGGGTCTTGGATAACCTCCATCCTTCAGCTTACCCAGAGAGACTTGGCTCCGACATTGGTCCAAAGGCATTCTACATACTGCACATCTCTAAGTGCATCTTTTCGTTGGGTGCCTCTTTAATGTGAATCTTTAATGTGAATCTTTCATTGTGTGGTGCTGCTTTGCTTTCAAGGACTGGGTGGGATTGATCTCAGCTTCTCTGCTGGATGCCTTTCAGGTGAATTGGGATAGAAGAGTGCAGTTTACAGCCAATTTGAGACCCTTTTGACACTACCGCAGCAACTTTTCATCTGAGAGTTGTTGGGGTTTTTTGAGAGAGATGATTAACTTAGGGCTGAATGCAAGCTGGCAAGGTTTTGTGCCCAGAATTTTTAAAAAGTCAATATTTCCCCCCAGATACTGTGTTTGGGCAGGTGGGAGATAACTTTTTGAAAAAGCTTCTTAAGAAGCAGGAGACATAGAAGAAAGGAAGACAGAAGCCATTCATCAGATAGCCCTATGTTTCTCTGGGAATTATGGGTACTAATGAGGGTTCAGAAGGTCCCCCTTCCTCATTCATAGTTGTTGCAGGCATGGTGGCTAGAAACTTGATTATATGTATATATATATATATATATATATGCATATATTATAATGTTTCAGTTGCAAATGGATACCTGCACTTCCTAGGTGCCCTCCAATCAGCCCCAAGCAGCACAACTGATGGAAGTTGTACACTAAAACAGATGGAGGAACTAGGTGTGTGGCTGCTGGAGGCCCATGTGGGTGCAGAGCATCTTCAGGTGAAATTTAAGCCAAGGCACTCTGCGCTAGATGAACATCAAGCTGTCTAAGGATGCACAGGCATAAGGTTAGGGAGCGAGTCTACAGTGGGGTGGGGGCTGCACCACTAAAAAAGTGCGTACAAGCATAAAGGTACATGGGCTGGCTATTTATCTTGGTACCAAAAGATGCAGTTGCCTAGGAGTCCTCTGGGACTCTCATTGGCAACATCCATTATAGCCCCTCCCCTGAATTTTGCCTGAAGTTGCTGCTATTCCATTTCTTCTCTGATCCAATCGTCATGCGGCGCTATGAGATCTGTCCGTGCAATGGCACTCATGCTACTTGGAAGTGCGGTCTGGAGGGCTGACAATCCATCCTTGTTTGGGCTGCTTCTGTTTGCCCTTCCATTCTGCTGCCGGGTCCAGTTTTAGCTTGGAATTTTCCCCTCCGCCTCTAGTTGTGTTGCGTTCCTTCCATTCTTGTTTTTACCATGCCTCTTTTTCTCTATGTCAACAGGTAGCAAGGGGATCCTTATGCAGCACCACGTGAAATGAACAAAACTCCACAGCCCTCAGGAGGAACCCCATCAGCCCCACACCCCTCCCCCTCTCCTGGACTTCCACAGGTAAAACGATTCTCCCTCCCAAGCTGCCATGTCCCCCTCTGTTTTACAACACGTAATAAAAACTATCATCTTTTCCCTGTTCGCAACCTCCATTGGCTGCTCTGTCTTCTCTGGTGGCTCCTCTTTAACACAAGTTGTCCCACACACACACACACATGCACACCTTTCTGCATTTCTCTTGCCTTTTGCTTGTGGGTCAGTTCTGCACTGTGGGTCCAAACAACCTTGCAAGGCAGGATTTGATTGGACGACCCTCTTGAGCCTCCTTTGCAAAGTTTGCCTTAGGCTCTCTGGGTGCGCTGAGTGTTCGCACAAATTTTCCACGCACCCCAATCTTGCTCTCTAGAGGGTGGGGTTTGGGTGTGGGTTGGGGGCAGCTACGGAAGCTGCTAACTTCCTCTTCCTCCCTTCTCCCCCTCCCCCAGCAGTCAGCATTTCCTCCTGGCCAGACGGCACCTGTGGTTTTTAACCCAGCGCAAGCTACCCAAATGAATACGCCTTCCCAACCTCGACAGGTAAGGGGGTGGCCGCTCTTGCCACTGCTGCTCTTCGGCCGCGAGATCTCTGGGGTGGCAGCCAGGCCTTCTCTGAGGGGCTGCCAAACAGGTTCTTCCATGTGGCTCGGGGATTGCCGGGCAAAGGGAGTCCTGGAGGCTGACTCCGTCTGCAGGCGCCGCTGACTCAGGAGTTCATCTGCAGCACATGCTGGGTGGATATGTCTGTTTGGGTGAGCGCAGCTGAGACAGCCATGAAGGCAGAGGTGTGGTGGAAACTGCCCTATCCTTGGTCCTCACACAGTGGGGGGTTGGGGGGGTTCTGAGAAGGCAGGTAGGGCAACTAGATAACTCCGAGGAGTGAGTTGGTGGCGGTGGCGGGGGGATGCTTGTTTCTGTTAGTGATGTTCTGCTCTTGTCTCCTCTCCCCTCGCTCTTTCCTGTCTTAGTTTCCAGCAGGGCCTCGTGCTTTACATCAGCAGGTACTAACCCTTCTCTACTCCCTTCACCGCATGCTGTGTATGCAATCCGGGGCTGGGCTGGGGTGCATCTACGTTGGGGAGGGGGTTTCCTTGGACACTGCAGGGAAACTGGCTGGAGAAGTGTAGAGGCTGCTGGTCGTTTGTCCTGGCTGGCAAGGCAAGAACAGCCCGAGATGTGTGGTGCACATGATGTAAAAGACATAAGCTGTGAAGCCCCTGGTCCAAAATTTTTGGCTGCTGCCTGAGGTTGTCAGGTGGCCCAAGGCAAGCTGCACTCACTTGCCCTCAGCTCTCTGTCCTCAGTAAGAGGATAATGACACCAGCCACACCTTACAGGGGTGTTGCAGTGATCACACGATAATAGACGTGAGATGTTCCGGATGTTCTGAAGTGCTGGATGAATTGCATTCCTAAAGAGAAGCATTTTAAAGCACACAGAGAGGAAATGAATTAAGTCAAATAGGAAAATAAAACATGGGAAGGCAAATCTATATCTCAGGTGCTCGGCTGTGTCTGCTGATCCCAGGGGTGACTGGGCTGCTAGGGTCTGTTTGACTGCAGTGTCCAAGGCAGAGGACTCTCCCCTTCCCATGTGACTTGCATGACATGCTGACTCATGACAGCTGCTTCCCTGCTGCTGCTGCTGCTTCTGCTTGCTTCTTCCTTGTTCTGTGCCACCCCTTCCCTTCCTGTGGAACAAGCTGCCTGTCTGTGCCCAGAGATTGGTTTTAGGACCATTTCGGAACTGTTGGCTTGCTTTCCTTTCTCACCCCCCCCCAGTTGCCCTTTGGGGTGCCATGGAGAGATGACGAGGCTTCATAGTGTTGCCCCCCAGACATTCTCTCGAAAGCTTCAGTTACTGTTAACTTTGAGGGGATCTGACCCAAAAAAGGTTGGAGGTCTTATTCCAGGGGTGGGGAACCTCTGGACCACCAGACATAGTTGTAGTTCCCTCGTATCAGGGCCCATTCATTGGGGGTGATAGGCGTTTTAGTCCAGCAAAATATGTAGAGCCATAGACTCTCTCATTCCCAGACGTTACACATTCAGGAACTGTTTCCTGTAACCCTACATGCTTGGTTAGGAGTTTTTAAAAGGTGTCACCTAGGATTTTGAATCTGGTCTCGTTCCTCCTCATTGGTTCACTCTGAAGAGCCCAATCCACTTGTGGTCAAATAGCACCTGTAATGCTAACTGAAGAGATTTGTATCTTGGCTGCCCCTGTGCTAACCTTGCTGGACCTCAGATTGTATTCTCATTTGAAGCTGGTGTCCCAGTGCCTAGTCAGAACTCCTGACTCCTTGAGTCAGCCTTTGGCTGCGTGGGTGTCATACACACACACAGTGGACAAAACATGGAGCATGGTTTTTCAGTAGAGAATCTGTGGACCGCTTCAGATCCCCCACTCCAGTGTTTCTTAAACTTGGGTCCCCAGCAGCTGCTGGACTACAGCTCCCATCATTCCTAGCTAGCAGGACCAGTGGTCAAGGATGGTGGGAGTTGTAGTCCAACAACAGCAGGAGACCCAAGTTTGAGAAACACTGGCCTACTGTGTCTCTTGCTAAAATACTGGGCTGGGAATGAGGAAATCTGGACTTCAGGTTTCACCTCTGCCATGATCTCAGTGTGTGACTTTAGGAAGCCACCACCTGTCAATATTAGCCTTCCAGAGAAGATGATATTGGCCTGTATTATAGTACTGTTGTCAGAGTGAGTGAGATTTAAAAAAAAATAAATTAGCTGGGAATACTTCAGTTCCACAGTTCAATTTCTGAAGATGACCTGTTAAGAATTATTGCTACTCAATACTGGTTCCCTTAGTTCAGAACTGATTCACTGTGTTAAATTACACATTCTAGCAGTTTTCCAGTTTGCATGCCCAGCATCTTAAGGAACTGCAGAGTAAAGAGCACCTTCTGGGTGCATAGAGGGGACTGCCCCAAGGTGGCAAGTTGATGATGCAGGGGGAGGCAGCTCCACCTGACATCTATGTTGATGACTATCTAGAATAACCCTTGTCCTCAATGCTTGGATGGCTTTAGAGCGGATAGGACAAAAGCTGTGGAGAACAAGGCTCACGGTGGCTGCAAGTCTGGATGTCTGCATAGCAGCTCCAGTATCAGAGGCATTTGGCTCCTGAATACCGGCTGCTAGGGATCAAGAGCTATCATGCTCATGTCCTACTTGTGGCTTCCCAATGGTTGACCTCTTTGGGAAACCAGAGGGCAGGTTAGACTGGCCTTTGGTCTGATGCAGCAGGGCTGTTACCATTCTTCACGTCTGCCCCCCGCCCTCTGGGGACGTCACTATGGATCTGGCTGTTGCTAATGAAGCCCATGAGAAGTAGCTCGGCAAGAGGTTCCTTGTCACGGCGAGATATGCTGGTGGGTCACTGGTAGCCCACTCCCATCTGTGATCTCCTCTTCTGCTACATTGCCCCTTGCCCCTTGGGGTTTGAATTCCCCTCTTTACCTCTTCCAATTTGCACAGCACTGCCACTTTGCTAACTACTGAGGCCTCCAGCTGCTTTGGGTTCAAGGCTGTGCACATGCGCATGCAAGTACACATTTGCAGTTATGGCTCATTTGGGCTGTGCTTAGAAAGGGGTTGAGGGTGGCTTTGCCCTTCGTAACCACACATGGCCTCCTTTGTGATCCCAAAGCTTCCCCTCCCTCGCCCATCTTCCCATCTTTTGAGGGCCCACCCAAGAGTTTAGAAAGCTGGAAAACTGAGATAGTGTTATGCACTGGCTCCCAGTTTGTTTCCGAGGACAATTCAAAGTGTTGGTGCTGACCTTTAAAGCCCTAAACGGCCTCGGTCCAGTATACCTGAAGGAGCGTCTCCACCTCCATCGTTCTGCTCGGACACTGAGGTCCAGTGCCGAGGGCCTTCTGGCGGTTCCCTCACTTCGAGAAGCCAAATTACAGGGAACCAGGCAGAGGGCCTTCTTTTTTTAAAATAATAATAATAATATTTATTATTTTTATAGATTACAAAAAGAGAAAAAAACAGAAAAAAAGACAAAGAAGAAAAGCAAAAAGAAAAAAACCAATACAATACAATATATAAACATTGCAAAACACAACCTAAACTCAAAACTAAACACATTAAACTAAACTAAACAAACCCCACTCCCTAACCTTAACCCTAAATGAAACAAAACAAAAACAATTTAAAAACATACATCATCTCTTTTCCGTACTCTATCTTTCATTCCCTTGTTTCCTCGACCTCCTCTCACCTCCCTTTTGTATTCCACTTCTATTAATTGTTTCAGCAAATCCTTTCCATCTTTCTCCATTTTCTATCATATTGTAAATAACATATTTTTAACCTTATTTTCCATTAAAACTAAAATACTTATATATGCTTAACTCCTTATAATATTTCTGCTAAGCCCATAAAAAAATCATTCCACCATTTTTCTATCACTCATTAGTTTTACCATAAGTCTATATATAAACTTTAAATTTTCCAATCTTCTTCCACCATCTCCTCTCCCTGGTTTCGGATTCTGCCAGTCCTTTCCGTCAACTCCATAAAGTCCATCAACCTGGTGATCTTATGTCCGAGGCTCTTAACTCTTTTCCAAGTCCCTTCTGCAGGTCTTCTTCATTTTCTTTAATGCTAAAGAGCAAATCTCGGGGAACTCCAACCTGTCAATCCTTTTCTTCCTTCTGAACAGATCAGCCAAATTTCCATAGTTAAAGCTACAGTCCATAAAGTATTTCAGGGCATATTTCAAGATTCCTCCAAGTCCAAAGGCCCCCAAAACTTCAATCTCCTCCAGGCCCGAGTCCATGTCCCAAAAGTCAGTTAATCCCTGCATAGAGGGATCTTTCCAACTTTCCTTCTTTCGTCCAAGCCGGGATCCATTCCTCGGAGTCTGACTTTTCTTAGATTCAATCATAAAAGGCCTCAACTTATAGTCCTCAATTTGCTTCTGTAAAGCCACGGATCTCACTTGTATTACTTTATGTTCAACAACAGCAGCATTGTCCTTCTCCTCCTTCTCCTCCACCATTTGTCCTGCCAAAATGGATTCCTGTACCAAGTCCTAAATTATTTCTGTGTTGGTGTTCGCTTTTTGACTCAAATTAGTCACTTTCTGTTCCAAATTATCAACTTTAAAAGTTATATCATCCATCTTCTTGTGAAGCTGTCCCAGCGAACAGCTTATCTTACATAAAACAGTCACAATGGCCTCTCCTGTCAACATTTCTAAATGGTCCAAGGCCACTCTCTGGTTCTCAGAATCCTTATCTGCAGCTGGAAATCCCCCAGTTACAGTAACAGTTTCAAAAGCTCCCTCTAGAGGGAAACAGTCTCCACTTGTATCAGTTCTTTCAGGCACAACTCAAGCATTAAAGATAAATTTTCAGTTACTTTTCCTCTTTTTTAAACGCAGAGGAGGACAATGGAAACAGTATCTTACTCTTATTTAGCTAGCTGTCAAATCCGTTCTGTCAAATGCACTCTCTCCAAACGTCATCTGGCAGCCTGTTCCCAGGTTCAGAGCAGTGGTAATTTGATTTTTCACTCTCTCCTGCAGGCTCACTAGATCCAAAATTTCCCCCTCTTCTCCTGCTTCCAAGGGGGGTTTTGTATTTTAAACCGATGGAAATTTAATCCTTTGCCAAAAGCTTTCAAAGACTTTAACTTGTAACGTCTTTGCTTCAGTCTATTTACAAAAACGGAAGGCGGACTTCCTGTTTATGACCTTCCCGCTTCAGTGCCAAATTAAAGTATTTAAAAATCCAATTTTCCGTTTTACTCATGAGTAGTTGTTTAAAATCCAATTGTCCACAGGAAAAAGTCAGCGCTCTCCGGCAACAGCAATGCGGCTTCACTCCGTGAAAGAAGCAGTCGATTCAAAGCACCGCGCCACTCACCCCACGTCGCTCCGGATCCCCAAAACAGGGTTTCCCCGCGAGTAGGGGAGGCGCAAAAGGTGCCAGCCGAATCCCAGGTTCACAAGCTTCTCCTGCTTGTGAATTCAATGGGTGTCCACCTTCGCCGTGGCAGTCAGACCCTGTTTTTCACGGAGCAAGTTCCTCCCGAACGGAGGAGCTCCGCCATTGCCGGAGGCGCCAACCCGGAAGTCCCAGGCAGAGGGCCTTCTCAGTAGTGGCACCCGCCCTGTGGAACGCCCTCCCACCAGATGTCAAAGGGAAAAACAACTACCAGATTTTTAGAAGACATCTGAAGGCAGCCCCGTTTAGGGAAGCTTTTAATGTTTAATAGATTATTGTATTTTAATATTCTGTTGGAAGCCGCCCAGAGTGGCTGGGGAAACCCAGCCAGATGAGCGGGGTATAAATAATAAATTATGATGACGATGATGATGATGATGATGCAGGGAGCACGGCAGCTGAAAGGTGTTTCTTTCCTTCAGAAATGGGGCATGGGTTCCAGCAAGCAAGACCTGCTCATTCATGGAGGATAAGGCTCATTGGCTGCATTCTGCCTACACTGTTGGAGGCAATACGCCTCTGAATCCTAGTTGCTGGTAAAGATTTTAGGGATAGTGTGATTCCACCTGGTTGCAGGTTTCCCATTGGTTGGCCAATATAGGAACAGGATGCTGGACTAGATGGCTCTGTGGTCTGACCCTACAAGGCTCTTCCTACATTTTAGTCATGGGGATACTTCAGGTAAAAGCAGTTAAGGCTTTTATTGGCTTCTCCTCTTTCTGCCCCCCTTCCCATTGTTGGCATCCATCTGTCTCAAGAGACAATGGAGTGCACCTCCGGGGTGAAGTCAAACCACTGTGTTGGCAGCACCAAAATGACCTCCCTGGGGTGCAAGCCTGGGCAGAGTGTATGGAGGTCCTGGGCTGCCCAGATGACAAGACCCCTCTATTGGACTCTGATGTGGTTCAAGGGAAAGCAGAGCAAAATGTTTGGCACCAGCTTGGCTGCAGCAGTTGCTGGAAGGAGGCGTACAAATAATTTATTCCCATTTATTCATTACAAAATTGAAAGTATTTGTGCAAATATCCAATCATATACAAAGAAAAGGAACCTTGCGTTCAAATCTGTATACATCTATTTCCAGCAGTGCTGTCATTATATAATGCGCAGTTGAACTGCAAACATCTCCTTACGTTTTCATACTGTATCTGCTGGCCTAACCAAAATAAACAAATCCCATCACTTCCTTAAGCAATCACTTTTTCCTGGTGCAAAGATCACTTTCCAGTGTTGTGCAAATTCCAGTCAATGAGAGCAAACAGTGTTGGATCACATAAAGAGGAAAACCGTATTTGCACAGTTCAGCAGAAATAGAAAGTTCAAAAAATTAAATGAACCTTTCAGAGCAGTTCTACAAAAATATTTTTTAAAAATCAAGAAAAATGTACAATACGTAAAAACATGCAAATGTTAAAATGCTAGATTAAAATTACCCAACTTTCTAAGCATCTGTGTAGCCTTATCTAAATAATGTTTTTAGCAGGTGCCAAAAAGACTACAGCAAAGGTATCAATAGGCAGTGAGTTCCAAAACATAGGTGCTATCACAGTAAACAATTAAGTTCTTACAAATGTGGAACGGATATTATGTGGCATCTGCAATAGTGCCAATTCCAGCCATCGAAGCGATCGCGTGGATATGTGGTGTAAGCCGATCTCATAGACAAACTGGTCCCAAGTTGTTACGGGCTTTATATTCTGATACTAACACCTTGAACTTGGCTCAGTAGCAAATGGGCAGCCAGTGCAGGTCTCTGGACACAGTTGTTACGTGCTGACAAGGCCTCATTCTTGTCAGCAATTGTGCTGCACCAACTGCAGCTTCTGGATCAAGCACTAGGGAAGCCCCACATAGAGCGCTGTGCTGGGGTGCTACACCCAGATGCATATTCTTGTAGGACTTGTAAAGAACACTTTTGATTAATGTTTTCAGCAACTTCCGTGACTCTTGAGTGCTGCCAGGCGCCCGTCTTACATTGAAGTTCCCAAGGATGTGTTCCAAGTCAATTAACTGATGCCATAGGTGACATGTGCCATTTCAACCTTCCTCTTTCCCTGTGTCTCCAATAAAGACATTATTATAAAATAGTTATTATTAGTAAATTCACACTGCCCTTCACCCAAACACCACAGGGCAATTTAACAGCATTAAAAATCCAAAATGAAAACAAAACCGTAATAAGAACAGCAAAAACTGCAATATCTTCTTTTCTAGGTTACAGGATTTGTTGCCTCTATTATGGGAGACACTGCGGATAAATCCCTAGTTCAGAGTTCTTACTCGGGGCCAGCAGCGTTTTGGGCGCTGTGACAGCCTCTGCCGAAAGGCCGGAGCAGGAGATGCTAGGACGTGAGTGTGAGAAGGAGGCAGATTATATAGATGAGCTTGGCAGCCAGTGGGAAGAAGGCAAGGGGAAGGAAGACGAGCCAAAATGCAGAGATGGAGAACGCTTTGCAAGTGAGGGCTGGACCACTTGCAAGTTAAATGCAGAGCATGGCAGTCAGTGTAAAGGAGGCCAGCACCATTTGTGACTCACGAGCTGATCTGAACGCAGCACAGCTGCACATTCTGGCCTGCCCAGCTGCTTGACAAACAACACCCTCCCCAAAAAACACACACACACTTACTTTTCTGCAGTCAGGTTCAGAGTTTCATTGAACCCTTGGTGGGAAGTAGTGTAAGGACTTTGCAAGCAGAGTTGTTCCCCAGGATGGCATTTTCTTGCCTCTGGTCATGCATCCCAGCCTATTTCCCTTTTCTTCCTTGAGCCGCCGCCTCCTCCTCCTCCTCCTCCTCCTTCCCCCGCCCCCAATTCCAGTTTCCTTCTCATGGCACTGCTGTTGCTTTCCTGCTCAGCATTCAGCTGTTCCCCTGAGCCTGGTAACTTGTCTGGCTGTAGGTAACTCTTGTCTCTTTCTCTTTCTCTGTGTGTCTCTCTCCTCTCTCCCTTTTCTCCTTGTGTGCGTGTGCGCGCGTGCGTGCGTGCTTGCTAACAGGGAGGATTCAGGTCTCTTCAGGTAATGCCTTTTCTATAACCCTACTCTGGTTGGGAGCGGGAGGGTCCGAGCGTTGGCGCAAGTCACTTAGAGCCCACTCTAGTCTCCAATCCGTAGCTCGGTGCACAACTTTAACAGAAGTCAATATATAGGGTCAGTCTTTGTGGAGATGGGGAGAAGCACAACTCCTTGGCTAGAGTACCACTTTCATTGTGCAGAGGGCTGAGAAAGAGAGTCACGTGAATCGGCGTGATCCATAATGGGCTTCCTTTGCATCCTGGCAAGGGGTGGAGATGTTCTGTACAGATCTGGCTGCCTCTGGAACATCCTCTTGCTCTTGTTTAATTTCTTAAAAAATATTTGCTCTGTGGGTTGCAGAATTCACTGCTCTTGTCTTCTATTCCCCACCACCCGCTACCTTGCCTTGCCCATGTGATGTTGCGTTGCATCCTGGGGCTTGTATGCATATGCCGTAGCACCTCTAGAAACCCCAGGTTGGCTGCAGATGAGCTTCATGTGTTAGTTCTGTGAAATTCGGGAGGCAACCCAGGCTTGAAATTGCCTAGTGTTGTCAGTTCCTGTTGGATGTAGTCAACTATCATTTGATCTTGAGTTTTGAAGAAACTTGACCCATTTGTAGTCAAGGTAATTTGCATCATGTATCCTCTCTGCACATCTTGCATTGAGTTTGTTTTGTTGAGTTTTGGTTATGCTTATTTGACGAAGGAGGACCTACACACATAGAACAGTATAGCATTGAAGGTCTGCAACAGGAGACCCCAGGCTAAATTGAACCGTTTTCTCTGCCCCTTCAGCTTTATTTGTGGACAAAGTGGTGGGCCACTCTTAAGAGGTGGAAGTGCCAACCCACCACCATTCTCCTGTTTCTCACAGTGGTCCTTCAGGTAAACTAGGTTGCTGCCTAGGGCTGCTGGAGGATTGTGGCCTCTGCCATCTTATCATAGAGACCCTGTAACCTTCTGTCTGGAAGACCAGAGCAAGGCATGTGGAAATTGGCCATTTGTTTTTCTCTGCAGCCTTCCAGGTCCCGAAACTTGCTTTCGTTCTTCGAAATAAAAGCAAAAGGCTTGGTTTGCAGAGAATCCAGGTTTGGCATTGGCAGTCCCTGTGCCATGCTTTTATGGGTACAGGCAGATTCTTGTGCGCCACCTTCTCCACGTAGCCACAGCCAGAGTTTTTGGGAGGTGGACACGGGACTGGCAGCTGTGTCTTTGGGGTTTCCTCAGGCCAGGCCTTGCTAACCAAGCATGCCCCTCTCTCTTCTCTCTCTCTCTCTCTCGAAGCATTTCTACCAGAACAGGGCCCAGCCTCCGACAAGTGCTTCCCGGGTGCAGAGTAATACGTCGGCTCGGCCTGGCCCACCCACTCATGTTTATCCAGCTGCTTCCCAGGTGATGATGATCCCCTCACAGATCTCCTACCCTGCTTCGCAAGGCTACTACATCCCTGGACAGCAGGTGAGGGCTAGAATGGGGCTGAGGGCAGACCTGGAGAGCTCTTTGCACTTTCCCAAGCGAGCCTTGTCTCCGGGAGCCTGCTGCTGGCTTGTTTTTCCTCGGGCCTCTTGATAGAGTTGTGGGTCAGGCTTCGGACCCTCGCTCCTGGCGCCCTCACCTTGACTGCGTACCTGTTAACCCCCAGCACTCTCCTCCTGCCTCCAACGTTTCCTGTGGTTATCTATGGGCACTGCTGTCTTGTTTCGTAAAATAAGATTAATGGTAACCCCGCTTATGCATGTGCACACATTCCTAGCAAACATGCTGGTCAGAAACAGGGCTCTGGCAAGCCCTGGGAGCAGCAGGGAAATGTCCACAGTCCTGATGAGAGGGGGCAGTTGCAGAGATTTGGCATGTCTGATGTGATCCATGTCCCGCTTATTGAGCGATAGGAGCTTAAGAGGTAGCAAAACTGCTCTTGCAACCCTGCGTGTGAACTATTTACTTCATAGGACACGTAACCCACACTATCCTAGGGCTTGGGGTGGGTAACCTGCTAATTATGCTGCCCTCTCCCTCCTCGTTCACCCCAAATGAGTTTGAATAAATAGCCTCTTGCACCATTTCAGGAAACCATGAAAGGCCGGGCTTGGGTGAGTCACCCAGAACTGAGGGATGACCTCTGAGAACTGAGGGATGACCTCTTGTGTGTGTGCACGTTTCAGAATGGTTTGATGCACCTATGATGTCTGTATGGGCTGCAAAGTTTAATCCGTTTAAACCATTTTGATCAACTCAAAAAACAAAAAAGTGACCCCTGATTTTGTCAGGTAGCGGATCTAAAATGTAATGTTGGTTTCAGGGTGGATAAAAATCAGTGATTTAAAAAACGGATTTTTTAAAATTGGCTTTTTAAAAATTTAAATCGGATTTTTAAAATAAAATGCTTTTGGATGAAAAATCTTTCTAAAGATAGTTTTCTGTTCAAGTTATGTTATAGTCCAAAGGCTATTAATCAGGAAATAAGGATTTGTTTTAAGTCTAAGTTTTTTTAAAAAAAGATTGTTTAACCACATCAGTTAACAAACATGGATACATATGCTATAATGTTATTGTTTGAGTTAAATAAATTGTTTAAATTGTTATTAATGAAATGATTATTTTTCTCCTTCCAATAAAGTACAGTAGAAAAGTTGTCCAAATATAAACAGTTAACTTACTAAACCTCACAATTTCCATAATTATCTGTCTATGTATTTCTAATAGTAAAACCCAATCAGTAATTTTTGGTATAACAGTAAAAACTACCCTGAAATTTTATTATTCCAAAAATGAAACCTTCATCTGGTTGTAAATATTAAGCTTATACCAGCAAGAGTGAGTCTTTGTGTAAAAAAACGATTTAAGTCAAGTCTTACTGACTTACTGGTTGGTTTTAATACAAGTCTTTTCAAAAGCTGCAAAGGGCAAGCCTTGTTTTTCAGAAAGCATTAACTTGTACAGGAAGGCAGGGGGGATCTCTCATTGGTGATGCCTGCATCAACTCCTGGGCACACCATAAAACAAACAAACCGTGCTGCTGTTTTCTTTTGAACTGGTGTGTATTCTTGTGTGAAAATGTATACAGAGAGGATGTTGACAATTTATTTCACTCGTACTGTTTTTATCAATTTGAGATCTGATCCACTTGCAGCCCTAAGCTCTCCTGGGGTATGTGTCTACTATTTATTTAATTTCTATGCCGCCCTTCGGTCCAGGTATCATAGGGTGGTTTACAATATAAAACCACAAAAAACATGGGAACAAACGAAAACAACTCCTGCTCCCTCTACGTTTTAAAAGGCCATGGATTGTTTAATTAGTCAAATGCCTGGAAGAAGATGAATGCTTTTGTCTGGTGCCTAAAAATATATTGTTGGGGTTCCGCAGTTGCTCCCCCCCTTCCAAGCGTATTGTTGCCCATGGAAGCTACCCATGCTCCTGGGACACTATGTTCCCTCCACTCCCACATTTTCACCCCAGATGGTGCAGTGGAGAGGCTACTGATCTGGGGGTGTTGTTGTTGAATATGTGTGTGAGTAGGCTGCACATGTAATTCTTTCAGGTGATGGGTATCCAGCTACTGGGTACCTTCCAGCCTCACTTTATGCCAGCATCCATCATAAGAGTGCTTTTAAGCTGGTGTGGAGAAGCTGCGGAGGATCAGAAAGGCTGTAGACAAATGGTATCAGGTGGCTTCTGTGTCAACCCTTACCTAGGATGGGGCATAGAGTTATGTAGTGCTGGATAAGGGATGAATGAGCAGGTGCTTCGTGACTCATTAAAGCGGATGCAAAAGAGCCAGAATTTGGAAACGCCCCCTTCAGTTAGAAAATGCCTTCACCACCTCTAGGGAGGTTGGATGTAAGCTTTGCAAAGCCGCAGCTTGGTCTCCCCAGGTTTACGAGCCCCTTAGTGGGGTTGATGGTGTCTTTTGTTCTCTGTGTTTATTGCGGCCTTGCTTATGGCCCCGCTCCTCTTGATCTGGTGGACATTACTGGGGCATTACTTCAACCCCTATCCCATTTGTGTCAAGTCTTCCTCCTCCAAGCTTAATCTCGGGCACTTACTTGCTACCCTATTCTTCCTTTTCCTCTCTGACCCAGGGCCGCTCCACATACGTTGTTCCGACTCAGCAGTATCCTGTTCAGCCAGGTGCCCCCAGCTTTTACCCTGGAGCCAGCCCCACAGAATTTGGCACCTATGGTAAGGGGACGGGTATGACTGTCATTGTGTGGTGTGTGTGTGTGTGGGGGGGAAATATATCACTACATGTTCTGTTTGTAGCATTGCCGGGGGTTGAACTTCCAGTTCCATTGGGGTCCCTTCCAGTTTTAAGATCCTGTGATTTTGGTGGTGTGTAAAATTGCAGGGTGGGAGCAGTTTTTTCTTTGCCCGACTGAGCGCTGATGGCATCCAGTGTGTTTCTGCTCTTGATCCTGTTCTGCAAGTTCCATCTATGTGCAAGATGTCTCTGGGCTCGAGTCACTTTTGCAGTTTAGCCTTGAGCAGTGGCTTTACTTGCTGTGAAAGTGTGGAAGTCAACTGATGTTCTCCTTGCTTGATTAAGTTAGAATTCCTTTTGCTGCAGTCATTCAGTGGCACGCACAGTCAAGAAAATCTGGGGTGGAGTGGGGGGAGAGGATGTTGTGGGAGGGAGAGAAGTCTAGTTTGACTTAGGTCTTAAACTGCAAAATGAAAGGAGGGTCTCGATTGTGGGAAGCCTCCAATTGAGTGTGGTTAAGAATTCACTTCTACATCACTGTTCGTTACCCAGGTTAGGGACCAACTCTTAAATAAAACACAGAACCAAGGAAACTAATTCAAGTCCCGCATCCAGGAGGGACCATCAATAAAAAGTATTTACACTAAACATTTGGCCCAAAAATCTAGTTTTCCAGTTTTACAAATTCACTGAATAGCAACCCAGTGTTCTGATTGGAAAATTATTATAAAACTAGTTCAGTTACAGCCCGATTCAAAATTGCTTCTGTTCTTTCTGATTGTTGATTCGCACGTGTGTGTGTGTGTGTTTTCCAAGTGATTCTCCTCTGCCCCTCACTCCCTTCAGACTAGAATATGGAAGTGCAGGAGTATCTAATCACTGAGCCAAATATGTTTTCAGAAGAGACTGGGGGAGTCCCATGTAGTTGGATTCTTACCTCTGGACTGCTAGTCTATTCCCTTTCTGTGGCTGTGCTCTGGAAATCTAGCTAACAAACAAGCAAACTGAGTGGTGCAAGAGATTTTTGTTCCAGGAGGTTGAGCCTATGATTTTTGACAAGATTGTAGGCTGCGCATGATTGTAGGCTGTGCTCACTATCCCAATTAGTTGCAAGGTTAGACAAAGAGAGACGCTGTAAAAGGAGAGTATATTGGCTCAAGATTACATAGTAGATGCAGTTGCAAATAGTTGTGTCATTGTTCCATTTTCAGTAGGGGATGAGAATTAAGGGCCTTAAGAACAGGGTTCTGGGGAGGGCAGATGAGAACCTCCCTGTGTGTGTATGTCAAAGAGACCTTTGCTAGTATGAAAGCAAAGACTGCAGCATAGTTATTAAGCGATTGAGCTATGAGACAGCAAGTTGCCCTGTTCAGATGTTGTCTCAGCCATAAACTTGCTAGATAGCCGATAGCCTGAGGCAAGCTGCCGTTTTTTGCTGTCAGCCTCTCTGCCTTTTTACAGGGCAAGGGGGAAGAATTGTGGCCTACGTTAAAGGGCCATTGTAAGGATCGCTGAGATATAACGTACGTGAATAGATGTAAAAGTTCAGAAAACTCTTAGCACTTTCCCTATAAAAGCAGAGTTAACTGTGAGATGATTAGGTCTGTTGGAGTTCTGGACAGCACCATTTAAGATCACAAGAAGGTCTGAGCAAAGGGCTTTCTAGTTCAGCATCCTCTTACCTACAGCTGCTTGCCAGATGCACCTTGGGAGTCCTATCAGCTGGTTATGAAGGCAGTGGCTCTCTCTCCCACAGTTGCCCCCCAGAAACTGGTATTCATTGTTTGCTGGCTCTGAAAGAGTGCAGGGTGGGGCAGATGTGTTTATGCAGTGCTTTTTTCCTAAAAATGTTTTGACTCAAGAAAATCACCATTTTTATAGTTCAAATTGGGAAAAATAAATACAGTAAATGGACAAAAGTACAAAGATTCACAAAATGTTTAGGGGTATGCGTCCCCCCAGAAAAAAACTTTTTCATGTGCTAGTTCACACTACACACAGGGAGCTCTTTGTATTGGAAGTGTGTTTGAAAAATGCATGATCTTCCGCTGTGATTTTGAAGCGATGTTTATAGGAGCAGGCCACACGGAATTGGCACTACTACAGGTGCCGCAGAATACCCATTCCACATTTGTAAGAGCTCAGTCATTTAGTGTGCCAGCGGCTATGCTTTGGAACTCCCTGCGCATTGACATCGAGCAGGTGACTTGATTTTACTCATTTTTGTCAGTGTTTGTAAAAAGCAAAAAAAGAAGAAGGAAAGGGTTCTGACCTCCCTTTGTCTCCTCAGCCTGGTCCTCGGACACTTGTCGGCACAAAAGAGTCCACGAGAATATCCTTGCAGAGTTTTATTCTTAAAAGTCCTTGTGCAAAACACGACTGAATAACTATACACACCAGCACCAACCAACCAACCAACCAACCCAAACACCAGCCTCAGCACCAAACTAACATTTCTCACTATATATACAAGCTGCTGAGTCATGCTGACCCAGCTTTATTTGCATTAAAGAAACAGCGGCCATTTTAGCCGTGACACCCCTTCTGTTTCTTAAATGCGAAAAACCCCAACAGAAACAATACATACATACATTACATACATAAACCCAGTTTTGTCATCAATTCATTATGACATGTTGCTGGCAAAGGCTTGGTAAACAAATCAGCAATATTATCTTGTGATTGACAATACTCCAGTTTGATTACCCCATTCTGTACACAATCTCTTACATTCGCATGATGGATAGCAATATGTTTTGATGCGGATTTCATTATTTCCGAGCCCGCTAATGCAATGCACAATTGACTATCTTCATACACTTGGATAGGCAAATCTACTTTACAATCTAGATCTTTTAGTATCTGTATAAACCACAAGCTTTCGTTGCATGCTAGCGATAGGCTCCCATATTCTGCCTCACAGGCAACCAGCTTTCAGGCAAACTTGAAAGGATAATGTAGGTTTGGTCAGTCTCATCATAACGCTTACCTCTCTGCTGTAGTTGAAGAAACAGAGATTTCAGCATTTGAAGATGAGTTGCCAAACTCTCATCTTCCTTCATAACAGTCCTGAACAGCCTTCTGGTCAGAGAAATGATAGTTCCAGCAGTTTCTCTGACATGCATTGCCCTTAATAAATTCCAGCACTCAAACGCTGTGCTGGCATTTGCTACATGCAATAACTGAGAGTTGCTCAAACACAGCATAATTTGGGCACAGGCCCTTTCATCCAGCCGTTTTTTCTCAGCAGAGTCCTGTCTCAAAACCTCAGTTTCAACACAGTCCCATAGTCCATCTCTCCTTAACAACTGCTGCATTTTAATTGACCAACTCAGCCAGTTGTTTTCTGAGAGAAGTTCAAAAGGGATGCCTCCCCCAATATTTACAACTTGGGAAGACTGGAAATCTGCCATCTCTGCTGGTGCTTGCTGAGCCCCTTCTGTAGGGCCTCCAGCAATCTCTCCTGACTCTCTCTTTAGAGTCCAACTGGATGGTCCTGGCTGGCACTCACCGGCTTCTAGCTGCTGCCTCTGTTGACCCTCAGGTCCCGCCTGGCTCTGCAACTGGTGTAGCCGCTCTGTGAGTCGCCTACTGTGGTCCTCCAGCAGTTCAAACTGTTCCAGTAGCCGACGCTGAGTGCTTTCCTGATCCTCAGATCCTAGCCGCTCCAGCGTCACTGCAGACAGTTACAGCTTGCCACCAACTGCTCCAACGCACAGCCGCTGGCTCCAGGCACCACCAGGACTCACCAGCTCCCTGCTGAGATGCCGTCAGTCGTTTTGCACTCTGCACATGCTCAGAAACACTGGGCCCATAACCTGTCAGTGTTTGTAAAAAGCAAAAAAAGAAGAAGGAAAGGGTTCTGACCTCCCTTTGTCTCCTCAGCCAAGTCCTCGGACACTTGTCGGCACAAAAGAGTCCACGAGAATATCCTTGCAGAGTTTTATTCTTAAAAGTCCTTGTGCAAAACACGACTGAATAACTATACACACCAGCACCAACCAACCCAAACACCAGCCTCAGCACCAAACTAACATTTCTCACTATATATGTACAACCTGCTGCAAGCCGCTGAGTCATGCTGACCCAGCTTTATTCGCATTAAAGAAACAGCGGCCATTTTAGCCGTGACAATTTTGGCGACTGCTAAAAATCTCCTTGTTTAGACAAGTCTACTCAGGTGCTTAGAAAGTTGAGACAGTTTTAATTTGTTTTCATATTCTGTATGTTCTAAAATGCAGTTGCCTTTTTTTCTTGATTTTCTTGTTTTACCTTTATTGCTTGGGGGATTTTTGATTTTTGATTTTTTTTTACAATCAAGCAGTGTATAAATTTTATTAAATAAAGACGTGTTTGATAAAGATAAACATAAGGGGGGGGGTTGCATGTGCTGGAAGGAGGCCTAGTCTAAAACTGATCGATTTCTAGTTTAATTTCCTCTCACCCCCTTGCTTTTTACCAGATGCGCTGATTCTCACACTTCAAGGAAGGGAGCATGCAGTCCCAGTAATAACATTTTTATTAAAGTTTTTCATACTACAGTAAGATAACAGTGTGTGTGTGTGTGTGTGTGTGTGTGTGTGTGTGTGTGAAGTAGAGCCTTAGCTCTTGCTGGGGTGGCAGGCCTGTGTCTGGGCTGCATCACTTCAGACTGCATGCGTGGGCTCAGGTGATCAGATGTTTGTTCTTACAAGACGTTGCACGCATTTTTGGGGCTGTTGGGGGATTTCATTGTATGGACGATTGTCAAATCGTGGGAACCCTCACCTGCAGTCTGAAAACGTACAGCTGCTACCCAGCTTAGCTACCACAGCAAGAACTAGGCCAGAGAAACGGGTAGCAATGTGAGAATAAGAAACCCCACCACCTGGGACTTCTCTGAGAGGCCTCCTGGTGGTACTGTTAAGAACAGGGGTGGCCTTAAAATGTTCCATCACCCATCTGCTCACAAGATGGCTCAGCGGCCAGGGAGGATGGCAACTGTAGGCCAGCAGCACCTGTGTGAATGCTCTCAGGTTCTCCATCTCTGGTCTAGAAACTTGGGGAGGTGTTTGGTTAATTGCAAAGCAGAGATTATTGGGAGAGTCAGAGTGAGCAGGTAAGGATATATATTTGGAGCGAGATGGAAGGGTGAAGCCTAACAGGGAGGAAGTGTTAAGCCAGCCCTGAGCTGCACATTCAAATAAATAAAAGAAAACATGCAGTGGAATGGCAGAAGAATTGAAAAATCCAGAGCCAAGCTCCCATGTCAATTTCCCGCTTGCCAGCTTTGTTGGTGCAGATTTTCTTTCCAATCCCACTATTGCCTTAGGGATACTTAAAGTCCTTAGTCACCCACCCACCCAAATGGTTTGGTCCAGATTTCCTCTGCTGATTCTGGATCAATGGCCGTTGTTATTTATTGTCAAAGGATAAAAGGCAGGGATGGGGAGCTTGTGGCCTTCCAGGTGTAGTTGGACTCCAACTCCCATCAGCCCCAGTCAGCATGGCCGACGATCAGGGATGATGGGAGTTGAGAGTCCAGAAAATATCTGGATGGCCACATGTGTCCGCATTCATGGCGTAAGCCTGGGAGGTTCACACATTCGTCTCTTGTCTTGCTACCCCTAAATGTCACAGAAATGGGACATTTTTGAAGCCCGACTCCTGTTGGAAGTGATCCTGAGCTGTGAAACAATAGTTCTGATGGCAAACTGAGGCCGTGGTTGCCCTGGCAAGAGGGCGTGGGAAGCAATCTTGCATGACATTCCCTCAAAGTGACTGAGAACTGTGCACACTTGTTCTCTTCAACTCCCGTTTGGTCTCAATACTTTTATTTGTTTTGAAATAATTTAGCCCGCGAAAATACAGTTCCAAGAGCGACTCAGCACTAGAGTGTTGGATCATGCCCCCTGTGTGCTTGGGCAGGTTGGGTGCAGGATCCGTCTCGTCTCATCTCTAGGGGCCCCTCTCCTCTTCTCCTTTCTGGTGGGGTCAGTTTAATCTTTAACTGCCCAGCCAGTGGCTGCGCAGACTTTAACCTCAGCCTGGCTTTGGATTGCTGCGGCAGCACAGTAAGGGAGCTGCGGGTTTGATAGCAGCCCCTGACCCAGTCACCCCTGAAGTGGCTTTTAGTCTTACGTTTCCAAGCCACAATGGTGGGTGGGTTTGCGCATGCGCAGCAGGGGAGACAACACATTCTCAGCTCTGCCTTGCACAGATTTGCTGCTGTTGGAGTGCACACTCTCTCCTCACCACCCCAGGATTTAATATTCCCCCAAAGCTCTTCTGTCAAGTTGCCTTGAGTGTTTGGTCCTCCTCTTCCTCCCTCCTTCCCTCCTTCCCTCCCTCCTTCCCTTCCCCACATGGGGCTCACATGATCACTGAGCACTATTGCTATATTTAGCCTGGACCTGTCCCAGTCTGCTCCTGCAGACTCAGAAATATGAGCTGAGGCCTCCATCCCATCCCAGTCCTGCATGTCATAGTTCTTTCAGTGCTGCAGAGGTTGCAAAAAAAAAGCAAAAACCCTCCTGCCCACACCCTTTCCCGAAAGGTAGGTGCATTCAGCTTCTTCAGAGGGCTGAGTTGCAGCGGGTGTGCTGAGCCTGATATGCTGCCTGCTCCTATCCCATCCCTTCCGTGCAGAGTTGGGGCCTCTAGGAGAGAAGCTTGTGTGTTCAGGACCCCAATCTGACTCCTGTGCCTTGAGACCTGGGGTAGCAGGAAGCAGTTGATCAATGCGCAGTTTCTCCTCTTGCAAGCCTGCGGTGATTGGAGGAGGTGAGCTTGATGGTCCTCTCCCCTGCTGCCCATCTCCCACAGGCACTGGCAGCTTCCCTTTCCAGGATCGCTGCCTGCTTGGGCAGCCTCATGCCACGGCCGGCTTGCTGCGTGCTTCTGCGGCTGCTTGCTTCAGGGGTGACTGTCAGCTTATGAAAGTGCCGCATTGCACTCCCCACCCATAAAGTTTATTAGGCCAGATGACTCAGCACGGGTAGAGGGCTGCTTCCATGTGCTCAGAACAGGCTAGACTAGTCAGTGCAGCAGCTCCTCTCTATGGTCTAGCACATGCAGGCAATGCGCAGGCTGCGGGGTTGGAGCTTAGGCGCACCTGTGGAACTTGGGGCATTCGGGGTGGAAACACCTTGACTATGGAGAGAGAGTCCCACAGGAGGTCTGGAAAGACACTTCCTCTGTAGCTCGTGATCATTTTTGCTTTGAATTTTCCCCACCCTTTAGAAATCCTTTGAATGCCTTCTTTTGTGCCTCCCCTGGTCCAGGCTACCTTAGCTCTGACGATATGCATCACACCTCAAGGGTTTCTTGCTCCCACCCCCAATCTTGTTCCTTCTGATACCTGATTCACTTTGGCCTGGTTATTGGAAGGACTGAGCCACAGTTGCCTTGCGGAAGGTGTGGGGAACCAGATGTTGCAGAACTACTGCTCATCTTAGCAAGCATGGCCAGTTGTCAGAAATGATGGGAGTTGTAGCTGAAGAACATCGGGGGTGGGGGGGACAAAGGTCCTCCACACTAGGGCAGGACAATATCTGGTTTTCAGCTTTGTGATATATCACCAGCTAAACATTGTAATATACTGATACATTACAATGTCTGAAATAAGGATGGAGCTATGTAGAGGCATTGGCTAGCTTCACAATTTTTACCACATTGTGATTTTTGCATAGCACACATGTACATACACCCACATACATCATGATTTACAGTATATTGCCAGGTCAAAAATTATGAAACCAGTATCATGGCATGGGCTTGAAAATGGTTTTGGACGCTATATTGATATATCACTCAGCCCTCCCCCATGCTGTGCTGCATTGCTTTGGTTCTGTTTGAGGAAACCACGGCAATTAAACTGCTTTTGAAGCTTCCCTTGTAGCACAGTTGTAAATTGGAACATTTTGTTCTGTTATTATTAATCAAGTTGGTAACCCCTTGGATGTGCAGGACAGCTAGGAAGTAAACACTAGCAGTGTCTGGTAGCTATGCCATCTGGAGTCTAGGTTCCTCCCAACCCAGATTGCCTGGATTGCACACAGCTGTAAGGGTGCTCAATGCCTAAGGAAGTGTGGGAAACATGACCAGAATCCCTGTCCCTGTTTTATTTCCACCCTTCTCTTCTCCATGGGCTCTGTTTTACCACAATCGTTAAAGGCTGTCCTCCCATCATTTTGCCCAAGCGCTGGTCAAGGCATAGTCCAGTTTCATGGTTGCCTCCCCTGCCAAAGGCACTCTGTCCATCATTACACCTTAGCATCACATTTATCTTGGGGTTTTCTGTCTGCTCAGCCCCAGAGGTCAACTAGGCGAAGCTTTTCCATTGCTTTCCTCACTTCGCATCAGCAGGTGAGATGTTTGGGAGAGCAACCTCGGAAATCCCTTGATAGTTCCTCTCAAGGCTTTGCTGCAAATATCCATTGGGATTGGGTGGCCCACAGTTGAAATATCTCATTCTGCCAGGAAGATGTCTGTCTGGCAGATTTTGGGCGGCCAGAAAGAAAGTACATCTTCGTATGGTGCTTAATAACTTACGGATTTTTTTGCCATAAGCTGTAGGAAGTGAATTTGTCTGAAGTTGGCTATATGGTGCACCCTTTAGTAGTTCTGCTATTTGTTTGCTCCGGTTTTTCATGTTTTCTACGTATTGATGTTTTAAAATGTGTCTTGGTGAGTTTTTATGGCAACTTTTCGCCTTTTGAGTTTGCTCTAGGGCAGGAATGGCGAACCTGGTGCCTCCCAGATGTTCAGAGCCAGCAGGGCCAGAGGCTGGGGATGATGGGAAGTGTAGTTCAAGAGCACCAGCAGAGGCCACAGGTTCCACATCCCTTCTGTGGAACCTGTAATTCTCAACACGATTGCTTCTCCACTCATTTCTAGAACTCCTTGCCCTCCCCTAGGCTCTCTTAAGTTTTGTCTCCCAGAGTCTTGGATTCAAAATAGTCTGCCCAATGGAGAGACTAGGTGGGTGCCATGCATGCTGGGCAGAAGATAAGGCCACGAAGCTTGGGAAGGTGGCTGGGGGAGGAGATGCCTAGAGCCAGTCCCTGCTTCTGTACAGTCTTCCTATCTCTCTTGTTTGCTGCTTACAGAGAGAGTTGGTTTGGAAGGAAGTTTGGAGAAGAGCTGAGGAGGTGGCCCAGGGAATTCTGGGGACACGCAGTTCTAGACCACAGCCATACTTTCATTCCTCCTCTCCTTGCTCCATGCAACCAGGCAAACAAGGCCACAGATTTAGCTAGTTACAGCAGTAGCTCTTCAGCATGCCTTAATTTAGGATGGGGCAGCCTCAAAGCAAGGGGTTGCCCCAGGTGGGGAAGTGGGGTGGCTTAGGGACGCTCAGGATCATGGAGAAAGAATGCTGAGGTGTCGCTTGCTGAACAAGTTGGTCCGGTTTTGACATTCCTGACCAGGTCTAGAGGCGAACGTGCCACCCTTGAGCCTCCTGCCTCTTTTGGGAGTTCCTCCTGGGATATTCATTCTCTCTCTTCTTGTTCGTACGTGTGTGGAGGGGGAGCTGAGCAGTGACTTGCCCCAGTGCTAGTCGGGGGATTATTTCCCCCACTGAAAAAGGTGCTTGGCAATATCACCTGATGGCTCTGCCCTGCGGTTCATTCCTTTAAGCTTGTGAGATGAGCTCAGGAACTACACCTGCTGATGCATGATTTGCCCCTTGGAATTCTGGGACAGCAGTTCCTTAACTTTCCTCCTTTTCTCCCCTCTCCAGCTGGTGCATATTACCCTGCCCAGAGTGTGCAGCAGTTCCCTGCTGCTCAGGTCATCATGAATCAGCAGCCACCGATCCCGCCAAAGCGAGAACGCAAGACGGTAAGATGGGAGTTGGGGGGTGGCCGCTGGGCATGAGTTAAAAGTTTATGTTGTACAGAGACTGCATTTTGTTGGGTGGTTGATGCCTCTCATATCGCCCTCCCTCTAATTCTACCTAGTCTTGGGTTTGAGGCTGTTGAAAGAGAATCCCAGGCATTGTGGTTCTCCTGGAACCTAGGAATTTGATGCTGGCATCTAAAGTGCAAATTATAGACTTAGCCCGTGTCTGTGTGTTTATGTTACAAGGGAAGTGGCTCAAAGTAAAGGTGAGCACAAGTATATGTGCCAGGCACTGGGATCTTGCATAGGTTTATTTAGAAGTAAGCTCCATTAAGGTCAATGAGACTTGGGCTCAAGTTGGGGCTCAGGGGCTTGTGGCCTTCAGCTTCAAGATAAGAGAGTTGAGCAGCTTCTGCAAAATTGATATGTTACCGCAGTTAAACAGAAAACACACACAGCCCGTAGTATTACTGAGTAGGGCTGGGTGATACCTGGTTTTCAACACTGTGATACATTACCAGCTAAACATCATGATATACTGACATACCACAATGTCTGAAATAAGGATGAAGCTGTGTAGAGGCATTGGCTGGCTTCGTGGTTTTCCCCGCATTGTGATTTTTGCATGGTGCATGCACACACACATATCGTGATTCCCAATATATTGCCAAGTGAAGAATTCTGATACTGATATCATGATACGGACTTAAAACCGGTTTGGGACAATATATCGATATATTGCCCAGCCTGATTACTGAGATTATGAGGGCCAGTTGGATCTTCCAAAAGGAGAATGCTGGAGTTCAGGTGCCAGAAAAGAACTGTAGCTCAGTAGAATAGCATGTGGTTACAGCATCCTGGCAAATCCAGCTGAAAAGATTTCAGCTAGCAGGTTTTGACCTGAGATTTGGAGAGCCACTGCCAATCAGGATAAAAAGGTAAAGGTAAAGGGACCCCTGACCATTAGGTCCAGTCGTGAACGACTCTGGGGTTGTGGCGCTCATCTCGCTTTATTGGCCAAGGGAGCCAGCGTACAGCTTCTGGGTCATGTGGCCACCATGACTAAGCCGCTTCTGGCGAACCAGAGCAGTGCACAGAAACGCCGTTTACCTTCCCACTGGAGCGGTACCTATTTATCTACTTGCACTTTGACGTGCTTTCGAACTGCTAGGTTGGCTGGAGCAGGGACCGAGCAACAGGAGCTCACCCCGTCGTGGGGATTTGAACCGCCGACCTTCTGATCGGCAAGTCCTAGGCACCCACAGTGCCACCCGCGTCCCAGTCAGGATAGGTGATGCCTATTTATATGGCTCAGTAAACTGACAGGGTCTGTGGCAGCATTTGATATGAGCCTATCAGGAAGCCATTCCCTCTGCCAAGAAAATCCTTCTTCTAGAAAGGTGCGGTAGTTGGCCTTGGCTGTTTAAGTGGTAAGGACATCTACTTGGAGCCGTTTTATGGTTTCCTCTATTCTCTAGGTTTAGCCCTGGCACTGGCAAGAGGTTTCCTGTCTCAGCCAGGCAACAAATTTTATTCCTGGTTGACTTTCTCTTGGTAACTGTCTCCCTCCCTAGGTGGAGTCATGGCTGGCATTTTGAAATCTATTATGTTTTAGAAGTCTATCTAACCGTCCACACACACCCATTGCTGGGTTTTTGTGCAGTTATCTGAAGTTGCCTTTGTGCGGAGAGCTCGCTTCGCCTGTCCCCTGCCACTGAATTACTTGCAAAACTCACGGTGCCATAGGAAATACACAGCTACACTCCCAGTTGGGTGCAAAAGACCTTCAGAATCTCTGTGAAGCCCGATGGAAAAGTGTAGCTGCTCACCTTTCCTCAATGGATTTTGTGTGTGTGGATTTGGCAAGGCAGGGGAGCAGGGCCCACCTCCACATGCTCTTGTGTAATTTCCGGCCGAGGGGCATGTGGCAATCTGGGTCAGAGTTCAGCAGGGATCAGGAGTCCGGAATGCAGCTCGGCACAGCGTTGAGAAATGGCAGGGGAGAGCAGGCTGGAGCTGTGCACAGGCTGAGGCTACAGCTAGGTGTGGCTGCACGCACCCTGGGCTGGTTATCCTCCATTACTTGTGTGGTATGCTTCTACGCGGTCCATTTCCACCCTGTGCCAGTTAATGTCTCTGGAGAAGAATCGGGTGAGAAGAGCAAATGCATTGATTTCCTTTCTCCAAAGGAAGATCCCGGCTTAATAGTAGCTTTTGCAAGCGTCTCGCCCCTTCTCCCTGTGCTTCTGGATATCTTCTTTATGCCAAGCCAAGGTGATTGGCGACAAGGGGTGGGGCCTTCTCTGTAGTGACGCCCTCAGCACAGAACTCAGTCCCTAGACCAACCTCGCAGGTAAATCCTTACTTTCTCTGTTTAGGAGGATGTCAAAGGGGATTTTCTTCTGGCAGGTGTGTTGGGACATGGCATGACCGTTTCTCTTTTTCCTTTTAATCGGAAACTTTTGAGCTTACCGTAGTCCTGCCCATCTAATGCTATTGCTTTAGGTAGTTTGGTGACTATATGATGATGCACTTTCATCATGTTTTTGAAGTTTGGTTTATTTCAAGCTGTCTCTCTGGAGCCATAATAGCAGGGTGAAAATTGCAGCAGGTATAAATAAAAAGATGCATTGCTGATGGGGGCTGTCAGCCATGCAGGGGCCACATCCGTGTCACTAGTACACCCACCTGGTGCCCTCTAGATGTTTTGTACTACAATTCCCATCAGCTCCAAACAGCATGGATGTGTAATGCTGAGGCTGATGGGAATTGTAGTCTCAAAACATCTAGAGGGCGCCAGGTAGGCGAAGGCAGCAATAGCATTAATACTTGATATTTTATTATGTTTTTATATGTGTTGGAAGCCTCCCAGAATGACTGGGGCAACCCAGCCAGATGGGCGGGTTATAAATATTAATAAAAATTATTATAGCAGCATATGGATGGGATTGGAGCTTGCTTATTCTTGGAGGACATCTTGCCTTCCTTCTCCATCACACATTGCATAGAACATAACAGGTAGACCTAGAGGCACAGACCGTGTGCATGTAACTACATGCGGCTCGTCCTGTTTCAGAAGATGCATTCCATGTTCCTGGGGGGAGAGAAAGATGTCCTGTCGGAGCCGCACAGATCATAGACCCATTTGGGCTTTTCCTCCTGTAAAAGTTTTGCGGGAAGTGTTGTGCAAAATGCGGGGATCTTCTGAAAGTGTTCCACCCACCACCCCCGTATTTTGCTAGTCATTGTAACTGTCTTGTGAATCCTAGTCAGGCAGGGTGTCCAGCAAGCACCTGAGCTGTTTATAGCCACTAAGGAGGGGTTGTTAGAGCAGAGAGTTATGCTAGACACTTAAAATAGTAGCATTTGCGTGCAATGAGTTACGCCCGTGTAGGCGACTGGTTGTCGCGGCCTGTGTGCCTTGTGTTGACTGAGTCGGCTTTTCTTCCATCGGCTGATGATGGTTGTGTTTATGGGGATGTGAATGCGAACTTCACTTCTGAGGCTGCATGATGTAGGCATGAAGCCCCTTTTTACGGGCTTTGGCAGCCGTTTTGCATTCATCAGTGAAGGTGGCAAAAGGGTGGGTCCCTCTCTCCCCATGTCATCCCTGCCTTCCAGTGTATACATATGTGTAGAGTCAAAGACCATCTTAGTTGGCTGCTGAGAAGCATTTACAAGCAGTGTTTTGTATAAATCTCCTCTAGAACATGGATGTGGGAGCCTGAGACCTTCAAGAAGCAGCTGGACCACAATTTGTACCATTCCTGATGTTTGGGAGGGTCATTGCTCAGTTGAGAGGGTCATAAAGTAACTGAGACCATACCCTCCAACATTTCTCTGATGAGAATCGGGACATCCTAAGGAAAAGCAGGACATTCTGGGATCAAATCAGAAACTGGGGCGGCTTCTGTAAATCTGGAAATGTCCCTGGAAAATAGGGACACTAGGAGGGTCTGTGAGACCTGCCAGTCAGATAATGGTGGTGCAAGAGCAGAGCCAGTAACAAAATGGAGGCAGAGGTTGGCATAGCCAGCTGGCAATTGGAAACGTAATTTTCTACTGATCTTCTCCTCTGATAGATCCTGCCATTCCCACCCCAACAGTTGTGGGGCAGCATACAAATGCCACTTAACAAATAACAAGCAAAATAACAAATAACAAGCAATTTTTTTTATTTTTGAGTAAGCAGATTTGACTGGTGTGAGCTTGGTGTAGCATCCATGTGCCTGGCATAGGTCACTGTGACTCTGTTGCAATGTTTCTCAAACTTTGATCCCCAGCTGTTGTTGGACTACAGCTCCCACAATCCCTAAGCACTGGTCCTGCTAACTAGGAATTATGGAAGTTGTAGAAACACTGCTCGCATTCAAGCCGTCCAACTTTGTGGCCACTGCTGCCTCCTGCAGCAGTGAATTCCGAAGGTTAACTATGCATTGCAGGGAAAAGTACTTTGTTTCATCTTGTCACAAATCTTCCAATGTTCAGATTCATTGGATGCCCCCAAGTTCTAGTATTTTATGCCCTTACCTTACTCAGCTTTTCCCTAAACCAAAAACAAACAAACAGAAACAACAACAAAAAGAAACCACAAACCAAAACCCAAATGTTGTAAGCTTTCCTCGTAGGGGTGTATGTTTGGTTGCCCTTTCCCAAACCTTTCCCAGCTCACCTTTTTGAAGCAAGGTGACGAGAACTGTACACAGTATTCAAAGTGTGGCTGTGCTGTAGGTTAGTAGAACGACATTATAATATCAGCAGATTTATTTTCCTTTACGATCCCTGTCATTGCATTTTTCACAAGTTGCCACACACTGGGTCAACTAACCACCACAAACCAAGTGTCTCTTTGTTGGTCAGTTGCTGCCAGTTCAGACGCTGCATATATATGTGAAATTTAGATATTTTGCCCCAAAATACCTCCTGTCGCCTCCCACCTCACCTCAGCTGACCCCTTATAAATGCTGGGTGCCTTACTGTTAGGGTCTCTTTATGGACCGAGTCTGGGTTGCAGCCATCTGTTGAAGGAGCAGGAGAAAAACCGGCCCATTTAATCTTTCGTCAGCTCCTCTGCGAGCATTGAAAGGGTGTCTGAAGTGCCTCATTCATGTTGAGTCATCTGGAGTGCCATGCCCTGGTGTGAATTTGGCACATTGATGCTGCAGCCAAGAGTGTGTGCTCATTCAGAATCCAACTTGATTGTGTGTGTTTTTTTAATTACTGTTTTATGTGTTAACTTCCTGGAGCTCTCTGTTGTTGCAAGTTGGGAAAATATCGCCATGGCACAGACTGCAGGGGAAACGGGATCCTGTGTTGTCCAGGGCAAATGGACAGTCTGTCCTTAGTAGTCCAGAGTCCCTCCCCTGTACTTCCGGATGTTCCGTTCTACCAGAGGGAGATAATTCACTGCACGTAACCGCTTGCTTTGTGGGGAACTGTGCATTACTCTTGTGGCAAGGTGCCATTATCATTTGCAAGGCATCATCAATGCTGCTGCCGAACTCTACACAGTGAATTAAACAAGCTGGTCCCTGCCCTAAGAAGACCGCAATTTAATTTCCAGGAGTGGAGCAGAAACAAGCAGGAAAGGTGAAGGCAGCGTTAGAAACTCGAATGCATAAGCTAATTGCCGAATGGCACTGTAAACCTGGGTTATGGAATGTCTAGGAGCTATTTTCCCCCGACGGAATTTTTTATTATTCATTTCATTTGTATAATGCTTTATATTTTAAAGGGGAATAAATCTCAAAGTGGTTTCAGCTCACTAAAGCATCAAATAAAACCAGAATAAAACAAATTGGAAGTTTTAGGGATAATATTTCAGATCCTTTTCTAAGGGACATTTTGCTTTCCCCATATTTATTCACCTACTTAATTGGATATCACTGGCAGATGATGATATCTGCTGTGGCAGAAAAACTATAGGAAGCCAGTGTGATGTCTTCCTAGGACCTGTGAGAAATCAAATCCCCACTCAGGAAGCTCACTAGTTGACTTAGGGCCAGTCACAGCCTTCTAACCTGCCTCACAGGGTTGTTGTAGGGATTAACTGAGGAAGGAGGAGAACCATGTGGGATATAAAGGCAATGAATAAGCCCTTCTGCTTGCTTGCTTAAGAAAGCTGGAGGGGCCAGCCAGATGGATGATGTCACAGTCACCAATCTGGCATCCAGAGATCTCCATGTGGTTGCGACTGGACCGGTGCCAGTTGCAAAATGCGCCTGGCTAATGTCTAACACTGGGTTAAGGTTAACAGGAATAAATGCCAGCTGCTGTAGGTACGTCAAGGCAGGCTTCGTTTTGGTTGGAGACCTCACAGGAGGGGAAGGTTTTGGAAATTGGGGGGGGGGGGGAGAGAGACGGTACTACAACTGTGTGCAGCAATGTCCCCATTTTGGCCTAAAGTTGCATCCTTTTGTACATGTAGTTAGAAATAACAGTTGGTGCACTCTGGCTCCCTCACAGAAAAGTTCTTTTTATTTTTCTGCATGGGAGCTGTTTATTTCCCACCCCTCTTCCCTGAGCCTTAACAGACCTTTGGTTCATAAGAAGTCTAAGTGACCGTCTTCCTACTGCACTGAACCATTAGTAAACCAAACTCTGTGGTTTCCATTGTCGTCATTGTCATCTGTCTGTTTTGAAAGACAATGAAGTATGCCTTCGGGAGTGAAGTCAAGCCATTGCATTAGCCTCTCTAAAGTGACCTCACTGGGCTTCAGACTGTGGGCAGTGTGTATGGAGGTCCTGGGCTGCCCAGGCAACAAGACCCTCCCCTCTTTGGCCTCGCTGATGTGGTCCAAAGGAAGGCAGAGCAATATGTTTGGCACCAGCTTGGTTGCAGGAAGGAGGCATACAGTGCACTACTCAACTGCCTTAGGGACTCCACTCTGGATTTGTGTAAGGTTTATACCGTAACTTTTTCTTCTCCTGAAGATACCCTGCAAGGCAGCAGAGGTTTAAGACCAGTTTTCCTTCTCCTAGAGGGGTTACCTTCTCAGGTGGATGAGTTCTTGTCTTCTTTATCTGGTAGTGGCTGCTCAGCCTTGCTTTCTGAGGTGCAAAGGGCAGACCTTGAGAGGCTTGTGCATGTAGAACAGAGGTGGTTAAGCCCTGGGCCTCCAGGTGTTGGAATCTCAACTCCCATTAGCCCCCATCACCATGGCCAGTAGTCAGGGATGTTGGGAGCTGGAGTCAAACAACACCTGGAGGACTGAAGCCCCCCCCCCCCCGGATTTGAAGCATTTTCTCTAGCTGTGGACTGTGGCACATTTTGAACAGCTTCAACACAGACGGAGCCTATGAGCTTGTGGTGCTGCTGCGAATATACTCATAGCCACAAAAGGGAAGTATATGGATTACGTAGCTGCTGCATCTAAGGGGAGAGCTAGCCAATGAGTGTGCACCTTTCTCAGAGCATTGTGACATGACTCAGGTCACGTCAGAATGCATGGACTGTCCTATTGGGAAAGGGGTGTGGAGGGTGGGGGGCGCTGTCCCATTGGGAAGAGGGCAGAGGGGGAGGGGCCCATGTCTTGTTCGCCCCCAGTGCTTCGTTTTGCTGCTCTGGGCTGCCTCTGCCTTGGCTGCAAGCTCAGGCCACTCTGGAAGAAGGGCTGGTGCCCAAGCCTTGCCCTTGCTCTCTCAGCTGCTGTGTCCAGAGCTGCCAAACAGAGCTTGCTTATGACCTCATCGGCTGCTGCTAAGGACCTGTCTTCCCTTTGCTCCCTCCAGCAGCCACCCACCCTGGGCGCTCAGGGCCAGGAGGAGGAGCCGGCTTCCTCCTGGCCTCAGCCCTGTGGTCGGGAGGTCGGAAGGGATATGCGCCAATCTTTGAACGGCATGGCAGCTGGCTTTAGCGAAGTTGCCCCCCTGACATGGGTGGTCTGAGGTCCTTGCCACGCACGAGTTTTTGCAGGGTGACTTTAGGCCTCCGCGTAGACCTCTGGAAGCTGGACTGACCCTTTTCTGGCTCTTTGCCTTTGAGGTTCCCTGCACCTGTGAGGTTTTGGATGGGCCAGGGATCTATAAGGTGTGAAGCTGGCTACAATCTCTGAGATTAGACAAATATGTGGAGATTTACATCCGAGTGTCATTTAACAATGCTTAATGGATGTTCAGGGGCAACGTATCTCTTGAGTACCAGGCCCTGGGGTCAAAGAAACTAAGAAATTAAAGCTAGGAGCTAAATGGCACCTCAAACCTAAGTTATGGGCACAACAACGGAATGTCTAGACGCACTTTTTTATAACAAGAATACAAGGCTGAAAATGAATGAACTGCAGCTAAAATATTATGTTCATTTTTCACATGGTCTAGTCCTTCCTCTGCCCACCCACCCCTAATATTCTAAAGAGGGTCTCCTCTCCAGTCTTCAGAGAGTAGCTGGAAGTGGGGAGGCAGAAAAAGGTCCTCCGTCCCTTCCACTCTGCAGTTTTAATCTGAAATCTTAGGCCCAGAGTTTAGAAACTGCTTGCGCTAATGAAATTCCTTGCCGCAAAATCTCCTAGAGTAATGGGACTTTCGAACACTGACAACAGGAGATAGTCATCAGCTGCTTAGGAGCTTCCGCTGGCTAGTCTTGGAAGCAGAATTCGATGGAGCTCTGTCTGATCTTGCAAGGCAGGAGGCTGCTGCCTTCATGTCCTGCATGTGAGCTGGCTGACCCTGTTGGAAATAGGAAATTGAACGAGGTAGACAAGGTTTTTTTGATCCAGCACAGGACAGTTCTTTTACATTGTTAACCTAGTTGTGTGCATTCCTTGGGTGTGCTGGGCCAGACCATGCACTCGACTCCAAAATGAATTGTAGGTGTTCTTCTGGGGTTATCTTGAGGGTGGGGAACTAGGCATGGTTCAGCAGTCACTAGAGCTTAAGGAAAGTGACAGTGGAATGCCCTCTCTCCAGCAGCAGAACATATACAATCTTTATACTTACAGTGCTAACAGCAAGTGCCTCTTTTCTTCCTGTCTGGCAGATCCGAATACGAGATCCAAATCAAGGCGGCAAGGATATCACAGAGGAAATAATGTCTGGCGCTAGAACTTCCTCTACCCCCACTCCTCCACAGGTAATGTTGATCTGCTTCTTTAGCTTTATTCCTCTTCATCTGCCCTTGTACCCTGGGAAGGCATGTAAGAAGCAACAAATCTGGGGCCAGTTCACGCAGCCAATTTCCTCTGCAGGTGAGCAGTTCTGGCCCCCTCCTCAGAGTGAGGTTTGTACAGGAAGAGGATGTGAACACGTCCGCACACAGCCTTTGCGATTCCTGTGATTGTGGTGGCTGGCGGTGGGGGGAATTGCTGCAGGCACAGAAAGCAGCTACCGGCCATTCCCAGTACATGCTGGTTCATGCCAGTATTTCCACACACAAACGAAATTTATATGCCGTTTGTTTGTAAGGAGAACTCCAAGCATACTACCAAACGATCTAAAGCTAATTTCGAATCTCATACATAACCAGTCTCTCTCATGAATGCAACCACAGTGCCTTGGAAATCTTTTCTGGAGGAGGGATGGGAATCATTTTGTCTCCTGGAATTGCAGAAATGAATTCCACAAGCTATATTTGTAGAGGTGTTGGGTCTTGCATTAGAGGTTCTCTCTGCGTTGACTGGGTTGCATTGCGTGAAGAAAACGTGACATATCTGAACTCAGTTTTTTAAGACTCCTTTCCTTAGAGGAAACCAAGGTCATGACACAGTGATAATGGCGCAAGCCATTTATTTATTTCCATCTCTTTATATATGTCGGTCTTTCATCTATTTGATGAAATGTTGAAATCTATGTATCAGTTCTGAGCTGATATTTGAGAAAGATATAATTGGGAAGGGGAAGGGGAAACTTTAATAATTCAACCCCTCGGTTTTGCGGGAAAGGCTTTGCAGCTAACACTTTACACTGGAACCGAAACTTAAGCTAAAATATAGTCAGTTGAAGCAAACTTGGGCAGGTAATCCTATAATAAAATTGTTCTACTTTTTGTTGTCCCTCCCCTCTCTTACAGGCTGGAAGTGGTCCAGAACCACAAGCCAACGGAGAGACATCACATGTAGCAGTTATTGTCCGGCCAGGTATGAAATCCAATTCAGGGTTTGGTTTGGCTAAATCAGACAAAGGGAATGCTGAGGTTTCTCTTTCTGTGTGTGTCTCTCTGTCCCACTAATGTGAGGTGGACAGAATGAGTGGTCATGGGGTTGGGTTCAGTTTGCTTTCAGCCCAGATAAGACAACCTGAGGTCCAGCCTCATTTAACGTGGCTCCCAGGACCACCTGAAGCTGCCTTGCTCCATCAGAATGCCTTCCTGTTTTGTTTCCTTCTGATTTTCCGCCTTTTAAATATGCTTTACTTTGTCTGTGTGTGACTTTATAATAAGGCGAAGGGGAACTATTTCATCTATTAGTTTTGCTTGTTGATTTTTTACTCTTTTCCTGATTTGGATGGCTTGGAGGGTAGGTAAAGTTTGTCTGAGAGCAAAATTGGTCACCTGCCATTTATGCCTTGCCTTATCTATAGCACACTAAAGTCAGAAAGCAGTTATTTTCACTTGCTTTTCCAGAACAGTAGCTGTATTGGTCTTAAAAAAAATAATCTTCCTGCATAATTGTTTTGAGAGTAACCCCATCAAACCCAGCAGGGTTTATGTCTGATCTGACCTGGATAGGATTAGGTATTCTCATCTGAGGTGGCTGTAATGAAATTTTGAAGCGGGGCAGATTTGTCAGCCGCATTGAGCTACGTTTATTATGCAGCGTAGCCTGATGCATGAAAAGTGCTTCCTTAGCATATTTCCTACAGGTGGCTAAATTCAGCTTTTTCTTTGGGTATATAATTTTGATGCCATGCTGGACTGATGCCAAATGGCATTCAGTTTTCAGACCGGCATCTGAGAAAAGCGGAGCTTAAAATGTACATCTTTGAATCTTGGCAGACGGCCTCAGAAACGATAACTGTGCAGTTGGCCCGACAGCTGGTTCTTTGAGAACCTTCCTGGCTCTGCCAATTTTGTTCTGCTTCTGTGATGGAATTATTTAAGGTTTTGAAAAATCTAAGCATCATCCGTTCGTTTGGCCGGCCAGAGGGGCCTGCCTTAAACCGAGCAAATGCTCTCGCGTGGTCCCATTTGCACCATTAGCAAATTAAATCTTTTAACTCTGTGTGCAAGAGTCTGTGTTTTGCTGTTGCCCTCCTGGTCTTCTTGGGCAGCAGTTCCTAATAATCTCTGAACGTGGGCCGTGCTGGCTAGGACTGATGACAGCTTGAGTCCCCACAGCAACGCAAGGGTTACTTCTTCCCTGTTGTTTGCACACCCCTTTCTGTAATTACAGAAGTCGAAAGTGGATTCACAGCAGACGTAGATATCTCCATAGGTACTGAGTTCATTGCAAAAATGAATAAATCAGTCACTGAGCAAGTTCAGTATTGAAGCCAGTACTGTACAGCCATACCTCGGCTCCTGGACACCTTGGGAGTCAAACTTTCTGGCTCCTGAATGTTCTTTTGGAAGCTGAATGTCTGATGGGGTTTCCATGGCTTCCGATTGGCTGTAGGAGCTTCCTGCAGCCAATCAGAAGCCGTGCTTTGGAAGTCGACTGTTTTGGAAGTCAAATGGACTTCTGGAACGGATTCTGTTAGACTTCTGAGGTACAACTGTACACTGTTCCTCAGAGTCCTTTACACTTTTGAGCCTGTCACTGAATTAGTTCATTCAGAATTTTGCCTTACTTAGCAGAAAACCCTTCTGGTTTGGAATTGTGCAGGCTGTTGCTTCGGATGAAGATACCCATAATTAGAGCTACAAATTAAAATTAATAACAACAGCAACAATAACAATAATATTCAGGGACTTAAGCTCACTGTCCACCTTTTAGCAGCACTGAAAGCTTTAATTGTCCTTCATCAGTAGGCCGAGTAATTAATCATTGTGGGTTGATTGATCTTTGAGGCTGGAATTTCACGATACAGTTCTTTGTGTGTTGGGGTGAAGCAGCAGCCAATGTGGTGGCCAACAGATGTTGTTGGACTACAATTCCCATCCCACCCAGCCAGGCATGGTCAGTGTTCAGGAATGATGGGATTCGCAGTCCAGCAGTTACACATTGACTAACCTGGGATAGAGGGTTATCGTACATCAGCACTGGGGAAGTTGTGGCCTTTCATGTGTTGCTAGACTCCCAGCCACCGCCATCCCTGGCCATGCTGACTGGGGCTGAGGAGCGTTGTAGTCCAAAAATAGCTATAGGGTTGGAGAGTTCCCATCCCTCACTTAGCACCTTCCATCAAGATCTCAAAAAATAGCTCACAGTTTTGCCAGGTAATGTATCTTCTGTTCTGGGCACTAGGAGGCAGGATCTTTCAACAGAAGGGTAGATGGGTTTGAGTATGAGCTTCGATTCTTAAACCAGGTACACCTTGCTGTTTTAGGAGGCCAGAGGTTGATTTTGCGTTTCTTTCTTTCTTGATTTCCATATTTCAAACCAGGTCATCAGTAGAACTCCACCCTCCTGCCCCAAAATCCCTTTCTAAATATGCAGCTGTTGTGCAATCCAATTACCTTGCCATTTTCAGTGTGCTTCCTTCCAGTTGTAAATTGTGACTAAGCTAGGGGTTTTTTTTGTAGCTTCACATAAGACCTTTATTAATTATGCACATTTATTACCTATAAAACGTCCCAGGGCAGGTTGCATAACAAATGCAGTATATAGATCAGTGATTCTCAAACTTGGGTCCCCAGCTGTTGTTGGACTACAGTGGTACCTCGGGTTAAGAACTTAATTTGTTCTGGAGGTCCATTCTTAACCTGAAACTGTTCTTAACCTGAGGTAACACTTTAGCTAATGGGGCCTCCCGTTGCTGCCATGCTGCCACCGCACGATTTCTGTTCTCCTTCTGAAGCAAAGTTCTTAACCCAAGGTACTATTTCTGGGTTAGCGGAGCCCGAAGCGTCTGTAACCCGAGGTACCACTATATAGTATTTGTAGTTGTGTTTGCAGAGCATAAGATCTCAGATGAACCCACCACAGGAAAGATGCATCCTGGTTGCTCAGGGGGGAAAGTAGGGGGAAACTACAGGGGGTTTTAGGACTAGAAAATAAATGAAAATCAGGATAAGTGCACTAAAGCGAAGGGGAAAACAACCACTCTTTAGGGCATATGGGATTCTTGTCACCTGGTGTCCATATAACTCACTTAATGATAACAGCTGTGATTTTACTCATTGGCTAAAAACATTGACAGGTGGAAACAGCCAGGTTGGCTCATTTCACACAGATCACCTAGAAAGGTACCTAGAGTAGACTTCATCGCTTTCTTACTTTCTAGGAGGGCTAGAGAAGTACTTTTTTGAAAAATGAAGGCTTAGCATCCGGGGGCCCTGCCTGAGTGGACCAGTGAAGGCCTTCATGGGTGCCAAGTTTGAGACCCCCGGCCTGAATAGATTCGTATATAGGGCCCTGGTTCAACCACAGTCCTATGGTGTGTGGAACGCTTAAAAAAAAAAAATCTTCCTTTCTTCAGAATTGGTTATTTGCCTCTTTGTTTAAAGAGCAACTTTACAGGTCCAGAAAAGTTGCTGTGAGCAGATAAAAGTTCCCCCTGGGAAGTTTTTCTCCTTATGTGTAACCAGCCACGTGGTTATTTACAGGCCCGTCTTGTGGTTTCTGTTGCCCTCCCATCTTCTGCAGCCAGGTGTTAGAAACATTCCTTTCCCCATTCACCTAAGCGCTAAATGCTGCCTTCTCTTCCTCTTGTTTCTTCATGCAGACGATCGTCCCAAGGCTGGCCCAGTAGTAACTAAACCTGTTTCCTCGGAGGCGAGCAAATCGGCTTCCCCGTCTCCCCCTCCGCCGCTCATAGCAGAGGCCGAGTCCGTGCTGCCAGTCGTGCCACTGGTGCGCCCAGGGAGCCCCATTGCAGTGGACACTACAGAGGAGCCGCCTGAGGTCCCCGCCGATATATTTGAACCCGTTAGCGCCACCACTACAGTGCCAGGGGGCCCCGTGCTCCCCCAGGAAGCCCCCGTCTTGGACACAGAGTCACAGAAGGAGGCTGCTGCTAGCCCAATTTTGGAGCCTCCCCCTCAGCCGGTTCCTGCAGAAATGCCGGTGGCCGAAGAGACGGTGCCGGCGGAGACAGTGACTGTCCAGCAGGAGACCCCTCAGCCAGAGGAACCGCTTCCTGCGGCTCCGCCAGGGGCTCCCCCGACCCCACCACCTTCCCTAGAGGAGGTATCTGAGGGGCCTGTGGAGTCTAACGGGGTGCTGGAGGAGGAGACGCCGGAGCCCGTGCCCGAGGCTGCCGCGTGCCAGCCAGATTCCGCCGTGGAGTCCCCCATCGCTCAGCCGGAGGAGCTGGCAGCGATGTCCCATGGTCTGGATACCCCAGGGAAGCTGGCAGCCGAAGAATCCGAGGATCAGCCCGAGTCGGACATGAGCCCCATCTCCGAGCCCGAGGAGGTGAAAGCCGAGGAGCCCCTGGCCCCACTGGCCACACCTCCTGCCGAAGAGGAGGAGGAGGAGGAGCCGGAGGAGGAGGAGGAGGAAGAAGAAGAGGAGGAATGTGAGGAGCCGGCCGAGACCGCAGAGCAGAGCGCCCAGCCAGCAGCTGCACCCTTGGAGGCCGCAGAGGTGGCCACACAAGGTGAGTGCGGCATTTCAGAGGGAGCCCAGTGGGAAAATGCAAGCAAATCTCCATCTGTGAGATGGGGAGGTCAGTGGTGTGCAGCAAGCCTTGATTGCTTGTTTGTAGCTCTTCAGTGCAGCTTTCTTCCTTTAGGAATCAGCTTTGGTTTTTCCCAGAGAGAGAGGGCCATGTTTAGTAGCCAGCTCTCTGTAGCTCTTTCTCTCCAGAAATTCCTTTTGAGTCAGTCAGTCTGTGGCCCTAGGTAGTAAAAAAAAATGTCTGGTTGGAGGATTGTGGATTTTTGTCTGCATTTAGATGACAGTGAAATGGTAAGAGAAAACCCTAGGCTCCCAATAACTAGGTGTGAGCTTGCTCTGTGTTCCCTGTTGAACTGTGTGTCCTTTGGGAAAAGACCCACGTTCCTTTCAGGAGCCTTCAACAGGCACCAGCAGTCAGTTCCAGAATGCCATTCTCTGGTTAGGTTCATTGCATTGGTGGGAAAACAGCAAATGCTTCTGGGTTGTAGTTTCAGTACATTTAAAGGAGCTGGAGTCTCCTGAAGCATTTTCTCCTCTGCTTCTTTGGAGCCTTCTGCCTTTGATGATGCCTTGGTTTGTCCCAGCCGTATTATTCTAGGATTATTTCCTACCAACAGCATAGTATGTCTGCATGTGGCAAAGAAGCCAGGACATTTACCTGGCAGGTAACAGCAAACGTATTTTGTCACAAGCGTTAACATCCCGCAGCAAATCACTTAATTTGATTCGTAAGATTAATTGGAACTTGTTCTGTGTTAACCTCCTCCCGCCGCCACCTTGGAGCAGGGGTGACTGTCACTTTGTGGCAGGGGCTGCTCTCTTCTGAGTCCCTGGCTAGTGTGGCTCATCCTCCCCAACCCTCTTTGCAACTCTCTAGTGGCCGTATCGGTGCCAAAGAAGAAGCGGAAGATGAAGGACCTAAACAAGAAGGAAGCTGTTGGAGACCTGCTGGATGCATTCAAGGTGGGTGGCCCCCACGGTCTAGTCAGGAGCTGAGAAACATAGCCTGAGCCATTACCCAGAGTCACCTAGCTGGGTACCACTTCTTCCCATCACTGACTATATCCCGCAGGTTAAAATAGTTTGACGATTCTTCCCCTTGCAATCCCATGGAATCCTGGGGAACTGTTAACTCTGCAAGTAGCAGCATCAATCTTGCACAGATAATACTTAAATAAGTGTTTTGTGAACTATGGCTTGGGGCAGGTGGCATTGTGGAATCACAGAATTGTAGTGTTGGAAGGGACCCCTGAGGATTGTTAGTCCAGTCCCCTGCAATGCAGGAATCTTGCCCACAGCTCAAACCTGCTTAGCACTCTGTCCCACTGTACCAAGTAATAAGGAGTGAAGGGTGGATTCTGCAACGTGACCATGAATAGCGCAGATTGGCATAGCCTTAAGATTTCAGCACCTTGAAAACCGCTTGTTCAAAAGGCTGCTAAGGAGGGCTTGAGACCCTGCTGGTCAGTACCCAGTGGGATCTCCAAATCCTAGCAGTGGGTGCAGAGCAGAGTGATCAGGGAGAAGAGGTTTAAGTTGAACTGATTTATTCCCCCCTACCCCTTCCCCCAAAAAAGAAGAGAAAAGAAAGCACAGCAGTATTAAACCCATTGTGCAAATCCCAAAAAAGTCAATACAAAATGACACCATTTGAAAACAACTAAAAAGTGGTTTCTCCCAAAGGAAATCCATCAACATTCCACATGGAATAGGCTGTGCTCACCTTTGTTGATCACTTCGACATGCATGTTGGCTGTAAACTAATACAGTAATTTGAAAAAATCTATACAAGACTGGAAATGTGTTTCCACTTCCCCCATTGTTATTTATATATCCCTTTTGGGTTGTTACTTAAATCTCTCTTTGTTCTCCTTTTCTTGCTTAATCACCGTAATTGTAATTTTGTCACAACAACTACCTCCTTAGCTGTGATAAACTATTATGGCACCACAAATAAGCCATTGACAGTAAAATGATTCCTTCACTGGGGCTCAAAAGAGTTTGCTCAGATTGAAATAGAACAGAACAATAATTGATTGTCGACTAGCCTGTCCAGCATGAAAATGCAGTATAACACCTCAGCTACCTTTTACAGACTAGACAGGTGGTAGTTAACTGTGCCCTCCCCAAAGCAATTTTTTCTGGTTTTCCCCTTCCCCAAAGAACCTCCCAGGTGGTATCCTTTGTAAATGTTTTCTGCTGCAGCTTTTGCGTTTTTCTTGAGATCTTCTCTGCTTGCCCTCTTAGCCCAGTGAGGGTGGCTCAGAGATAGAGAACAAGCCCCCTGTGCCAGCCCCAGAGCCCGAGGAGCCTGCCCCCGTTCGCTCCCAGGAGGAGCCCGAGGAGACTTGGGAAGAGAAAGAGGATAAGCTAGACCCTGAGAAGGTCAAGCAGGCTGACCAGAAGTACAGCTACACAGCAGGTGAGGCTCGTGCCAAATGACTTTTTCTGTTCTCCCACCCCCACCCCTGGCTGCTACCTATTGGAGCCTTCTGTGATGATCTCGTTTTTGAGCCATCGTGTCTGGGCCACTGACACACTGTGATGGAGCTGAGCATCTGAGCAGGCTTGTGACCCCGTGAACTGCTGGCTTGTCTTGGGCTGTTGGGGAAAGGCTTTGCAGGAATTCCCCTCCACCGGGTGTCCAGTCACTTCAGTATTAAGCAATAGTTGCTCTCAGCAAGGGCCGGATCACTCGTTCCCCTTTCGTTCTAAGTCACTGTGTTTACAGAAGCCTCTCTTTGACTGTAATGGTTCCAGCAGCAGGCACAGGCATTTGTGGCTATGCAGCCCCCTGCTAACTCACAGCAAGCCACTCTCCTGCAGAGCCGCCCCCAGCTTTTCCTTGCTGAAGAGATCATGCAAATAACTGGGTGGTTTGTTCCTTTCGCTTTGTACTAGAATGGGACGAACGGAGATGCAGATCACCAGCACACAGAAATAGCTGCAGCTCTTACACTGACTTGCTTGTTTTCTCTGGCAAGGAAGAACTGGGTCTGCTTGGAAACTGAAGTGCAGTGCCTTTGAACTAGATCTTTGCTAATTATGTAGGGTGAGGTGTGAGCCAGAAGACCTTGGAAGACATGTGCTGACTCTTGGAACCAGAAGCAAGCATGGGCACAGAGAGCACCCCTTCTCCCCCCTCCACCTTTTCCATGCAAATGTCACAGTATCTTTTAAGAGCTTAATCTTAAAACAACAGCAGTTCTGCAAAGTTACTGAATGGGAGGAAAATGTCATTGCTCCATTAACAACAGTAACATCTCATAATGTAAAAGAGCAACTGTGACACTGCAACAAAGGAGATGCAAGGCAGTCCCAAGTTAGAGATTTGGCAGTCAGCATTTAGATAACCGGGGGGGGGGCAGTGTTAGAAGATTGGGAACTCTGGGTAAGGAGACAGTGAAAGATGCAAGAAAATTTGAGTAGGATCATTTGCCAGGCACCATGGTGGGAGGCACAATTTTGCATGCCATAGCAAGTGTCTGGGCTTCTGAAGCCCTCCAGAGTGCAGCTCAGTTCTGGGGTATGACACCCCCCCCCCAGTTGAAGAGGAGGGCTGAGAATTACTCCTTCCGAGCTCCAACCTTACAGCAGGGGAAGTGGAGCAAGGAATTGTCCCTAGCCTCACTGTAAAGTGCATTGTGACGTAGGAGCAAGACCCAAGTCCTTGTGGAAGGGGTGATCTTGGCAACAACGCATTTTTGGTTGGCCAAGATTTATGAGCCCCACTCGATTCTTGCGGATGCAGCATCACCCTTTGAAAATGCAGGTGCTTCTTGCCCTACTGTTGCTGGGAACTCACCTGTTGTGAGTGTGATTTCAATTTGGTGCTTCCCTTAACAGAGCAGTGGAAGCCATTGAACCCAGAAGAGAAGAAGAGATACGACCGGGAGTTCCTGTTGGGTTTCCAGTTCATCTTTGCCAGCATGCAGAAGCCCGAGGGTTTGCCCCATATCAGCGATGTGGTCTTGGAAAAGGTCAGTCCTCCATTTCCAGCTGGGGTCACCAGATGTCCCGCAGATGCTTCCTTTTGCTTTTCTTTGCATGGTGTGCCCAGAGAAGAAGAAGAGGAGTTTGGATTTGATATCCCGCCTTTCACTCCCTTTAAGGAGTCTCAAAGCGACTAACATTCTCCTTTCCCTTCCTCCCCCACAACAAACACTCTGTGAGGTGAGTGGGGCTGAGAGACTTCGAAGAAGTGTGACTGGCCCAAGGTCACCCAGCAGCTGCATGTGGAGGAGCGGGGAAGCAAATCCGGTTCCCCAGATTACGAGACTACCGCTCTTAACCACTACACCACACTGGCCCTCTCTGGACAACTGCACAACATGACCAGTCCAACGAAGTTGATGTCAAAGTTGATGCGGGTGGTGCTGTGGTCTAAACCACTGAGCCTCTTGGGCTTGCCAATCAGAAGGTTGGCAGTTCGAATCTGTACCATGGGGTGAGCTCCTGTTGCTCTGTCTCAGCTCCTGCCAACCTATACACCTTTAGGCACCAGGCAAAAGTGTTCCTTTTTAATCAGGCCTTTGCTTAACCGATCAACATCTTACACCCTTTAAAAGGTGGCTCTTTGGGGGGGGCGTATTGGATTATTTTTATTTTATATTTTATATATTGTGATTTTTATATTATATAACTCTGGGTATAGGGCAGTATAGAAATTCAATAAATGAATGAATGAATGAATGAATCTCATTGGCATCAGCTCATGTTAGGCCAAGACCTGTGGTGATTTCTGAAAAGTAGAGTTTTAGGCATGTTCGGAGGCAAAATTTTGAAGATTTTAAGCTGCACAACCTTAAGACTTTCAGAACCTGTCTTACCTTTTGTGTGTTTTTCTCCCTGCCCCTTGACTTAACAGGCAAATAAGATGCCCTTGCGACCTCTGGACCCCGTGCGCCTGAGCACCATGAATTGTGGACCAGATTTCACACCCTCCTTTGCCAACCTGGGCCGCCCAACGCCACCTAACCGTGGACCGGTATGTACCATCACACGGTGTCTTGTCTTCTGGCATGTATCCCCTGCCAGCTTTGTCTGCATGATGAACTCCAAGTTAGTGCCATCGTGTCTGGGCCACTGATGCTCTGTGATGGAACTGAGTATCTGAGCAGGCAGGCACATCTTCTGGCTCCCCCATCTGTTGGAGCCCAGCATACTGGGAGGCAGGCTAGCATCATGCTGGCAGTGCAACCTCTACACCAGTGCTTCTTTGTGCTGGGGGGGGGGCAGGTTGGGTGGCATCTGAAAAGTGCTGGCATCACTTCTCCCCCTTTGCTTCCACAGCCTGCAGGGCCAGGGCAGCGCCGATCCCAGCAAAGCTTGAGGAAGGAGCCTCGGAAGATTATCGCTGTAGCGTCCCTGAACGAAGATGTCAAGCTCAACAAGGCTGAGAAGGCCTGGAAGCCCAGCAGCAAGCGGGCAAGTGAGCCAGAGGATCCTGAAAATTTAAAAACCCAGGTAAGGACTTGCATGACCTCATCTGTACCCTCACACTTTCCTGATTGGTGAGTCTCTTATAGATGCTGCTTATATATTCACATGCTCTCTCGCTTCTCATATGTAAAGTTCCCCTTTTTCCTTCCGTGGTTTGCTCAAACCCTAGCTTAGTGTGGCCACCCACCAGCTGATCAGAGCTGAAGTCAATTACTTGAAGCCCTGATTTGCATGCACCAATTTTTAACCAACGTTTTAAACCTCAGCTTTAAACAATTGTAGTTAGCTATAACTATAGTTGGTCCCAATGCTGATGTACAGTGGAACCTTGGTTGTCGAACATAATCCCTTCCAGTCGGGATTCAGGCCTCATCATGGGACTGAAACTGCCTTGGTCGCACTGGTTGATGATCTCCGGCGGGCTAGGGACAAAGGTGAGTGCTGTTTCCTAGTTCTGCTGGATCTCTCAGCGGCGTTTGATACCATCGACCATAACATCCTTCTGGACCGTCTTGAGGGGCTGGGAGCTGGGGGCACTGTTATACAGTGGTTCCGCTCCTTCCTCCTGGGCCGTGTTCAGAAAGTGGTGGTGGGGATGAGTGTTCAGACCCCTGGGCCCTCACTTGTGGGGTGCCTCAGGGTTCTGTCCTCTTCCCCATGCTTTTCAACATCTACATGAAGCCGCTGGGAGAGATCATCAGGGGATTTGGGCTGGGTGTTCATCAGTATGCAGATGATACCCAGCTCTATCTCTCCTTCAAATCAGAACCAGTGAAGGCAGTGAAGGTCCTGTGTGAGTGCCTGGAGGCGGTTGGAGGTTGGATGGCGGCTAACAGATTGAGGTTGAATCCTGACAAGACAGAAGTACTGTTTTTGGGGGACAGGAGGCGGGCAGGTGTGGAGGATTCCCTAGTCCTGAATGGGGTAACTGTGCCCCTGAAGGACCAGGTGCGCAGCCTGGGAGTCATTTTGGACTCACAGCTGTCCATGGAGGCACAGGTCAAATCTGTGTCCAGGGCAGCTGTTTACCAGCTCCATCTGGTACGCAGGCTGAGACCCTATCTGCCTGCGGACTGCCTCACCAGAGTGGTGCATGCTCTGGTTATCTCCCGCTTGGATTACTGCAATGCGCTCTACGTGGGGCTACCTTTGAAGGTGACCCGGAAACTACAACTAATCCAGAACGCGGCAGCTAGACTGGTGACTGGGAGCGGCCGCAGAGACCACATAACACCGGTCTTGAAAGACCTACATTGGCTCCCAGTACGTTTCCGAGCACAATTCAAAGTGTTGGTGCTGACCTTTAAAGCCCTAAACGGCCTTGGTCCAGTATATCTGAAGGAGCGTCTCCACCCCCATCGTTCTACCCGGACACTGAGGTCCAGCACTGAGGGCCTTCTGGCGGTTCCCTCACTGCGAGAAGCCAAGTTACAGGGAACCAGGCAGAGGGCCTTCTCGGTAGTGGCGCCTTCCCTGTGGAACACCCTCCCACCAGATGTCAAAGAGAACAACAACTACCAGGCTTTTAGAAGACATCTGAAGGCAGCCCTGTTTCGGGAAGCTTTTAATGTTTGATGTATTATAGTATTTTAATATTTTTTTGGAAGCCGCCCAGAGTGGCCGGGGAAGCCCAGCCAGATGGGCGGGGTATAAATAATAAATTATTATTATTATTATTATTATAATCCATTCCGGAAGACCGTTGGACTTACGAAACGTTTGGCAGCTGAGGCTCAAAGGGCTATTTCGCCGTTTGGGTCCTGAAATGTTCGGTTTCCAAGACACTCGAAAACCGAGGTTCCACTGTACCACTAAATGAGGGTAATAGCAGGCTGTATAAAGGGCTCGTGTCTCCGTAATTTATGTGGTTGAGACTGTGAATTTTACATCTGAAATAGACCACCAGGGTACAAAGAGGTGGGGAAATAACCTCTTGCTTTTTCCCCAAGTGCTTTACATTTTGCATTTTATTTCTGATGGGTACCCCCCCACAAAAGTGGTGAAAAACAGCTGGGTGGTGGTGGATGTCATTCAGTAACTTGCATTTTAGCTCACCAACAACTTCATCTGGATACTGGTATTTTGGAAGACATTCCTGCTCCAGTCTCTGTGCTTGCCTCAGAGGAAAATGCGAGTGCCTGCTTTTGCTCCCTGGAAGGGAAGAAAGCCATGCCCTCCGTGGTTTTCTTCCAGGCTCCTTTCCCTGAACCTCTGGGACAGGGTTCATTCCTGCTGGAGTTCCAGTCTCCTTTACTTCCTTTGGGGTGTGAACTCTTCCTTTGAGGTGGCAGAGATTTCAAAAGCTCCCCCCCCAAAAAAAAAACCCTGAAAAGAAATTGGGAGGCATTTCCAATGCATTTTATTTTTCTGTGGAAAATAGTCCATTTCTTAAGTTCATTAAGGAACAATGAATAGATGGCAATTTCAAATACAGTCTTTAGGCAAGTGTGGCAGTTTGAAAGGGTTTAGCTTTGCTTACGAAATACAAGTAAAACAAACATGCTAAATTGGCACACTCTATAGAGAAGTGGTTGTGAACGCCCCTAGGGAGCAGTGGGATTACACAGGGGGTAGCAGTAATAGAAATCGGGGATGCTGGAGGCGTAAATGACTCTCGGACTCCGAAAAGCTGGTATCAACAGGAACAAGTTAAACAGTCTTGTTGCAAATAGTTCCAATTGGATTTTGAATACATGTGCAAGTAATTGTTACTGTTTGGAATGTTATGTGTCAGTATCTTCCTTAGTGGATTGTGTAGATCGCTATTCTGAATAATGCCTTTTATAGGGTAGGGGGCACTGGGGATGTGTTTATGGCACCCAGGGGGTGGTGGCCCAAAATTTTTATGGACCCACTGCTCTAGAGCAGGGTTTCTGAAACTTGGGCCTTGGCCTATTTTTTAGACTACAACGCCCATCATCCCTAGCTAGCACCACCAGTGGTTAGGGATGATGGGAATTGTAGTCCAAAAGCAGCTGGAGACCCCAAGCTTAGGAAACCCTGCTCTAGAGCATCGGGGGAAAATCTTAAAGAAAACCCCAATTCAGAATTATTGGAAAACCCATGTGGCTGCTCCCGAGATTAAAACATAGAAGATAAAGGAAAACGATATGGTGGCCAAGATTCAGAAGGGGTGCATGCATTTTCCTGCCCTCAGCACTTGCGGGGAGACTCATGGGGAAAGGAAAGATGGTTGCCACCTTCCAGCCCCTGTGGATTTGCTTTCCTCTTGGCTTGGGATGGGCTCATGTGTGCTCTCCTTCGCTTGCCCAGTTCATTCCAGCAAACTCAGCCCTGGGCAGAGCAGAGCAGCCAGGAGCTGCTTGCCCTCCCTACCAGCTTGCTGGGCTGGCAGGTTTCTGAGCTCCCACATCCACACCTGCAGAAGGAAGGAACGGGTGGAGCAGGACAGGTGTCTCTGTGTGTTTATGCCAAGCTTACCTTGCTGACGGCGCCTGGGTGTTTCCTCCCCACAGGAGCTGTTCCGGCGTGTGCGCAGCATTCTGAACAAGCTGACGCCGCAGATGTTCCAGCAGCTGATGAAGCAAGTCACCGAGCTGTCCATTGACACTGAGGAGCGCCTCAAGGGCGTCATCGACCTCATCTTCGAGAAGGCCATCTCTGAGCCAAACTTCTCTGTTGCCTATGCCAACATGTGCCGTTGCCTTATGGGGGTGAGTGCTTCCACCTCTCTGGGCTGCAGAGGGCCTCGTTTTCCTGCTCGGGATGGGAAGAGGCATGGAAATGCTGTTCGTTCAGGACCACGGCTTGGCTATCAAGCCTGTATCCTCACCGCCCTTAAAGGACCTTTGGAGAGAGGCTGGCAGTGTGGCCGAAAAGCACCAGGCTAGAGGACACTGTCAGGCAGATCTTGCATCCAATCTCCAAGAATGGTTGCCTGCGGTCGGGGGGCAGTCAGATCTCCAGTTACGAATTGGATGGGCCCCACAGGAGTTTGCTGGTTTAGAGCGCGTGAGCTCATCCCTAACTGCTGCAGACACATGAATTTACAGGTTGCATGCGAATATGAAACAGAGCTGTAGCATTAGAAAGCTGGGATAGCTCTGTTTCTTACTACGTTTGAACTATTTCATTTCCCATGGAAAGAAATTGTAGCCAAAGTAGCACACCTTGATTTTATATATGTAGAAGATAGGGTCAGAAATTGGCCCAAGGGGCTGCTTGCAAATAGTGGTTGCATAGCTTACCATTTGAGCAGTACTTTATCTGTGGTTTTGTTAAATCTGTGTCAAAAGAGGTGCCTGGGTGTAGATTTCAGTTTCAAGTTTCTGTTCTCTCCCTTTGGCTCGTTGCCGTAAAGATGCGAAGAGTCTGGAATTCACTCCTTTATCCACAATTACATGGCTGCAATGCATTGATACATTTATTTCTATTTGCTTACTATGCATTTTGTTCATGTATTTTCCTTTCAATCCTGTGCGTTTCCTCAGTGCATGTTGAAAGATGAGCTGTGACTCGTGGAAAAGGGTTGAGGTGGGGGAGATCAGAACTGGGGCTTCCAGCCCACTCTGCTGGCAGTAGAGGGCCAGTTGGAAACTGACTGAAACCGCTTCCCATTGTGACTCGTGTCTGTCCCTGCTGTAGCTGAAAGTCCCCACTACTGACAAGCCGACCGTGATGGTCAACTTCCGCAAGGTACTCCTGAACCGGTGCCAGAAAGAGTTTGAGAAAGACAAGGACGACGACGAGATTTTTGAGAAGAAGCAAAAGGAGATGGATGACACAGCTGGTGTGAGTTGAGCTTGAAACTTGGGCAGGGTGTGTGTATGAGAAAAAGGTTCCCCACCCCTGGGTTCCAGTGATTTATGGAAGTAACAACTGTGAAATACGTATGCACAAATACAGAGAAAGAGGTAATCAAGTTCAGCTCTTGGATCCTCCTGACCTCTACCCCTGTTCCGTCCGCAGCCCGAGGAGAGAGCTCGTCTGAAGGAGGAGCTGGATGACGCCCGGGACAAGGCCCGTCGGCGCTCCCTGGGCAACATCAAGTTCATCGGGGAGCTCTTTAAGCTGAAGATGTTGACCGAAGCCATCATGCATGACTGTGTGGTGAAGCTGCTCAAGAACCACGACGAGGAATCGCTCGAGTGCTTATGCCGGCTGCTCACCACCATTGGCAAGGACCTGGACTTTGAAAAGGCCAAGGTATGGCCTTGCCCAGTGTTCAGAAATGCAGCTTTTCATAGCACACAAGAGTACACATCCCAGATTGCACTGCCCTTTCGCTTCATGTTGGGCATCAGCAGAGTGGTTTCTCTGCTGCTCCTTCTCCCCTGGCCTTCTCCTGTTGAGATGCTGGCTTTACAGCTCTTGCTCAGAGCCTACAGGGTTCTGCCCTCCATGCTTTGGTGCCAGATTAGAAATGCCAAGTATAGCTCTAGTCTGGAAGATCATCCTGTTGTCATTGAACTACATCTCCCATCATTCCCCAGCATTGGCCAACTTAGCTGGGGCTGATGGGAGTTGGAGCCCCAATCATATTTGGAGGGTTGCAGGTTCCCAGTCCCTGGCATGGCACCACTGCTTAACCTGGCAGGCTTTCCTTGCATTTTCCGGGAAGGTGAAATTTGGTGCTCATAATCTGACATGGGAGAGGGGGAAAGGCAGGAATTGGCAGAGAGGCTTTAGCAGAAGAGCTGGGAGATGGCTGAATGCCACTTGACAGTCGGTCCCCCCGTCAGTTTGCCTCTTGCTCAGGAAGAAATGTGCAGCCATTGCCCAACTATACAGCTTACTTTTTTTTGTAGCTACTTGTGATGTCTATTGGAGAGTTTCGAGGGATCAGCCTCCCCCAGCCAAGCTACTTTGCAGGGTGGAGAGAACTGTGCCCAGGACTAGATATTTCCCAGAAAGACAAAGGCCAGACAGCTGGGCTGAGGAAAATATGTCTCTTCTCCCCAGCCCACAAACATTCAAGGAACCGGCTACCCCAGCCCTGGCTTCTACAGGGAACTTGTTTCCTTTTTTGAACCTCACCTTCCACCATGAGTTGGAAGCCCTCAAGGAGAACGTCTTGCCTTAGTCGCTCCCATCCCTCCCGCAACACGTAGGCACATTGCTGTCTCTGTTTGTTCGTCGTCACTTCTCTCCTTTTCTCCTCTTCCCCACCCAGCCTCGGATGGATCAGTACTTCAACCAGATGGAGAAGATAATCAAGGAGAAGAAAACGTCCTCACGTATCCGCTTCATGCTGCAGGATGTGATTGACCTCAGACGGGTAAGGTGCAGACTGCTGCTCCCTTATGGCCCCCTCTGGGCTAGATGAGAGCCCTGCCCCCTTCCTGGGATAGGCCGGCCTGACTCCGGGTAAGGTGCAAGACCCACCTTTCCATCCCAGGGCAACCTGAGTAGGAACGATGGCAGCACGAGCCAACACACACTTCTCTTCCCACCCACCCCAGCCCCTTAGACACTGTTGCAGCCTGTAGCCCTTGGCTCGTGCAGCTTAGGCAATGGGCTGACAATACTGCAAGCAGCTGTGTTTGGTGCAGGGAGGTTTCCAGCGCTGGCCCTTTTCTACACCAAAGGGTGCTATGTGCTCAATTGCACCCTGGGAGAAGGTGCTGCCCAGGAGCTGCTCGCCTGTGTTGTTGGACTCCCGTTATACCTGGCCATTGACTATGCTGGCTGGGGCGTTGGAGTTGGGAGTTGGAGTCCAACAAGGCCTGGAGGGTCACAGATTCTCTAATCCTGATTCACACCCAGAGGCCCTAAGATTGCAGTTCCAAGTGTCACATACAAATGGCTGCTTTGCTTCCAGCATGTGAATTACAGAAGCTGTAGGGGTGAGGGGTCAGGCTATTGGAAGTGCTGCAGGGGCTCTCAACTGTTGCAAGGGGAAGGGCTGCCTGCTTGGAAGGGTTCACACGAAAAGCCCCCGTTGCATGTTGGGCTGCTGAGCATTCCCCTTGCGTGGGCCTCCTGCCAAGCAATGCTTTGATGCCTGGATAGCTCAGGACTCGCTTCCGTTCCATTCTCTCTTACTGCAATTACTGGACAAGTGCTCTTTCCAGAGGTGTGAAATAGAGCTGCCCTTGTCAGGCATAGAGCTTAAGAGACATAACACATGAGAAACAGGGCCGCCTTTCCCAGATGTTAGTGGTGGTGCTATTGCTTAGTTGGTAGAGCAATGTGCTTTGAAAGCAGAAGGTCCCAAGGTCAATTGCTGGCATCCCCAAGTAGAGCTGGGAAAGATTCCCTGCCTGAAACCATGAAGAGCATCTGCAAGTCTGTGTAGACAACACTGAGCTGCATCACCACCACCAGCAATCATTATTATGCCACTGCCCATCTGACTTGGTTGTCCCAGCCAGCTCCCAACAAAATATTAAAATAAAGCGTCAAACATTAAAAACTTCCCAATACAGGGCTGCTTTCAGATGTCTTCTAAAATTTGTGTAGTTTATCCCCTTGACATCTGGTGAGAGAGCGTTCCACAGGGTAGGTGCCACTACTGAAAAGGCCCTCTGCCTGGTTCCCTGTAACCTCACTTCTCGCAGGGAAGGAACCACCAGAAGGCCCCCAGAGCTTGATGGTCTGACTTTGTAAAAGGCATCTTCTTGTCTTCTTATAATGTTGCTGGACTGCAAGTACCATCACTCCCGCTGGCTGGAGATGATGGAGGCTGTGGTCTTTAACAACACCTGCATCTGGCCAGATTAAGAGATGTTGGAGGGAAGAACAAAGGGTGTATGTTTAGAGGTCAGTTGCAAGAACAGCGACCAGGTGGACTAGCCGCTGGTGCTGTTGGCTCTGGAAGGGAACCTGAGCCCAGAGGCTGGTCCTGGCTAGACCAACAGAGAAGCTGGTGCTGACTGTCTCTCGCTCCTCCCTTGCCTTCACACGCCAAGCGTTCTGGGTGCTGTAACCTCTCCCCTTGCTTTCCTCTTTGCCTCTTGCAGAACAGTTGGGTGCCAAGGAGAGGGGACCAGGGCCCCAAGACCATTGACCAGATCCACAAAGAAGCTGAGATGGAGGAGCACCGTGAACACATCAAAGTTCAGCAACTGATGTCCAAGGGATCAGATAAGAGGAGAGGGCCTCCAGGCCCATCGTCTGCAGGTGGGTGGGTTGGTCGCCTTCTCAGTTTCTGGATCCATTGCTGCCTTGTGGAGGCCACCCGCTTTTAATGCCCCTGGAAGAGAGAGCAGCTTTGGGACGCCCCAAGTTAATTGTGTGCCTATGTGCGTGAAGCAGCCGGGCGCCACCAAAAGATGTGCTCCTGGCGTAGCTCGTCCTTAAAAATTAGACGAAATTATTAATTTTATTCATTTTCATAAAATTTATACACCACTTGATTGGAAAAAGAAAAATCAGAGTGGTGTACAAAAAGATGAAATAACAAAATTTATGGACTTCGGATCCATGGTGGTGGTTAAACAGAGCTTCCCAGTTTAGAAGCAATATGCTACTGAACATCATAGAATCATGGAGTTTTGAAGGGAACCCAAAGGTCATCTGGTCCAACCCCCCTGCAATGCAGGAATCTCAACTACAGCATCCGTGACAGTTGCCCATCCAACCTCTGCCCACCACCTCCCAAGGGAAACCATTCCACTGTCAAACAGCTCTTGCTGTCAGAAAGTTCTTGCTGGTGTTTAGTCAGAATCTCCTTTCTTGTAACGTGAAGCCATTGGCTTGAGTCCTACCCTCCAGATCAGGAGAAAACAAGCTTGTTTCCATCCTCGGTGTAACAGTCCTTGCTGAACTGAATAGGCTTTTGGGCTGATCCTGCCAGACTTTTTTTTTCTTTCTTAGCCAGCCCCAAGCTGCCACACCTTTCTGGCCTTTGATAGGCTCTCTTGTTCCAATAGGAACAGTAGACATGTGTACGCACTCACAGCTAGTTTGCCACGGATAGGCTGTTACAAATGATAGACCTTGACTCGGCTGTCTCTGCAGGTGGGCGGGGCAGCCAAGTTTCGGATGACGGCTGGAACACAGTCCCCATCAGCAAGGGCAACAGGCCGATTGACACCAGTAGGTTAACAAAAATCACCAAGGTAAGCTGCTGGGCTGGAGTGGGTTTTTTGGGGTAGGGGAGGGTGCTTGTTTTTTGTGCATTAGGGAATTGTGGCCTTTTTCAATTTAAAGCGACAGTTTCTATTGGTTGCGAAAGATGAGAGAATTTTAAAAACCCACTTAGGATAAGGCTACCTGCCTGTGCCAGCTCAATTCATGTGCTTGATCTGTGTCCCTCTCTAGGGCTGATGGGAATTGTAGTCTAAAATATCTGTAGGGCACCAGGTTGGGGGAAGACTGTATTTAAGCTCTGGGCAACAAAGGATTGAATGCAGGCAAGCACATAGAATTGCACACATGAGTGGGTGGACTGGCTGGCTGAGGAGCAGCAGATTGTTTGTGCACTATATGTGGCATAGAAAGCAAACAGGTTACCAGATGTGGGGTGGAATCCTGTACCTCTCCTACCAGCCCCGCATCAGGCTAGTGGCATTTGTGGGCTGATTTACAAGCCTGTACTGACTAACTTTGTATGGAAGGACCTTGTTTATCCCTGCAAAATTGAGGTTTTTTAATGACTTCTGGGGTGGTTGATGGCGCTATTGTTGACATGGAGGGATGGGGAAGGAGGAATACATACGGGGGCAGACATCTAGTAGTGGTTGGGCTATTCAGAAAGCATTCTGTCATTGTTAAGTAGATGGGTTGGGTGCTTCTTTGGCTGCCTCTGATGGTGAATGAATTGCCTCCTCCTCTCTCCTTGCCGCCTCCCAGCCAGGTTCAATCGACTCCAACAACCAGCTTTTTGCACCCGGCGGGCGTCTGAGCTGGGGGAAGGGCAGCAGTGGTGGTTCGGGTGCCAAGCCTGCCGAACCAGGTAAGTGCAGCTGGCGCAACGAAGGGTTTGCAAAGTGGGTGGTTCTTTTGCAGCTCCCTGGTCCTCTAACCCGTTGTCCTTTCTTTGCCCAGCGCCTGACTCCAACCGGCCAGCCACAAGTACCTTGAATCGCTTCTCAGCCTTACAGCAGTCGGCTCCTGCAGAGAGCCAGGATGTGCGGCGTGTGGTGCAAAGGTCTGTCTCATTCCCACTCTTACTTAGATCCCCCCCCCTCTTGCTCCTCAGGCCTGCCAGGTCCATCCTGCTGTTCCAAGCACCTTAGGTGCATTTTTGGATTTTGCATTTGCTCAAGGGGAGGAAAGTATTTGGCTTTTGCCAACACATGAGCTCCTAAACCTCCTCACGTGCGAATAGGGCATGGCTGGCTTCAGATGTTGGGTAGGAATACCAAAAACAGATACAGTGGTACCTTGGGTTACATACGCTTCAGGTTACAGACGCTTCAGGTTACAGACTCTGCTAACCAAGAAATATTACCTCGGGTTAAGAACTTTGCTTCAGGATGAGAACAGAAATCGTGCTCTGGCAGCGCAGCAGCAGGAGGAGGCCCCATTAGCTAAAGGGGCTTCAGGTTAAGAACAGTTTCAGGCTAAGAACGGACCTCTGGAACGAATTAAGTACTTAACCCGAGGTACCACTGTAAATCCCCATCTTGCAACTTGAATAAAGTATTCTAATAATTTTGCATAGTTTGATACATGTACTTTATTCTGACTTTCCCTCCTGCCTCCCCATTTTATGTAATTTGGAACTGCATGGGACACTTGAGCATCCAGGGAGAATGTAGGGAAGCAAGACAGAAATCAATGTGGGCGTTTCTTCCTGCAACCTTCCAGCCTCTGTGCCACTTGCCTCATCACCCTCTGCCGCCAGCAGTGCCAGTGGTCAGGGATGATGGGAGTTGTAGCCCAACAATGCCTGAAGGGCCACAGACTCCCCATCCATCCTTTGTTTTTGTAGTCTTGGGACACATTGATGGCATTATAGGAAGGACCATAAATCTGCTAGAGTGCTCTCCAAACAGGGTCACAGGCTCAACCCTGCCCATCTCCAGTTAAAAAATCATAGAGTTGGGAGGGACCCCAAGAGTCATCTAATCTAACCCCCGGCAATGCAGGAATCTCAACTAAAGCAGTCATAACAAATGGCCATCCAACCTCTGCTTAAAAACCTCCAAGGAAGGAGATCCACAGCCTCCCAAGGGAGTCCAGTAAGAGTTCAACAGCTCTTACTGTCAGAAACTTCCTCCTGATGTTTAGTTGGAATCTCCTTTCTTGTAACTTGAAACCATTGGTGCGAGTCCTACTCTCTGCAGCAGGAGAAAATAAGCTTGTTCCCTCTTCCATGTGACAGCCCTTGAGATACCTGATATTGTATCTCCTCCCAGTCTCCTCTTTTCCAGGCTAAGCATGGCCAGCTCCTTCATCCATTCCTCATCAGGCTTGGTTTCCAGAGAATCATAGGCCTGGCAAGAGCCTCTACCTAAGACCTCTTGAGTAGGCAGAACCAGGCTGGATTAGACAAATGGTCAGCGTAGGGCAGCCTTCCCTAACCTGCTGCCCTCCAGCTGCTACAATCTGCAATTTCCAGCTGTGCTAGCGGGAACTTTTGATCCAATACATCAGGAGGGCACCGGGTTGAGGGAGGGTATTACAGAACTTTGCCCTTTTCTTCCCTTCCCGTCTTTCTGTTTTTCCTTCTGTGCTAGTCCTGAGTGGGACCCCAGCCGCCTGGCAAGTGTTTGTCTGGCATTCAGTGCAGTTTCACCTGAACTCTTGCGTGGTCTCCTTGCAGAAGCAGCAGTAGCCGCGACCGCTCAGAAAAGGGCGGTGAACGAGGGGACCGCTTGGAGCGTGAGCGGCCAGAGAGGGGCGATCGCCTCGAGCGGTCAGAGAGGCCGGAGCGGTCGGACCGGAACAGGACCCCTGTCACCAAGCGTAGCTTCAGCAAGGAGATGGATGACAGGAGCCGGGAGCGAGAACGAGAGCGGCAAGGGGTCCTCGAGACAGTGCGCAAAGTGGCCAGCATGACCGAGGAGCGGGACCGAAGCAGGGAACCTGGTGAGTGGCAGGAAGGTGTGCGGGGTTTAGTGGGCGGTGGCCTCCCCCCGCCACTTTCCGATTTGGTCCAGGACCAGTGCTGACCTCTCTCTCCCTCCTTCTCTGCAGCAAAGCGTGAACCAGTGGCCCCTGAGCCCCCCGCCAAGCCTGCCTTGTCCGAGGAGGAGCTGGAGAAGAAAGCCAAGGCCATCATTGAGGAATACCTGCACATCAACGACATGAAGGTTTGTGCTGCAGAGAAGTGGCAGGAGCAGGGCATTTAATGGAAACTGCGGAATAGGATGCAGGACATGGATATTATACTTGACATTTTATGAGAGGGCAGTAGATAAATATGGGTTCATGGTTTGGCACTAGGATGGGGGGGGGGAGTCTGAAGAGCAGGTTGGAATCCCTCCTCAGCTGCCAAGAGTCTTGTCTATTGAGCAATTTTCTTAGATAGGAAGCATAGCAGATTAAAGAACTTTCAGGTGGCAAATCATTTGCCTTTTCAATTCCAAAACTGCTTCTGTGACACCCCCCCCCCATTAACTCCTGGAAGCTTACCAGTGGTTCATTGATGCTTGGAGGGCAACATGGATGCACAACCATGGCGGAGGGGAATGCTGAGCACAGTCTGCTGGGCCTAACAGGCTGCATTGATGCCTCCTGTTAACAGAGGGGCCCCTGGAAGGACCTGTTCAGATTCACAAGTTAAGGGATTGGTTCGTTGGAGGCTGTCAGTCTTGGACCAAGGGAAGCTTGGGTTGAAATTGCTGCGTATCATGAAGCTCACTGAGCTATCATAGGCTGAGGGTGTTTTACTAGTCCAGCATAGCCCACCGGTAAAGTTAGGGCAGATGGAGAGGAAGAGCTAAGGGCGTAATAATGTATCACTGCAATAAGCACGTGCTTAAATCAAAGGAGCAGTATTCTGCATGACATTCTCTTAAGGAGAGTGGCTCCCATTTTGGGGTGTTGCCCTGAAATATTTCTCTAACAGGTCCTTGGATTCCTCCCTGCAACAGGGTGGGCTTGGGTCAGATCTCAACAGTCCAAGGTGCAGCCTTTGCTATGAGATGTTTGCGCTAAGCTCTCCCCCTTCTCTGCCCGCTTCTTGCAGGAGGCTCAGCAGTGTGTCCAGGAACTGAACTGCCCCTCCCAGCTCTACATCTTTGTGCGGAACGGAATCGAGTCCACGCTGGAGCGGAGCACGATTGCCCGCGAGCACATGGGGCTGCTGCTCTACCACTTGGTCAAAGGAGGCATCCTCTCCAAGGAACAGTACTACAAAGGGTAATTGAGCCCCACTATGAATTTTTTTTGGGGGGGGGCATGCACAATGCAAAAGCAGCCTCTGACAGCTGCACTATCCAATCTCGGTCCTTTGCACACACTGACTGCCCCCTTCCTTCCTTCCTTTTCTACCCCTAGGCTGCATGAGATCCTAGAGATTGGTGAAGACATGGAGATTGATATCCCGCACATATGGCTGTACCTGGCGGAGATCATAACTCCCATTTTGAGAGAAGGTGGCATCCCCATGGAGGAGCTATTCAGGTGAGCTGGAACCTCATTCCTTCCCTCCCCATGGGCTTCCCTCCCCCCCCCCCAAACAAGTGAATGACCTTCCTGTGGTCTTTTCAGGGAGATTGCCAAGCCTTTAGTACCTATTGGCAAGGCCACGACTCTGCTGCTGGAGATCCTGGGCCTGCTTTGCAAAGGGATGGTAAGTTGCTCTCCTTCATGCCCTGGTTAACCTTGTCCGTTGGTCCTCGGGGAGTGCATGCTGTGATTGGCGAGCAGCCATAAAATGTTTTCGGTGCCTTTCCATGTTTGGCTCTGCTTGTTTATTGAAAAACAAGCTAATTCCGCCTCCGACCATGATCACGGGAGCTCAGCTGTGGACTGGAGCAATTGGCTCCTGTCGCCTCGAAGGCAAAGATGCAGAAATTCCGTGGGTCTCTCTGCTCTGGAACGGAGTGATGGAGACACTTTGCCTCTCAGCCAAGCAAAAAGCAGGTGATTGGTCTGCTGGAGCTAAGGGAATTTGCCTCCTCTGTTTCTTCTCCTCTTCACACTCGCTTCCAAATGTGGCCAGAGGAAAACTTGCACATCATGTATTTTTTAGGTGCAAAAAATAGCCACCCACAAGGAGTAGTTTGCTATCACACACACACACAAAAAACCAAATTCAAAGGTTTGTGGGAATCAAGTAGTTAATTGCAATTAGAGTTCCAACATCAACAAACTTTTCAAAATTTAAAAAAAAAAGATCCAGGATAACTTTAGATAGAAGCACCACAAAGCAGCATCCAGCCCTCCTCCTCTGGCTGTGCTTGTTTAAGTAACTTCTACCCCTTTAATTAGTGCCTTCCTGTTCATTGGCATGTCTATTGAATTGCTGAATCAGCCTTTTGGAAGGAGTGTGTTAATTAGTGGTTTCTTCTGTGCTTGAGGCTGAGAATGGGGGTCTTGCCAGAACCTCCATGCACACTGCCCAGTCTTGCGCCCTGGGGAGGTCACTTCAGTGTTGCTAACGGAGCAGCTTAGTTTCACCCCTGGAGGTGCACTTGTATTGTTATAATTCTGCATCTAAAAAAAACACATGTATGGCAAGCACAAGGTGGAGGGGTTCTTCTTGTTTTGTGTTTTTATATTGTGATTTTACGTTGTGACCACCCAGGCACCTGCAGGTATAGGGCGGTATACAAATTTAATAAACAATAATAGCTCCCTATTGAGGGTAGACGTAGTGGTGAAGCCGGGCTTGCAGGTGTCCTGGATGAAATGTTCCTAAGGTGGTCCCTGTTCCCCTGTAGAGCCACAAGAAGGCAGGGACCCTGTGGAGAGAAGGTGGCCTTAGCTGGAAGGAATTCCTGCCCGAGGACCAGGATGTCAATAAGTTCATCACAGAGCAGGTGAGCACAATGAGCTTTGTGGGGGAGGTTGGGGCAGCTCCTGGAGCCGGAAGGGGCTTCAGCTTGGCCCCACAAAGCATCCTCCGCGGAGGCAGCGGGATGCCTGTTTTTGCCATTGCCTCTGGCCCTGACTCTCGCCTCCCCGTTTCTCTCCTGCTCCTCAGAAAGTGGAGTACACAATGGGTGACAACTCTGACGCACCCAGCCGCAAGGAGCTCACATCGGAAGAGCTGTGCAAGCAGCTAGACAAATTATTGAAAGAAAATGCAAATAACCAAAGAATATATGACTGGATTGAGGTGAGTTGGGAAGGGCGAGTGCTGCTGTGCAGAAGAGCATGGGAGGTGGGCCTGGGAGGTACCAGGAGGAGGAGGAAACAATTGGAGGGGCAAGTTCTTCCAGCAACTTGGACGGTTTGGAAAAGGGCCCAGACAAATCCATGGCGCACAAGGCTATCGGCGTCTCCTAACCACAGTGGCTGTGGTCTCCCTCTTCTGTTGCAGGCAGTATGCCTCTGCATGTCAGTTATTGGGGAGAGTGCTGTTGCTGTCAGGTCCTGTTTCTGGGCTTCCCACGGGCACCTGATTGGCTATGTTGAGGAAAGGATGTTTGACTAGATGGGCCAGACTCTTCTTAGGTTCTTATAAAGAATCCCTGGAGAAAAGAGGCCTGCCGAGTGGATTCCCATCCCCCACCCCCACTTTTATTGCATTTTATATCCCACTTTTTTCTCACAAGGAGCTCAAGGTGCCCCCCCCCATTCAATCCCCACAACAACCCTGTGAGGTGGGTTAGGCTGAGAGGCAGTGATTGGCCTCAGGCCCCCCAGTGAGCTTTATGGCCAAGTGGAGATTTGAACCCTGGTCTCTCAGCCCCTTAGTCCGACACATTAGCTGCTCCGCCACACTGGAAGTTGCAGCTTCCTGAATTGGGAGTCTTGCTGCCAAGCTACTCCTGACTTGTCTGGAGAGTTGTGCCCCACAGTCATAAAAGTCCATTCCACTTGGGACTTGACAACAGCTGCTTTGGACTGAGCATCCATCAGACGCTCCGTGAGGCACACTGTTTTATATTATTAGGAAGCTTTGCCCCTTTTCCTTCTCCAGCTTGGAGAATGGGATTGCTGCCTCCCCGTCCCCCTTTATTGATTAGATGGTGGTTGGGGAAATCTGGGTACAGTGGTGCCCCGCAAGACGAATGCCTCGCAAGACGAAAAACTCGCTAGACGAAAGAGTTTTCCGTTTTTTGAGTCGTTCTGCAAGACGAATTTCCCTATGGGCTTGCTTCGCAAGACGAAACATCTTGCGAGTTCTTGCGAGTTTCCTTTTTCTTAAAGCCGCTAAGCCGTTAATAGCCACTAAGCCGTTAATAGCCGCTAAGCTGTTAATAGCTGCTAAGCCGCTAATAGCCGTGCTTCGCAAGACAAAAAAACCGCAAGACGCGAGGCACCACTGTATATTGCTAAACTGGCAGGTCTTTGTGGGGTTGGCTCCCTTGCTGGCACATAGAAGGAGCAGCTTCAGTCAGGAGGGAAAATCCGCAGATGGAGTTCTGGCTCTGTGTGTGGTTGGTATGGATGTTTTTTAAGTGGATTCCCAGATACTTAGGTTGGCAGCTGCAAGCGCTTCCAACCTCTGATCCTTGGCCTCTTCTTTCCCACTAGGCAAACCTGAGTGAGCAGCAAGTCTCATCCAATATGTTTGTCAGAGCCCTGATGACGTCGGCATGCCATTCCGCTGTTGTCTGTAAGCATTGGTGCAAGCCTGGAGTGGCAGGGACCGGGGTGGGGGTGGCTGCGTATTTGTGTGGCGGTTTAGTGGGAAGTAGGTGTCTCTGGGGGCCTGGGGGCTGATGTCTCAGATGAGAGCAGAGCCTAAAAATGCCATTGGCCCACCATTGTAAGTGACCTGCCAAACCAAAAAACAGCCCCACAACATTGCAAGGCTTCTCTGTGAACTCTTTTGTGACACCTGTGTGGAAACAAAAACGAAGTGAAAACAACCTGTCAAACAGGGAGCAGGCCATGCGTGGTGGGCGTTGATCAGCTTTCTAGCTCTCATTAGTTGATTACAGTGGATAAATAGGAGCATTGTTTATTACATTCAGGCCTGGTGGTTTGTCTGTTTTTATAGACTCCTCCACTCCCAGTCTAGTTTATTTGGGATTTCATATGTTTTACTTACCTTGTTGTAACCCACCCTGAGGCTTTAGGATTAAGGGCAGGTATTCAATCTTCCTTCCTTCCTTCCATTTCCTTATTTGGGGGAGCTTGGTGGCCACCACTGGGATGCCTGCTGAGGAATGGCACCTGTGGCAAAAGCCAACTCACCTTGGAGTAAACTACCCTCCAGGATTCGGATGAGGCAACAGGCAGGGGACCAGGAGGCTCTTATTGGCTGTTTTAGGGGTGCAGTGAGTCTTTGCACAACATCCTTAACTCTGAACATCCTTCTTTCCTACCCCCTCCCCTCTTCCTGCCGCTGCAGTCGAGAATCCTTACCGGATGGACAGTCCCGTGATCAAGAGCCGAGCCAAGCTGCTGCAGAAATACCTGAGCGATGAGAATAAGGAGCTGCAGGCCCTCTATGCTTTACAGGCCCTTGTGGTAAAGCTGGACCAGCCAGCAAGTGAGTGTTTTGCCTTGGGAAGGCGACCTCCTAGCTTTGTGTTCCCAAGGGGCTTTTCAGTTCAGGAAAATGGCAATTAAATGGGGGTGGGGGATAACAACATGACAAAAATGTAATATCCACAGTTATCCGAGAAAGATAAATATGGGAAGATTCGGGATAGACAAAGTACTTTGTCACACAGAGCATAGTTAAACTGTGACATTCACTCCCTCTATTGGATTGATTTAAAAAGAGGGTTGGGCAGATTCATGGAGTATCAGCTGTTATCAGTGGATAGAGGCATTGTTCTTCCTTTCGTCATCTAGGGCGTTGCCTTACACAGAGTCAGACCACTGGCTCATCTAGCTCAGCCGTGTCTCCACTGACAGGCAGCAGCCGCCCAGGTTTCCAAGCAGGGAGCATCTTGCAGCTTCGTATGGAGATGCCAGGGATAGAGCTCAGAATCCCCTGCATGTAACACAGATGCTCTGAGCTTATAGCTGGGATAGCTCAGTCGGTAGAGCACGAGACTCTCAATCTCAAGGTTGTGGGTTCGAGCCCCACATTGAGCAAAAGATTCCTACATTGTAGGGGGTTGGATGAGATGGCCCTCGTGGTCCCTTCCAACTCTACAGTTCTCTGATTCCCTTGATCATAGATAATAGAACTTGGGCTCAGCCAATTACATCAGTGTTTCCCAAACTTGGGTCTCCAGCTGTTTTTGGACTAAAATTGCCATTATTGCTGCTAGCTAGGGGCAGTGGAATTTGTCATCCAAAAACAACTGGAGACCCAAGTTTGAGGAGCAGCGAGATGGGGGGCTGGTGAAGAGTGCTTTCTTGTGCCTCCTGGATGGATCCTGCCCGTAGGAGTAGAGAGGAATCAATGATATGATGTTGGTCGTAAGACCCTTCTTCCAAGCATCCAGAGGGGCGAGTCGAGTCGGCTGGCGACCTGCATTTCCCCCCCTGCGTTATTTGACTCTCCTTCCCCCACCCTCTCTTCTGCTGCTTCCAGATCTGCTCCGAATGTTCTTTGATGCCTTGTACGATGAGGACGTGATTAAAGAGGAAGCCTTCTACAAGTGGGAGTCGAGCAAAGACCCGGCCGAACAGCAAGGGAAGGGAGTCGCGCTCAAGTCCGTTACAGCCTTCTACACTTGGCTGCGCGAAGCGGAGGACGAGTCTGACAACAACTGAGCACCCACGTTGTGGGAGGTGGGACGGATGGACGGACGGAGCCTGCCTGCCTGCTCTGACCCCTCCTCAGAGCCTTGGACTCCCGTGGGGGTGGCAGCGTGGTGGGTTAAGGATACACAGGAACTGGGCGCCGCTCTCCGTACCTTCCTCCCACACAGGACTTCTTCCCCCCCCCCTTATTATTATTTTTTTTTTGGTTGGGATTTTTTTTTTGTTCTTTTGTTTCTGTTTTAACAGCCTGTATTGGTTTGTGTCTGACGATAATAAATTGATGCTGAAGGAGGCGGTAAGTGTTGCTGCTCCGCTCAGCTCCCGAGGCCACTTGCCCCGGGGCGCACCTGGATGATGATTTTAATGAGCGGGGGGGCCCCCTCGAATCTTTGGCAGGTGCAAAGCACCCGAAACACATGTCTGTGGAAAGGGGTTGGGGGTTGGGAGAGCCTGATGCCTCTGCTGCTCCCCCCCTCCCATCTCCCCTTCCTCCTCCTCCTCCTCCTCCCCAGTTATTGCTGAAATATAGAGAGATTATATAAATATATATATAAAATATAAATATAGACTTATTAAATCTTTTGAGGTTTGAGAGGATAGGACTCTGCTGTCCGCAAACTTTGCCCTCCTGTTCCCATCCGCCCCCCATCCCACTGCCCCCCCTCGCACCCTCGGATCACCGCCTGGAATTAACACAAAAGCCTCTTGACGGATGTTGTTGCTTTTTTAAAATAAAAGGGGGAGGGAATCATTTCAAACATCCGCCTTGCTTGGGAGCTGCTGGAGAGTTGCTGGCAGAGGGAATAATATGGGGGTGGGTGGTGTGTTTGCAGCTCTTCGGTTTTGAGGTGGGGGGAGGCTTCCTTCTTGGGAGGGCCCTCCCACATCCCCTCCCCCCCCACGCCCACACTGAGGCCACGGTTTTGCGACCTGCTTCGCCTGCGATGGATGGTTAGAAGGAGCTGCTCTTGTGATTGAGAGAGAGCGAGAAAGAAAACAAAACAAAAAAACGAAAAACGCGAAAGCGAAAATGAAACGAGGATTCGGAATTATCGGTCACATGAATTTGTAAATACTTTTTTCTTTTCTTTTTCTTTTTTTCTTTATGGAGTATTTAATTGAAGATTCAAAAAAGCATCTTTTCACCGTAAACTGGAAATAAAAAAAAGAACATTGCTTAAAAAAGGTGACGTGTTGGCTGCTGTCGCGTCCCTGCCTCCCGCCTCGGCAGGTCTTGTCGGGAGAGTGAGAGAACCCAGGATTCCTGTGCCCCTGCTCTTACCTGACCCTCTGGAAAAGGGGCAGGGAAGTTTCCTTAGCAGAAAACACTAGCTCTGGGGAAAGGGGGGGGGGAGAGGTTATTGTGAGGAGAGGGTGTTTCACACACTGATGATGGGCTAGTACAAATGGAGTGAGCTTTGGGTGAAGTGTGCAAGCAGGCTCTCTAGGGTTTGTTGCCTTGCGGGCTTTGTAAAATGCAGGAAATTTGATTTGGAGGAGGAGAGGGGACAAAAGGCAGTCTGAGGCCCTGGAGAGCCTGCACAAAATACACCTGCGTCCCCCTCTCCCCGAAAATGTTGGACTACAACTCCTAATCATTGGTCAAGCTGTCTGGGCTGATGGGAGTTGGGAGCCTTTAACAGCTGGATGCATTTATCTGCCAGTGTGGTGTAGTGGTTAAGAGCGGTAGTCTTGTAATCTGGGGAACCGGGTTCGCATCTCCGCTCCTCCACATGTAGCTGCTGGGTGACCTTGGGCCAGTCACCCTTCTTTGAAGTCTCTCAGCCCCACTCACCTCACAGAGTGTTTGTCGTGAGGAACGAAGGGAAAGGAGAATGTTAGCCGCTTTGAGACTCCTTAAAGGGAGTGAAAGGCGGGATATCAAATCCAAACTCTTCTTCTTCTTCTTCTTCTTCATCTGGTGGCAGAGTGTGGCCCAGTGGCAGAATTCTTGCTAGGGTTCACCTTAACTTCCCCAGGAATGAATTTTAATCCTTAATTCAGCGTTTGGAATTTCTCAAGATGATTTTTATGCAGGGGCAGTGTTAGCAGGGAAAGGGGTTTGCTGCGGGTGGAACGGTCAGGATTTGTGGACTCCTTGAGGTGCTGAAGGAGACGGGGAAAGGCAGAGCATCATGACATTTTTCTTGTGACTGAGCCCTCGTGGTTTTCCACACTGAGGCAGAAACCTGGCATGAACTGAGATTCCCAAGAAGCCAAACGCTATCACTCGCAGGGTTCCCTGCTCTCCAGTTCTCCAGGGCTGGAATGGGGGAGACAGCAGAACAGCTGCTTCCTCCTGCAAGTTCCATCTCTTCTCTTGAAACGGTGGTGTTGGGGGCATTGTGGATCTTCTTTGCAAATGTGGAACCGCTGTGTGCCCCCAAGCGATGCCTGTTGTTTTCACCTTCAGTGCCAGAGGGTGTATCATGAACGGAGTGTCCCACTTGCTCCAGGCGTCTCCACCCCCTCTTCTGGGCAAAAGGCAAGTTTCTGCACTTTGTCCTGGTAGATAAGACTTTTAAAGTGCGTATGAGCAAGAACTGCCAGAGTCAGGAACTTTACCAAGTAAATCCTTTGCTCAGGAAATGAGGATTATTTTCACCCTGCATGACTTCTGGTACCTAAATTAAAAATTCTTGTTAACCCTTCTCCAAAATGTGAAGGGATGTAGAATTATCTGACACCCTTAATATCACCAGATGGTGAGCTGATCTGCTCACAAGACACTAAAAGGTGGTAGACCATTGTAGAATTCTGCAGCATAGCATCTCAAGACTGCAGGATATGGAGAAAGAGAGCAGGGACATGCTGCTCATTTTTTTAACAAGAAATATGTACCACTTAATTAAAACCTCTAAGTGGTATACATAGAAGCCGTACAATATATTTATTGATAACAAAATAATATTGTGGCACACAAAGACTAATGTATATATTGGGATACTTTCTAGTTAAGGATGATGCCCGATGACATGGGATGTGGTCCGTGAAAACTTATGCTAGAAGAAATAACATCACCCTTTCAGATTTTTTATATATATATATTTGCATATTCTACTAAAAAACAACCTGGAAGCAGTAAATTAGCACAGTGTTTCCAGCATGACCACTACATTGAGCCCAGTTTAACCAGGGATGGGATCAAGGAGGGATTTCCATGGGCTGTAGACTTCTAGCTTGTTCGAGCTCCCAAGGAAGGGGACAAAACAAGAAATGGCAGAAACTGGAACAGGTCTGCCCACTAACTCAGGCTGCAGAAGGATGTTCCTCCACAAGGAAATATTGGGGGCCTTTTTTCTTGTTCAGGAAGAAAAGAGCAAACAGGCTGTCCAAAGTTGTCCTATGAAGATGATTGTGGTGAGTTGGGAGAAAGGTAAAGGTAAAGGACCCCTGGATGGTTAGGTCCAGTTAAAGGCGACTATGGCGTTCCTCTCGCTTTCAGGTCGAGGGAGCCAGCGTTTGTCCACAGCTTTCCGGGTCGTGGCCAGCATGACTAAACCACTTCTGGCGCAATGGAACACCGTGACGGAAACCAGAGCACATGGAAACACAATTTACCTTCCCGCCGCAGTGGTACCTATTTACTTGCACTGGCATGCTTTCAAGCTGCTAGGTTGGCAGGAGCTGGGACAGAGGCAGGAGCTCACCCTGTCATGGGGATTCAAACTGTCAACCTGATGGGCAAGCCCAAGAGGCCCAGTGGTTTAGACCACAGCGCCACCCACGTCACATCCTGGGAGGAGAGTGAAGAGATTCAGGCCAGCAAAAGGACATGCTTCACACAGCACATACAGTGGCACCTCTGGATGCGAACGGGATCCGTTCCGGAGCCCCATTTGCATCCGGAAGCGAACGCAACCCACATCCGCAGGTCGCGATTTGCCGCTTCTGCACATGCATGAGCGGTGAAACCTGGAAGTAACGCGCTCAGTTACTTCTGGGTCACCGCAGCGCGCAATCCGAAAATACTTATCCCGAAGCTACTTCAACCCGAGGTATGACTATAGTTAAACTATGGAACTCTCTCCCACAAGATGTATGGACAGCTTACTAAAAGGTTTGACAAATCAAAGATGGATATCGTGTATTAGGGAATATCGGTGGCGGAGAGCGGGCTGTGGTCTGCTTGGGGGCTTCCCAGTGTCATCTGGTTGGCCTCTTTGGGGAATGGGGTGCTGGACTAGACAAGCCTTTGGCCTCTTCTTAGATCTTAAAGGAGCAGCAGTAGCAGATTAGGAATTTCTGTCCTGGCTTCCTTGCTGGTTTCATTTCAGGTTTTCATATGTATTCTTCCTAAATGCATGAGGCCGCTTTAAATGCAGACAGTCTCCGGTTCAGTCCCCAAAGTCTCCAGGCAGGGCTTGTAATTACTGAGATACGTGGAGTTATGGTATTCCCTGGTATTTACACAAACTAAAAATAGGCCTATGTATTAAGCTGGAGATCTTTCTGTCTTTCTCTACCCATGATAAAGACTTGTATTGTACTAAGCAGCCCTCCAAGCTCCTCCTGGGTAAGAAGAACCATAGCTCCAGCGATGCCATTGTTAAACCATCAGCAAATGCTGATAGGTTAAAAAGATAATTCATACTGCCTGTCACTTCCGTCCATAAACAATATAGTTTTCGAAAGGCACCTGAACAAAGGCTGGTTCCTTCCAAACTTCTGGTGGCAGGGAGTTCCACAGGGCCAGGCCTGCCACACTAAAGACTTAGTCCCTGGTGAGGGCCAAGCAAACCACAGGCAAGATGGGAAGGCGGGGGGCACCAGAAGTGCATTATCAGAGGATTTGGGTGATGGAGGTGGAGCATAAGGAATCTACTGTCCTTAAGGTACTTTGGGGCAGTTCCAGGCTTTGTAGGTTAATGCAAGAACCTTGGAGCTGGCTCCGTGGCTGAAGCTTGTGGAAGTTTGTTTACTTGCAGCACTTTAGCAAAAAAAAAAGACCCTCAGAGCAGCTTCACAAAAATTCACTTACTAAACAAGCCCTGCCCTCTGGGTCAGAGTCTCAAAAGTCATATATCATATGAGGAAAAAGGAGGGGGGCAGGCTCAAGCGCAAGTTCTTCACGTTACAGTTATTAGAACACATTCTTTTATAAGAAAGAGCTTCATTTTATAAGAAAGAGCTTCATTAGATGCACACAAAGTGGGAAGCAAAGGTGTTAAGTGTTGGTTTCTATTTCCTTCACTGAGCAGCAACTGCAGTCACAAGACAGGTGTTTACATTCCACAGTCTGTACTGTTGGAGTTTCTCACGGGAAAGGGAGACTGGATGTGACGTACACTGGTTTCCTGTTATTCACTGTCTGTGTGATTCTCTCCAAGCTGTCGAGGAGAGAGGATGCATTTTTCTGCTCCTGGCAGAGGCAAGATGTCTTTCTGTAATATACCAGCTTTGAACTGTAAATAAAGCAATATAGAGTATGTAGCACATTTTCCTCATCCTTCCGCTGGGCACGACAGACTCTGCTTTAAATCAACACGTGGTTATGGACTCCAGAGGTCGAATCGGAGTGCCGGCAAAGGATCGGAATGCAGAGGGAGGACGGATCGGAACGGAATCTGCTCTGCGCGTAGAAGTGATTGATGAGGTATGTGCTACTGCTCCGGGCAGCCTGCCAGCTTCAAGATAATGGCTTTATGGCTGGACTTTGAACTTTTAAAGCCGGTTTTGCTGGGAGTAGGCAGAAGGCTCCCAGGCACAAGTCACTATGCTGGGGAAATCGAAAGTAACTTTTAAGTGTGCCTTTGTAATGAGGCAGCTGCAGCAGTGACGCAGCAAGATTTAAAGCAGCATAGATATGACGCTGAAGGCTAATGCCAGAGTCATGATGGCCCTTCAGGATGCTTGTGGGATTCCTAAGCTCAACAAGAATAATTACAGCGACTGGGTTCAGTATGCAGAGGCAATTCTGCGGAAAGAGGGTTTGTTTGAGGTGATTACAGGACCCCCCAGTTCCAGTTACAGATGCATGGGAAGCTAAGGATTCCAAAGCAAGGGGAACTCTTACATTGATAGTATCCCCAGAAGAGCTCTGTCTATTGCGTGATAAGACCTCAGCCAGAGAAATTTGGGACGCTCTGAGAGAGGCTCACTTAAGGACAGAAGCTGGATCCACTATGTTTTATTTTAACAAGCTGCATAATATGGCTCTTGCTGAAGGTGGAGATGTACGTTTACATCTGATGGAGATGCAAAATCTGAGACATGAGCTGCAACAGAGAGGACTCAACTTTCCAGAGGCTGTGTATTCTTTCATGATACTACAATCTTTGGGTTCAGGTTGGGAGTCTGTTGCAACCCAGATTGCTGTGCAACCAACTGCTCAGCTGACAGTGGACTTTGTTACTGCCGTGATTTTAAATGAAGCAGATCGCCGGGGTGCTAGCTGCATGGGCAAGGGAGAGTCTTCACAGACGTCATCCCATAGTGCAGTGGAACCACCAGATGGCGCCAAAGCTTTGAAGGCAGTGAAATGCTACTCGTGTGGACGTCTAGGCCATATGAAGAGGGAATGCAGACATCCCAGGGCCAAGACAGAGCAGCGCAGCGAAAGCTCATCGCGCGGAAAAGGCCGAGGCAAAGGCAAAGGTCCGGTGTCTAGGACAACGCAGCACAAGGCTATGGTTTCACGCTTCACTCCAAAGGTTGCAGAGGTCCAGAAGACGTCTAGATCTTTCTTCGTTGTTGATTCAGCGGCGACCCACCACATGTGCAACGATAAGAAACTGTTTGTGTCTTTTACACCGCAGGAAGGTGCGATTCACCAGGCGGATGACCACACTATTCCCAGTAAAGGCTACGGAACTGTTGTTCTTCACAGTTTGGACTTATCGATACAGAATGTGCTTTACGTGCCAGACGCCAAACATAATCTGCTCAGCGTTGGACAGCTGAATGAGCGGAACATTGACGTTTCCTTCAAGAACAAGAAGTGCATCATCACAAAGAAAAATGATTATGTATTGCATGCAGAATATGTTGATCATTTGTTTGTTTTGTATTATGATGATGTGGTGCAGGATGACACTTGTTGCATTGCAGGTTCTAACAAAAGTTTGCATGCAGAATGTATTCACGATTTTCATCGCAAATTTGGTCATTTGCATTTTGAGGCAGTATCTAAAATGCCTGCCTTGGTTGAAGGTATGACTATTAAACCCTGCAGGTACCACATGAAGTGCAAAGCATGCGCAGCAAACAAGGTGAAAATGGCTGCGAAAGGTAAGGTGTCTAGTAGGAAAGCTACAGAACCATACCAGGTTGTTCATGCTGATTTGGTTGGACCACTAACGCCCTCTTTGGGTGGAAATAGATACTTCATGGTTCTCATTGATGCATTTTCTAGATATATTTTTGTGTACAATCTCAAGCAGAAATCGGAGGCTTTTCCTAGGTTCAAGGAATTCTGTGCTTGGTTGGAAAATGTGCATGGTAAGAAGATAAAGACTCTTTTCAGTGATCGCGGGGAATTCACTTCTCAGCAGTTTGAAGCTTTTCTGACTGAGAAAGGAATTCAACACGATTTGTCTAGTCCTCGCTCGCCATGGCAGAATGGACTTGCGGAACGGGCAAATCAGACATTGCTTCAAGGCTTAAAACCTTGCTGCATGATGCCAATCTTCCAGAGAGTTATTGGGCCGAATCTCTCGCGTGTTTTGTTTACAGATACAATCGCATATTAACATCAGCGATTGTATGTAACCACTATGAGAAGATGTTTGGCAAGAAGCCATACATCAAACACATGAAGATTTTTGGTTCTGACATGTGGGTTCGCTCACCACAAAACTCCAAGTTAGACAAGCGTGGATTGCATGGAATCTTTCTAGGTTATCAGAAAGGGTCTTACAGAATAATGATGACTGACTCTAAGACAATTAAGCTCACGAGAAGTGTTGAGTACAATGCAAAGTGGGGGAGAATGTGGGAATTTTCCAATGTTATCCTGATGACGGTGATGAGACTGAGGATAGTCAAAAGCAACCACAACAGCCCACACCCACTGATGAAGGTTCTGAGTCTGAATCTGAAACTGAATCGGGTGATTCAGAGGATTTCAAGAGTGCGAAAGCCTCTATGCGACCCTCTGAAAGCTCTGATCAAGAATTGGAGGAACCATTGTTCACAATAGGTCGTTTTTCTCCTAAGAAGGAAGAGGAGAGTGTTGAAGACTTAAGGCTAATTCGTAGGTCACAGAGAGCTACAAAAGGCAAACCTCCAAAGAGATTTGCTGATGAGTTTGCTAAGATAGCAGTAACAGCTGTTAAAAGCTCCAAGAAGGTATTTGAACCTTCAAGTTTCCAAGAAATCCAGGGTTTGGATTCAAAGGAAGCTGAGCCATGGTTAAATGCCATGAAGGCTGAGCTTGATTCCTTAGAAAGGAACAAAACATGGGAGCTAGTTCCAGTAGTTCCAGGAATGAAACTGCTTGGAAGCAAATGGGTCTTCAAAGCGAAGACAGATCAAAATGGCAAGATAGTCAGACACAAAGCCAGATTGGTAGCCAGAGGTTTTGCACAGGTACCAGGTCAAGACTATCACGAGACCTATTCACCCACAGTGAGATATGAAAGCATTAGGCTTATGCTCAAGCTAGCTGCAGAGGAAAATCTACACATTAGTCACCATGATATTAATACAGCTTTTCTGTACGGATCTCTAGATGAATCACTTTATATGCTTCCACCTGATGGCGTACAGGTAAAACAGGGATTTGTTTGTGCTCTGAAGAAATCCCTTTATGGTCTCAAACAAAGTGCACGGTGTTGGCACACAAAACTCACTGAAGTATTGTTTTCTCTAGGTTTTCAGCAAGGGAAAGCTGATCCATGTGTATTTGTCAAAGAGGAGGGGCAAAAGAAACTGTACTGTTTGTTTTATGTTGATGATTTATTATTCTTTTGGAAAGATGTCGCAATGTACAATAGCGCCCTAGCTCAACTGAAAGAGCACTTTGACATGAAAGATCTTGGTGAGGTAAACAACTACCTATCTCTGGAAATAGAGAGAGATCAAGATGGTAACATTCTAGTACACCAGTCACGGAAAATTGCTGATGTGTTAAGCAAACTAAATCTGATGGATGCTAACCCTGTAGACACACCGATGACAACAGGTTATCAGGTAGATGACACTGAAGAAGCATTTTCTGACACTACACTGTACAGGAGTGTGCTAGGCAAGCTAAACTTCATTGCCAGATGTTCAAGACCAGACATTGCTGTTAGCTGTAATTTGCTAAGCAGACAAGTCAACAATCCTAGTGTCAAGGATTGAAAGCTCTGAAACGCATAGCGCGGTATTTGAAAGGCACTATGCATTACAGACTGAGATTTAACAATCAGAAGTCTGGTGGTCTTGAGATATTTGCAGATGCAAGTTTTGGAAGTGACGCTACAGACAGGAAAAGTACGTCTGGAGTTTGCTACATGTACAATCAGGGTCTGTTTGATTGGTCATGCAAGAAGCAAACAACAGTTAGCTTAAGTACTTGTGAAGCTGAACTGAATGCACTGTCTTATTCACTTAAGGATTGTGAATGGTTAGTTACAATTGTGCAAAGATATGAAAATTCCTGTCAAATGTCCAATCCAGGTTTACCAGGACAACAAAGCATGTTTGGCTTTGCTGAAGTCTGAAGGTTGTAAGCAAAGCACAAAGCACTTGCAATTAAAGTTGCAGCATGCTAGGGAATGTATTCAGAAGGGACTCGTAACGGTGTCCTATATGCCAGGTAATGAAATTCCTGCTGATGTATTGTCCAAGATTGTATCAAGGGATCAACACTGTACCTATGTGCAGAAGTTGGGTTTGTACTGATATTGTACGAACACGCTGCCCAGTGATGTTCACAGAAAGGGGGAGGATGTTGGTTTCTATTTCCTTCACTGAGCAGCAACTGCAGTCACAAGACAGGTGTTTACATTCCACAGTCTGTACTGTTGGGTTTTCTCACGGGAAAGGGAGACTGGATGTGACGTACACTGGTTTCCTGTTATTCACTGTCTGTGTGATTCTCTCCAAGCTGTCGAGGAGAGAGGATGCATTTTTCTGCTCCGGCAGGGCAAGATGTCTTTCTGTAATATACCAGCTTTGAACTGTAAATAAAGCAATAAAGAGTATGTACCACATTTTCCTCATCCTTCCGCTGGCAAACAGACTCTGCTTTAAATCAACAGAATTTATTCTTACAAAACCTAAGCATTGTTCCTTGACAGGCTGGAGTCACTGGTGCAAGTGATTAGGCAAATTAAGCCCATCTGCATAATTTTAGCTGGCCAAGGAGCAGAGCAAGGAGCCCCCACCCTGCCTGTCCTTGCCCATCAGAAGCCTTTGGTATTGTAGGGCTGGAAAGGGACCCGAGGATCATCTAGTCCACCCCGCTGCAATGCTGGAATATGCAGCTCTCCCTTGTGGGGATTGAACCTGCAACCTTTGCGTTATCTGCACCAACTGAGCTACCCTGATTTTGCCAGGCATTGCCACATTTAAGCATGTATACACAGCCTTAATAAGGACTAGCAACTTATTTTGTGGTGTATGACAGAATCTTGGGAAGAAGCTCAGCTCTGCTGCATCCAGTGTCTGCTCTGTCCTTAAGCCCATTCTCTCTTTCCTGCAGTCCTATGGTATTGCAATGTGCACATAGCCCCACATAGATATTCTTGTGCATAAATGGTGTGTGTGTGTGTATGAAGGGTGCATGGTTTGAATTCTCTCAGGAGAGCCAAGAGTCCCCTCTGTATGTCTTTATGACATTGGGATGACGGGTGTATGCAATTAGCAACATCTCTCACAGATGTAAGTGCGCATGTAGATTCGTGTGAGAATGCAGTTTGTACCTGGTGCCACCAGGGAGCAGCAGAGGACCAGCTCTTAATGCAACTTAGACGCACTTTAGAAGTTCCTTTGGCTTGTGGCTGGGGAACATTCACAAACTGGCTAAACAGTCCTAGGTACACACACAAAGATTCTTAATACCAAGCACATCCCACAAGTAAAAGGTGGATGATTCTGTTAATCTCGATTTCTCATTTCTCCAGCCTTAAGTTCTCCACATTTTCACGATATGCAAATTCTTTTTTCATAGTCCTCATGAGAATTCATCAGCATCTTAAATCAGATTTCTCCTAATGTACATACTTTTGGAAGTGATTCTGCTTAATGTACAAATTTGGCCAGCATTTTCCCCTAATAATAATGCATTTTGGTATGTTGTTGGTAATGCATACATTTTTAATGTATGCTTTGCCCGATGTAGGCATTTTTGGACATATTACTTGGAGAATTGCATTGCAATATTTGGGGAATTGTGAATGTTGAAAGCTGGCTGCCACTTGGCTTTGCGTATTGTTTCAGGAAGTGCAGATTCACCTCACATGTGAGCAGAATTGTCTTTGCCTCCCACCCCTGCCTACAACCTAGTTTATTGGCTACAACAGAGTGCCTGTTTCAAGCCCAATTTCATTGTGGCATCCATGCTGCTGACCCCCTGGACCTTTGGAGTGGGGGGGGGATGTCTGCTGACATGTGTCTCCAGGCAGACCACCAGACTGCCCCCACTGCCCTCACTGCAAGAAGCAAAGCTACAGGGAGAGGGCCTTCTTGGTAGTGGCGCCCACCCTATGGAATGCCCTCCCATCAGATGTCAAAGAAATCAACAACTACCTGACATTTAGAAGACATCTGAAGGCAGCTCTGTTCAGGGAAGTTTTTAATGTTTGACATTTTCATGTATTTTTGATCTTTGTTGGAAGCTGCCCAGATTGGCTGGGGAAGCCCAGCCAGATGGGTGGGGTACAAATAATAAATTATTATTATTATTATGGGGACTCATTTCTCACTACTCAAGGAGTCTTATTCAGTGTTAGTGTCTTGATCAAGGGAAGTTATAGTGCTACTCTGTTCTGCCTTGGTCAGACTACATCTGGAATATTGTGTCCATTCTGGGCAACCCAATTTAAGAAGAATGTTGACAAGCTGGAAGGTGTACAGAGGAGGGTGGCCAAGATGATGAAGGCCCTGGAAACCAAGCCTTATGAGGAATGGTTGAAGGAACTGGGTATGTTTAGCCTGGGAAAGAGGAGGCTGCAAAGAGACAGGATAGCCATCTTCAAATATCTCAAGGGCTGTCACATGGAGGAGGGAACAAGCTTGTTTTCTCCAGCTCTGGAGGGCAGAACTTGAACTAATGGCCTCAAGTTACAAAGGAGGAGATTCTGACAAAACATCAGGAAGAATTTTCTGGCAGCAAGAGCTATTCAACAGTGGAACAGTCTTCCTCAGGACGTGGTGGACTCTTTCATTGGAGGCTTTTACGCAGAGGTTGGATGGTCATCTGTCATAGATGATGTAGTTGAGATTCCTGCATTGCAGGGGGTTGGACTTGATGATCTTTGGGGGTCCCTTCCAACCCTACGGTTCCATGAAACTTTACTGAGCTGTGTCCAGTTCAGTTGCCTGCCATTAGCAGCCAGTGGGCTAAATCCTGCTCAATGTGCATGACTCATTTAGCTTCCATCGCAAGGCGTCAGAGGAATGCCCCACAGCTGGCTCAGCCCCCAGAGCTATGGCGACAGGTCTCTGAGTCATAAATTAGGCTCATTTAGAATTCCAAGAACTTTGATGGGGTTTCAAAGCACGCAAGTAAATTCAAAGGAAGGTAATTGGTTACAAAGGTGAACTTCAAAGGAAGATAATTGGCATTAGCAGCAGTTCCAGATACAAGAAACTGAGTGTTGGGACAAAACAAAAGTTCCTGTGAATCACTTTTAACCTAACGGGAAACCAGGGCGGGGGGAGGAAAGGAGGTAAAATGGGATTACGCAAGGAAATCAACACAAACTTGAATGATTAATAGCCTAAACCTAAATTAACTGTTCTTTGGTTGCAACATTCCTATTGACATCATACTAGCAATTAGCCAAATAAAAAGGTTGCATTCAAATAGGCTTCTGAGTGAAATAAGAGATTCCAAAACATCATTTTATGTGCGAGGCTGAAGAGCGTCAAAGCTGAGCTGGGGGTGCCATTGTAGGGTTCCCATCCTGCTTAGATTTCCAATTTCAGGTGGTTGCCTGGGAACTTTGTTTGGCTCCAGCATGGGGTTCCACTCCAATCTTATCCCCCATGCTGTTTAGCACCTACATGAAACCGCAGCATGGAGTCGTTCATAGTTCTGGAATATGTTGTCAGCAATGGCTCTGCTTCCTTGCATCTGCACGCGAGCTGAACCAATGTGTTCTCTTGGTAATGGACTGGATGAGAGCTAGTAAACTGCAGCTTACGCCAGACAAGAAATAAGCACTGTTAGTGGGTGGTTTCCTAGACGCGGGTGGCGCTGTGGTCTAAACCACTGAGCCTCTTGGGCTTGCCGATCAGAAGGTTGGCGGTTCAAATCTGTGTGACAGGGTGAGCTCCCATTGCTCTGTTCCAGCTCCTGCCAACCTAAAAGTTCAAAAGCAAGTAGATAAATAGGTACCGCTACGGTGGGAAGGTAAACAGTGTTTCCGTGCACTCTGGTTTCCGTCACGGTGTTCTGTTCCGCCAGAAGTGGTTTAGTCATGCTGGCCACATGACCCGGAAAACTGTCTGTGGACAAACACCGGCTCCCTCAGCCTGAAAAGTGAGAGGAGCGCCACAACCCCATATTTTATTTTCAATCCCTTTCCTAACATTTCCAAGCATGGAATTTGCTGCTGCACAGTCAGTTGACTTCTTCATGGAGCTGTCCACTAAGAAGCAAGGTCTCATTCCTGGTCAGTCGCCATTAGTTCAGACCTCAGGAGTATATATGCGAAATTAGGAAATTTTGCCCTAATATGCATCACTATACACTTGTTTACTTTGAGTTGCATGTGCCACTTTACTGCCTTGTGCCAACTACTCACCCTGAGCCTAGCCTACCTCGCAGGGTTGTAGTGGCTGGCCCATGCACTTATTTAATTATTTCATATATTTCTCCAAGGAGCTCAAGAAGGCGCAATAGTCCCCCTCATTTAATACCCACAACAAACCTGTGAGGTAGGTTAGGCTGAGAGGCAGTGACTGACCCAATGTAACCCAGTGAGTTACATGTCTGAGTACAGCTTTGAACCCTGGCCTCCCAGGTCCTAGTCTGATGCTCTAACCATATAACACCGGTCCTGAAAGACCTACATTGGCTCCCAGTACGTTTCTGAGCACAATTCAAAGTGTTAGTGCTGACCTTTAAGTCCCTAAATGGCTTTGGCTCTGCACAGTGGCGGAGGAACCCTCTCTGGCACACAGGCTGGCGCAGCCCGTACAGACTGCGCATGTGCGGCATCCCACATGTGCGCACGCCATATAGAATGCTATTATTATTATTATTGTGCGCGGCAGCATCCCATAAGGACTGTGCACGTGTGGCAGCCCGTACGGTCGCCGTGCGAGAGGCAGCCCGTACAGACGGCATGCGTACAGATGGCCATCTTGTCACCCCTCCCAGAGTGGCACTGGGGGCAGCCCGTCCCTCCACCCCCCCTCCTACGCCGCTGGCTCTGCATACTTGAAGGAGCATCTCCACCCCCATCATTCAGCCCAGACTCTGAGGTCCAGCTCCGAGGGCCTTCTCGCGCTTCTCTCACTGCAAGAAGTGAGGTTACAAGAAACCAGGCAGAGGGCCTTCTCAGTAGTGGCACCCTCCCAGTGAAACGCCCTCCCATCAGATGTCAAGGAGATGAGTAACTATATAACTTTTAGAAGTCATTTGAAGGCAACCCTGAGCTGGATCTAGATACATATTTTTTTTAAAAAAAAGTTTCAGGAAAACACATTGTAAACCTCATAATGGGAGATCGCGTTGCTGAAAGATGGAACTGGGGTCACAGTGTTATAACATTTTTTCTTTACTAACGTAGCTGAGTCCCTGTATAGGGAAACATCTTAAAGTGTAACATTTTATTATATTTGCTCAGAGCGGTTGGGGCATAAATAAAACCATCACCACCTTGAGCTCTTTAGAGGAAAGGGGAAGTGTTGGACTAAATTAAGGAACAGAGCTGAAGCCGTGTGTGTGCACTATTGGGTGGGTGCCCTGCCCTCTTTCCTCCATCACCTCCACTGCCCCATATATCACAGGCAGCTAACATGTGGCCCTCTGGGTATTG